CGTTAATATAACCTACTTGAAGAAATACAAAGAGAGATCAGATATGTATTTCAGAGAACCACCTCACACTGAAGAAGAGAAGGAGGAGAGAATAGAAGAGGTTATAGCGCTAGTAGGAGAAGATGATAAGAATAAAAAGTATTATTGCTTATTCAAAGGAGTAGACCCGAAGATAACAGTTGAGTTATCGAAAAAACAATTTAATAGAATACCAACAACGAAAAGATTAAATATGCTGGCGACATTTATGCAATTAGTAGGAACTCTTCGAGAGGAAGAAGAGGGAGAAGATGTCGTAATGAATTAGGACACAATTGTGATTAGTCGGAACTAGCATGTGATAAGTTGGAATGTGAATGTGACAGGTTGGAACATGAATGTGATAATCTAACAAGGTCCGGGTTGAGAAAGAATGACTCTTACATGTCAAGAAAGTGAGTCAATAATGAAGGTATATAAATACAGTAGGTAGATCACTAAGATGTATATTAGCTATCCATATATAAAGGTTGCTAATTAGAAATAATAAATTAAGTTGTATTCTAAGCTGAAAGGTGACACACACTAGAGGGTTTGGCATACAACAAAAATTTATTGTATAATATGTGCTTACTAGTTATTAATATGAATAACTCTGATTAAAATACAACTCTAAATATATTGATATATGTTCAGATGTAAAAGTAATATCTGATTGATTCATTTTGGTGATTGATACAAGATGTTTTTAATATAATATTTATATTTATTTCTCCGTAGTGTCTTATAAATGTAACTAAATAAATATATATTAATATTTTAGATAAACAATATTTTAGATGTACCAAAATGTCATGCCTTTTTATATGTTTAGATCCAATCTCATAATCTTAATATTATTTATTTATGATAATAAATTATGATGCCTTTGCACTTCACTTCTTATGATATGATTTGGCAATTACTTAGAAGGTCGAGTATGACATTTGCGATCGAACAATTGCAACGTGTCATAACCTTTACTGTCATAACCTTTACTGCCATAACCTTTATTGCCATAACCTTTATTGCCATAACCTTGAAACCCATTAGTGTGAACCATACATTTTAGGTTACAACAATATATATTTCTTACTTGACTTTCCTTACTAAATGGAAACTCTTCCTAATATACATATCTACTCTATTCTTTTATATATTTCCTAATCTCCTTCATGAGTTGGTTGCAGCCAACTCATATTGTGACATCTCACATTCTGACTGGTGTCCATCTTATTAACCCTGATCGTAAGCAACGTCCTACGTGTTCTGACCTAGAAGGTTCCAGAATGTTCCTTATTTCCACTCACACGTGACTACTTTATAAGATGTTCATGACGTCATAGATATATCTATGATAATGTAACATAAATCAATCTATTAATATGGTATACAATAACTAATCAGGTAATTACTAACAATCAGGTTATTGATTGTTTGCAACATTGTAGAACATTCTAGAAACAAAATAAAAAGAATATTATTGGTAAATTACCAATAAACTAAAATACTTGAGTGAGAGTGCAAGGAATCGTTAGAATTAATGATTAGTAATTACAAGATTGTGAGATCGAAGATTAAACGTATAAATACGGACACTAATCTCAAGATTAGGATAATCTGATTTCCAAGATTACCTTTACATATTTATATTATTATTTTATATTATATATAAAATCCTCACGGAGAAATATAATTTAAGAAATATGTCACCTATTAAAAATGATCAACAATTTCAACACTACGAACCTTAACAAACTATTAGAATGCCTTCACTAAATAATACAACAAAATTTTGTAAAATTTTATTCTGCCAAGACTGTTACGTTTAAATATTTTTCGCACTCTTCTTTGCCTAACTATTTAATATACATACTACTGAGTACAACACATTAACGTAAAATATGTCTTTTCTTCAATTGAACTCAATTATTATTGGAATAATAAAATGAATCACATGACTGGCACGTGACGCTGTCTTTACCAGTAGGATTGTTCTGCTACAAATGTGATAATAGATAGAAGAAGATTTGAACTATAAGTGTCAGCTTTTCGAATCCCATGATCAAGCCACTGGTTCGTATATATTCTAGATAAAATCTAGCCTTTTATCATTTTAGGATAACAGGTCATCATTTGTATCACTGGCACGGACAACGTAATACAAGTCAATTCCCAGATCTAGCTTACCAAATAATTTGATATACTAAAGGGATCTGAGTGCTGACCTAACCAAGCATAAAATGTTAATAGATAATAATTATAATGGAAAAAGACAATTTATTTAATTATCAAAGCATATACATTTGTATATGAAATGGTTATCTGCAGGTATTCATATCTCGATATTTATCCAGAAGGAAACAACCGTTAACTCGAACTAAATTATGAAAATTTTGTACTCAACCTTCAGCTGAATAAATACTAGGAACTCATATTATTTATTTATTTATATATCTAACTTGTAGAAGGATCCTGTATAGCATTGTAGTTCTTATCTATTATCATTTCACCAATTTGATCCATACATGGTACAGACTTTAAGAAAGGATCCCTTTAGAGTTGGAGCACGTGTATTATTTTATAAAACGTCAGACAAAATTTCAGTAACAACTAATTCGACTATTCTTAATAATGTGATATACACACGAATGCTCTTTAAATGAATTGTTTAAGTTATTAATATAAATATTCATTAGTAAAGTTCAATTATGTTACTGTGCTATAGAACTTCTGGTACATTTTAAAACAATGGTTCTAAATTAGAATTTTATTTTTAGCCTTGACGAAAAGAAGATTCAAAAGTTGTCTATTTTTTGAAGATAAACAATTTTGGAATTGTCAAGCAGCACTAATTTTAGAAACTAACCTATAAAATAATTGATTCTTCTTTTTTGTAAAGTTAAATCATTACCTTACATTTTAGAAATTTTGATTTCATCATATAACGAATATGTAATAAGGTTTTATTAACTTTGAAAATCTGTAATTACTTTTACTTTTCATTTTAAGAGCGGTTAAAATTTATTTTACGAGTTGGAAAATTACATCTCTAAAGGAAAGATAGCAATTACAACCCTCTTATCAAAGGTAATATTTTTATATTATTGAATTTACCTTTTGCAAAACACCAATTGAAAGTAAACAATTAACATTATAATTTGCTAGTCATCTCATTTGGATTTTAATTTTTATATTTAAACACTATTTTCAATATAACTTTGGTATAAACTTACTTAATTATAATCAATCGACTTGAGAGTTACTGCCTTACTAAATAAATATTGATGTTTGGTTGGGTATATTACTTATTTAATGAAGTCAAACTTTGTTAGTGTCATTCCATGAAAGTATACCAAATTTTAATTGAAAATTTATACATATTCATCTGAAATATTTCATAGACCCTAGATCAAATAATTCACTTGATTGTGATTAAGTTTGAATTTCATTTTAAAGATGTCCAAGTATTAAAGTAATTATTAGAATGTGTTTAATAAAATCATACGTTTCGGATAAAATGTTTATTAATGATTATATTAACTATAATACAGGAAATTATTAAGATAAATCGAAAATACAAGAATCATGCACACCAGAAGACGTATACACGGTACCACCAAGGCCTCATCGCCAATGCAGCCTTCTCTTCCGCAATTTCCTGCTTTAATAAATTGACATCAGTGTCTCTTCTACCTGTGTCGATATCAACATCTTCTAAAGGTATTAAAAACTTCCAATTCTTTTTCCAAAGTTTATGGGCAATATAGAATGCTAAGATGACAGGTGCTGCTAAATAAGCTGAAAAGAATTCATAAGCACTTGGACTACCTCCTATTGGGAATAAAGCTATATAAAATTGGGCTATCAACATTAAAATATTTAGGAACAATCCCCAGTAAGAGCCAATTACACCAGCCGGTGATACAAATGGAAGCTCATCAGTTCCTCTGCCTTGAGCCTTTAGAGCACCTCTAAAACGAATATGACAGATACAAATAGCAGACCAAGTGAAGAAGGAAGACAGCCCTGAGATAGCAAGTAGCCAATTGAACATCTCATTTTGTTTATTGGATGCAGCAACGAAGGCAATTAAACCAAATGTTGAAGAAATGGCAATACCAACAAGGGGCCTACCTTTACGATCAATATAGGATACGATTTTTGGTAAAAACCCTTGTTCAGATAAAGCAACTAATGTTCTAGAACAACTGTAAATGGCAGAATTACCAACCGATAAAACTGAAATTAAGATAACTACATTGATGACAGATGGTAAACCGCTGATACCATGAGTAACGATTGCGATGACAAATGGAGAGGCCGATGCATCGACACTAGATGAACTTATTAAACGTGGATCATTGTATGGGACTAAGAAACCAATTAATAGTAAACATATGATGTAGAATAATAGAATTCTCCAAAAAACTTGCTTAGCAGCGCTTGGAACAGCTTTTCTGGGATTTTTTGCCTCTGAACCTGCCAAACCAATCAATTCACTACCAGCAAATGAAAATGCAGCAGTAACAAAGACGGAGCAAAAACCGTGGAACTTCTGACCTGAAGTGCTACCAACAAATGCACCAGGATTGTGCCAGTATCTGGCACCAACATATCCACCAACTGGGCCCCCGCCACATACTAATACAATACCTAATATAATAAAGCCAATTACTGCTGTAACCTTAATAATTGAAAATACAAATTCTGCCTCACCATAACCTCTGACACCAAACATGTTGATAATGACGACTACTAACCAAAAAAGAGCAACAAACCCATCAGTGTATCTGACAGGTGTCTCCCAATATGCGACGGTAATAGAGGCTGCAACGATTTCTAACGGTAGGACAACTAACCATTGTAACATATAATTGAAATTGCATGCAAAACCAAATGATTCATCTATGAATCTTGTTGCGTATGTTGTGAATCCACCTGAAACAGGAAACATGACAGCCAGTTCACCTAATGCCATTACCATTGTAAAAATCATGGTACCAGTGATACTCCAGCCGATTAATATACCTGCTGGGCCTGCAGTTCTTAAAGCTCTACCACTCCCAACAAATAAACCTGTACCAATAGCACCTCCGATAGCAATCATTTGAAGGTGTCTACTCTTCAATTTATGCTGTAAAGGTGAACGAGCAGTCTTGATTGCAATTTTTTCTAGGTCTGTTAGATTTGGATCCACTTCTTCAACTTCAACTCTTTTAAAAGAGTCTAAAAAGTTTCCCCAGGCTGATCGATGTGATGCATAGTTTGATGAATCAATTTGATTGTCAAATGATTCCAAAGATTCACTAACGATATCTTGGCCTGAAAAATCATCTCGTATGATAGTGATATTTTTTTCCTTAGATCTGTCTTCTAAGTTATACTCCTCTGGTGAACTCATCTTGGCGATATATGCTTTGAATATATCTTTGGTACAGATATAAGAATGTATAAAGTAAATTAAAATTGAATAATAACAGGGAAGAAAATAATTCAAGATTCCAAGGTTACATTTATATATTTTCGAGAGAATAGTAGAACTAATTAAATTAGATGTTATGAATATGCAAATTTATCAATTAGAAACTACAAATCCATTTTCTGACACTAATCAGGAAATAATAGTTGGGGGAGTAGATAGTAAAAAATAAAAGCAAGAATGTGGATAAAAATGCAAGCAGTAAATTGATTAAAATTATAGATAAAAATAATCAATTAATCCATCTGAAAATACTAGAGATAACTATATCTTTCTATAACCTACTTAAGGTTGGCCATTTTTAATTTTTCAAATGACCTACTAAATTATTCAAAATGTCAGAGTAGCAAAAAGTTTGAGCAAAAAGAGAACATCAAAACTTTCTCTATCTAACATCAGAAATCTAAACAAGTAAAAGGAAGTAGTGGCAAAGTGCCATACATATTTAGATGTAGTAAAATCACATGTCTGTGTATTTTGTTTCCTTTCTATCTTCCAATTGAGCACCAAAGAACAGCAATTAAATGCCGACTTCAGGAAGACATGTCTCATCCATTAAATCAATGTACGGCCATATATCATTAAACCAATGTCAGCAAACCCAAGGTATAGTTTGAAGTACATGTGGTTAGATGAAGTTTGTCTGACAACGTATGCATGTTAACTTGTAACTACTTTATCGTTGATTTCATCAAAATTATGTGATTACTTGGGTGTATCCTTGCATGAAGATTGATTAGATTCAAGTGCTTTTTTGTTAAAAAAGGTAATCACGCTTTGATTTAATGGGATGAGGTATTACAGGAGAAGATATATATGCTGTAAGCTACATGCAGTTGGTAATGATCTAGATAACAAAAAAACTAGACAGAAGCTAGAGCTCAGCCATATAATGTAATCATCTCAGCCGCAGCATTTATAAAGGATAGGCAATAAGAAATTGAGGTTATTCATGCAACACATGCAACATGCAGTCAAGACCATCTTATTATGTAGCTTTTCTCCGTTACCGGGTCATATTATCTATCCCATCGCGTAATATTGACAGAAATTCACAATCAGCTGATTTAACAACAAAATATTGCGGTATGCTGACTATCTCTCTATCAATACAACATGAAGTGATTAGGTTTTCGAAGCTGGAATAATCAAATACATCCTATCCACTTGTGGAAAAGTCGAAACGCCTTTAGATTAAGATCTAAAATCAATAGTCAAGATAGCTTTAGAAGACGAGGTACCAAAGAATCAAAAATCTCTAGATAAGGAGTTTTGTTATCGAATATCACTTTTTTTATTCGTGAAGACCTGGTTGCAGCCAAACTAATCTATTAAAGAAAGTGGTTTGGTAAAGGTTGCTGAAAATTTCTTGATCTCCTCCATTACTATTTCTGTTGCTATTCTTTGATAACAGTAGATTGATTGAAGCGATGGCTATTATTCAGATACGTGATAAAAGGTTTTGTAACATTTAACTGTTATCGATAATATCGGAACAGCAACCTTTAAAGCACAATAGATTAGTCTTTGGTTGTAGACATCTGAATAGTATAAGATCTTAAAGGAAGAGGGGTATCAGAAGTCGTTTGTTGTATGTAGCTTAATCGATTTGGCAACTTGATCGATATAGGAGGAATTTTTTCTATATTTGGTTAATGTAACTGGTAAATATATAGAGAGGGCAAGAAAACGACTATTGATAAAAACTGTCTTTGATGTGTGATGAGTTCTACCAGACAGTTCGATATTTTCGGACAGAATTAGGGAGAGTGGTTTCAAATTTTATCTTATATCTAAATCCGAGTAGACTAAAAAACATTAGTTGTTATTAGTCTTTTTGTCGATACAGTAAAATCTTGATCATTTCGTTTGATTCTGGTATTGTTTCAAGTGCTAGTACCCTTTATTTCTGTATTTATCGACTCCTATTGTTCGTTTTTATTTGATTTTGAATCTGATTGATTTTTTACAACAGGTGAAGATTAATCTTAGAACCCTTACAATTGCTTATACAGTAAAACTTCAAACCACATTAAACTTAATAATGAAATTGAAATTAAAATGTACTAGATCTATTCACCTTTTTCGAAATCCAAAACATGTACTATTGTTGCATTTCGTCAAATTTTGAATTTCACAGAATAATACCCCTACCACTTTACATTATCCAGATAATAGTCATTTCAAAAGATACCTTAATAAAAGTAAGAAGTGTTGTAAAATAAATTTTGTAATGAGAAAAAAAAATTAAAACTGTGTCCATGAAATGTGGTTGGTTAAAACGAATGAACGATTAAACTCATTAGTGAATCTTCTAATTAGTTATCTATCATCTCCAATTGCTTGATTTAGTTTCCGAGATAACCTATAATTTCTAGTTGATGACACAGTTTGGTATCTACCCTCTAGATAACAAAAAAAATGTAAGGAAAATTCAGAATTTCAAAAATATCAAGGATTTAAAATAAACATTGATTAATATAGAAATATACAAGATGTTACCATTTTTGAGAAATAAGAAATGTACAATGATCCAAAATGACGGAAAATGTGGATGTCATTCAGTGACATTTCGTTTTGATAGGAAATAGCTAAAGAAAAAAAATAGTTCCTAAGCCTATTGACAAATTTTTCTTATAAAGTTTGGTCAAGAGGTTATACCAACTAGCCACACCAGAAGACGTATACACGGTACCACCAAGGCCTCATCGCCAATGCAGCCTTCTCTTCCGCAATTTCCTGCTTTAATAAATTGATATCAGTTTCTCTTCTACCTGTGTCGATATCAATATCTTTTAAAGGTATCAAAAGCTTCCAATTTCTTTTCCAAAGTTTATGGGCAATATAGAATGCTAAGACGATAGGTGCTGCTAAATAAGCTGAAAAGAAATCATAAGCGTTTGGACTACTTCCTATTGGGAACAAAGCGTTGTAAAATTGAGCGACTAGCATGAGTACAGCCAAGCACATTCCCCAGTATGAACCAATAATGCCTACAGGAGATTTAAATGGTAATTCATCGTCACTCCTGCCATTGACCTTCAAAGCAGACCTAAATCGAATATGGCAAAAACATATACTTCCCCATGTTAAAAACGAAGAAATTCCTGATATAGCAAGTAACCAGTTAAACATCTGTTCCTTTTTATTTGAAGCGGCAACAAAGGCAATTAAACCAAACCCACTACAGATAGCAATACCAACAAGTGGTCTACCTTTACGATCGATATAGGCGACAGTTTTAGGCAAGAAGCCTTGTTCAGATAAGGCTACCAGTGTTCTAGAACAGGTATAAATGGAGGAATTTCCAACCGATAAAACGGAAATTAGGATAACTACATTGACAACGGATGGTAAACCACTGATCCCATGAGTAACAATTGCAATGACAAATGGGGAAGCGGATGCATCTACACCTGAAGAGCCTAAGAGACGTGGATCTGTGTATGGGACTAAAAGACCAACTAATAATAAACAAAGGATATAAAATAACAAAATTCTCCAGAAAACTTGTTTCGCAGCTTGTGGAACTGATTTTCTGGGATTTTTAGATTCTGCACTGGCAATCCCAACTAGTTCACTACCCGCAAAAGAAAATGCAGCAGTAACAAAAACAGAACAGAAACCTTTAAACCTTCTTCCTGGGCTATGACCAGCAAATGCTCCTGGGTCGTGCCAGTACCTTCCACCAACATATCCACCAACTGGACCACCGCCACATACCAATATGATTCCTAAAATGATGAACCCAATGACGGCGATAACTTTAATTAGGGAAAATACAAACTCTGCCTCACCATAACCTCTGACACCAAACATGTTGATAATGACGACTACTAACCAAAAAAGAGCGACAAACCCATCAGTGTATCTGACAGGTGTCTCCCAATAATCGACGGTAATAGAGGCAGCCACAATTTCCAGTGGTAATGCAACAAGCCATTGAAACATGTAATTGAAATTATTTGCAAAACCAAATGATTCATCTATGAATCTTGTTGCGTATGTTAGAAAGCCACCTGAGACAGGAAAAACGACAGCCAGTTCACCTAATGCCATTACCATTGTGAAAATCATGGTACCAGTGATACCCCAGCCGATTAATATACCTGCTGGGCCTGCAGTTCTTAAAGCTTTACCACTACCAACAAATAAACCTGTACCAATAGCACCTCCGATAGCAATCATTTGAAGGTGTCTACTCTTCAATTTATGCTGTAAAGGTGAACGAGCAGTCTTGATTGCAATTTTTTCTATGTCTGTTAGGTTTGGATCCACTTCTTCAACTTCGATCCTTTTAAAAGAATCTAAGAAGTTTCTCCATCTTGATTTATCGATAGTAGATTCTGGAGTCGTATTTGAAAGATCTTTATAGCTTAATGTTTCACTAATAACATCCTGCCCCAAGTAACAATTCTCTATAACAGCTTGCCCTTTCTCTTCTTGAGCGTCGCTCGTAATATTAGGATCCAATGTAATCATTGTAGAGATAAATGGTAAAATTCTTTGGTATTCAGCGTTTATATTATTATATTTGAAGTGTAATTCAATGGTAGAATGGTTAAAGCATTGCCATTCTTTCAAATCTTAAAACTTTTTGAAGAGAAGCATACATATTTATATATGTATTTGTTTCTTTTCTTCTTATTTAATTTAAAGATTTTGAAAAGTAATTTATAGACATCTAGGAGAGTTTATAAATGAATAAGCAGGAAATGTACAACTGTAGTTTTCTTGCAGATTTGAAAATTGAAATTTATGAGCATTACGAGTTTTTGATATGAAGCTATTCCACAAGCAGTAAAGAAAACCAAAAAAATGCTACAATTGTTTCTACTTTATTAGAAATCTAATAAACTTACATACCAACATCATTAAACTTAACAAAATTGCAATACTTTTAACCTCAAGTCTCAAATGTTGGAGCAACTTACATACTTCTTATACCAATAGAATACCAGCTAAAATTAATGTAATTTTATAAACTGTTTGGATGGTTTCAGCATCAATCTGTCGGTATAGATAAAGGCTAAAGAATATTAGCTGGAAACTCAATTGCTTCCTCTTCATAAGTAATAAAGTTTGTTATGCATTAATGCTGCATTTCTTAAATTGTAAAAACATCGATAATTGTTTTGTCATTGAATAAGAGAAATAGATAAAAGATAGCATTACTTTACAGAAAAGATCCATCCATAACTTTCTGACCTTTTAACAACTATCTATATATGCATAAATCAACCCTTGTATGAGAAATTATAATAAGCAATATCTCATCAACTTTACTGACAGAAGAAACGACTGGTATGCAATAGGTTCTTGGCGAAGGACTTTGGTCAAATGACGTCATATGAAATTTAATAGAGAATGTTAACAATGGATAGTGAATTAATATATGTATTTATGTAGTATTTTCTACAGATCATTAACACTTCTACTTCATAATCGTTGGTATAATTATTTTTCGATGATGAGGTTCGAGTGTCATATTTATGATATGTTCAAATGGTATTTTGGTGTCACTCCTTCAATTAGTTTTTGCTTGATTATTATAAACCTAATGATATTTTCGTGTGAGAGTCAAAAAACATGAAATATGTAGTAAATCTAAAAGTGGAGAAGCAAATGAAAATAGTAACAATCAAGGTTATTTAATTTCAAACATTAAAATTTGTTGATTCTTTGCCTTGTCCATCGTCTTGAGATTTAAAATTTATTTTGAATCTCTCTTTAGGATGATTAATAAAATATTGGACCAGAAATAAATTTAATTAAGTACGCGATATTTCAAAAGAACGGGGATTACAAGTTATAAATTTAATAATTGACATGCACAATAAAATTACTTTTTACTATTTCTGATGTAAGGCCATTGTTAATTTGTAGTGTAGCTTGCTTTACTTAAACTAAATACCCAAATATGATGCAAACTCTAAATGAAATCTCAACTCTAAAAAGAATAATATTTTTTTATGGTACAGGTCGAATTTGAGATCATATAGATTCAACAAACTCTTTTTTTAAACAAGGACTATTATTCCTTGGTCATCTATTTTCTCATCCGTCATTCATCTGAATATTTATAAGTTAAGCTATTAACCTAAAAGTCTAAGGTTATGTTTATTACAAGAACCGAGTGTCAAGAGTAAAGTTCAACTATTGGTTTTTTCTAATTTCGAATAGAGTAAAAACTTATTTTAACTCCATTGGTATGCAAATACCAATGGTAAATTACGGAGAACATAATATATCACACAGTTATAATTAGTACTTTTATTTAGAATGTAAATCTGTGTTACCTTTTCAAATGAGTAGAAGAGGAATTTTCCTTTTTTTTTATAATATTATTAAAAAATTCCTTTGAAATAATCATTAGTGAATAAAAAGACTCACATCATATTAACTGGAAATTTAAAAAATTGTTAGTAAATATATGTTAGAAATAATGGTTTGTAAGATGAATATTTTGCTTATGAATGAAGAGCAAGATTTCAAATTCAGAGTTATTCGATTTCCAAAAGTTTAAAGTATAAATTTTTGTTAGTGAAGGAGTGAAAGGTAGACAAGATTAATTTAAATTCAAAAATATATCTTTGTAATGGAAAGAATTTATATTAATGTGAATAATTTACTTCATGTTTTTAACTCAAGTTATTCTTTAAAATTAATTATTCTATATATTTTTAGAAGGTGTAATTTAGAAAAAATGGTTAATAATGAAATCTGAGAACTAAAAGTTAATTTCATATTTAAAGTCTTATAAATGCTATATTAATTCCGTTTAGGACAAGATGACAATTGTATTGATTACGCTTAAGTACAAAATGATAAAATAAGGACAGAGGACTTTGTCATGTTTCATGACAAGAAAGTCACTAATAGAACGCGAATACAACGTATATAAAGGACATAGTTCCTGAAGTAAAGACATACACTTCTTGCTATTAAACAGATGAAGATAGAGATCTTTATATATTTAATACTACTGTATAGTTATTATAATAGTTAATTAACCTCATAGAGCTTATAACTAGTAACCTTAAGTATTGACTTCTACGGCTTGTTTCCCTAGATAAATACTTAATACATTATAATTCAATATTCCGGATCAAACAATACACAATAATACCGGAAGATGAAATATCCTGTCTTCTTTAATAATGACGTCAGCCACTCTCGAATATGACATATGTAAAGGACATAGATCCTGAAATAAAGATATATATCTCTTGCTATTAAACCGAAGACCATAGAGATCTTTATATATTTAACACTACTGTATAATCATTATAATAGTTTGATAACCTTATAGAGCTTTTTCACTAAAAACCTTAAGTATTTATATCTATGGCTTGTATACCTAGTGTTCAAATGTTGAAGTAATATCTGATTTATTCATGTTAGTGATTTTATACAAGCCGTTTTTGTCAGAATGGTATAAGCTTTAAGCTTCAATGTAAGTAGATATACGTTAAATAGGTACGTTGACCTATTACTGAGGTCAGTGAGTGGTAACTCGCTCATCCTCTTGTAACAGAGTAGTCTATATAACATAAATAGTTTTATATATCGGAACTGAAAATTTGTTCCTTTTATATATTAGAGAAATCGATACATTCACCTTGTACGAAAAATAGCAATAGTGACTGTAGAGAATTATGTTGTGGTTTTTCTACCGTGTATTATTTGGCCTGTAATTATTATTTAATTGTATCTTTAAATTGGTATACGTTAGAATGAAGGCTGGTAGGCGTTTATTCTATAGGATCTTAAGGGTTGAGATCTGTAGGTTAAAGTAAATATACTTGTTAATAATAATAAAGTTCTATATATATTTTATGTACAAAGTAAGATACTAAATAATATACAATAATATACAATGATCTCTTTAAATATCAATGTTAATAGCATGTAACAACATTCTTGTAGTGACACATATTTCTTCACCTTCAAGGTTCGTATGAAGTAACCTCGAAGTAGTCTCGAAATAATACAGTATTACGACATTATTCATATAGGATAAAGAAATGTTACTTTACACGAAAGTGTTATTTCTGACGTTAAAACTTTTCCAACACTTTATATAAGAAATGACAAGATCTTAATTGACACTTGTCATGTTAATTATATTCCCATGTGTATATTATATACTTTAATACACTGGATCAATATCAACTTATTAAGAATGTCCTTGGAAATAAATAAAGAATCTATTACTATGAACGATTCGGTAGAAAAACCACAACATAATTCTCTACAAAAGTATTTGCTTCTGACGTGTCAATAATATCTAAACATTGTATATAAAGTCTGGTAAGATCTTAATTGACAATTATCATATGTACTATATTCCCATGTGTATATTTTATACTTTAATACACCGGATCAATATCAACTTATTAAGAATGTCCTTGCAAACAACTAAACAATCTACTATTATTAACGATTCTGTAAAGAATCCACAACATAATTCTCTACATTTGCTTATTGAATACTTCACTTCTTGGTATTATGTTATAATCACAAATCAATACATACGAACGAATTTGAATGTGTTTCTACTACCAATAACAAAAAAATAAATTTTCAACAATTAATATGGTTTCGTGGTCTAGTTGGTTATGGCATCTGCTTAACACGCAGAACGTCCCCAGTTCGATCCTGGGCGAAATCAAATTAGTTATTTTTGTCTGTCAATTTTTTATTGAAGTAATATTCTTAACTGTAAAATTCTACTTGATTATAAATAATGAAGATTGCTACGATTCTTTCCTCACAATAAATAGATTTTTCCGACTTAATCATATTGAAGTTGTGTGTTCCAGCTAAAAGTTTATGGATCTATTCTTAGCCATAGAAAAGCAAAATACATTCGATATTATGCATATTTAATTCGAAGAATTTACTTGACTGATTGAACTCCCTTCAAAACTACAGATTAACAATTATCTCTACTAAAATTTCAAGATAATGAATAAGCCTATAATATATTAATTAATGCTCCATAGCGATTTTATTTGCATATAATATAAACTATAATAAGTTACAAAGAATGTATTACGGTTAATATCATTAAATGGACAATCGAGTATTTGCATAATAATAGCCTTTAAGGACATTATAATAAAGATTCAATTCTATCAATTACCCTTTTGTCACCTTCGAAGTGTTGCCAATTTAATAACGAGAAAAAGCTTCATAAGGTAGCGCCATGATACGTGATATAAATTCTTGATATAAGTTCCAATATCCATATAAAGGACTCATGCATTGAAGTTATCTTTTACTTTGATGGAAATGTTTATAGATAGGTGAACCCATATATGTACATATATTGTCTATCATTTTTGGAATCAGATCAGTGAGTAGATATTAATATACTCAAGGTCAAGATGACTGGAACAACTCGTCCAACAGTTCATATTCTAGGCTTTGGATCTATGGGAACTGTTTTGGCCCTAGATCTATTAAGGTATACCAATGCCAATGTGATCCCTCTATTTAGGTCAAATGAGAAAGTAGAACTTTTTCAAAAAGAAGCTAATAATGTGTTTGGAATGAAAAAATTATATCTAACCGATGCTCCTTTAATAACTGCTCAAGTTGAACAATCCGAATCACCTGAGTCATTCTCCGGTGTTCATATTGATAATATTGTTATAACAACCAAAACATATCAAACTAAAGATGCATTGAAGCCATACCTTCCATATATTGATTCAAAAACCAACATGGTTTTAATTCAAAATGGCTTAGGTGTTTTAGAGTTGTTAAAAGAAGAAATCTTTTTAGATGAAAAAACAAGACCACAATTATTCCAAGGTGTTATTTCCCATGGTGTATATCAAGATGTAGGTTTTATTTATAACCATGCTGGATTTGCTGGTATGAAGTGTTCAAGATTACCTTGGGATGATACCGTTATCCAAACTAAAAGTTTTATGGAAAAGGATTTAAAAGATAATGAACTAGTCAGACTCTTTATGTCTAAGCCAATGTGTGAGGAATTTGGTATGGAATTTATGACGTACCAAGAAATGCTCTCAGGACAGCTTTTTAAATTTTTAGTTAATTCCTGCATTAACCCAGTAACTGCAACTGTCGATGCCGTTAATGGCGAAATTGGCAACTCATGCGAAGAAATATTTTCATTGATCATTGAAGAATCATTACAAATTTTGAAGGTTGTGTATAAACCATTGTTTGATTATGAATTAAATTATAATGGAAAACCAGATTATCCAACTTTAGAAATTGAATCAGTATTCAATTTGGATAATTTAGTGAAGAAGATTATTCATATCGGCTGCGTCATAAATAAAAAAAACTCAAGCTCTATGAGACAAGATACTCTATATTTACGTGACATTGAAATCGAATATATCAATGGTTATGTCGTTCGTTTAGCTGAGAAATTCAAATTAGGAGCAGACGCTGCCAAAGTGAATAAGACGGTTTCAGCTTTTGCTAAACTAAGATTAGGTTTAAACAGAACCAGAAAAGTAGAAGGTGATAAAAGATAAATTACCCTAAAATTTTTATACGACTTTTGATTAATTAATTCAAAGTAATATTATTGTTATTATAGATTTTATATAGATACATTCAAAAAACACATATATGACTAATTATTGTTCTTTATTGTTCGAAATGTCCTTAAGTTTTATTTATTTGTAATTAAGTCCCTTTCTTGGTAGATGCTATACCTTTAAGGAATTTGTTATACGATTCAGAATTTCTTCTTCCTCATCTTCATCATCCCAACTAAACTTATCATCACCATTTAGGAAATCAGATAAAAGTTGCTTCTGTTCCTCTTCATGTTGATGTTTCTTATAAATCGTCTTCTGTTCATCAATTTTTTTTTTCAATAATTCAAGCTTGGATTGTTTTGGCAATTGTTCTTTTATTTTCTTACCATTCCCTATTTCCTTATTATCCTCAATGATCAGTTTGCCGCCCCTTAAAACTATATTAGGTTTGGTTTCTTGATCTGATAATTTATCTTTACTGTTATTTTTATTCTTATTATTACCATTGCTATATTTTTTTGTCATCGATTTCTGGCCCTTTTCGTTACCTTCATCAAGAACCACTAATTTACCACCACTAAAACTAATAGAAGGTTTATCATTGTCAATAAACGAAGTAGTGTCCTTCTTCTTCTCACGATTTCCATTACGATGTCTGTTATTTAAATTGTTCTTCTTTGGTGAAACTTTTGGTACCTGTTCCTCTTCATCAGAAGAGGCATCTGCCCATTTCGACTCCAAAGGCATGATCTAGCTAGCTACTGTTATATAAAGTCCTTAATACTTTACAAGATGCACATTTAGAATATTCCAAGACCCAAAATACCTATCCAATTATCAGTATTATTAATACATCATCGTCCATGTTATAATTTACATCATAATTTCGAATTTTTTCAGTTCGAATTTCGTTAAGGGCCTGCTCTTGTTTCTTCTTTCAAGACTTTAAACTGGAAGCAAGAGTAGTAAAGACACAATGGAATAGCTAAAACAAATATTACCCAAAAAGATAGAAATCGATGTATATACTATGTTTGGATTAGATATCTATATATCAAGGTCAAAATCTTTTCGAGAAAATTCAATAGTTAATTATCCAAGGAAGATCCAAATTGTTTCAAGGTTATTTTGAAGAGAAGAGGAAATGTTGTAAAAACGTATCTTTAAGAATGTAAGCTTAAGTTGCCATTACTTAAAGTAGGTAATACTTGAGCTTATGTCGGAGTAATTTTCAGATCATTGTTGACTATATAGTTTTTTTACAAAATTGAAGGGACCAATTGACTTGATCAAGATGGTTGCTATCATTAATCAATCAGAATAGAATATACTCCCAAGTTGGTTTAATTTGTCTGTAAAAATTCCGGTAGTATCTTAGCTATAGCGAGGGATATTAACTATGTATAAAGCTAATAGAAAGAGGAAGTACTGTATCTAATTTAAGATTCAATCAGTTACTATGACTAATTTTTCAATGGCTGTATCGAGTGTATTAGATTAAATTGATGACGAAGGATAATAAACCTTTATCTTGTTTCAATTTCTTGATATTTTGGTATTTAGTAATAAAAGTATATTAATAACAGCCTTTTAGTGGGAAATAATTCAATATCACTAATAGAGTAATGAGGTTTAACCTGCCTCACTTAAAATTTATTTTATATGCTATTTCTTTGATAGAGAGGATTATAAATTGAAGGTGAACTCGTCGACTCTCATTCACTGTAATAATATTCTGCTATGAATTCCAAACCAGGTAGTGTGAATGCTGATGTTGAAAACTTGAAGCATCCTGAGATTTCTCTTCAAACAGAATTCAACTACGTAGCTTCTGGAGGGGTGGACTCTACCTCCAAAGATACTTTGTTTAACAGACTTAAAGACCAATATTGGGAACCAAATGCTGGGATATTTCTATTAATTGTGTCTTATTTCTTTAATTCAGTGATGCAAGTATCAACAAAAGTTTTGGAGACTTTTGGAGATAAACCAGATGAAGACAGAATTAAACCTTTACAAATTCTATTGATTAGAATGGTTATTACTTCAATTGGAATAATAGTTTACGTATATATGAATAGAAGAACTATACCTTATGTGCCGTTTGGTAATCCACAAGTAAGACAATGGCTAATTTTGAGGGGTATATTTGGGTTTATTGGTGTCTTTGGTATGTACTTTTCGTTAATGTATTTAACTATAAGTGATGCTGTTCTAATTTCATTTATGGCTCCAAGTTTTACACTATTTTTGGCATGGTTTGTTCTAGGTGAACCATTTTCTAAATTAGAAGGTGTTGGGTCAATTCTGTCACTTACTGGGGTACTATTTATTGTAAGGCCATCATTCATATTTGGTGGCTCTATCGAAAATGAGAAAAGTCATGATTTATCTATAGCAACAGGAAGAACAAGATTTATTGCGACAACTATTGCATTGTTTGGAGCAGCTTCATTAAGTGGTGTTTACATTGTGATACGATTCATCGGAGCTAAAGCTCATGCCATTATGAATGTCAGCTATTTTTCAGTAGTTACAGGTATTGTCTCATTACTTGGTGTACTTTTTATCCCATCCATGAAATTTCAAGTTCCTGAAGGTTCCACTGAATGGATCTTATTCTGTACAATTGGCGTATGTGGATTTATTCACCAATTACTATTGACAATGGGTATTCAAAAAGTTAGGGCAGGTAAGGGATCTTTGATGTCATATACGCAAGTGATATATGCAATTTTTTGGGATGTGACCCTTTGGGGAAGGTGGCCAAATGCATGGTCTATATTTGGCATGTTTTTAATTATAGGTAGTACAATTTGGGTTATTAGATTAAAGGAACAGGAAGTGAGTAGACAAAGTACTGTCCTTATAGAGGAAGAGCCATTAGAATCTCTTGAGCTACAAAATAAAGGGAATCTAGTTTAATTATATGCCAAAAAAAAAATAAAGACATGGTAAAATACATAAAAATGGATCAGGACAAAGCGTTCAAGACTGATAAAACAAACTGGTAAAATAATATAAAATAATATAAAATAATATTAGAATAAAAAAGTATAAATAAATATTTATAAATATAAAATATTAAATTAAAACAGTAGAAAATACGAAATAAAAATATACATTCTAGTATAATTATCAAAACACAACCCACCCTGGGTATATGTATGGCTCAGATATAATAGTCCAATTGAATTAAATCAACAAAGCAACAACACCAGCAACCATAGCAGCACCAACAGCACCGCTCTTTTCGTTCAATAGTGGGCCAGCAACACCGTTTTTAGAGGTAGCACTGGAAGTGTCATTAGCAGCTTGGACAATACCAACGACAGCTAAGGCAGACAATAAAACTTTTGAGAATTGCATTGTAGTTATTATATTATTATATTAAAGTTGTAGGTTTTTATTAAAATTAATAAATGTGTTCTTACTTCTAAGGATATCCTTTAGTTGAATAGCTTTCGATGTATGGTATTTTATATTTCGAATTAAGAAGTACGAATTAGAGATAAAAAAAGAACAAAAATAAATAACCTTATAAACTATCTAAAAAGATAAGTTTGGTTTATAATTGGAAATTGGTCTCCATATTTCAAGTGTTTATATATGACTAGTTTCGATTTTCTTAAAACTAATTAAAATTTAAAATTTGCTAATTATTTGAAAATTCACTACCAGAAGTCCCCTTTTCTCTCCTGATTAATTGCAACTACTGATTGAATTCTACAAGCTTTAAGCCTCTGGAATTAAGTATTTAGCCTCCCATGATTTAGTCTATTTTCTGAGTCATGCCCTAGGGATTTAAAAGGGATATAGATAATTGAACATTTTTTACACATCAGCAATGCATTTAACAGTATTCAATCTACAACAAACACTCAGAGACATACACAGACACACTTTAAAAATTGTATTGCAGTGAATAGAATTGGATAGAATAGAACACTATACCCTATCCCAAATTAACAACGAAAAACCGTTAAACTTCATCATCGTCATTATCACCACAACTATTAGCACAGGTTCTTAACATCAACTCTCAACTTATTCGAATCGAATATTATACAACTCAACCAGTCGAAAGCAAGTGGCAGTGGGAGAACAAATGTAGCAAGATAGAAGGAAAGAGAAGACGACGACCAGTAGGTTTGCGCAAAACATAAAAGCAAAAATAGTAAACATACTCAATAAATGAATATTTATTGTCTTCGAAGCAGTTGTTCGTTCAGTCCATCCCATCCCATAAACTTTTACAGATTGGTCACAGCAATTCTCTTACTATCCTATCTCATCCAACCATTAAAGTCCAATAGCTCACTGTAACTCACAAGTCAAGAGAAGAGAGCAAACAAGTAAACACCTAAGAGCAAAAGTCATATAGCTAAAGAAACATTTTATTTAATTCAAGCAAATTCAACAGCAACAAGACTCAGTCTCCACTGAGGGAAGTCTGGATGATTTTACTAAAGGATCGATTAGCGTAGCATGGTTTTGGACTGAGTTCCACTAGAAGTAGTAGTTTTGTTCGAATATAGAGGTCAATATAGTATAGAGTAACCTAAACCACGAACCCATAGATTGATATGGATAGACTTCTGACAGTAGCTTCTTGCTCTTTAACCACTTCATCAGTCTAATAATTCAGAATTACTCTTGCAAACAGTAATCGTTGAAGTGGCGTGGTGTTTCGATAATATTCGCCAGTATTCTTCACTGGAAATGGACTATCAATTGGTACAGATTACAACAAGAGTACTTGTTAGAGGGGTTGGGGGTGCTGAAGAGATAGAGAGGAAGGTGGAATGAGTTGAGATGGGATATCACACAATATGTTTATTTATGTTACGAATGTCAAGGTATGTACCATTTCAATCCACTGCATAATTCATTATAAGAGCAACAAATGATACAGCAACAACGACAACAACAGCAGTCAAATTAAATTGTATGTTGCGGATGTAGGACAATTTTTCAATACTAAATATACATGCAATAGATGAATATAGTTCTATACATCAATCGTAGAGATGAGTACGTTCTTGAAATACTTCAACAGTCTTGAGTATGAGTAGAGTTTCATTGGGATGCTGTTTTGCTATTCTTCTGAACTGGGTCTTCTTGATGTGGAAAATAATATTCGAGGATGGGGGGCTGGAGAGGGGGAGGTACGTAGTGCATATACATATAATAAGTATGAAGGGAATAGGGAGTGGACCAAGGTAGAGAAAGAGACAGTATATGAAAGTGACTGGCTAATGTTGCAAGATTGCATGAATAATGTGTATTTCAATATTAATTGGACTTTATAATGCCTCTAAGTTACTGAATCAAAAAAAAGATGAGGGGAGGGGAGGTAAGAGAAGTGAAGTAAATACTGGTAATAGTATTGATTGGAAATGGCCGCAACTTTTTATCATTTTATAACTTATATCCCAAGTGTCTGATGAAGCCATGTATCGGCTTCTAATTATACTGTATTCAACTTAAATATCATTACTATAAACCTTTCTTAACTTTGACGAGCTTGATGGATTGTAGTTAATGGAGAATATCGAAATCAGAAAGGTAAGGAAACGCCATATCTGTCTGAGGATTATCTCGATCCAGCTTCCCAAGGTTTATACCTCAAAAATCATTATAATATGGATTAAAGAATTCAAGTTTGAAGTAACAAGAGCATATCATTATACCAAATGAAGGGGAGAGGAAGTGGGAGAGAATACTCAAAACAGTCAGGTCCATTCATACACATAAATACACATATATAGAGAGAGATAGAGAATCTATCTAATTAGAAATTTGTCTTATCATGTATGTATATTTGAATTGTTTTTTTTTGTGATGAAATAATACTTATGTAAACTAATTAATAGGTTAGTTATGTGTTAATTTTATGAAAAGCAGGATCTTGTTACTTTTATTAATTCGTTTGATTAATGCCACCATTGTGACATAGCCAACTTTCTTGATGTTTCTTAAACAGACGAGTTTTTAATTCTGAATTCATAACACTTCTCTTTTCTCTGTCTGTGTTTGCTTTAATGTATGAAGTGCTTATTTTAAGTCAACAGTTGAGGTAAAAAAAAAAAAGGGAAGTGACAACTAAACAAACTAAGAAATCAATACGATATATCCAAGGAATTTCTTTAGTTTGTTTTTGTATAGCACAAGTAGATTAATTGATAATCGTCGAAATCATAGATGATTTTATCTTTTCTTTTATAACCGTTGAATTTTTTTAAGTCAAAGAAACTAATTTCTCTTTCATTAGTCTTATAGAAGAATGTAATACAAAATTCATGCGGATCGAATACTTGTAATACATTAGTTGCAACTTCGTCATTGTTATCATAAGGAACATTACTTTCAAAAGATGCATATGACCAGCCATTTTCTGGAGTCACATGTAGTGTATAATAAAATTCATTATCAATGACGATATTGCTGGAGTAACCACATGGCTCGAATGTGAAAGCGTCTTCTATCATTACATTTTCACTATTTTCCAAAATTGCTTCACGATTTTCATAGATTTTATCAATTCTAGTTGCTTTTGTCATTTTAGCACCAAAAATATGTCCATCTAGATTTTGATCATCCGGATATTCTTTACGATGGAATTTATTTGCCTGTTCTACACCTAAACCTGTCATTAAGATTTCAATTGTTTCATCTTCATGTTCAACTGAAGCAATATTCTTTAAACCCAATGAGTGGTTTGTTTCAGTAATATATAAATTCCAATGATTTTGTAAAGAATCGTTTTGACCAACCAAATAACTTCTACCATTTAAAAAAAATTGGTTTAAATATGCAATTTCAGCAGACCATTTTTTATGAATAGAAATTTGTCTATCAGGAAATAAAAATGAACGTCTTGAATAAAATACTTTATAAGGATTATAGATTTCTTTGCCATCTGAAGTGATCTGCTTAAAATTCCATTGGAATTCATTTGAAACAATTTCAAATAATTTTGGTAAACAAAATAAAGTAGTTGTAGTACCACATGTCTTCAAAGTAATACGATGGTCATATATAAACATCGAAGATTCACTTAATAATAATGCAACCATTTTATCTGTTCTCTTCATACTTAGTACTTCACATTTGACTAATTTCAACAACTCAACCCATGTTTCTAGACCTGCAGATAACAAACTTTTATTATTTGGGATGGAATTCTTTGTAGGATAAAACCAAATCTCTAACAACTTTTCGGTACCTTCAAAGGCATCAGCGTCTGATCCAGCACCATTTAAATTTAAACTCATAATATTCTGATCTAAAGTCTTAGCATCATTATTAACCACTGCTGCTTCCATATCGACTGTCATATTATTATATTCCTGATCTTAGCGACTAGAATCATGCAAAAAAAAACGAGAGAGAACAAACCAAAAAAATTGACTAGTACGCACACACAAGGAACTAAACCACTTAACTAGAGAACTGATCTGGTATTTACAGGGCTACTATGGCCTCCATTATAACGTATCTTAGCAATTATTTCGAGATGAGATGAGCTTAAATATCTGAAAATTTTTATACAATTTTTCAATTTTTTCATGCATCCCAATCAAAATTTCAGATGGCGATGACAATACAAAAAAAAGGTAACTACCTAGCAACCACGACAGTGACAGGAGTTGACAGATCTTGACCGATAGAGGTCTTAAGTTGGTGGAGGGGGGAGATGAGTTATTTGGAACACTTGTGTGTTGTGTGAACGAGTACTGCATTATTTCAAGAAAAATGGGGAGAGATCAACAGCTTTCAGTGAGAGGTTCAAGACCTTAGGATGTCTTGATCGATGGTGCTTATATTCTGAAACAGCAGTTAGCATTAACATGCTGGCATGGGATTTTATAGCAACGAATTATTTAGATAGAAGACTATTGGATTTAGACTTTTCATAATTGTCTCCGTGATGATCTGATTTCTCGTCTAGTCATTTTTGGAACGCACCAACTATGGATCTTTTAATAGATGGATTGTTGCTTTAATAATTAACTCATGATTCAGGGTAGGTCATACCAATTAGAAAAGAACAGTTTTCTAAAAGTATGATCAAATTCAGATTGTAAGCTGCTGGCAAGGTTCGTGTCTCTACGTTACCAAGTTCATATAAAATCTTGACGGTTGGGATAAGCACAATGGCATGAATGTTGGTCTGACTGGAATTAACTGTCTTCGATGGATGTATTCCCTGATATGTAACTGAAAATATTGATAACATTGACAGACTATTACAATGTTGCTCAGAATTTCATATTCAATTATAAACTATATGCCTCGGTGTTGTAGCAGGATATTTTTGGAATTAGATGCGGTTCTGTCAGCGGAAAATTCTAATGTGTGATATATCTTAGCTGAACTTGTCAACATTGGCAATTAGAACTATAAATGTTGGCCCTAACTATTACTTCTGTGTCGTTTAAATCATTCTGATTGTTCATAATCACCAATGTATGTGTATATCATCATGTACGGTATGAGAATATAGCGTAGGAATTTTTATCAAACTTCTGTTTAAAACTATCACCATTTCCAGGTAATTTCAAGATAAAACATCCGCGATAGTTTAATGGTTAGAATGGGCGCTTGTCGCGTGCCAGATCGGGGTTCAATTCCCCGTCGCGGAGATTTTCTTTTTTGTTTCTTGTCTTTTTAGGTTCATCTGTTCAGCTCAGTTCAATTCCCCTGTTTATTATGAGTATTTTATTATTTTGCATTGCCATTTGCTTGTGTTAGCTCTGAGAGCGGATGACATAAAAGACAACACAACAAATGAACAATACTCTTCAAGAATCCTCTACCTCCTTCCCAAACACAATTGCCTTATTTGTATGTGTGTGTGTGTGTGTGTCTCTAAAACCAGTTCGAAAGGGTTCCTAGTTTCATAATAGGTACAAGAAAATCACGTGACCAGAACACACACGTTAACTTTGTCGTTTCTTTTCTGTTTTTCCTGTCTTCTTCCTTCCCATCGTCGGGTTTTGGCGTAGTCTGGGGCGCGGTCTGAGCGAACTGTAAAATTTACCAATTTTTTGTTCAGATGCTCTCTGATATCAAAAAACAATTTGAATAAAAATTTGAAATTGAAAAAGTTTAACAGTTACTATAATTATGATTATAAGACATTGAAAGGTTGAATCGGTACTAAGGATTGGAACTAAGGCCAACATTTACTTTCAATTGAAGTGTTGTTGTGAGGTGGTTGAGTTTTTAATTGATTTCTTATAGACTAGAACTCATCGCTTTGCGAAATTTTAAAGGTTTTCGATTTTTGATTGAACCTATAAAACTTTTTTATATTTATTAACTTTTTTTAAATATCTGTCAACATATACAACATGAAGTGGGATTCGAAACTCTTTGAATCTCTTTACTACTCTATTGAAAGTGAGAACTTCAATGAAACTATTTTTAACGATGTTTTGGAAGATTTACAGTCTTTGAATTTGAATAAAGACCTTTCAAAGAATAGTTCCAGCAGATCTCAATTAGAGAAAGGTGAAGTTATATTATCTGATGGGAACAAATACAAATTAAATCAAGAGTTTATTATAGCCGTAGTGACATTAGCAGACGATTTGAATTTAGACGAATTGGTTGTTTGCGAGCTGATTTTAAATTCGATCCAAGATGTTGATACCGATCTAAAGAATTCCTTTGACACCATTACTTTAATAAATAAAGGTAAAATTCAATACTTTTTAAGAAGACAATATATTTTACAAATCGTTAATTACATTGTGAATTGTTTACCTCCCGACAGCGATATCTTTAAAAAATTATTTAATGACAAAAACATCTTCAGTAAAACGATACTAGATTCATTTTCATTCATTCACCAACAATTATCAGATATTAAACAATCTATAAGTAAAGCACAGATTCTAGACAATAGTGAAAATGTGGTTTTTAAACATAATATAAAATTCAAACGTGATTTCCTATTAAAAGAATACGACATTTTAAGTCAAATATTATTTGGTACTATCAGCAAGAAATTTTTATTGACAAAAGATTTTATTTTGAAGTTATTATCCCATGTTTCTTCTCTGGAATCAAATGATTTCTTTATAGTATATTATTTGTCATCGTTCTTTAACATCTTCATCAACTTGAATGAATTACCAGAAAATGATGTTAAAGAATTGCATAAACTATTTACAAATGATTTGAAGAATGATCAGAATATTTATAAAAAACCAATAAAAGTCACATTAATTTTTGTGTTTTTAGCATTTTTCATAAGTTGGTGTAAAATAAATCCTGCAACAAGAGCAAAAGTCATGAATTTCCAAACTATGGTAGATGAACCAATGTCATTAGCAGTCGAGTTAGGAGCAATTGAACAATTGTTAATCATAACTGCAGATACTTCAACTGCATCTAGACAGGGTGCTATGGACATATATTACGATGTCAGATCCCTATTAGAAAGACACATCCCAAGATTGATACCAATACAATTAGTCGATTTTAATCAACAAATTTCATCTGAATTACATCCTTCTTTAAAGGAAATCTCCCTTTCAGAACAATCAGAACATTTCTTTTTAATATCTTCACATACTGTTTTACAGACGATAATAGGTGATTGTGCATTTTTATTGACAAAGATAAAAGATGCAGAAGAAGACTCCTTACTATCAGGTGAAGACTTAAACTTAGATGATATTTCAGTGAAAGCGGATCTAGAAAGATTTTTCTTAACAATATACTTCTTTTACCACTCAAGACCAGATTTTTCACATTATTTCTGGTCAGATAAAGAATCAAATGCGTATGGTTTTATTGAATGGGCCGCGAAATGTACAGATAGCTTAATGAGATCTTGTTTTTATCTAATGATTTCAAGTTTATCACAGGGATTAGACAATTCATTAAATGTCTTCCACTATTTCAACAACGGTAATAATGTCTCATGGAGTATTATTTCACAATGCATTAGCGATTATATTGTAAAAATAAATAATTTAGGCAATGTCGTTACACAACGTCAACAACATCAGGAAACTGAAGAAATAGACACTACTGCAGTAGCCTTGGAAGAGGGATTGAATGAGGAAACAATTATATTCCTTTCATCATTGTTGACATTAATTGGTTCTGTGGCATCTGAGACAAATGAGGAAGTCAAAGAGAGACTTAATACCCTTTTCTCAGACATTTTATTTGAATTTTCCAAGGTTGATACACCTTTGGTTGGTGCATGTTTTAAAACACTGTCATATTTGGTACCGAAATCCGAATCTCAGAGGACCAAGTTCTGGACTACTATGGACACTTTATTCTTCAAATCATACTCTCTCACATCAAGTTCCGATTCATATAGAAATGCTTTCACTTCTTTTTTAACAAATTATTCAGAAGTTATCGGATTTCTGGAATTATTTAAACAATTAACTGAAATACAAGCGACAGAGGAACACAGTAACTTTTTGACATTTGGAAAACTTACTTTCCCAGTGAAATTAGGTCAAGGTTATAGGAACATAGGTGTATGGCCCTACTTTGAATATATATTAAATGAAGTGTTTGTTAATTCTGGTAAGATGTCCTCTGCAGACAAAAGGAGACAAGTTCAATTATTAATTTTGGAAATTATTGAAAATGCCTTATATTCTTTCAATTATTCTGTGATTTTAAATTCTGTTACTGTTGGTGCAAATTTGGATACATTAGTTGACACACAAGACTTTTATTCATACGTTCAAGAATCATCAGCAGTTTCTGTATTTAATTACTTATTTACCGAAAAGGTTTACGCCTGTATGTTTGATCTATTATCTATTGGTGTTGACCATCTTTCAATTGATTTAGAGGGTGGAAAAGAGCAATTATTGTTGTTAGAACATTCTGTTTCTATTATTAATATTATTCTTGAATATCAAGATTCTTACATCGAAGAATTGTCTCCAATAATTTTGAAGAATCTGAAATCAAATTATTTCATTCCGAAAGAATTTGGTTTACATGGCTTAAGATCATTTTACGATGCTATATTTTTCAATATTTCAATTATCGCCCATTTAGGTCTTTATATTGGACTGGATACATATTCTATTGCTAAAAATTCTCTGCAAATACTAAAAAGAATTTCTATTCGTTCGACTAATGAAAGCTTATCCAGTTCCAGGAAAAATAAGTTATTAACAATATTCGATTCAGTGGACGAATCTTCAAGGATAAAAGAAGCATTCATTACCCAAATTGAAAAACCTATTGATTCCTCTGAAAACTTATCTTTAAAATTCGATATTTTAGAATTCATCTCATCAACCTTATCTTTATCTAATCCTAAACCAACTATCGCACATCAGTTATTAGGATTTCAAGTTACCAATGTAATATCTCTGGGTCCAATACTATCGACTTTTATTGGTTCTGATGTTTCATTGTTCAAATCATTGATTAACTTACTTAAATCTTCTGTTACAGTGATTTCTCGTGGTGCTATTGACTATCCTCCAATGCGTCTAGCGTCAAATGCTTTGGAAATATTATTAAAATTATGTAAAAATCCAGTTACATCAAATTTAATTTTGGATTACATGACAAATGCAAATGTCTACGAAGTGTTAATGAATTTAGACCCACAAGTTAACAAATATACCTTGTGGAATGGTCGGATTTTCGATGATAATTCTTCCTCTGATTGCAAAGAGTTTTTTCAAACTGAGTCAATTGGTGCACTTTTGTCATTTTTGAGCTACAGAGGTTTTTTGTTACAGTATTTGAGTCTCACTATCCATAGATTGTCATTCAATGGTTTGAAATCACAAATTTCCTCATTTATAAAAAGTCTAATTTCAAATACAATGTATTCTGCAGGTATATTTTCTTTCCTTGATACCTCGGATTTTGGCAATATACATAGGAATCATTTTACTCCAAGTCAGTTGGATTATTTGAACAAATTGGTGATAAATTTAGATAAAATTAAGTTGAATAATACCATTAGTGGAAATATATATGACTTTTCGGATCTAGAACCGTTGCTAAATTTGGCATGTAAAACTAAATCATCGACATCAACTGCTATTACTTTGTTACCAAACAATAATTCATCTTCACAAAAAGATATACTTGTTAAGGAATCATTAATAATTAAGCAGAATATTTCAAATCATTTAAGCCATACAACCTTTATGAATTTACAATTATCAATTGTGCATTCATGGGTCCAACTAGTTCAAATTATTGTTACTGATGGTAATTTATCGCCATTAGTTCGTTCTAACTTTATTCTAGAAGTCTTTGGAACTGTCATTCCAAAGATAAACGATTATGTCGAATTTGACATTGCTTATTCGGAAGAACTAGTTTCATTGGCTGTATTTTTGTATGATATTTACCGAAAGGATAGACTAATCATTGATAAATCATCTCAATCAGACCCAAGGTTATACGATCTTTTTAAGGCATGTGTTCATGGTATCAATTCTTCAATTACATCTATCGGATTAAGATCAGACTTCTACGTACTAGCCAACAATTATTTGGTTAGCATCCTAAAAGATGAAAGTCAGTCAAGAGAGGTTCTACAGGATTTGAAAATGAATAGTAATAAATTAGTCGATATAATTTGCAATGATGCAATTTTTGGAGAGGGTACCAATAGAATTACTGGTATTTTATTACTTGATTCCTTAGTGCAATTGGCAAATTATAATAAAGAAAATTTTGTTCTGGAAACATTGACCAAAGGTACACATTTATTATTAATTATACGCTCTCTAAAGAATATAAACTCTATGTTAGAAAATTCTAATACTGATTTGGACCTAGATACATTGCTATATGAATTAACCGCATTGAAAACAACTGTTTATTTTGTAATTCGTGTTGCTGAAACCAGAAACGGTGCACAAGCACTTGTACAAAACAAACTTTTCACTGTGATTGAGGAATGTACATTTTTGGAACTCGATCCTGATTTAGGCCTTGAATTAGTATTTGACGAATCGCAAGGAAAGCATTCAAATATTATCCGTGTGAGCGTAAGTTTAGATAATCCACTAGATTTAGGAACATCTTCTAACGGTATTTCCTTATTTGAGTTTACAGTTCCAATTTTTCAATTAATGTTAGCTGTACTATTGAGTATGGGAAGTTCGAATAAAGTAGTCATTCAAAAAGTAAGAAATTTGTTAATAAAATTTAAGAGACTTTCATTGGGGGTTCTGAAAAGAGATGCCCTAAGAGAATCGAAAGAAAGTTACCATATCGGTGGTTCAAGTTTGGAGGGTCTGCAACAAATGGTTAAACTAATAGTAACTCTAAGCACATTAACCCGCTATACTGGAGAAGATAAAATTACTGTCCATCAACTATCGAATTAGTATTGCAGCTAATACTAGACATCTATAGATATGAAAGCTTTTAGCGGGTATATATGATTTTATAGGTTATGAATTCAATAAATAAAATGATTAGACTGGTATTACAAAACAATACTATTATATTATTATTATTATTATATATATAGTTATATATTTATATATATCATTGACCCAAGTGTTTTAATTTGGATTCCAATGAGGTTGAGTTTGTATCCAATGATTTCAATGCATCTAGATGTGTATTCAATAGCTTTACAAGTTGTGCACTTTCATCTTTACTATTCAGGTTCAAACTAGTGGCTTTGTTAAAGGTATTACTTACTTCGTTAATTTCATCAATTAATGATGATAAATTCGAAGATAAAGCGTTTAAATTGGCATCTAATGTTTCTGCTGTTTCGTACGCTTGTTGTCTCTTTTGGTCATTATTATTAGCAGCACTTCCAGAATTTGCTGAAAGGATCTCTGATAGTAATGTTTCAGTTTTCTTTTCATAATTGTTTAAGAATGTTTCCAATTCATCTTGCTGTCTCTCTATATATTGAAGTGACTGATCAATCTTATTTTGAGTCTGTTCCGCTACTAGAGTATCTGAATATAATTTACTGATCAATCCACCACCTTTTACTAATGTTTCATCCCATTGATTAATTTTATTCGAATATTCATTGAAGTGAGTAGCCGCTCCCGATAGCTGTTCTGTCCATTTAGTAATTAAATCATCCAAGGTTTTGTTATCTAAAGATATTGGCTTGATTTCGACCTCTTTAGAGTTCAATGTCTGGCTGCTGGCCACATTGGAACTTGCTGTTCCTGAAGGGGTTGCTTTCGAGGTGTCAGCTTTCTTCTCATCAGTTTTAGTTGTTCCACCCAATGAAAATCCTGGACCAGTAGTAGTAGTAGTAGAAGTAGTGGTTGAAGTTTCATCCTTAGTACTAGTTGATGGTGTGCCACTTCCAAACGAAAAGCCTGTAGAAGATGATTTACTGTCAGCAGTTTTATCAGATGGTTTGCTGCTAAATTGAAAGGCAGCAGCAGGCTTGGTATCATCTTTGGTGTCATTTGGTTTTTCCTTTTTAGAATCAATATCGTCCTTTTTACCACCAAATGAAAAAGCTGGTTTACTGTCATCCTTCTTGGCATCCGAGCCATCGTTTTTAGCACCGAAAGAAAAAGTTGGTTTCGTTTCTTCCTTTCTATCTCCTCCAAGGGAAAATTCACCAATTTTCGAATCATTTTTTTTATCCATATTTAGTGAAAAGGATGGCTTCTTGGCGTCATTATCCTTTGCAGTTCCCATTAACAATGAGCTCTTTGCTTCATTATCTGGCTTAGAAGATTCTTCCTTTTTGGATGTTAGTCCAAATGAAAAATCAGTTGCAGGTTTAGATACCTGTTCTGTAGTCGATCCGAATGAAATGCCAGCGGGTGGTTTTTTATCATCCTTTGAAGAATTATTTCCACCGAAATTAAAACCAATTGAAGCGGCAGCTGCTGGTTTTGTGGAAGCGTTGGTATTCGAATTTAAGCCGAATAACGGAGTTGGATTTTCTGTAGAATCTTTCTTATTTTCACTATTACCAGTTGAAGCAGATGAGGAACCAAACAATGAGCTTGGTTTTGGGTTTGCTGAACCAGAGAATAAGCTGGGCTTTGTAGATTCAGTCTTTCCATCTGCCTGTGTAGAAGGTTTGGTGGCACCAAATGCAAAAGGTTGAGTCCCTGTACTATTATTAGTTCCACTTAGTGAAAATGATGGGGTCGCGCCTGTAGGTTTAGAATCATCTTTCTTCTCAGCTGTACCTGAAGTACTTCCAAATCCACCAAATGTAGGTTTCGTTTGGACATTGTTTCCAGTTCCAGAGAAATTGAATGCTGGTTTATTATCTGTAGTGGCACTGGTAGTAGCAGTTGAACCTGCATTAGCATTTGGCTTTGGAATGGTAAATCCAATTGCCGGTTTCGAACTGTCATTACTTTCGGTGGTTGTAGTGGAAGGTTTGGTGCCAAAACCAAATGGAGAAGTTGATGGAGCATTAGATGATGTATTTAATATAGAAGTAGCTGGTGCATTAGTTGAGGTACCAAAAGCAGAAGCACCTGGTGTATTAGTTGAAGCGCCAAAAGCAGAAGCACCTGGTGTATTAGTTGAGGTACCGAAAGCAGAAGCACTTGGTGCAGCTCCTGTAGATCCAAATGCTGATGGGGTTGATCCGAATGCAGATGGTGTTGAACCAAATGCTGATGAAGTTGATCCAAAATTTAAATTTGGCTTAGCAGCAGTGGATTGTGCATTTGCACTTGGATTTGAAGCGCCAAATGCAGTGGAATTAGTACCACCTGTAGCTCCTGTTGTTCCTGGAGTTTGGCCAAATGAAAAAGCACTATTGTTCGTGCCTGCAGTTGCCGTATTGGCTGAGAAGTTGAAAGCTGGCTTGCTATTAGTTGATGTATTATTAGAAGATGAACCAAAGCCTCCAAAAGGTTTTGAAGATTGATTATCTGTTGCGGCACCGGTTGGGGCACCACCTAAATTAAACATTGGTGTCTTGTTTGGTGTATTAAAACTCACTGTAAAGAAATCATACAAAATTATGGAGGAAAAACTCCAAAAGGTATGGAAAAGAGATGTTAGTAATATGTCTAATATTATGAGGTCTCGATGTCATAAACAATTGTTTTAATCAAATAAGTATCGTGAAGGCAATTGAGAAATTATTTAATAAAAGTTCGTTAATTTCTTCCCATTGATTCCTATAAGATCAAAAAAAAAAGTCAGTTGACCTTCAACTTAACTGAAGGTTTCAATATTATTACATACTGATTAGTGGGTGCTTATGGTCATTAATACTAGCAGAGTAAACTCCAATGCTTTAGTTCAAATACCCATCTCGTCTTAATATTAAACTAGTTCATTTATCATTCATATTCTTATAATTTTTCCTGTTATGTTTGACAGAATTTTAAAGCGGCCGGGTAAATAATATATCGACAGAAAATGAAGGATGTATTTAAACCCCATAGTGACAAGCCAATATGGAGCTTATCTTAGAACGAATCATCAATAATTATAATGATTGTTCTATAATTTGGGGGATATATATATAAATTAATCAGCTAAAATATTCTTGTTTGGATTTTTCATTCATTTCATCAATAATAACGTCAAATTTTTCTCAAGAAATATATATATATATATATATATATGAGATATGAGATATGATATATGTGCATCGTTTTCATTACGATTTATTGATTACAGCCTTTTGGATACTATCCAAAACTTGATCATATGCTGCATCAATTTCTTTTGTGCCATTCGAGTCACCAGTACTAGTTTGAGCTTCATTGGAAGAATTCCTTGAATCGTTAGAACTTTCGACTTTTGGCACATCGTGTTGAGGTGTTCCATTAATATTTTCATAACTATTAGAAACATATTTATCTGTAGGCTTTTCAGGACTACCATTGATTATATCAGCTGTGCTAGAGCCTTTCTTTTTAAATATATTATGCAAATGATACCCCTTCTTATGCAATTCGTCAATTATATTCACGACATTCGAAATATCGTTCTTTAGTAATAAATCTTTGATTTTATCACTATCAAGACCATCGATGGAACTGTCAGCACTAACAGAATTTATATCTTTTTCATATTCGGAATCTAAATGAGATCTCAATTGAATACTTTTCTTGAAGACACTTCCTTCTTCACGAATTTGATTTGTAACTTGCTGAGATGTAACTTTACAATCATTATTAAATTGAATTATGTCAGATTCATTTGGACTAAATTCTTCGACCTCCGTTTTCCCAAATGGCAAAAGCACTGAATGATTAACTTTCCCATAATTCAAAGTTGAATTGTTATTTGATGCGGCTAGAGTTATCTCGGGTTCTGATTTAATCAATCCAGGAGAATTCATTAGTCCAGATGAGATACTTTCAGATAAGAAATTTGGCATTGGAACAGCTGGCTTTGAATCCCCTTTAACTTCTACGTTTTTATTTTTCAATAGTCTGATACCCTTTTCGAAGCACGCGTCAATGAAGCACAGCCTGATTAATGTTTCTTTACCTTCTGTGTTTAATTGACCTGAAACTCTAAGGTCGAATAAATCTTCAATCACCTTTCTAATTTTTAAACGAGATACAGTAAGCTTTTCAATAAAGTCCCGTACTTGTTTTTCATAGACAGTTTTATCTTGTTCACTTTCAGTTAATAGTCTCGATAGTTCCTCTTGTAAATTCATGAACTGATCCTTCTTAGTAGAACCTCCTTTAACTTTCATCAATTCGTTTTGAACATTTCTCATTGTATATAAAGATAGCTCATTTTTAATTTCGTCTGGAATATTCTCATAATTAATATCCAAAGTAATCAATGAAGTGCTTTTCTTGACAGCTTCACCAAATGCTTTGTAAGTAGATTGGTCAAACTCTGCACCTAACATTGATAAATAGTTTAATGAAGAGCATAGTGGTAGGATCTCCGCTAACATAATAATTTCAGATGGTTTCAAATCTTCATAATCCAAATGTAATCTTACCAGGCTTACAAAAACAGGTAAACAGTTAATTAGAGTTCTCATACAATAAGGAAACATTTTTGGATTATTTGATATATCTAGAAATTTCAGATTTTCGGAATAACATAATACACTAATTAATTTTAAGGCCTCATTATTATCACTAGTTTCCCCCTTGCTGACCTCTAAATTTGTTCCATTCAGAGATATAAAATTTAAAGCATTATTAGCGCCCTTATTTTTAATTTTCATTAAAATTGCTTCAGAGAAAGAGCTCAATTTTCCTCTTAAATCGTTAAAACCAACATCTAAACCTGTCACATTTGATTGGACTAACCACTTAGACAAAGCCTGGCAATGTTCTTTAGAAAGATTGTTATATGCTAATCCAAATCTTTCAGTAGCCATACAAGCAACTTCAATAAAATTCTTAAATTGATCTAACGACATTTGTGCACCAGAGATAATAATTTCTTCCAGACCACCTTTAGTTGCGATTGAGACTGTTAGTAAATCCCAATTCATCTCTGTACGATTACTTGGATTATATTCCATTCTTGAAGTTGATGGCTTTGTAGGAGCCTTTGTCAATTTTTGGACATTTGTCTTCAGAGTTGGAACCATTGTTAAATCAATAGCATTCAGTGATTTTGATTTTGAAACAAAATAACATAGGATTTTCCAACCTTGTGCATCTAATGGAGTATTTCTTAATGATAATTTTTCAAAGTTGTCCTTGCTGATCAATGAACTTAAAATTATTCTAAGCATTTCAGAGGTCAAATGAACACCATCTAAAGATAAGCAAAGAACTGGTGCAATGCTTATAAAATCACTAAAAGACAGAATTTCTATCATAGATGGACGAGGGTTCCTTAATTGTAGCAATGGAATTGGATCGATAGACCCCTTCTTCAATTGCTTCAAGGTTGCTGGAATCGGTAAAATCTCACGCAAATGACAACAACGAGTATATACGATATCATGCGGAATCCTTATATTTTCAGGTGGGAATACTGTATCATCAGATTCAATAGAAGATAATGACATTAAGGTTGAAGATGATCCAGTTCTTCTGCTTATCATTGGCTTATCGATAGTAATATTTGAGGCTGCGACATTGACACCTACTAAATCTTCATTAGGATTAGAATTGCCTTTAATGTCATCTGGCATAACTTTGGCTCTTTCAGACGCTGCTGCTGCGGCAGCTTTTACAGCCTGTTGTCTTTCTTCTGGTGTGATATCAGTTGAAATGTTAGAGTTTGTAGTAGAATTAGAAGGAACGACAGTATCACCAACATGGTTTTGTTCATTAGACAAAGGCTCTGAAGAAGTGGATTCTGATAATAATTTCAATTTCCCCGAACCCCCCACGACGATACCTGAAGTTGTATTTTCCAATATTTCTTTTCTTTCTTGAGGAGTTAGTCTATGAATAACTACTGAACCATCCTGCTTGACCTCTACTTCACCTTTCCTTGGATTTCTGCTGCTAATCTGTTGAGGTGGATCATCAAAATAAGTGTTAGTTGCAAAGGCGACATGCTTTAATGGTTCAATATCTTCTAGACCTGGGACGACATTTGAGTTTGTAGGGTTTAATGTATTCTTTGAACAAGGTGATGATATGGAACTTCTTCTGGAAGCATGTTCTGAGTTGCTATTGTTTACTGTTGTACTTGAGTTGCTAACTCCATGTGATGTGACTCTGCTCAAGAACGTTCCAAACCTATTAGATGTTGTCGAGACAGGAGTGACTGGACAGGAAGAGTCTGAACTTAATTGTGAGTTTCTTCTTGAACGGGTTGTAGTTTCAGGAACAGCTAGAGGAGATAAGTTTGAAGTTTTAACTTTAATTGCAGAAGGTAATTCTGATTTGTCAGGATGAGAAGGAATTGGGCGGCCTTTTGCATCAAACTTGTTTGAATCCTTATTATTTTCTGGGATAATAGATGGTGATTTGGATTTGTTAAGAAATTTATTAGGAGATGGTGATTTTTCTGGAATTGCGGTAGTATAATTTGAGTCGAAGCTTTTATTTTTAAATGATGATACTGAAAATCCATTTGCCTTGTAATAGTTGATAAAATCCATCAATCTTGGATCTTCATAGCTAGGGGCACTATCTCTAGTACTATATTTACGAATGCTGCTGCGATTTGGAGTACTCATGGCAGTGCTAGGAGCGGTTTTCACTTTTTCAAGTGGTGGAGATGAACTGATACGACTTTCATGTCTTGGAGTATCCTTTGGGTCTTCTTTATTTTTTTTGCTACGACTACCAAACAAACTTCTAAAGAAACTGGTCTTTTTCTCCTTATGAGGCTGTTGGACTCTTTGATGAGCTAACACAGCAGTTGAAGTAGATTTTGTCTTCCTCAATGGGATACTATCATCATCATCATAGCCACTATGATGTCTGTCGATAATCTGGGGGATTGCATTTGCATCGCTAGTCGATTTCCTACGACTAATTTCTAAATCATCGGAATGATTGGTATTATTACTTTGATGATTAGTGATAGGGTTTGGTTCTACATCTACGATGTTGTTTGTTTGATTAATGAGATCTGGTTCTATTGAATCACTTTTAATCAACCAATCTACATCTAAAGAAGGAAGTACACCTTGCTCTAAATATTTTTTGACGTCATTAATATCATTCATTTTTAATTTTATGTATGCATATAGGGAGATTGAAAAGGTATTATTTCAAATGAAATTTTGGTTTATTGTTTGATCAATTGAGATGTTTAATCTTTTTAATCAAATCAGTCAGTTTTTGTATATATCATAAAACAGTAATAGTACAAACAAAGAAGGAACAGGTGTGAATGTGCGGTATGAGATGAGATAAAGCTAATTGTTAAAAAAATGAGGAGATTATAGTATGATTTATCTTGGTAAAACTCTTTTTTGATATAGAATTAAACGAATCTAGTTCCTTTGGACATATATTTTAATATAAAATAATATTTCCTCTAGAATACAGTACAATACAACAAAATAAAATTTAAAATAGAATTAAAATAAAATAAAAGCTAGTGATTTAATTAAAGCAAAGAATTAAAGGGAGAAACAACGTATTACCAGCTTGGTATGGTTACAATAATTTATTACAATGAGCAGATCAGAATACAATTCAAAATCGAATATTTAACAAAGAAAAAGGGCAATAGAGTCTTGAAGTGAGCCTTTTTTCCAACTTAAAACAACTATAATATTATATATATATATATATATATGTATATGTAAGTTGGTTGGTGCGAATGTGAGTGTATAAATACGTTTAAACAAGTGGTCTATAAGTACAACAATCTAGATCAATAACTAAAATACATGTACTGAAAATTGAAATCAGTTTAAAAGTATCCATATATATATATATATATTACATATTTAGCAGGCAGGCATGGTTTCCAGTTTTCGAAATCTATATTCAATTTACGTTTCGTACGATATTTAAGGTCAATTTTGTTTGACGGTAAATGGTGGTGGTACTCGGTATTTAAAAATACGTAATAGCGTATATATTTTGTAGTGAAGTACCATAGTGATAACTATTGCAGATTCAATGGTAGTCTTAATGGAAGTTTGTTGCAGAAGAAGCAACGAGAGTGAGAGAGAATGAAGGTGTTAGATAACGACTATTTCTGGTTCGAAGTCTGGCTTATTGATATTCTTTTTTATTACAGTACCAGAACGTAAAATCGGATCCAGCACGCATTTGTTCCTTATCTGCAACTCAGATTGTTTTACAATCGAGGAGGGGAGGATGTGGAGGTGCTGTCGTCTTAAATTTATTACTTAAAAGTTTAAATCACCATCGGTGTATCTATATGTATATTTATTTACTATGTTAATTCAAATATTTATAGTAAGTGGGTAGACAGTAATTATAGCAAGGAGCTTATATCATTTCAATATGGACACAGAGAAGCTTGGAAAGGTATCTACTTATAAGGTGCAAAGAGTAGTAGGATATTGTCTATGGGATCATGTAGATCGATTTGTAGAGATATTTTGCCCTCAGTATCAGCTGCCAAAGGAAGAGCTTGATAAATTAATGTTCGTGGATGAAATGACAGTGAAGTAAAATCTGATCTAGCTAATTGTTCTTCTCTCAGTAAAAATAAGGAGCTTGTCAAAACTCTTAAAGATATTGCTTCAAATTTGGAGTTAATAAAAAATCAAATTTATTACATTAGGCATTATATAGATACGGAACATCCCATAAACAAGAAGAGTAGAACATATGAGTTCCAAAAATCCTAAAATTATGTAGTGAACTAATTGAATCTCTTTCTAAGAGGAAGCAAAAGGGGGTAACCCAAATTCTTGCAGATTATATTGGGCCATCCAACTTTATTTCTCCCAAAACTCCTACAACAAATGTATGATTTAACAATGCATCAGAAGTTTTGTTTAAATTATTAATATTAAAGCCCAGGAGTAAATTTAAAGTAAATCTAGCGAAATTAGAAATGCCAGACCAGTTAAGAACTCAATTATTACTGAAATTCATGAGCACTGTTAGCGATAATTCAAGTTCAGAGACACAGTATGAAGCTACCGTCACTAGAAGATGGACAAAACTGACAGATGTTGACAAAAGCAGTGAAAAAACTGAAGCACCAGATCAATCTGTTCCTAAAAGACGTAAAAAACCTATAAAAGCAAAAGAGATAACTAAGAACCGCCGAGTCAGTGGTGGGAAACGTACTCTGAATAAGCAAGTAAGTAAGTAAGTAAGTAATTAAATAAATATGACAATGAAAAGGTAATTCGAGGTTTATAGACTGGAATGAAGATAGATGATAATATCTATTTTCGGGTTACTGATATTCTTCTGTCTATGGAATCTAAGACTGAATTCGATAAATAATATTTTATTTTCTGTATGTCTCTTTCATTTACTTGAAGTCGTAATGATTTGTTTCCTGCTTTCCATAACATAAAACTACTATTATCATTGGTGGGGGAGGTGTCTAAACAGAGCACCATGAGATCGGTAGAGCCAGAGAATGAGTGAATAGTGAATGGGTACCGTGAGAATCGAACCAATGAACAAACTATTCCATTGTCATAAGAAACCCTACCAGAAGTATCCCTACAGTAAGAACAAGATAATTAGGGTTTCTAGACTCACACTAAAGTTAAACTCTTTCCTTTTTCCTGTTTCCTTTTTGGCTTCGTATACAGCTTCAAGAGCACCGTCGGTGTTAACCTCACATGGAATTGAGTGGTAAATTGTATTTCAAGTCACGTGATGTTCATTTTCCCTATTCTTTCCTTTTTCTATTGAATTCTCTGTCTGGATTCGTTTCTTTTACGCTGCTACTCTATCTCCGTCTCTTACTGATCAAAATGGGATATCTTTCTATTCATTGCCAAATTGAAATGAATACTATATATCTCTCTATTAGGTACCATATCCACAACAAATATCTATCTTTCAAGTATACATGCTTGCATATTTGCATACTTGCATACTTTCCCCGATCCATACTCTTCTATTCTTTTATCTCATAGTAGTAACTTTCCAATTCTAGATGATTACACTATATATTATATTATTTTCGAAATGGGAAAAATTAGTGAAAAACTTCGAAATTCGATTACTTGAATCGTGATTAAAACTGTTGAAGACTAATCACTCTTAAGCTGTCCTGTCTTTTTTATTTTGCCATCTTGCTTTTGAAAGCTGTAATATATTTGCTTGGGTTGCTTATTTATCTGTATAATACTTGAATAAGTGGATATCTGCTTAGAATTAAGATACCTTGGTCTATTGCGTTTTAGGCCTACTCTCGTTTAATAATACTGAATTTGTACACACCACTCTTATTTTAATAAATGAACAACAATAATATTAGCAACACTGATAATATTAATTTCCGTGAATTGGCATTGACTAAATATGGTACTATTCAACAGTTGATTCAACAAGGTATATGGAGAGGTGAGTTCTACTCCAAAGGTCAATTGACAAGAAATGACAGAGGTTGGTTATGGAAAACTATTGTTTTGCATAGCGATCTAGATTGTGGACCTGATAACAATATTAAGAATAATAATGATAATAATGATAATAATAATGATAGTAATTTACTGCCTGTCCCTATTGTCACCGATGATAACGCAGATTCTCCATTGGTAGGTGAACCTACCAGTAAAAATAATGGTAACGGAAATAATGATAGTAGTAATAGAACTCATAATAATCACAATGATGATAACAACAAAAGTAATAATGATAAAGCTAACGATACTGGAAAAAAATTGAACAGAGGAATAAGACGCTTAACTCCAATTCAAACGTTAAGTCATCCATTGAATAAAAACAGTATAAATGAAGGAAACAATGCCACGAAAAATACAGTTGTCGATGATGAAAGCATTTCAATGTCATTGTCAGACACTTTGGACATTATAGATTTGGATTTATCAAGATTATTATTAGATCCTATATTTCAAGAAAATAAAGTTCATGCTCAAATGAGACAAATACTTTATAATTATATGATTATTTTACAGAAAAATGAAGAACTGAATACCACCATTAAAATTAATAGAAATTATCAACAAGGTTTTCATGAAATTTTGGGTTTAATATATCTACAACTATATCAAACTTCAGAGGATGATGACAGAATCGCAATGATGAATATATTAAAAGTTTATACAAAATTAATGAAACAAGTAGTTCCAAATTTTTATACAAGATCCTCATTAATTAGTTGGGAAACTGAAAAATTTCAACCTATATTAGAAAAATGTTCAACATTGCTATACGATAAATTATATATACAAAATGACGAGTTTTCAAATTTGATTTGGTTACTACGATGGACAAGATTGTTATTCATTAGAGAACTGCCAATGGATTATGTGGTGATAATATGGGACCACATTTTAACTTTCCAATATCCCCTAGATATCTTTATGGTATGTTTAATTATCACATTGCTATTAAATATATTCGAAGATATAATCGATGAAGATGAGGATGCGGATAATGATGAATTGATAGAAAAACTGTTACATTATAAGAAAACATCTGGTGTTAAATTGATTGATTGTGTCGAATTGTGTAAAATTGCGGGAAACCTATGCGAACTATGGTCGTATGAAAATTATGAAGATATGATGTGTATCTGTGATACGTTTGTCAAAGTTAGAGTTGGTGAAGAAAAATTCAATAGGTTGAATGAAATTCTTAAAGATAAAGCAGCAAGAAAAAATGCTAATAGCAACGTTGTGGATCCAAATAGAAAACGACTAGAAGAAAAGTTGAAAAACAGGGTCAAGAGACTAACGATAAATTTTAAAAGATGAACAATGTTAAAGACATAATCATAAAATATGTATGTAAATATGTATAGGTAAATTTATATATATATAAAAAATATCGGTTCTATACTAATTTAACATGCTTATTTCTTACCTTGAGCGGCAACAGCAGCGGCACCAGCGGCAGCAGCTTCTGGGTCCAAGTAGTAAGATGGCTTAGATGGTTTCAAGTTTTCATCTAATTCGAAGACTAATGGGATACCAGTTGGGATGTTCAACTTAGCAATGTCAGCATCGGAAATACCTTCCAAGTGCTTAACCAAGGCTCTCAAAGAGTTACCGTGGGCGGCGACCATAACGGTCTTACCATCCAACAAGTCCTTGGCGATAACATCTTGCCAGTATGGCAACAATCTGTCGATGACTAAAGCCAAAGATTCAGTTTGTGGTAAGACATTTGGATCAACGTCTCTGTATCTTTCATCACCCTTTTGAGAGAATGGAGAGTCAGCTTCGATGACTGGTGGTGGGACATCGAAAGATCTTCTCCAGGTGTTGAATTTTTCTTCACCGTAAGTTTCCAAGGTTTCAGCCTTGTCCTTACCTTGTAAAGCACCGTAGTGTCTTTCGTTCAATCTCCAGGATCTCTTGACTGGGATCCAGACTCTGTCAGCGTTAGCCAAAGCGATGTTAGCGGTTTGGATAGCTCTGGTCAACTTGGAGGTGTATAAGATATCTGGGTGGACATTCTTTTCCTTCAACAATTGACCGGCTCTAGCGGCTTCTTGTTCACCCTTGGCAGATAATTTAACATCAACCCAACCGGTGAATAAGTTCTTTTCGTTCCATTCGGATTGACCGTGTCTAACTAAAATTAACTTTGGCATTGTGTACTGTGATTATGAGTTTATGTACTGGTGTGTTATGAAATAAGCTAAAAAAAAGATTAAGAAAACTTAAAATTAACAAAAACTAAGAGCTAACGACAAAGTAGAATTCAGAAATGAACAAAAGTAAATTAACAAGTTATAATCTGAAATCAATCTTTGCTTATATATATATTCACACGATTTTGAGTTAAAGTAAAAATTAAATAAGAAGACAATAACGTATTCCAATAAAGTTCGTCAACAACTTGTGATAGTTTCATTACAATAGAAAGAGGTATGTTCAATTTGTACGGATAAACGTTGAATAAAAAGGAATTAAAACTTTTTCTCATCGTTATAATTATTCCCTTCCAACTTTTCAACTATCCAAACCGCAAGCCAGTATCAAGGCTTCTCTGTGAATGGATGAATGAATAAAATAAATGGATGGACGAAATTAATTATCGAATTCCACTCACTGTCTTGACCTGCAGAGCGAAATTTCAAAATACGTACTACTTACTAGTATGTTTTTTCTTTGATTCAACTCGAACAATAGATATCATTACAATAATAATTCTGAGATAATTATATTTTGTTGACATTGTTTGTAAACAGATAACAATAACAACATTATGTTCTTTTAGGTAGATTGTGGTTGTCAAGTCAAGTCGGGCAGTAGCAATTACAGAAACTGATTATAAATGAATACTAAAATAGCACTGATCAACTGGGTGTGTTCTTGTATAATGAATGGTTGAAGTGAAAAATATACGAACAAATTGATATTATCTTAACAGTTTAAAAAATATCTCGACAATTTCAAGAGACAGCTTCTACTATTTTCGATTGTGCGTCGAGGTCTTAGTAAATGCCTTATTTTTTTCTTTTTCTCGCAGTTGCCGACTGGCATCCTCTCTGCTGGAGAGGCAATGTAGTTTCGAAACGACATAGTAAAAATAAAAAAAAACGCTTATTAACCATCGTAATATGTTCTGTTTCTTTTTATAAACTTTTTCGACTAGGTTTTGTTGCAGGAGTCTACTTGATAAGCAAGGCAGTCTTTCGATTAGTGGAAGCCGGCTTTAAAAAATCTCAAAACAACCACGAAACATAGAAGTGAATTATAGGATGTTGAAGGTGTACGGAGTTTGAATAAAGTTTTGGTTTGTATCACGTGTGTACGTGAGAATATCTTCTGTTATAGTCATGTGATCAATATTGTTGTTCTTTGCTTGTCTAGACGGAAAGCATGGTGAGCGGTTGAAATATACCATGCCACACCATTTCATAACTGAATAGCATAAGCATTGATATATATATATATATATATATATATGTATGTATGTATACTTATTCTTGTTCCATCATTAAGACAGGAACTATCTTTATTTCAGTTAAGATCTATAGATATATCATTACTTTCATTATAATTTACTTATTTGAACACCAGAGGAGGGAAACTATTTAGTTGAGATCCTTTTTTTCTTACATAAAAAGAGGTGTCACAGACGCTTATTCCCAGATTACTTATTCTTCTATTAATTCTTCCGGGAACATCATTTGGAATACTTGACCTACATAATTATTCATATCAGTTGTCTGCATGGCACGTCCTTTCTCTTGATACGCAAGTTTGGAGCATGTTCTGGTGATTGTGCTACCAGAATAGCAACTTAATAAAGCGTAATCTAACCATGAAAATTCAATTTTAGGATTAGGATCGATCAATTTAAAATCATGGATAGCCCTGCTATATGATAACATACAGGCAATTGTACCTGTTAGTGTGTCACCTTGCCCGCCAACACGTTTATTACTGCCTGGAGTTACATTTTCCAAATTGCAATAATTAGAAGCAACAATATGATCTGTACGCCCTTTGCAAAAAACGATACATTGTAGTAATTCACTTATTCTTTCCGCTTTTTTGAGTTTATCTATATCATCACTTGTATCCTTGTTGAAAAGTGCAGTATACAATCTTTGAAATTCTACAACATTTGGAGTTAAAATAATACGACCCTTAGGGAACCTTTTAATAAAATCCTGGGCTTCCCGATCATTGCTCAACAAGAACAGACCATCTGCATCGATGACAATGGGAATTTTTCCTTCATGCTCCTCCAATACAAGTTGGATTATTCTCTTACAACTTTCTAGCATTGAGGGATCACGTCCTAAACCAGGACCAATAACTATAACATGGATTCGACTCAACAGACTTTTAATCTTGTCAAAATCAGTAGGGTATTCCTTAACATTGCTACTTAAATACGGATGAACCATTAAATTTGGAGAATATCCTTTGATAATTGGAGCAGCTTGCCTTTCACAGATGACATGAGTCAAATCGCATCCCATCAAAGCTGTAGCATTGGCACTGAAATAAGGAGCACCGGTATAATCTTCACAACCACCAATTATACATACCCGACCAGTCTGTCCCTTGTGAAACTTGGACAATAATGGTGGAATGCACTTCGAATGTGCTAAATTAATCAACTCCTTATGCGATAACTGCTTCAGCACAGACATTTCAAACAGATATACACTTTTTATTTATAGTTATACTTATATACAGTTGAATATATGTATATATATATATTTCAATTGTCTCTAAATCACTCACTTAACTTGCACAATATGAAACAATGAACGTTAACGATCAGTAGCTAACGACCAATATTTATAATAATATTAATAATAATGCATGAAGGTATTCTCCCTCAATGTTTTCCCATTCATCATTCAAATAATAAAAATCCTCTGCAGAATTCAACCAAACTTGACCTTAAACGTTTCGAATAATGCAATATTTGATTCTTATTGCATCATCCCTTTCTCCTGTTCTTAGTCTTGTACAGCCCCTTGTTAGTAAATTGGTTTATGAAACTTTATTCGTCATTTTGAAAAAGTTGTATTTAAGGATGGGATGATTTAAATAAGTTTCGAATTCGAAATTAAGATTTGGTTTAATGAATGTGAATGTCTTTAAATTATTTTTGATTGATTTGATATTTGTCTAGAAGGTCTGTAGGTTCTTTATTGATATTTTCTGTCACTTTGGAAAATGTTTGCTAGAATTGCTAGAATTAATCCTAAAATTTTACCATTTGTAATTGGTGCACCAACAATTGCATTATGTAGTTATTACTACTCCTCTGGTGCTTTCTTAAGAAATGAAAGTTCCAAAGTTTTCATTGGTGATAACAATTGGATCGATTTGCCAATTTCTAGGATTGAAGAGATTTCCCATGACACCAAGAGATTCACTTTTAAGTATCCAAGTCAAGATTCAGTTTCCGGTTTAGTTGTTGCTTCTGCTTTGTTAACTAAGTTTGTCACTCCAAAGGGTTCTAACGTCATTAGACCTTATACTCCTGTTAGTGATGTTGATGAAAAAGGTAGTTTGGATTTAGTTATTAAACATTATCCAGATGGTAAGATGACTAACCACATCTTCTCTTTGAAGGTTAACGATACTTTGTCTTTTAAAGGTCCAATTCCAAAGTGGAAATGGGTTCCAAACTCTTTCGAATCTATTACTTTAATTGGTGGTGGTACTGGTATTACTCCTTTGTACCAATTGATCCATGCTATTACTAAAAATCCAAATGATAAGACTAAGATTAGGTTATTCTACTCCAACAAGACTTCCCAAGACGTTTTGATGAAGAAGGAATTAGACGAATTGCAAGCCAAATATCCAGATCAATTGAGGATTACTTATTTCATCACTACTCCAGATAAAGGTTACAAAGGTGAATCAGGTTTCATTTCTAAGGAATTCATCGCTAGTAATGCTGATAAACCATCTCCAAAGTCTCATGTGTTCGTCTGTGGTCCACCGCCATTCATGAACGCCTACTCTGGTGACAAGAAATCCCCAACTGACCAAGGTGAATTGGTAGGTATCTTGAAGGAATTGGGTTATACTATTGATCAAGTCTACAAATTTTAATTGAAATCATTAGGATGCCTTTGAAAAATGAACAATGAAATCAACAAAAAAAATTTCAAAAAACATTATATATTCTTCGTACTTTTTCTATATCCTCTTTTTTATTATTCTTAAACATCTGTAGATATTTTAATATATGCCCGTTTTGGTGAAGCTTGTTCTAATGGGGAATGTATTTAATTTTAATCGCAAAATTCGTTGTATAATTAATAAAGTAACAAATTAATACTAAATACTATCCAAACAGAAATAAGGTGAAATTTAAATAATAAGAATATTGACTTAACCATTAAACATTTACCGGTACGATAATTAATAAATAGAGCTTTGCATACAACTAAATAAATATAAAAAATAAATAATCTTTTGAAATTAATACACAATGGTATTGAATATGTTCTCAGTTATGGAATGATTGGACATTAGACGTCAAATCTTTTTATTGTATTTCTGAAAGATGAGGTAATGTAAATAGATGACTTTAAACAAAAAATATGTCTAATACTTTCTGATGGCTGGTGGAACGGATGGACATTCTTTTTCATCCAAAGTCTTGTAAACAACGTTTCTGTATTTCAAGGTAACAGCATCACCAGTGTCCTTTTGCCATGATAAAGTGTGCTTCATCCATTCTTCATCGTTTCTCTTTGGATAATCTTCTCTAGCGTGAGCACCACGAGATTCCTTTCTGTTAGCAGCAGAAACGGCGGTTTGAGTAGCACAAGTCAACAAGTTTTGCAATTCCATGGTTTCAACCAAATCAGAGTTCCAGATCATAGATTTGTCAGCAATACCGACATCCTTTTCGAAAGTCTTATCTATAGCTTCAACTTCTTCTACACCCTTATCTAAGGTTTCTTGAGTTCTAAAGACTGAAACGTTCTTTTGCATAGCCTTTTGCATCTTTAATCTAATAGCAGAAGTATGAACTGGACCTTCACTGTTTCTCAACTTGTCTAATCTAGCTAAAGATTCTTTGCCAATATCGTTTGGCAATGGTTTGTGAGGTAGACCTGGTTGTAAAGTATCAGAAATGGTGTGAGAAACAGCTCTACCGAAGACAACTAAATCTAGCAAAGAGTTGGCACCCAATCTGTTAGCACCATGGACAGAAACACAGGCAGCTTCACCACAGGCAAACAAACCTGGAATAGGTTTATCGTTACCTTCTTCATCGACAGTTAAGGCTTCACCTGTCCATTTAGTTGGGATACCACCCATATTGTAATGAACTGTTGGCAAAACTGGAATTGGTTGTTTGGTGACATCAACACCTGCAAAAATGGAAGCGGTTTCGGAGATACCTGGTAATCTTTCCTTCAAGACTTCTTGTGGCAAATGGCTCAATTGCAAGAAAATGTGATCCTTATTTTTACCTACACCTCTACCAGCATTGATTTCCATTGTAATAGCTCTAGAAACAACATCTCTGGATGCTAAATCTTTGGCAGTTGGAGCATATCTTTCCATAAATCTTTCACCTTCAGAGTTTAATAAATAACCACCTTCACCACGGGCACCTTCTGTGATCAAACAACCAGAACCATAGATACCAGATGGATGGAATTGGACAAATTCTAAATCTTGCAATGGGAAACCAGCACGAGAAACCATAGCGTTACCATCACCGGTACAGGTATGGGCAGAAGTACATGAGAAGTAAGCTCTCCCGTAACCACCAGTGGCAATAACAGTTTTGTGAGCCTTAAATCTATGGATAGTACCATCTTCTTGGTTGTAAGCAATAACACCACGAACTTCACCATTGTGTGTCAATAAATCCATAGCAAAATATTCAATGAAGAAGTGAGTATCGTGTTTCAATGCTTCACTATATAAAGTATGCAACATAGCGTGACCAGTTCTATCGGCAACAGCACAAGTTCTGTAAGCTTGACCCTTTTTACCAAAATCCTTAGATTGACCACCGAATGCTCTTTGGTAGATTCTACCACTTTCCAATCTTGAGAAAGGCATACCGAAATGTTCCAATTCAATGATAGATTCTGGAGCTTCTCTAGTCATATAATGGATAGCATCTTGGTCACCTAACCAATCAGAACCCTTGACTGTATCGTACATATGCCATCTCCAGTCATCTGGATGGACATTACCCAAAGCAGCATTGATACCACCTTGAGCAGCGACTGTGTGTGATCTTGTTGGGAATAATTTAGAGACACAAGCAGTCTTAAAACCAGCTTCAGCTAAACCAAAAGCAGCTCTTAAACCAGCACCACCAGCACCAACAACAACACAATCATATTCATGATCGATAACATTGTACTTGGAGCTGACGTCTTCTGCATTTGAAGTGGTAGCAAACTGTCTATTTTTCCTTACCAATAATGATAATTTTTCTGCAGCGGTTGATTTCTTCAATAATGAGTTTCTTAAACTTAACATTTTGATAATTTGTGTATGCAAATCGATGAGGATTGATAGGTCTCTCTTGTTACGTTTTTAATGTTGTTTTTTCTTATTCAATATTACTTACTCCTCAAAGATAAATTAATATTTACAAAAAAACTGGCTTTCCTTAAAGCAAAAAAGTTCGAGAATTCTAAGTCAATTAAGAATTGAAACTAATACTATCAGGGTATGATATAATAATTTTTTTTCAGAGAAACTGGAGAGAGAAAAAAAATTTATATGTAAATTAATAGGGTTATTACCAGAAGTGTTTAAAACAAATGTGGTATATGGGGGGGTTGGTTCCTGCTTTTAGAAAGAATATAAAAAAAGAGTTAATCCAATCAATACAAATTAAATGAATATGATAGCTCTTTAATATCTGGAAATTACAAGGACTGAAAGATATTCAATTCTTTAGAGTACGATATCTTCCATATTGAAACCAACATGTATATATATAACAATCTGTGAATAGTCTTAATTTCCCTGTACTAAATTTTTTTATGTTTTTTTTCCTCGACTAATTATGCTTCTCTCCAATTCAATTACTTGCACGAGTCAGCAACGACCTATTATAATTCAAAGAATACGAGAGAGTTGAGAAAAGGTCACAGGATAAAAGTAAAAGATGACTTATTTCAGTTTGTTTCGCTAGTTGGTTTTGCTACCTAGTAGCTTTAGCATAATCTGTTTGGATATGCCTCTCTCCTTTCTTCTATTGAAACTTCTTGCAATTAGTATTTTTCCGAAGAGCCTGCACAGCAGGTTTAAACAGCTCTTGAGACATTTCGAGTAGCTCGCAGCCAATTGAATACTTCTCCCAAAATCCAAAATAGCCAGATGCTTAAGCAGACAAACACTAACACTTGTTCGAACAAAAATAAAAAATGGGTAAAGTAAAACATAATTTACTACTAGTATTCTTCACAGTTCACGTGATCAGCCGTATTTGAAAGTAGTCATATTTCAACAGTAATTAAATCCAAAAACTGAATTTCCCTGAAAATTAAAATTGATCCTTCAAATTAAAAAAGCCTGAACAGAGTTAATCGTTCGTTGCTATTGGTTGATTGGCTGCATGAAGAGCTGGTTCACTAAAGAACGACGGAGAGAGTGGGAAAAAATAAAGCAGGAAAATATGTTTGAGTTAAGCAGAGAACCTAATATAACGAACGTATATCTTCAGAGAGAAGTGGAAGGGAAAAGAATTTATCACTGGCATGGTATACGACAAAACTCGATTGAGAACCAGGTATCGGGTTATACAGCTATTCCGAACCAGTTCCGACTCCCGGGTTAAAATCAGACTATCAGACCAAACCTAACTATAGTAAGTGATTTGTGGTATCGAGTTTGGCTAAATAGATGATCGTAAGAAATCTGCTTGAAACAATGCAGTATCTCTTTAATGGACATTATTTGATCTCAGTTCGATTGAATTGGAAGATTCAGTTAACATCAGAAATATTGCTGCTTCCTTCTTGTTTGTCATATGTAATTTAGATTAGTTTCGAAGTGATCACTTCTATCTTCGTTAATAAAGTTAAGGTCACGTGTGAAAATAAAATTACCCGGTTATTTTCTGTCGTTGCAATTCATTTTTGTTAAGCATATATATTGAGACCAATACTCATCACAGCGGCTAAACAGGATAATAAGTGAACAAAACAAAGAAAAAGACCCAAAGGCATTGATTACTCTTTTTCTATTTGAGTTTGAACAATATATATATATATATATTGACTCCAATTGGTCTGCGCAATGACTTTACTCCTAAATAACTATAAAAGGTAAAGCACACAATCTCTTTGTTACAATAAATAGCTAATTTCCCTAACGAACGTCACATTTCATCTTATTCTTAAATCTATGGTTTGCAGACCGTTAACTTTTGCTTAGAATCCACTTAAGTATTGAATCTTATCTATAGTTAGATGCCTCAAAACAGACGAATTGCTAGAATAAATATCTCTGATAATACTTTGCTTGGTTGTTGCTCCAAATTAACCACCAAAGGAGGAAAGACAGAAGGAATTCAATTATAGAATTAAAATTATTTTCCCAATTGTGGATCAGTCATCATGAAATATTCCAGGTTAGTTATAAGTCTTCTCATAATTGTAATATATTATATTTGGAAAACTTTCCTAAACCTCTTAAAGATTATCTAGTTTAACGCCATGTATCTTATTGTTAACGATGAATCAAAGGGTTTGTTATATAATTTATAGTTAATAATATCTTATATTGACTTCCTTTAAATATTTAGCGGGTATATCTCATCGGGATTCCGTTTCTAAAATACGTTCCGGGTAATCTTCTCTTCATCCAGTTGGAAAATTCGAAACTTCTAACATTTAAGAATGATGAGATGAGCTAATCATACAATACAATATATAAATGGCAGTATGTTTAATTGTTTTTGATGTCTTGCTAATACACAACAAGCATTAACAGCACAGATCCGAACTATACAATGGATTATCCGTTATCAAAACATGTAGAGTACATGGAGTATGCTTTAAAATTGGCTAGACATGCTTTGGATCATGGCGAAACTCCAGTGGCTTGTATATTTGTAGATAAAAAAACCGGTGGGATAGTGTCATATGGTATGAATGATACCAACAACTCATTAGCAGGTACCTCTCATGCTGAATTTGTTGCAATTGATAGAATTAAGAATCAGTTTTCTAGTACTTTTGATAAATTTGAAGATATCATTGTATATGTTACAGTTGAGCCATGTATAATGTGTGCATCTGCATTAAAACAATTGGGTATATTGAATATAGTATTTGGCTGTGGTAATGAAAGATTTGGAGGCAATGGTACAGTTCTATCAATAAACAATGATACTTGCACCAAATTACCTGCCAATACAGTAAATTCGGATTCTAATAGACAAGACTTGATTTTACCTGGTATATTAAGAAAAGAAGCGATCATGTTACTGAGGTTTTTTTATGTTAGAGAAAACACAACCGCCCCCAAACCAAGGACGAAAACAGAGCGTAAGTTAGACAGAGATACCTTTCCAGATATTGAATGGTCTAAATACATCGATGAAATTACATTTAACAAAGTCTTTGGTAAAGACAACTCGGGATTTTATAAAGATCAAAAAGATATATTTGGTGAGTCGATAAATTGGGAAATAATTGAAAATGGGCAAGATCATATTATAGATTATATGAATTCACAGTGCATTGAATTCCATCAACCCCATTATTCTGAGAGCATTGGAATCGGTAATCATAAAAAAATCAAACTAACCCCTTAGCATAAATAGACAAATAGACAATACTGTAATATTATAATTAGCATATCAACTTCTACTTTCCTCCCGTTATTATAATTATAACCTTGGAGACATCCACAGTTAGCTCTAAGATTCAAGTACAATTCTATCACTCCATATAGAAACCCGCCAAAATAATTTGAGATTTATATCTAGGGGTCTAGTAAAATAACTAACTGTGTAGTACCTTATCTCACGTCATTGTGACCTTACCTGTCCACGATTGCCTATTCTTATAATATCTCAAAATAAAAATAAATAAAAAAAGTAACGAGCGGTAATGTTGAATGCCTCAATGTCTACAATCAACCTCAACCTCAACCTCAACCAGCCAACCAAACTCCATAATAAATTATATTAAGAGCACATGTGATATGAGTTATACAAGAACATTCGCTAAAAAATTAGCTCAACATTAATCATGTCTGTTCGTCTCATTTGATAGTTAATAAACATAGAGATAACAAATATTTCATAGATAACAAACATAATATTCCTCTATAACATAACTAGACAAGAGTGCGAGGTAAACATGCAACGAACAATTAAGTATCCTGTACTACATAACCTCATACCAAACCTCAATTACCTCATAGACTACAAATCAACTCTATTTTGAGCTCAAATTTTAAATAAAATACGACAACCAAACCGTTATTGCTATCTTCCCTTCTTGCTCTCACTTGTTTTCTTTTCTTCCCATATCAATCAAACCGCTGTTCTATTTCCACCTAAATTTACCACATTCTTCTTCTCGACGCTCGAAAAATTCCTTAACCTTGAAGGTTTTGAATTTTTTCTTTGCCTACGAAAAATTTTTTGACAAGCTCGAATCCTACTTGGACTTCGAGTTTGATTTGATATGATTTTAACAAAATCTATTATGAAGAAGCTGTAGGATTGCTAGGTAATGGGCATTTGAAACCTATTAGATGTAAATTACGTAGCTTTCGAGTTATCTCTTTATTTTATGTTATGTTATGTGTGTGTGTGTCTTTTTTTTTTCCAAGTAACCTTAAAGGTTGCTTGAAAAAATGCCAGTCAAGAAGTAAGTTAGTGGTAGTGCAATGAGGAAAATATTACCATCTGAGTGATGTAGTCTTCTCATAAAGTTAGTGAAGCGAAAATTAGTAGCGTAGCAGAAGGCAAGAGAGAATAAATAAATATGTTTTTGGGCATTTTTGTTTAGCTAGCTACTATAATAATTAATTCACGACAGTTTGATGTAGGAATTTACAAGTCTTCTAACAATTATGAAAGCTTCTTCTTTGATCGTTCTTCAAGTTGTATAAAGGTTATGAGTTAGAATTTGAAGATAATTCTAAGTATCATATTACTGTGTCGAATGCACAAGGGGAAGAGTGTGTCTTGTCTTTGTCTTTCCTTTTATATATATCTTTAATTGATTAGAATGGTTGTTTGTTTAAATAATTATCTTATATCTTGATTACCTTTTCCTTATGTAACGAATTGACGGTACTCTGCAACCTTGGTATTTGCGTTCTTATAAATTATAGATTATTTAACTGTGGACTCGATTGATCGGTATTGAAGTTTTTAAGAATTGTATCTGGTAAATATAAATTGATATTATTTGAAATAAGAGCAATACCATTCAATTTCTCGTCATCATTGTCATCATAATAGCGATAATTGATTATAGCTTGATATTCACAATTGCATAATAACTAGGTATGGATGTGCTGCGATTACTAGTGAGAGACACTGAAGGTGTTGTCGACACCTGTGAAGCAACAAATGATTTCGATGGTCGTATTAACTTAAGAGTTTTATCAATCTTTATGATTATGATATCATCAGGGTTGGGTGTATTCTTCCCACTTCTAGCCTCTAGATACTCATTCATAAGGCTTCCGGAATGGTGCTTCTTTATTGCAAAATTTTTTGGATCAGGTGTCATTGTATCGACTGCTTTTATTCATTTATTGGTACCTGCTGCTGAAGCATTAGGAAATGATTGTTTAGGTGGAACATTTGTAGAATACCCTTGGGCTTTTGGTATATGTCTAATGTCATTATTTTTATTGTTTTTCACAGAAATTATCACTCATTATTTTATGTCAAAAAGTTTAGATAATGATCATGGTGATAGTGGACATTCTCACTCACATTTTGGAAACCAGAATAAAGACATAGAAATCAACAGTCATTTCTCATCCGACGAAGATGAGGTTGATAATAAAGATATCTCAGAAGAAAGAACATACCAGATGAAGTATGATTTCGAATTAGATACAAAAAAAGTCAATGAACAGACATCGCCATTGTACTCTGTTTCTTCATACGCACAAGTGGGTACATCATCTTCAAAAAATAGCATACTTCCTAAGGAAACAAATATAAAATTAAAACAACTGGAATCAATTCCAGGCAAAAATCATTATTCTCATGATAAAAACCATCAAGATCCTTCACAGTTGGGTACTCCTGTAGAAGAAATAGATAAGGAACAATACTTAGGTCAAATTGTTGGTGTAACAATTTTAGAAATTGGTGTCATATTTCATTCCATCTTTGTTGGGCTATCTTTAGCAGTCTCTGGTGAAGAATTCATTACATTATTCATCGTTTTGGTTTTCCACCAGATGTTCGAAGGTTTGGGTTTAGGTACCAGATTGGCAGAAGCAAACTGGCCGCATAGTAAAAGATATACACCATGGCTGATGGCTCTGGGTTTTACTTTAACTACACCAATTGCAATTGCCATTGGTATTGGTGTCAGATACTCATGGATCCCTGGTTCCCGGAAATCATTAATTGCCAATGGTGTTTTCGATGCGATTTCATCAGGTATTTTGATTTATACAGGTTTAGTAGAATTAATGGCACATGAATTTCTATTTTCTAATCAATTCAAGGGTCCTGGTGGATTTAAAAGGATGCTTTCAGCATACTTTGTTATGTGTTGTGGTGCTGCTCTAATGGCAGTATTGGGGAGATGGGCTTGAACTTAGAACGTTCCTACACTCCTCATTGATTATTAAACGAAAAACAAAAACAGTAATGAAACCTTATTTGTTCATATTTATTTATATAGTTCAACATTTGCATTTTATAATTTCAAGTCATGATTATCTTCATATAATTTTTTGTATGGTTTGTTCCAAAGGCGTTCTTAAGCCTCTGTCTTAGATTCATACGTTTTTATAATTACAGTATATTTAACTATATACGATATGTTAAATTAAATAATTGCTAGTCCCATTAATGATAATATTATTTTGAACCTTTACCTGAAGAATTTACAATTCCAGTTGATCCACTATTTTTTGCTATATTTGACTTTTCATTATTTATGGATTGCATCTTTTGAGAATATGATTGTGTTGGTATCCATTTTCTAGTACTTCTAATCTCGTCACCAGAATAACCTGGAATTCTGATATTCCAGTTTCTCTCTAGATGCAACTGTATATCTCTTGCCTCTAGACTGTCAGATTTTCTATGCTTGGCTAACCTACATGCAAAGCTTGTAACATTTGTAACAAAATCATCTGCCAAATCTAGCAATAATTCTTCTACATCACCATCGATAACCGTTTCACCATCACCTTCATCTATACCTACAGATTTGATTAGTTCCCTTAATTTTCTTTTTGACATTACCCTCTCTGTGTCTATTTCATAAGGAGGTAGTTTTGTAATAGTAGGAGTATTTAATACAGATGCATTCATTGCTGTACCACCAGTTAAAGATGGTCTATTGGATATATATGAAACAGCTTCTGGAGCTTTAACGGTAATGCTTTCGGAAATTGGAACGGAAGGATCTGATTGTTTAAAAATGGCAGATTTACTTTGGATATTTTTATTTGCAGAAGATGCAGTTGCGTTAACATTTGTTACTTGAGATCTATTAGCTGAAGTAGCACTGTTTGGCTGAGACTGTATAGAACCAGTCCCTTGTTCCTGGGGTAGTTGCACTGGCTCATTAGCTGAAGTACTCGGTTGAGATTGTTGTTGAGGTTGTGTTTGAGTTTGAGTTTGACCCTGAGCTGCTTGTGGTTGTGATTGGACCTGTGCTTGAGCTTGAGTTTGAGCTTGGGCCTGTGCTTGTGCTTGTGCTTGGGCTTGTGCCTGTGCTTGGGCTTGGGCTTGGGCTTGTACCTGTGCTTGAGCTTGGGCTTGGGCTTGTGCCTGGGCTTGAGCTTGGGCTTGGGCTTGTGCCTGTGCTTGGGCTTGAGCTTGTGCTTGTGCTTGTGCTTGTGCCTGTTGTTGTTTCTGTTGTTGTAAAATTCGTTGTTGCTGGCCACTCTTCTGTAATAGTCGTTGTAATTCAGGGTTTTGTCTTGCACATTCTACATAAAATGCCTTTTTCTTGTTCTTAATATCCTCGTATAAATTGCTGTATTCTGTATTTAACGTTCTCAAGTTTGTCAATAGTTCTGCCCTGTTTACTTCTAATTGTTTCTTTGCAGCTTCGTCAGTTTGTTGATTAATTTCTTGGGATAATCTGTCGATGTGCTGTTTTAAAAAGGTATGTTGATCTTTAATACTGCTTGCTCTTGATTGGAAATTTTGTAATAATTTATCGTATTGTTGGTTTTCCTCTGGAGTTAAAACCTGTTTAATCAAGTCTGCCAATTGGCTACCTCCGGAGGCATTGGCAACAGCAGTTTTTCTTGTTCCATTAGCACCACTTGCTCCTGCGGCAGCTGGAGCAGAAGACGATGATGCAGCATCTGCATTATTTGTAGTTCCAGCAGGAGTTTGGGAAGATCCAGCCTGTTGTTGTTGCTGTTGGTTTATTAATGCTTGTCTTTGTTTATTGTAATTATCATAAACGGCTTTCAGATTGGAAGCTTGGATTAACAGTTCCTTACCTCGCTGAGTGTTCTGACCCACACGTTTAGCTTCATTGACCAATTCCTTAAACTTAGTTGTCAATTCTAGTAATTGTTTCTGCTGTAATGCAAGTTTCTGTTGCGAGGATGAAGCAGAAGAAGGTGTTTGACCATCTCCCTGGGAAGACATGCTGAACGTGAATAAAGTATCCAGAAAGGAAAAATAAGGACTGCTTTAATATTTATAAATTTTTTTTTACTCTTTGGAAGTAGAAAAAAACAATAAAAATTGATGGAATAACAGAGGAAAACCTGACTATTATATGTGTCTCTATCCACAGTCAGATAACCGTATTTTTGTTGTCCAAATATCGACCCTTGAACTAGGATTTTATCAGTATTTATCCTAATAAATTAGCAGTTTCATCACATTTAAAACAAAAAATTGTGTGAAATTTGGATGTTTTGTTAACTTTCGGTAAAAAAAAAAAATATTGAAAAACTCGGAATCGGAGACCGGGTAACAATGAATGAATATTAAGCGTAGATGAGATGAGATGAGATTAAGATACGATATATAAGAGCTTTACATCAGATAGGAACAGAAGAGATAACATACAGGCCAAGCCAAGCCAAGCTAAGGGTAGATTAGAGGTTTATATTGTTCTGGAGATTAGAAAAGGAGGCGCAAGATTATAATGGTGGTTAAAATCGGTATTCTGTTGACGGACCATCCTGCAGAATGGACTGGATCCGAAGGTACATTTGACAAGATGATAATTAGGATGCTTGAGAGAACGAGAGGTGCAGATGTTGAGGTTGAGTACCGAGTGTTTGATGTTTATCACGGTGAAGTGCCTAGTATTGACGAGATAAGGATGTACGATGGTGTAGTCATTACCGGGTCTCGATATGACTCGTATTCTGTCGAACACGACTGGATCAATAAGCTGAGAGAACTGGTTAAAGAGATGATAGTGGGTGCTGATGAGGGAACAATGGGCGTTCAAAGATGTAAAATAGTTGGTATATGTTTTGGGCATCAAATAGTTGGTAATTCTATTGGATGTGTAGTGGGTAAGAACGAGAACGGAATTGAGGCAGGGATCCAAGAGATACAATTGAATGAAATTGGTGAAAAGTTATTTAGTTCAGATAAGTTATATCTATCTGAATTACACAACGATACTGTGATTAACAATAGTAAGGTATTAGTTGAAGATAACGGGATCTTGAATTGGGGTAGTACCGATACAAGTGAAGTACAAGGTTTTTACAAAAAGGGACGATTATTTACTGTCCAGGGCCATCCAGAATTCATCAGTGAGACAGCGATCAATGGATTGTTGTTTAAGAAGACGTTATTCGAGATGAGGCTGAAAGAAGGAAATTAATTGATTGGGAAGTTGAGTCGCGTAATAGAAGGGAACGAAACGATGGTGATAAAGTGGCTGAAATCATATGGAAGTTGATCCAAGACGAAATATGAAAGAGCGGGATGAGCGGGGAGAGGAGGGGCATGGGCAGGTTGGAGTGAGTGAGTATGTATTTATGTATGTGTGTGAGTGTGTTATTTCCGTAGCGGACATAACACCCCATACAGCCATATTAAGTAAACATGGGTAAGCTGTACCTAGCCCACTCAATATGAAGACGTTTCATTTAATTTTATTACGAAAGCAAAGAGATGTCATCGCAAGTGCTAGTGCTAGTGCAAGAACCACATACACAGACAGAGAGATGGATTAAGCAAAATATCGGACTCGTGTAGTTTGATACGAAAGACGTGTTTTCCTTGCTAATTTCGAAATGTGCTACGTGACTTGTTAGAGGCATGTACGCAAACACAGACACACAGACATAACCACGTACAGGGTTCCCCTGTTTCCCTGCACTTTGACACCCTCTCTCTCCCCTCTTTCTCTCACTTTACGTCATCGCGTGTCTCTCTGGACTGCTCTGAACGGATGTTTTTAGTTCTTCTTCGCTTCTTTTTCTTTTCTTTTTTTCCCAAACTTTTTCACTTTTTCCAGTTTGGTTTGGTTCTGCTCTGCTCTGCTCAGTTTGGGCTCACCTCTTCACCTTCACCTTCATCTTCATTCTCTCCAAGCCCCATTGCGAACTCGTTTTTTCAAATTAATTCGAGCAACTCCTATACTTGCTATATATATATATATATATATATAAAGACTGAGTGCTCGATTGCTTGATGATTTCTAGATTACTTCATTGATTATACACGCAAACACTCTTCTAAAGCTTGAGTTCTCACTAGATCAGTTTCGAATTCACACCTTCCCCCCCAACCTACACTCCACCCTGCACTCGTGTCGTCTCATATATTTTACTTTGGTTAGAAGATAAAGGTCGTCGTTGTCATCTTTCTCAACTTCTAATTTAAACTTGTTTTCTATCTGTTTCGCTGGACTGAAAACAGAATACCTGCCAGACTACATACTTCATTCCACTTCACTTCATATATATATAAATATATATATATATTTACAGTTGCCCGTCTGTATGCATATATTAGAAACCGGAAATTAGTTCAAAAATACCAATATGAAACTGTTCACTTCAAAGGAATCAGCCATTGCTATGGCTTTGGCCTTTTCTGCTTGTATCGACCAAGCTGCCTCTTTCGCTCTGCCATTTGGATTAGGTAAAAAACGTGTCGTCAGCGAACTAGAGATCCCTCATGGGAAACATGCAAAAGCACAACAACCAGGTGCCTCAAATGAATCCCAAGGTTTTGTCAGATACCATTTCGATAAATTGGTTGGTGACTCCTTCGAAAACGCTTCAAATAAAAATAAAAGATACGCAAACATTGTCAAAAGAGATAACGGTGTCGAAGAAGTAGAAATTATGAATCAATCGAATTTCTATTCCGTCTCTTTATCCATTGGTTCCAACGCTCAAAACGTTACTGTATTGCTAGATACCGGTTCCTCTGACTTATGGGTCACTGGCTCAAATAACCCTCTATGTTCAAGAGGTGATAGTAATAGTGATGCTGTGGATTGTGCTAAATTTGGTACTTTTAACCCTTCCACTTCAGACACTTGGAGTTCAAATGAAACCTCTTTCTCGATTTCATACGCTGATTCTTCCTACGCTTCTGGTACATGGGGTCAAGATACTTTGAAATTACAAGATTTAGACGTGACAGGTTTATCCTTCGCGGTCGCAAATTACACCAACTCTACTGTCGGTGTCTTGGGTATTGGTTTGCCTTCTTTGGAAGTCACTTACTCAGGTTCAAACAATGTCGCAGGTACCAGATACCAATATGAAAATTTCCCATTGTTGTTGAAAAATTCAGGTGCAACTAAAGCAAACGCATATTCTTTGTATTTGAATGATCTAGACTCAAGAACTGGTTCTGTATTATTCGGTGGTGTCGATCACAATAAATATTCAGGTACATTATACACTATTCCTCTGGTCAACACTTTAAGAGCTGCTGGTTTCTCCCAACCTGTTGAATTCGACGTCACTTTACAAGGTATGGGTATTTCCGATGACGAACATGGTAACGTCACTTTAACTACAACTAAGATCCCAGCTTTATTGGATTCAGGTACTACTTTGGTTTACTTGCCATCAGCATTGGTAAGTTTAATTGCAGACGAATACGATGCTGTTTACAACTCAAGAACTGGTTACTATGTTATGAACTGTCCAGATTCTGACGAGGATAGTCAAATCGTCTTCGATTTCGGTGGTTTCCACATTAGTACTAACTTGACTACCTACATTATCCAAGCTGTTGGTGGAATTTGTGTATTAGGTATCTTGCCTCAATCTTCAGGTACTGCCATCTTGGGTGACTCTTTCCTACAACATGCTTACGTTGTTTACGATTTAGATAACTTGGAAATTTCCATGGCTCAAGCTAGTTTTGAAACAGATGACGAAAACGTTGAAGTTATCAGCTCTAGTATTCCAAGTGCTGTTAAAGCCCCAGGTTACTCAAGTACATGGTCCACCTTTTCTTCCATTTCTTCAGGTGGTAATATCTTTACTGTAGATGTTAATACAGCTTCCGCATCATCCTCAGGATCTAGTGCCACTTCCTCTGCCTCTTCTGGTTCAGGTGCCGCTTCTGGTTCAACTTCAAGTGGTACCGCTAGATCAAGCTCTTCCGCCAATTCTGGCCAAACTACATCCAGGGCTGCTTCCACCACCACTCGTTCTTCTTCTTCTTCGAGAAGTAGTTCAAGCACATCTAGATCAGGTTCTGGTACATCTAATGATGCCATGCACATTGCAGCTGCTCCATCATTGTTTGTTTTCATCGCTTCATTATTAACTATGGTCTTTTAAACTGGAATTAATTGAAAAGAATGTATTAGTTGCAATTCACACAATTGCATTGTAGTTCTACATTGTGTTTATATTGACTTTAATCTTATATATATCCAAGAGTTTTTATTATAGTATTATTCATATAATTAGGTTTATGACATTTAGGTTATTAAATTCATTCGTTTATCTTATTAAATTGGTTCTTATATAAGTATTTGTTATTCGTATAACTCACCTTGTTGCTTCCAGGTGCTCAATTTTTCTCTTTTGCTGTGATATTGTGTTCGTATATCCAAGTATTGGTTGATAAAAGAATCTAATTCATTGGAATTCGAAGCATTCTCTTCAATAATGCGACTGGCATGATCCAATTCTTTTAATTCAGCCTCTAATTTGTTTTTCAGCACATTTGGACTATACTTTATATCAATGTCATCGTGTAATTTTCGCCATTTATAACTATATTCAGCTTCTAATTGTTTAAAATTGTCAAACATCTCGATAACTTGGGTTTTGTCCTTCTCTAAATTTTCAAACTTCTGTTCTAGCTCCTTCAACTTGACTTCAAGACCCTGTATTTCCTTAGAAACATCTTGTAAGGAACAAAATTTTGTCACATATTTAGATAACTCCTCTCTATGGTTCTGTATAAGCCCCAATAATTCATTTGTAGATAATAATTGTATATTATCAGGCAATACTATATTTTTCCCACTATTATCGACCCTCTGAGCAGCAGCATCAGAATCCATTTCCTTGGTATATCTTCTAGATAAACTATATCCTCAACTGATAAAAGATTAACCTCCTGATATATTCTCCAATAATGCAATATCATAACATTCGAAACATTTCAATACAGTTGATGATGCCCTTTTCTAGCGTTAGTTAATCATAATTATTCACTTTCGGTATGATAAAATCGAATATGGTCGATCCGTCTAGAATAGATTTAAAATGAGCCTACTTCAGAAGTGGAAGAGTTTAAATGCAAGGCTATTATTTGTAATGATTGATTGAATGTGTTCCATCAGATCAGATTGGTAGTATACATTCAAAAATGTCAAAGTTAAGTGCTGTTAACTATGCCTCTAAGTTGCAACCAGCAAAACAGGTCTTAATTGTCTTCCATGGTTTAGGTGATACAGGTAATGGATGGTCATTTTTAGCAGAATATTTGCAAAGAGATCCAGCATTTTCTCATACAAAGTTTGTCTTTCCTAATGCACCAGTGATGCCAATTACTGCAAATGGTGGTATGTCTATGCCAGGTTGGTTTGATATCCTTGAATGGAATCTTTCTTCTTCAAATGTGGATTCTACAGGTTTCTTAAAATCTTTAAAGCTTGTTGAATCTTTTGTTAAACAAGAAGTTGATGCAGGTATGGATCCCTCTCAAATTATCGTCGGTGGATTCTCACAAGGTGCAGCTTTATCATTAGCCTCATCGGTTACGTTACCATATAAGATTGGTGGATTTGTCTCATTATCTGGCTTTTGCATAATTCCAAGTATTTTATTAAATATGAAGAATGACAAGAACCTTTCTACACCAATATTTCACGGCCATGGTGATATGGATCCTATTGTTCCATTCCCTGTAGGTAAAATGTCAAGTGAATTCTTTACTGAAAAGTGTGGCATGCAAAACTATTCTTTCAATACATATCGCGGTTTAGAGCATTCGACTTCTTTAGAGGAGATAAATGAATTGGTCACTTTCATTAAAAAGACATGGAATATATAACAGTTTCATATTTAAAAATATTCGATAGTATTTAATATCATATCTTATCAGTATCATTATCGTATATCTTTCTTCGCTGTTGATCGTTTCTTGATTAGATATCGGTCATGTGACCTTCCTTAATAGAAACTATTTCAATATCGAAAACGTTTAAGTCAATAATTTAAGTAGTTTAAGGTGGTATAAGGTTATGATTTGATTAAAGATCCTGATAGATTAGTAACATCTACAAGGATTATCTCTTCTATTAGGGAATGCTACTGTGCTAAAAATAGTACTATTTGGTTTATAGAGGTTTCTTTTGGAAAGAACTTATTTTAGTGCTGTTTTAGTATTTTTTAGATTGGCAAATATTATAGAAGAAATTATTTTAAACAGATCGATTCTGGAGAAATGTCATTACCTTTGAAACCTCTTTCGGTTGATTATGGTAATAAGAAGGTAGACTCCAAACAAAAGAAATTTATAGCAAATGTCACTCGAACTTTAGAAACTTTTGATTCTGTCACTGAATGGGCGGATTATATTTCAAGTTTAGGGAAATTATTAAAGGCATTACAAAGCTGGACACCTAACTCGGATGATATTAAGTACTATGTGCCATCACCCTATCAGGTTAGTCAACGTTTGGCTTCATCTTTATCCCCAGAGTTGCCTGCTGGTGTGCATCAAAAGACTTTAGAAGTATACACTTATATTTTTGAGAAGATTGGTCAAGAATCTCTGGCAACTGAATGTAATATCTGGATTAGAGGTATTCTCCCACTAATGGCATATGCAACAATGTCTGTAAAACTACCATTAATTGAATTATATGAGAAGTATTTAATAAATCTACCTTCTTCTACATTGAAATTGATTGTAAAACCGTTGATAGCAAGTTTATTGCCTGGTATCGATGATGAAAGTAGTGAATTTCAACCATCTGTTTTGAATCTGCTGGATGAATTCAAAACAAGACTAAATGATGATTCCATTTTTTGGCAAAGTTTTTTCTTGGTGATGATATCAAATAAGGAACATCGTTTGGGTGGACTGGTATTGTTGACAAAAACATTTCCATCTTTAAATATAGACATTAGTATAGACCAAATACCAGACCAATCTGGAATATCAGAACTTGATGACTTCCAAAAAAGAAAACAACATATTTTAGGCATGTTACCTAAGGAGATAAAAGATATTGTGACGCCGGAACCTGGTTTGTTGGGTCGTGCATTTTTATCATGTTTAACACATGACAATGATCTCCTTGTTAAGCGTGGTATTTTAGATTTATTAGTAAATAAGTTTTATTTACATTCGCCTATTTTCCAATATGTTTTAACACCAAATGACAGAAAAATGTTGATCATTGAATGTTGTAAGACGACATCAAACAAGGAGATGTCATTAAATAGAAGAATTTGGAATTGGCTATTGGGACCAACTGTGACAACAGGAAGTAGTAATATCGAACATTTACATATTCAAACTGATAGTGGAGATACGTCATTTTCTGCAGAAAACGATCGAAGTGCTTATTTTACCAAATATGCTCTAACCGATTTACTTTCAGGACTAACTGAAATGTTAAAAACTGAAAATGATCTTGTAATGGCCATGAATATTTGTTTAACAATAATGGATCGTTGGGAAATTGGATCAATTGTAATCCCAGAGGTTTTTATTAATGTGTTTATGGCATCGAAGGGTTATTCTGATTCGAATCAAATTGCTAAAATATCGAGTTCATTATTTGATGCGATAGAAACTGATATTATATGGGGGAAAATATTTGAATACTTTTATGAAAGCAAAGACGTAAATTTTTTGTTATACATTTTGACAACATTTAATGTCTCACAAGATGAAGAGATCATTGTCCGTCACTTACCACTAATTTTATTAGGTCTTTTGTCTTTTACAGATGACACCTTTCCAGAAGAATCTGATCTAATACATAAATATCATGTATCCAAGCAATTGTTAGATATAATACCCGAAAGAGCATTTTTGCCATTTGATGAATCCATATTAGGATTAACATCCTCTTACAATGCAGAAGGTATACTAACAACTATTTTAAAATACTATAGACAGGTTTCAGATCCCTTGGAATCAGAAATGTTAAATGATAATAATGGATCAGTGCCATTTACAGCAGATATATTGGCATATCTAATTGTGAAATCTAGTATGGAGATATTATTAAGAAATCTAGAAATTGATAATTTTGTTAATGAATCATCCTTAATATTTATATCTATATTCGAAAAGTTACCAGAAATCTCAGGTTCTGATAGTTCTTTTAATAAAATTTTCCCTAAGGAAAATTTAATGGAATCAATTATTACAGCCGCAAGAAGTGAATACATCAAATGTGATTCAATTAACGGTATTATAACTGTGTATAACAGATACTTGTGGTCTAAACTGAATGCTATCGATTTGGCAAAAGTGCTAAAAGTAATTGTTTCGGCTATGTGGAAATATCTGGTAACTCCCCATGAACAAGATGGTGTGGTGAAATACTTAGAAGTACTAGAGAGAGATATCTCCCCATCATTAATTGAATCGGCACTTACCTCTGTTTTTATTCATGAACCGTTAATTTCAAATAAGATAACTGTGTTAGACCTGCTATGGAATAATTTAAAGGTATCATCTACACTAATTGATAGAATGCTTGAACTAGTTCTGGACGAGCTATTTGATTCTCAGTCGCCGCACTATCTATATGTCTCAGAATGGATTCTTTCCGTAACTAATTCTGGCTCCTTGAACCGATTGCTACACGTTTTACTAACTAACATAACAGAGTTTGGATTTTTAAGATCTCAGAAACTTACTGATTTAGATGATTTAGATATGTTTACATATAGATTAAAATTATTGAATGTTACCATTTCATCCAATCAATCAATAATTGGTAAGAAAATTTCGAAGGAAATGGTAGATATGGATATAGTAGAAAAATGGCCCGAATCAGGTGTGACAAACTATAAAGATTTAATTATATCTATCATTATTAGATTCTTAGAGGTGGAGAATAATCACCATGTTAAGAGTATAAGAAGTTCCCTTCTTTTATTAGATGGATTACTTGATGGTACTGAAAAAAATTTCAAAAATGTTGTTCTTTCTTTACTAAATTTATCATCAAAATACTTGAAAGAAAATGAGATTAACTCTAAATCTATTGCTGTTTCACTTTTGAATATAGTGTCTAAAGTGTTGCAACTTTCCCATGAGAATGGAATTAAACTTGATATTTTTGATGATAATGCAACTCACCTGAAATACATAGATTACTTGGTTTCTAGCGTTTCGAGTATGGAAGATCCGATGATCATATCCTCATATATCAAATTGCTTTTGGAAAGTGTGTTGTATATTGAGCAATCTATTTTCAAATGTATTCTACCTCTTACAAATTCAATTGTCCAATGTTTGCAAAAAATCTTTAGGAAGGAGAAGGTAACTGGCGGATTTTATCAATCAATTTCTTTATTATTGGGAGGATTTCAAGAATTGTTAGAACTAACTCATGGTTACTTGCTGGCAGATGAAAAGAATGGAATGTTTTCGACCTCTAATTCGAGAGGTGACTTTTTACAAAGCATGGTCTCTAATGTTTTTTCTGGTGATAATCAAGAATATACTAGCAGGATCCAAGCAGAAAGGTTGGTGGTGTTCCAATCCTTCCAACTAGTTATAAATTGTACTTCGGAGATATGGTATTGGGCGCATAAATCTATTCTTCAAGATGGTGAAAAAAGTAAAATTCGTATGAAAAGTCACAGTCTTTATAAATTTAAATTCAGATGTAAGATGTTACTGGAACGGTTATTTTTATTGGAGCCACTTGAAGTATTGGAGAATTTAATCGCAATTAAAAATGATGAATTAACAATACTTTTAGTACATTCTCTAGATGGAAATAGACCAATTCTAACTGTTCCTTATTTATTGTTTGGGCTTGTTACCCGTTGCAATAAAAATAGTATGATAAAATTATCAACGGGTTCTGGGGTAATTGGTACTGGAAATAGCAAGCCTTTAAAAATTGATCAATCATTAATCAACAGACTTAACTCGCATACTATAATATTATTTTTGATACAATATGTTGAATCATTAGAGAGTGACTCTATTGAGGAGTTTTTTCCGGATTTTATTTCATTCTTTAAAGAAGTTAGCTCTAACAGTAGTTTTTATGCTGATATTTCAACTAATATTCTAAAATTTATAGCTTTATCTGCGGAGAAGATTGATAATTCGAAGTTTGGAAAACAAAAAAATGTTAGAAAGGAACTGTCTGACTTGTTTATGAAATATCAGGTAACCTTATTTACAGATCTTCCAAAAAATGAAGATGACGCTTTGCTGAAAGTGAAAATGGATGATATAATTACCACTGTTGAGCGTCTGACATTTTGCGTTAATGACGAAGTAGGATCTGATAAATTTAATAGTTTTATCTCTAATGTTGTAAACGTCTGTATTTCGTCGCATTTGAAATCAATTGGGACAAAGCCAATCCCTGAGAAGATATTTGAATTATCTATTTTAATTTCTAAAAATTCTGAGAAAGTGAAAAATTGGAAATTACTAATAAATGATATCTTTTTTAATGATAAGCGATTTTCATTATTCAATAATGATGAATCATGGAAAAATATAATATATGAATGGTCACAATATCAAGAGAATAAGATTAAATTGATTCCTGAATTGCTATCGATTATTGATGCTAAAGGTATGACGATAACACCTTCTTTGATTAATTTCAGTTCCTGGAGTTCATCAGAAATCAATGCGAAATCCAAAAATTTCTTGAGGATTGCTTATCTATTGATGGTAGCACCAATTGATACTTATTTATTAAATTTCAAAGTTCTGATGACTTCAGTCATTCAATATCTAAGTTCAAAAAGTCTAGAATTGCGTTCTACTACATGGTTGTTACTTCGTGTCATGCTAATAAGGTTTTCACACTTACATTTTAATGAACATTGGTCAGCTATTGTTTTCTATCTACAAACAGGTCTTCAAGAATTCTATGAAATAATGCAAATTCAGGAAAACATTAATGGGACATTGGTTTTCCAATTGTGTAAGACTTTAGACTTGCTATTGGTCCTCAATATTGAAGAGTTTTCGACCACAAATGAGTGGCTCTTTGTGATTGATACTATTAACTGTATCTATAGAGATAGTAGTTTTATTGCGTTGGCAGATGAAATTGGTGAATCCAATGACTATAAATTGGCAAAGAACGATGAGATCGCTTTGGCCGAACAGTCTGATTACATTGTACCACTCCTAAATGGAACACAATCTATTAACTCACACTTACAGCTTAGAACATTTTTCCAAAAAGTAAGTTACATGCATTATGAAGCCGTGTACAGTCTAAAAGAACTCGATATACCAAAATGTGAGGACGACTTAATAAAAGATATATTTGTTTAGATATGTTGATAATTTGTTAATAATTTTTAAAGAAACTCGTGTATTCAATTCTTATTTGATGTGTGATAATTATTATTTCCTGTCTTAATTGACGTTTTGCGATATTTAAACTCTTTCGTCAGATCCAGAATATCGAAAGGGTTTCCTTGCCTGTCGGAAAAACTAGAGATGATTAAAAAATATTGAACGAGATGACTCAGTTACACAATATTTAAGATGTATATCTTTAAATAAATGATTGAAAGGATGAGATATTTGAGGTAATAGTAACTCTATATTTGATGACAGTACTGTATGAAGATGGAGTTACCGATAGAGATTATTAATGAGATCATATCACAAAGTGGTGGTAGTTGTGAAACTTTAAATTCATGGTTTCAATTATCGACATATTTCCAAGAGTATGTCAAAAGAGAGACATGTATTGTTTTAATTCAAGATGGTCCTGAAAAGGTTGCGAACTGTGATATTCCCAAGGGTTTCCATCCTATTTTGGATAATCTTGCACATTATTATCTGGTGACAGATAATATTGATGGTGATGAATTGTCATTGTTTTTGGAAGACTATAAGAATATAATAATTATAATTCATACTACAAGAAATTATAGTGATCCTTTGAATTCAGCTCTGGGTTTTATTGTGCGAATATGTTATCAAGGAGCAAAGTTATCTGTGATTTATAACACGTCAGTTAATTATTTAAGTCGACTCTACTTCCGAGAGTTCATTCACTCCAGGAAAAGAGTAAGGCTCTGTGAACTTTATATAATCGGAAATTCTTTGATAGGAGAGGAGTCTATGTGTGATATATGTATGTTATTTGAAAGGACATATTTACAAAATATTGACACTATTTTTTCTCTTGAAATCCAAGATGAGGATCATGAAATATTTGCTACGAGTTTAGCAACCATTAAAGAGTTGAATTCAATTTCATCAAAGAAGGATCTTTCTCAAATTTTAATCAATTGTCCATCGTTGCTTTCGATAGATTCCTGCAACTTCCCTTGTAGATTTGCTGGAGAAAGTTATAAGCTAGCAAAATGTGAAAATATTACTTTAGAGTTCTTCAATAATGATGTTAGATACCCCGTTATTGATGGAACAGAAGTGACAAATTCGTTAACTCTAGAACCTTCTCTAAGATCGAATAATGTGGAATTTAAAAATCTTGAATTTCCAAATGTCAAATCTTTGACTCTCAGATTAAAAGATTCGATGAGTCGCTCAGTTCGACTTATTGATTGTAATTTTAAAAAAGTCGAAATATTGAACATTGGATCAAGTATAATCTCATGGGATGATATTATAAATTCCTTTATGGATCTTAACAGTTTATCAATCAATATTATAAATAATGAGCAGTATCTATGGTTACAAAAATGTCCATTTAAGTTGAAGTTTGTTAATATAACATCTCAGGAAAAAGAATTTGCATACTATCCATTGCCTGTTTATAATAACCAATTAAGATTGAGTTTTGAAACAATTTCATTTGATTTAATAAATCCATGGAGATGCTACTTATTCAATAAAATCAGCCTAGATAATATCAAAGTCATTGACACTGCAATTGTAAATATATCAAATGAATTGGTAAATAGAACTTTAAGTAAGAATGATAAAGTTCTGAAGAAATATGGTCTGGTTGATGATCAAAGTCAAATAGTTTTGACGCTGTCTACTATAAAATGTTTGAAAGTATTCAAGAAAAATTCCGGAGACATAAGAAGGATCTATGCGGGTCATGGTCATGTTAATACTTTAAATACCAAAACGTTAAATAACCCAAATGCTTCCCAATTTCGTGTATTGATTGCTAGAGATACGTTGGTCGCACCTTATACTATGTTAATTGATCAGGAACTAAGTGAAAATACCAATATAAAAAGTGACCTTGCATCTGAACTTTTCTTTGGAAACCAATGTCATGGAAGAACTTCATCGTCAGTAACTCCTAAGGAAGATGTAAAAACAAATATTATTATTAGAGGACATACACCAGAAAACATTGTTATGAACGATGAAACTTTCTGCTGTTCCAATATTATTTGGAATCTTGATCACAGTCGACAAGTGCAAGCCCTACAAGTTTTGGTTGATCCAATACCATTCCTGCCAGGTATTGACAACACTGAGAATAAGATAAAACTTTTGGTGGAATTGTGTCAAAATATTCTGGATAAGAAAAATTCCACTATATTTGCTGACTTCAATTACTTAAAGTTTCAAATTGTTATTGATTTTGCTTTCAGCGGTACAGCAATTTTACCTGACTTTAAAAATATCTTGGTTTCTACATTAGAAAGAGAATTATTAGCTACTAATCAAAATTTAGCTGTTCTAATTAATTGCCAGAACAACTTCCAATTAAATTCTGTTTTATTATTATTTTGAAAGCAAAACCCTGGCAATCCTATAATAATAATTGAGGGTGAAAGAAATGGATAAAAGATCCTCAAATGTTGATGTCTTCTTTTTCGTATACTGAAACTTGTTCTGTAAAATTGTGATAATAGAATTTATATGATATCTTAAAGTTACTAATATTTAATAAATTTACTTAATATATAATGTATACTACCAACCACCGTATGCATGTGACGATGGTAATAGTGTTAATGGGATATGACAAATAAACTCATCACCTTCAATATTATCTTTGGAATGTAACAGATACCCTCTTTTGTCCTCGTAAAATTGTTCCATTGTTACATCAAGACCCTTGGATATGAGCACAAATTTAAAGGTTAGAATCCACTTTAGTTGGAAAATGTCAGTTTTAAATTGACCAGTCAATTGATTAGATGGTGACTTTGGGAGAGTTAATTTAAACGGAATTGATTCACAGTCATCAAAGCAAATGGCATGTGTTTCATATACTTGATTGCTTTTTGGTTTGGATCCAGCATCAGCATCATTACTACCATATAAAGGATTGGCCAACTCAAGTGATTCTAATGACACTGTTACTGCACTTACCTTTATAGAATTTGAAGGATCCTCAGAAAAAGTTAACACCAGGTCAATATCATCAGAAGTTGTGTAAAAAAGCTTCGATAGGGATAGTTTGGCAATTAATTCACCATTTCTATTTATTTGGTAATTTCTTCTTAAATTTCTTAATTGTGGTATCAAACCCGATTCAAATTTACCAGTATTATTTTCCCCATCATCTGTATCGTCATCAATTGGATCGTAAGTATTTTCTAGGTTTGCTATATTATTCCTTACTGTCGATGCCCTCTTTGACAAATACTCAGTCTCAGGGTCATCTAGTTCTGATTCTTTGTCTTCTTTACCAAATTGTTTTTCAATTTGTAATTCAACTAGTTCTTCAATATCTTTTGGTTCTTTCGTGTTTTCTCTTACTAAAGCTACAAAATTCTGTTTTAACTCTGCAATTTTCTCAGAATCATCTATGCTAAAGCTACGTCTGTGTCCAAATGATGTATTTGCCGAAGACACTGAAATTGAGGAAATTCTTCTGTTTTTAAGTGACTGTTTTATTTCTGTTATCTGACCTTCTTGAAGTATCACTGCCTCTTGATCGAGTGATGAAATATATTGTTCACCTTTCGCGCTAACATAAGGGCCTATGTTGATTGGTACCTTGATGAGTTCAGGTCTGATTGTAGTTCCAATAACACTACTCACACCTACCTCAAGCAGATAATTAATTGAAATTGTTTTGGAGTTATTGTAACTTGGTGGTAAATCGGTTGGAAGCTTATTTGATTTGAAATGGAAAGTTTTTACTTCACCAGCATCCAAGGTTAATTCTGAGAACAATAGGGATTGAGGGATTAAAAAGATTGGATAATTTTTAATATTACTAGTTTTGCCAAAATTTGACATACTGACAATTAAATTCGAACTTTCTGAGCCAACCAATTCGTATTCCTCCTTTGAAATTAGACCACCAGTAATAGGATTGTAATTGGAATTAATATACTTGGAAATATGTTCATATTCCTGTGACTCTAGGTTTGAATCTGATTTATCATCTTTTGAACTACCTTTCAATAGTCTGTTATCTACTGAGGTGTCCATTGCGACCTTCTTTTTACCCAAATTTTCAAACCCAGCTTCATTGATACATTCTCCATCAAATTGAAATAAACCTGATATTTGAACATAACCAGAGATTAAATTGACCGGTTTATGGAATTGAATTTGTTTAGTTATATTTTCTCTTAACTCTTTCTTCCTTTCCATCTCTTCTTTTGCCAAGCTTTCAGAAGAGCCTCTAGTGAATGAACTTAATAGTGATTTCATGGACCATCCTTGATCATCTGTATTTCTGTTAACATCATCTGGGGTTGTCTCCAATGATTCCTGTGACTGTAAATTTTCAACAAATTCATCTTGTAATTCTCGTATCTTTTCCCTCAATAACAAAAATTCTTGTTGAGAGCCCAAATGCCTTACCCTAATCACAAGTGATATAGGTTCACCAGCAAAATATGGATTGGACTCATGTACAATTTCCACTCTAACATTCTTTGCAATAAGAAAACTATCAATCCTATGTGTATGCATTGTCTACAATGATTGATCTAGTCTTGATTCTTTCAATTTTTACGAGTACAATTCCAAAGAAAGTTGGTAATAGATAAATGCTGAAAGTAGCCAACCTGTAGACCTGATCAATTGGTTCCCTCTCTGCTTGAACCTGATGATAATTGGTTTGATTGAATTTTAATCATTGAATAACCTTTATATAACCATATCTGTACTTTGAATTTAATATTGAACCTCTCCTAGTTATTAAAAATACGTATCACATGATCATATATTGTCTATTAACGTGATCAGGTGGGATATCTTTACTATGGAGTGACGTTAACTAATTTGAAAGGTGACAAGATATTTAAAATCCATCGTTAACATATATGATAACATGAATAATAATATTATATAATTTCCTATTACATTTTCAAGACCACTATAATACCCTTTGGTTGATTCGATCTCTTGGAATCTTCCTCCCAGAGATAACATAATCGAGAAGTAAAATCTACCAATTTCAAACCAGATAAGAGCTTCAAAAAACTATATTCATTTAACTCTTAACTTACTAATCTTGATGTATTATTTTTTTCCTTATTTGTAATTGTGATTATTTGACTCTTTAAGATTTTATACGATTGACTAGTGCCTGATATCATGGATAATGGCTAGATCAAGAGAAACCCAGATTGAGCATCGTGAACGTTTATGTCATATTGATGAAACAAACATCTTCCCATTTATTCCAATCTATAAATTATCACATCATTTTTATCTAATTTGGCGTTACATGTTTTCTATAAGGTTTTTAAATACTGCCCATCAATTATCTTGAAACGATCACCATATATCCGTTCAGATTAATACAATTATTAACGCACTAGTGAACCTCATTTCTTACTTCTTAATCCAAACTGAACAACTGTTTAACCCAAGATTCTGAAATGGTTCAAAAACTATACATAATGTAATAAGATGTCCGTTCCTATAGATAGCCATACTATAGTTAGAAATTAAAACAATACAAACGATGGATCATAAAAATACTTTTAAACCTATTATTATAGAGAGGATATCAAGAAATATTTTAAAATTTGAACGATTCTTACTGTTACTTTAATTACTTGAATAGGATGTTTGGATTATAAAACACAGTAAGCAATTAGCTAAAACTGATGCATTAATTTATATGATCATGGATATATTCAAGGTTTATCCTAAAATGACAAACGTACACAACCTCAAAATGGTACAATCAGTGCATTCAATGATAGATGTACTTATCTATTCAAAAATTGGAAATGACTTCCAATCAAAGGATCTTTGACCCTAACCATTACCATTTATTCGATCATAAATTCTAAGCTTAGTGGTGGATTGAGGATTCTGATGCATTCATTAATGCCGTTGATCTATTTATTACGTCATTTATAAAAACGCGATTTATTGCTTCGAAATGTAAACAATGCAAAAACCCATTTAGGGCTATTTATCAACTTCTTTCATTGATCTGGTTTGATTTAACCTACTCGAGTAGTATTCATTTCTATATTCCAATTGGGGTAGTACCTCTAACCTTATTTCAGAATGGGGAAAGGTCCAAAATTAGGTTTTGTTTCATAATTCGTTAAGATTTTGTCCATAGTTGAAACATCTTGCAACTTCAAAAAATTAACGAAGATGTGGAATTGAGGGTTAATTTTTAAGAAAAGTTGACAATCAGATTGAAATATAGCCTAAAATGTCACCATTGTAATATTATTAATCCTGGAGATAGCTACTTTAGCATCACACTGAAGCTTAACTAAATTATAATGTTTTTCGAATGTGATCTGGGATGTAGCGCTGAGATCAATATTCTTGTTAGGATAGTGAATCAAATATATGAGATCCACATCCTTCTGTCTATAGTAAAAGTCAAGATCATATAGTTTCACTATAGTAGTTTGTAAGATTTAAAAGAAAACTTGCAAGTATGAAAAGGTATTAATCGAATGTATATAATATAATTGCATTATAATGCTATTACCTATTTAGATAATAACAAAATCGTTTATGATGTGGTACATTAAAATTGTATAATGATACTAAATAGTCGTGTTTTTTTCATTCATTTGTTGATAGAAATGTATCGTTTTAATTAATAAAGTCATTATTCCACTAATGCTGTTGTTGGAATTCATTTGCGTATTGTATAGCTTGATCTCCATAATTTGATATAGTTTCATCCAAAGCGGTAAAATTTGGATCGTTAGTCAAAGCATCCAACGATGCTTGTGTCTGTGTTAGATTTTGATTTTGGGCTTCAGCTTGAGCTTGAGCTTGAGCAGCAGCCGCAGTTGCTGCGGCAACTTGATCATCAAAAGTGGCACTTGTATCGATTTGGCCGTCAGTTCCACCAATTTTATGGAAATCTAAAATTTCAGAATACATCATTACACGCCATGTATCTACTGGTAAATCAGCGTCATTAAAATGCCAGTCGAATTTGGCTTCTGCTACTGGTTCATCAGTTGGATCATGATAAGGTGACAAATATGGATGGACCAATACATCGGCAGCTGTAATTCTTTTCTTTGGATCAAATACCAACATTTTCTCTAATAAGTCTACCGCCTCAGGTTCAACTGCTTTAAATCTTTCTGAGAAAGGAACTGGATCTCTGTGAGGCAAAGATGTCACAAATTTAAGGGTATTTTCAGAACAGATAGTGTTGATCACATCACTAGGAGGGGAACCTAACAAATCTGTAATAATAGAGAACTGATGAACATGGTCCTTACCAGGGAATAAAGGTTTACCTTCAATCATTTCTGCGAAGATACAACCAGCTGACCAAATATCTACCTCTACGTCGTATTTTTGCCAAGTCAACATGATTTCAGGAGCTCTATAGTATCTTGTTGAGACATAACCTGTCATTTGAGGGTCTTGGATTCTTGCTAAACCGAAATCACAAATTTTCAAATCACAATTTTCATTAATTAAGATATTACTTGGTTTCAAATCTCTATGTATTACACCTGCTGAATGGACGTATTTTAAACCTCTTAAGATTTGATATAAAAAATATTGAACGAATTGTTTTTCCAAAGGTCTTGTTTGTAGCAGTCTGTGTAGGTCTGTACCTTGTAATTCAGTGACAAAGTATATATCTTCCAAAGGAGATAAGAAGATATCTTGTAGACAAATTAAATTTTCATGGGTTAGATGTTTCAATAATTTCAATTCTCTATAAGTCCTTTTTGCTAAAACCGCAGTTGAGAAAGGCTTCATAATTTTTTTAATTGCTACAGGTTGGGCAGTTAATGTATCAGTTGCAGAACATACCAAACCGAATGCACCCATGCCTACAGGGTTTAAATCAGCATACCTATTAGTAATTTCGAATACTGTACCAAAGATTTGGGTTCTTATAAATTCTTCGTTTGTAGCCATTGTTTTTTCTATTAGTAGTAGTGGTATATGTGGTCTATATATAAACTTCGATTAGAAATTAGGAACTGTTTCTAACAAAAGAGAAAACAAAATTCGATATTGATGTTGATACGATAGAGGAGGATAACAAATAGGTATCTGAAATCTGAACTTAATCTATAATACGTAGAGGGGAAATGTTATCAAAAACAAATAAAGTTCTTATGTATTTTATTTTGTTGGATGTTGTAATGTCGTGTTACAATAGTAACAAAAATAATAGTTAATAGTGATAATTGATGCAATAATTAGAATGTTGCCAAAAGTGGCCAGCCAGTATAGAATATAATTAGAGAAATAGTAATAATTCAACAACCTATATGTGACTAAATAGATATAGGCTTAAATAGACAAATAGTAGTTTCAAGATATAAATTAGAAATATGATGAGTATTAAATCAGATTAAAATGCTAACTAGATAGAAAATAGATTAAATGAAATTAATTTATTAGATATTAATCAGTTAGTGAATAATGAATAAGTGAATGGTTCATAAAAACGTTACTATTTAAAATTACAATTTCATAACTATATCGAACAAGACATATCGTGTCTGACGATAATTAAATATCATGTGCGTGTCTCTGTCTCTCTGTGTATGGCGATAACGTCATTTCGAATCGAATCGAACAGAAAAAAAACCGAAAACCGAAAACCAAAAAATTTAAAAATCTAAAAACGAATAAAACTTACGATTGTGTGTCACGTGGCATTCGTATGTGGCGATGGTATGTGTACGTGACGTGTGAAGGAGATTCAGCACGACGGAAAAAGCATACAATACAATACAATTGAGTTTAAAATTGAGAAGTATGAGAGCCAAGATATGTCTAAATTTTATGAATTTGATTATGATAAGTGTTGGGTGTGTATCCTTTCAGTTGAAATGAGCGAATTGAACAATACAAATACAAATACTATGAATGACCCTTTCCTTGGTGTATCGTCGACAATGGGAAGGGGCAAGGGGGTCACACATTCAGCATATGTGACAAAGTCAGCATGAATTAGCATAATTTTAATGCATGCATAAATGTCTTTATGTTTTGCAGAAAGCTAATGCAATGGGATGTTGAAATCCAATGAAAAAAAAATTACCCAAATCGAAATTCTTGTTTCGTGAATGAACTGAATTGTGATAGATTATTGTGTCTTTCCTGTCAACTGTTTCTGTACTCGTGCAGACACACGCCCCTTAAAGTGCACAGATTCAAAAAGAAAGGGCGGAGCCATCAGTTGTAAGAGAATTGAAAGTAATACTTATGTAATGGACTAATTCGGAAGCGTAAGTTTATACTATTATCCCAAAATAGAAAAGACTCAGTAAAGAAGAAATGTGGCAAGGGGATAGAGAAGGGGCCCAAAGTCTAAGGTGCAACCGGAGGAAACAAGAGGAAAAAAAAAGAAAAAGGAAAAAGAAAAAACAAAAGAAACAAAATGGGTCAGATGGTGACGGACCAGAACGAGAGAACGATCGGAAGACGAAATAGAAAAACGAGAAACAAATTAAAAGAGAGACAAAAATAGCAACAAATATAAAAAGCAAAAGACTGGGTTTCTATGACGTCGTTGAATGAAAAGAAATCTAAAATAATTCTAATTTTGGGCCTTTACCCAATTAGGTTAATTAATAGTAGACCATTTGTTTATTTTGAAAAGGACAAGATTTATGTTTAGATGATAAAATGTTGAATTAACTAAAGTTATGGTGATAGTACAAGAAGTAAATAATTAATTTTTGAAGAGAAATGTTACAATAGGTATATTGGTTGAGAATTTGTTTCATTATGTTCAATTGAATCTAGTCAAGAGGATTTGAAGAAAAATCTTTCAAGGTGATGTATATTGTTTTAAGATAGAGAATGGATTTAATATTGTTACTATTATGTTGAGATTGATCTTTATCTTGGTATGGGTTAGATATGCTGGGTCAGGTCATCTGACCCAGCCCAGCAAATCTCAATCTCAATCTCAATTGATAAATAAGAAGGCAAGGCTATATTACCTGATTTATATTCATTGTCGTTCTTTTTTGTGACAATTATAATATAATATAATATAATGTAATATAATATAATAAGTCATGTCATAATCCCAGGGAATTAGCCAATTGAGTCAATGAATTAAATTGATAAACAAAGCTAGAACCCAAAACCCAAAAAAATTACATTTATAATTAATTTACAAGAGTAAACAATTTATGCGTTGAGGAGAGGCTGACTTCGATCAGATGATTAGCAACAACAAACCAAATCCAGCTAAAAATTGACAAATAGGCCTAACCCAACCAAAAACAGCAACCAAAGACAAGCTAAGTTGACTTATAGCCCAAATAGACTAAAGCTTAATTTGGAAATAAGTATGTAGTGAAAAAAATGACTAAATAGAAACATCATAACTAAAACTAGAACTGAAACTTAAACACCAACAATCAATCAATCAATCAATCAATCAATCAATCAATCAATCAATACCTTGCTTGCTTGCATATTTCCCTGTTTTCTCCACGAAATTAATCTTGGCTCTCCCCCCATAGCATAGAGCAAATTGGCAATTTCCAATACTAAAATCCTACTGCTTATCTTTTTGCCATCATCAAAGAACAAAAAACCTTCCATCTCCCCACCTTTCCTTCCATGACCATATGCAGTTACCCTGTCACGAAAATAAAAGTCGGTACAGGGAGAATGACTAGGTTGCTGATAATACCGTAGGAAAACAAAACAAAACAAAACACAGCGACTATATCCTTATCATATTCCTGTGCTTGCTGTCTCTGCTCTTATTTTCCTAAACATTCATCACCTCATCATTTCCTGATTCGTTCGTATCACACAACCGGGATGTACAGATGTATTACCTCATCTGTGGTTTAGAGAGGATATTTTTCGTGTTGTCCCCCTAGTTGTCTCGTACGAGACCAGCTTTGGAAATAAATCACTTTCCCTTCGGTTTCCCACTTTATTATCTCTTCACCAGCTTTTAATTGATCCTTTATCTTTGGGGGGAGGGGGAAGAGCCATACAAGAGGGAGGTGTACCTAAATGGTAAGTTTTAGTATGTTACAACAGAAACATTAAAAACTCTGTTTCTTGCTAAGTAGTGTATTATACATAGTTGCAAGAATATTAATAATAGTTGAAATGAAATAAAATGAAATAAAATATAAACTAATAGTAATAATTATAATTATAATTATTAGAGAGTCGCAGTGTAACTTAAATCAGTAGTACACGATCGGCCCTCGTGATTTCATGTCTGTATGTTACTGACCTAGCACTGTATCCGTTCTCTCCCCTTGATCTCTCCTCCCCACGCTCCCTTCTCTGCTTTTCTTGGTACAGACAACAACAACAACAACTACAACTACAAGAACGATAAACAACCAACATATAATTTATTGCCTATTTTTGGAAATTATGTACTCAGTTTACGGTAAAACGACAACAACGCCCTCAAACAAAAAAGAAAAAAAAACCTTTTTACATCGAAAACTATCGTTCTTCTCCGCACCGCTCTCTGCCTGCTCAAGAACAATATATATACACACATATACCTAATATTTTTTTATTTTATTTTGAGTGTTACCACCATACTACATACAATTGTATAAAATCATAAAAAACAAACAAACCAAACAAACATCAAAAGTACAAATTGCGACTACGATAACGAATGTAGGAAAAATACACACAAGCCAAAAGAACGTTACAATAATCACGACAAATTCGTAGAAAAATGTATAGCAGTTTGTAGTCAGATGCGTTCACGAAAACAGTAAAAACTAAATACATATACCAGAAGCTTAACTTGTTATTGTCACCACCGACCGATTGAAAAGTACAATGTTTAAAAGGAGAAGGAAAGGACCAATACCAGCCAGACAATTGACAGTACAAACATTAAAGTAATAAAATAAAAAAAAATAGTAGATAGTAACAATTAATTACATTAGTATTTATCGATGAAAATAGCATATCCAATGTAATTTTGCAGTTGGAACCATAAATGCTCGGAACACTCAATACCTCAAACATGAGGACACTTACTTACAAGCTTCCTCTCGAATGATAAGGTCCAAGGAAACCCACCACACACACAGACGTATCTACTACAATATGCTTTGAAAAAACATTATAGATACATATATGCATATCAGAGAGACACACTGATTTAAGTAAAAGTAAAAGCAAAAGTAAAAGCATACAAACTTGTATGCTCTCTCACTGCTCGTGTTTAATGTTGATGACAGGGCTTGAGAAGGGGACCTTCCAGTACAAGAAAGCAAGCTAACAAACATATCATATTAACAATTTAATTCCAACGTTCGAAAAATTGATCAATGTATATGTCTTTCTATCTCTCTGTCTCCGTGGTTCTCTTGCTGTGAATATATATTTTTTCTTTTTATTTTTCTGCTTTTAATTTCATAAATCTATCTTACCATCTGGCTAAATTCGTGTGTTAGTTTCTCTTTCTCTTTTTCTTTTACTCAGAGTATTGTTATGTTTTGTTTTGTTTTGTTTTGTTTTGTTTTGTTTTATCTTTTATCCAACCTTTGCTGGGTCAACTGTTACCGTTGGATATCTTCTTCCTAGTCTTGTCCTTGTTTTTTTCTTGTTTTCGGTACCTCCCTACGCCGCTTTCTCTTCTTTCCGATGTGAAAAATGTTAAAATGTTGATGTTTAATTTAGAAACTCGAATATTTTTATTTCTTCTACCCGCTCCTTTTGGCATCGATCTGGAAACCAGTGGTTTCTTCTTTCTCGGTTTCAAGAGAACTCTAGAGGAACACGACAGTTTTGGTTCGGTTTTACTCTACATAGAGAGAGAGAAAGAGACAACAGAGGTAAAATACAGTAATGAAGTCTAGCTGTAGTAGTAACACCAATATTATTATTATTATTCTTATTACTATTACTATTACTATTACTATTAGTCTAGTCTAATCTTTGGTTTATTTTAGTTTAGCTAAGTTGAGTTAAGTTGACTTCATTAAAAAAAAAAAAAACTTTCTTGTTACACGAAGGTGGTTAAGACATATGCAGTACGAGGTTTAGAAAGAGGGTATTCGATTTCGAGAGCATGTTATTAATTACAAGTTCGCTTTTGTTTTGATTTTTTGGTTTATTTGCTTGCTCTGTTGACAAGATTGCGTTTTTTTCACTTTTAGATAGAGAAACTGCTGAGTGTAATCTTATAATGAAAAAGAAAGCACCGGGCTGCTTCGAAGAAAGATACACAGCGAGAGTCCAAGATTCTATGTGCGTGTGTATATGAAAATTTTTCTCTTTTATTTTTATTTTTAATTTTAATTTCAAATTATTATTTTTCCCTCCCTCCCTCTCTCCCTTCTTACAAGTTAATTCGAACAGCATAAAATTTTTTTTTCAGTTTTCAGTTTTCATTTCGAGTTTTCGTTTTTCTCATGGTATATAAACTGGGGCCTAATTTTGGTTTTTATATTCTTGTCATCTTTCACTCTTATTATTTGTATTTCTATTATTTTCTATTTTTTTTCCTTCTTTATTATTATTTTTATCCTAAATCCCCAAGAAAATAATCTTCTGTCACTCGCTTTTACACAAATATTAACTTTTTAGAAATGCAATTCTCTACTGTCGCTACCGTCGCTGCCGTCGCCGCCGTTGCCACCGCTGCTAACGTCACCACCGTCACTGAACACCAAGAATCTACCACTTTGGTTACCATCACTGACTGTGTTTCCCACGTCTGTTCCGAAACCGTCTCTCCAGCTTTGGTTTCCACTGCCACCGTCACCGTTGACGATGTCATCACCACCTACACTACCTGGTGTCCATTGACCTCCACTGAAGCTGCTCACGTTTCTTCTGCTGCTCCAGTCTCCTCTGCTGCTCCAGTTGCTCAAAACACCACCTCCGCTAAGCCAACCTCTACCGCCGCTGTCTCTTCTTTCGAAGGTGCTGCTGCTAGAGCTTTGCCAGCTGCTGGTGCTTTGTTGGCCGGTGCTGCTGCTTTGTTGTTGTAAGTTTAATGAACTTAAATATTATTATTTCATACTATTTTTTTCATTTTCATAACAATTTCAAACATTCGGTGGTAATATATTTCTAATAGAAATCTAAAACAAAAAACTTTTTGATAATTAATTTTTAATGGATCTTGGGTTTCAAAATGTTTTAATGTGTAGCTGTTTACAGCTTCAATTCGGACGTTGAATTCAAGGAACTTTATTTAGTTTATAACGCTAGTAATTATATATCTATTTATCTTTACTTCTATAAATTAGTTTATAGTTCGTCTCATTAATGTCATAATTGGTTATTAAGTATTAATTGTTCATGTTAGTGTCTGTTTAACATCTATGTTGAATGTATTCTAATTAATTCTTTTTTTTTTCCATGAGATGTAGTCGCTTGGAGGCTTCGAACCTATGTGGTAAAAATTAACATATTTGGCATTATACGGTTCCTGATCAACTCCTCTTATAGCTTAAATTGCCATTTCTAATATCCAAATAAAGGTCCATATTGCCTAATTCTTGATATCTGTTTTATGGATCCAAGGTATAAATTCTTTTCAAAAAAAAAAACTTATTAAATCTCTTTGTAAAACGGTTCATCCTTATGCAGGGGAACTGCTGATCATCTCTGTATTGTTTCAAATTGACCAAATGTCCACGGAGGGTACTCCATGAACGTTCGTTTTACTTTTTAAAAATGGTTATCATCGACCGTTTCGTATCTAGTGCTCTCTTTAAACATCAGATATCTATTATTAATCAGGCTTTAAATATTAAGACTAGTTTCTTAACTATTGACAGTATTAATCTTGCTCTAACATCAGTTTAATATATATCTATATATTGTTGGATCAGAATCATTAGGGACTGGGTAGATTACAAATTATGCTAGATAGATTTCCTCCTGAAATATTAGAAAATGTGCTAGAGTACCTGGGTCAAGAGGAAAAAGTCTCCTTGACTTATGTTTCACGTATCCTATATAAACATTCGATCCCTTCACTATACAGACATTTGCTATTAAATGACTGTTATTACTTCCCTTGTCAATTGGATCCAACTATAGGTACCAGACATTGGTCAGTTTTATATCTATCCTACAATTACAATTCTTCCAAAAGGAAAGAATTAGCTAATAGGAAGTACCTGACTCTAATTAGAAGTTTAGAGTCAAATCCAGAAAAATTATGCCCATTGATATATTCTTTACATCTGGAATGGCATATCAATGATTCATTATTATCAAGATTTTTAAAAGTTATAATTGACCACGCAGTCAATCTTAAATCAGTGGAAAATTTCATAAAAAAATACATAGGTATTACACTAATGAAAAATAAATCAAATTTAGAATCGTTAAATTTATTCCCTCCGGATTCATATCCAGTAGAAGGTGGTGCATCTCCTGCATATTTCAATGGATTGCGTGGTTTACTAAAAACTTATTCGTTTGATCATGTTAAGAATTTAAACGTCCATGTCAATTGTCGAACCTTTTTCAAACCTTTGAAGAATCCTTTGAAAATAGAGTCTCTATGTCTGAACCTACGACACGATACATTTGATACAGATCCATTAGCAACTGCTATAAGAACAAATTATTATGATATATTCGATGTGGATACTTTAAAGGAATTGGAAATTTTGTCATGGTATAGTGACGGTGACACCGATTGGGAAACTTTACACATGCTATATGATTTATGGGGGTTAAGAGATTTTGGTAAATTTAATAACATTGAAAACTTCACCATATTACAATTACTTTATAATGAACAATATTTGACGTTTTTCCTAAAGTCATTTCATAATTTGAAAAGAGTGAAGCTGGACTATTTAGATTATATTGACGGTACCTTTGTTAAATCAGAACAAATTGATCTGCTAGGGAGATTAGGCTGTTCAAAATCTTTAAGATATATCGATTTGCATATGACAAAATTAGAACCTAAACTTCTCGAAATACATCATTTTGAGAATCTTTCAGTCTTTGAGATAAATATGTCATGCAAGTGTAGTGACTGTGGTGACACTTTAAAAAATGTTATATTAAAAAAATACTTCCCAACAAAAGATACATTTACAGTCAATGGTTTTAGTCATTTACACAAGAGGGACTTTTTTTTACAAATATTTAAACTTTTCCCAATATTCCCATATTATCCATTTGTCGACAGCCATCCAACTATAGGGTATAATTCCATGCCATTAAATCATCATGTCGAAGGTGTGAATAAGTTGCTTAACTATGAACCAAATGATGTGAAATACATTACCGAACAAGATATAATAAAGATATATCATGCCATGCTGCATTCAATGAGAAAGTCATTCGATAGCTTTCTTCAGAAATTCCCAAACTTAGAATATTTAATTTTGAATGGTGTTGCAACTAAAGTATTACAGGTCGATGAACATCAAAGATGTAATATGCCGTTGTTCTACTGCAACGGCTACAAGAGTAATCAAGTGTATGAACTAGTGAGTGATTCATTGTTTGACTAATCAAAGAATTAAAAAAAATGGCATAATCTTTCAATTTATCATCTGATTCGTTCTTCTATTTTTTTTTATTATTATATTTTATTTTTATGATGCTTATCAATCATCATTATTAGTATATAAGGTCATCAAAACCATTGCATTAAAATACAGATCATCGTTTCATTTTTATCCTTAATCAATCTTAATCTAGACAGATAATTAGGAATCTCGCTATTTGTCTATAGCCTTGCCCTAATCAAGTTTTTCATTAGCGGAAAAGCATTGTCGACATCACTAAATTTCTAAAAAAATGGAAAGTGGAAAATTTTTTAGTATATAAAGAAGCAAAAGGATTTGATTGTAAAGAAGTCTACTATACAAGAGAGAACTGTTTAGTTGTGTAAGTTTTGAATATATACTCAGAAGTAAGAAGTGATGCAGGTATTCTTTGACTTGGCCAGTGAAAGAATAAGAATGTATAGTTAAAAATTTAGAGTATGTACTAGGTAGTGTTGCTTTAGATTTTGTTAATTGGCTTGACTCAGTGGGCATGAAAATTTTAAACTTTATATGATGATACAAATATATTGTTGCTCGAAGATTTATCGATGTGAGCACATGATTTCTCAATAGACTACAACGGTATCTGAATTAGTTTCATAGCTTTTCTTTCTGTCTCAATTTTGTAAAATATAAACCTTGCTGTAGAGGATAGTTAGAAATTCTTGAATGACTTTTTGATTAAAGTTTAATAATGTTACAGAATAAGTGATCTGTAATCGAACACATGTCTTGATTGGAAAGAATAGGTAATATCGATAGACAGTTTTTTCTAAAATGCATTATTTACAGTAGTCTCGAAGTTTTTTGTTAACTCATCTCATCTCATCGTGTATTATATTTTTGATATATTTATAACAATGGTAAAGATACCTCTCTTGGAACAAAAATTAACATAAAAAAACAGTATAATAGCAAAGGAAGGCAAACAAGAATGGCAAAAGGTAGACCTAATAGTAAGAGATACAAATACCCATTACCTATACATCCTATTGATGATTTGCCTCAGTTGTATCCACACAATCCCATTTCATGGATTTATTGGACATATTGTTACGTTAAGAAGGTAAATGCATTGGAAAGGAAAATAAAAGTAGAGTTAACAGGTAAAAAATACGTTCATATATTAGTTAAGGATAACAATGATATGCTATATCTATGGGAGAATGGGTTCTTTGGTACTGGCCAATTTTCTCGTAGTGAACCAACATGGTTAAACAGAGCTACAAATAGACTGCTTCCAAATGATGAAGATAAGAAGAACCAAGTGGCTTTAGAAAAAGTTACGCAGATCAGAAGATCACAAAGAGCTGAATTTAAGAAAGAACGTGAAAAGATGGAAGCCCAATTACTTGAATTAAGAAAACAAGGTTGCACTGCGGAGGAAGAACAAGAATTTATAGAGAAAGAAAGAGAAACGTTACGAGAGTTGAGATCCAAAGAGCTTCTACTTTCGTCAATTGACAATGAGTTAAAATTCAGATATGAAGATAATGAATTATTTGATGATATGGGGAACATAATTCAACTTGAGTCACTAGAATTATTACCCGTTGAAGCTATATTCCTAACGTTTGCATTGCCAGTTCTAGAAATCGAAACAGATCACTTATTTAGAAGATTAGCTGGCGATCCGAAGAACGTAAACTATAAAGACATTTATGGCTTGATAAAGAAATATGTTGCGTATCACCATTATCGATCTCATGGATGGTGTGTCAGATCCGGGATAAAATTTGGCTGCGACTACATTTTATATCAAAGAGGACCACCATTTCATCATGCTGAGTTCTGTGTAATGGTATTAGATTCTGAAGAAAAACATGATTATACATGGTTCTCGAGCATTGCACGTGTAGTGGGCGGTGTAAAGAAAACATTTGTATTATGTTATATTGAAAGGTTAATTTCAGAGCAAGACATCTTAAAATTATGGCGTAACGGACAGTACCACAAAGTATTTTCAAGTTTTAAAACCTCTGAAATAATTTACAAGAGATGGATTTCAGGAAAGAACAGAGATTGATTCATCTAGATGTCTTTTCCATCGCCTTCCAGTATCCCTCCCCCCCATTAGCATAATATATAAACACAAGCACAAACATGCAAATATATATATATATATATATAATCTGTATGATTTAATTATAACACTGCATACCACGATAGCTAGTTCCAAACTGTGAGAGTAGGAACCGTTTTGGAATCCTGACACACACGCGATGAAACATAAAACTCAATTGACAAGAATATATGTTTCAAGTGTGTTTCATCTTATCTTGTAACACTTCTCTCTGTCGTTTAACCAAATCGAGATGAGACATGGACAGTTAATATAACCACTATTCCTAATGAATATATTTGGGAATCTACACACGTGATAGTCACATGCAACATATATATGTATGTGCTATTTCTTTTATATTTTTTCTTGGCCCTCTCCCACCTGGTGATAAGTGGCGCATGAGAAAGGGGCGAAATACACAGCTTACTTTGCCAAGTTGGTACATGCCCTGCCCAGTTGATAAATCGAATTGAATTGAATTGGAATTGAATTGGAACTTTATGCAAGAAAATTGTTCGAATTTTAGTAATATATATATATATATAAATTGGTTTTAGACTAAGTTGAGTTTGATTGGATAGATACAGGATACTATTTATTCTAAAATATATTACAGAAGGGACAATTGTAGCAATTAATTGTATCTTTACATCTATCTTTGGTTTCTTTTCTATTACTTTACTTTTTTTTTGTTTTATAACTTTTTAGCTAATTCAGTTAGCTTAATAGATCAGTGATTAACTGCACAAGGATAGGATTATTAAATAATTCATTATATATATATATCTATTACCCACATTTTTCATTCCTGAACGTTTATTACCATTAACAAATGAATATTGTTAAATTACAGAGAAAGTTTCCTATCTTGTCTCAAGAAGATTTGTTCGAAACAATTGAAAAATTCAGAGCAATCGATATCGATGATAAAGGTTGGGTTGAGAAACAACAAGCTTTAGAAGCTGTTTCAAAATCCGGTGATGCCACTTATGATGAAGCTAGAGAAACTTTGAAACAAGTCAATGTCGACGCTTCTGGTCATGTCGAATTGGACGATTACGTCGAATTGATGGCTAAATTAAAAGAATCTTCTTCTGGACCTGTACCACAGACCAGTTTTAGTACCGGCTCTGTCCCAATCGCTTCTACTCAACATGCCGGTTTACAACATAAAGGTTCCGGTGCTCAAGCTAAGATTATCGTCGGTGGTTCCACTAGTGGTACTACTCATACTATTAACGAAGAAGAAAGACGTGAATTCACAAAACATATTAATAGTGTCTTGGCAGGTGATTTGGAAATTGGTCACTTATTGCCTTTCCCAACTGATACTTTCCAATTATTCGACGAATGTAGAGATGGTTTGGTTTTATCAAAATTGATCAACGATTCTGTCCCTGATACTATCGACACTAGAGTTTTAAACATGCCAAAGAATGGTAAGAAATTAAATAATTTCCAAGCAAGTGAAAACGCAAATATCGTTATTAACTCTGCTAAGGCCATCGGTTGTGTCGTTGTGAACGTCCATTCTGAAGATATTATAGAAGGTAAAGAACATTTAATACTAGGTTTGATTTGGCAAGTTATTAGAAGAGGGTTGTTGAGTAAAATTGATATCAAACACCATCCAGAATTATACCGTTTATTGGAAGATGATGAGACTTTAGAACAATTCTTAAGATTGCCACCAGAACAAATTCTAATACGTTGGTTCAATTACCACTTGAAAGCGGCAAACTGGAATAGAAGAGTATCAAACTTTTCACAGGATGTCTCTGATGGTGAAAACTACACAATCTTATTAAACCAACTGGCACCAGATCAATGTTCTAGATCACCATTACAAACTGCTGATTTGATGGAAAGAGCTGAAGAAATTCTACAAAACGCTGATAAACTAGGATGTAGAAAGTATTTAACTCCAAGCTCTTTAGTTGCTGGTAATCCGAAATTAAACTTGGCTTTCGTCGCCCACTTATTCAACACACACCCAGGTTTGGAACCAATTGAAGAAGCCGAAGTTCCAGAAATTGAAGATTTCGATGCTGAAGGTGAAAGAGAAGCTAGAGTTTTCACTCTATGGTTGAACTCTTTAGATGTTGATCCTCCTGTCATAAGTTTGTTCGAAGATGTTAAGGACGGTCTAGTCTTATTACAAGCTTATGATAAGGTCATGCCAGGTTCTGTTGATAAGAAATACGTTAACCAAAGACCATCTTCAGGTGCCGAATTATCTAGATTCAAGGCTTTAGAAAACACAAACTATGCAGTTGAATTGGGTAAAGTTAAAGGTTTCTCTTTGGTCGGTATTGAAGGTTCGGATATAGTCGATGGTACTAAGCTATTAATTCTAGCGTTAGTATGGCAATTAATGCGTAGAAACATTATTAATACTATGGCTACTTTGTCTTCCACAGGTAGAGATATGAGTGATGCTCAAATTTTGAAATGGGCTCAAGAACAAGTTGCCAAAGGTGGTAAATCATCTAAAGTTATGTCATTCAAGGACTCTTCCTTATCTAATGGTCATTTCTTGTTGGATGTTTTGAATGGTCTAGCTCCAGGTTATGTAAACTATGATTTGGTAACACCAGGTAATACTGAGGAAGAAAGATATGCTAATGCTAAATTGGCTATTTCTATCGCTAGAAAGTTAGGTGCATTAATTTGGTTAGTTCCTGAAGATATCAATGAAGTTCGTTCAAGATTGATCTTGACATTCATTGCATCCTTGATGTCGTTGAAGAAATAATGAGTTGTTTTCATATTCTACATTGTTTTTTACTTTGTGAACCATAATCAGATGAAACCTGGAACATAGAGTAATCTATCCATTTTAACAAGAGACGTTAAGCGTGATTGACAATTACTAAATTATAATTTTGCGAACTTATAATATATTTTATTGCTACTATACATTATTTTTTTTCTGTTACGTTTTTTATTTCTATTAAGCTTCTTCTAAATTACAAGGAAGTATGTAATTCGGTATACTTTATCCTTTTATAATTTTGTAATATAACATTAATATATTTATATATATATATTATTTTTTGATGGTGTTAAAGAGATGAAATAAATTCAGGAGAGTGTGACAGAGATATTTAGTCTGATAATTATATTAAAATCATATTGTATAAAATATCTATTGAATTCATTAAATTTTTTAGCTATATAAGCGACCTATTTACCATAAATAATTCATTACGCGTTTCCATATAACCCTTGATGTTCTTCTACCCAAGAATTTACCCAACAATGGCAGAAACAACCAATTAAGAACCTTATTTAATTGTTGTAAAGATTCTTCCCATTGGCGTTGGGCATCTAACAATTGTGCCTCCAACAACAAATCCTCATCATATTCATCTGAATCAGTAGACTCTTCTTCTTCTTCTTCTTCTTCTTCTTCTTGCTCTTCGTCTCCATCTTCATCCTTAGAATGCACCATTTCTTCCATAATATCCTGTTCTTCTTTTCGTTGCAGTTCTTCAGCTACTAAGTTTTCAATACCACTATCGGAATTGTGCTTGTCATTTTCAATGATCGAATCATCATCACTTTCATCAAAATCATTATCATTTGATAATACATCGAAGGGATTGCTGATCAATCCAACATTCTGTTTATTCGCCACTACCATCTTTCTTTATGAAATATAAATGTGTATATAATAATATCTTTCAATTAGAATATCTTAAGTTAAGTTATAATTGAATTCCCAATAAGAATATTTTCCTTGTAACGGTTGCTTGATGAACAAAAAACAAAAAAAAAACTAATTCCTATAGTAGGTATGAGATAAAGCAAAGCGACAATGTGTTAATGAATTGATATTACAATTACAACAGGTATAGTCAATCGCTTCCTTAATTAATTAATATCGAGATGCCTTCACCTACTCCAGTTAGAAGATAAACTTTTATAAAAGTAACTTTACTCGTTTGAGATCTAAAAAAAATATCGAATACTGACTGCCCTTTTCTCACTCACCAGGCGTCTATCTTTCCCTACCTCTATGTCTCCCTCTTGGTTTCCCGCAAAAGTTTTCACTAGATGATGTATCCTGTATCCAGAATATATCCTGAATTCTAGATTGAAAATGAAATCATGATCCTAAAGAAAGGGCATTGCAATTGAAACTATGAAATTATAACAATACTATAATAAGGATATCAAGTACCCATCCAGCATTGTTCTAGCCATTTGGGCTGAGGCCTCAGATTGATAGATGATAATGGCAAAATCCAGTGCATGATTGCATTGCATCCAAATGCTCGAAACTAATGGGCTCAAGAGAAGAGAATTAAAAAATTTTCAGTGAGTTGAGTATCCGTCTCTCTCTTTAGATTCGGATCCGAGAGGCAAGTAACAATTCTAGATATTCGTTGGAAGTCTAAGCATTTTGTCGAGTCTCATTTCTCTAGTCGGAAATGTGATCCCGTCTTGGTGTGGTGGTTGCAATTGAAAAGCTGAGAGAGAAAAGAGAGAGACTCCTATGAAGACAGACTCGGCCGAGCAGTCCAAGCACAACAGTCTGCATTTTATTGTAATGTATTTTTTCAATCTCGGATCGGATACGGAAATTGTAAGGAAAATGGAAATGAAATCTTCGGGTCCGAGAAGACTCCTTTTCTTTGGATAAATGTCTGTTACGAATGAGAGCTGAGCCTTAAGAAGAAACTCGAAGTGAAGTAACTAACTTGTCCGAGTTCGAGTTCGAAAGGATATTATTGCATCGACATAGTAACAGTGAAAGGGATTTCTAAGCATCAGTAAGGTTAAGCTTTACTGGGCATTATTGATCTAGAAGTTTCCTCATAGTTGATGTTGGTACTTTCTTGACAATCCAGGTGCCAACAGACGTACATACTTGAACTTTTCAATTCGGAAGATTAGAATTTGGGTAACTGAGATTCTAAGTTCAAATTGTTTTAAGTACGTCACCAACAGGGAAAGAAAAACAAGAAACCAAAACAACAAAAAATAAAACAGAAGAAGTAGCAGTGCAAACTAATTGCTAAGTTGTTTTGAAGATTTTGAGAGGCGAAGTTAATTTGGTATTCAATTCTTTCTTATTAATTTGTTGAATGTGTCAATAGTCTTCATCGATTTATACTTATCTGTAGTTTCGTTCTGTTTGTTGAGTTTGGCTTGCAAACTGCATGTGAATATTTAATCGAATTTTAGCTTTATTTCAAGTTCGGTTAAATCTTAGAATTTAGTTATATGCATTTCGGTACCTGACTTTGGTTGTTGTTGTTAGAACTTGTTCGAAGTCATAGTTTATATATAAAGTAGGGGTAGACATTTCAGTTTTCCTCTATTATATCTGATTTTATTGTTTCCTTCATTTAATGGGTAGATGATACGAAATAGTGCAAGGTTCTTCTCTACCAATACCACACTTTACCAAAGAACATTTGCAAGAAGACTGCTAGTACGGTTAGTCTGGTCAAACGATACTGTTGAAAAAAAATCAGGTTTTAAAATGTGGACTACCTATTTGAAAAATGATAAATGTGATTCCCTAAAAACTTTGAAAGAATATCAAGATAAAATCATGGATACCGTTGAAATCAACGGTACGAAAAAAAATGATTTAATTCTAAATGAAATTAATCAATGGCATTTCCATAACCCGGAAGCTTCATTAGTAGATACTCCTACTTTATTGATCCATGGTTATGCAGCCTCTTCTTTAGCTTATTTTAGAACGTTTAGTGGATTATCAGACAAAATTAAAAACTTATATGCAATTGACCTGCCATCCTTTGGCCTGTCAAATGCACCTCCTTTAGATTTTAAAGAAAAAGTATCTGATATAAAAATAAAGTTAAGTGATGATAATACAAAATTTAAAATTTCTGATTCAAATCGTGTAGATTCCTTGGATCTAAAAAAATTAATAGGAAAATATGAAGATTATTATGTCGAAAAAATTGAAGATTGGAGAAAGGCTAATAAATTAGAAAAAATAAATTTGGTGGGTCATTCTTTTGGTGGATACATTTCATTCAAATATGCTATCAAGTATCCAGATGCTATTAATAGACTATGTTTGGTCTCACCTCTTGGTATGGAATCAAATATTCACTCAGTAAATAATAACTTTGAAACGAAAAAGGAATATCCATTAGATTTAGAAGATCCGTCTTCAAGATTTTATGCAAAGGAAAGAAGAATCCCAAATTTTCTATTTAAAAATCAATTAAATGTATTAAGATGGATGGGTCCAATAGGTTCTAAACTATGCTGGAATTATATAAATGCATCATATCGTAGAGTACCAAACCCACTTTTTAAGGAATATCTATTTGAATTATTATACGGTAAAGGGGGTATGCCTTCTGTCACAATAGATATTTTCACTAATTTATTTACGAGGTCATTATTAGCAAGAGATCCAATAATGGATTCCATTTCAAAGCTTAAGGCTGAAAAGGTTCTATTACTATATGGTGAGCACGACTGGATGAACAATCTTGCTGGTTATAATATGGTCGAATCGTTAAATCAGTTAAAACCAAACAACAACATCAGCACAATAGATTACGCTAATTATGTAGAGGTTCCAGATGCTGGTCATAATTTATTTCTGGATAATCCACAATTTTTCAATAGCGCAGTACTATCATTCTTTAAAGCTAAGTAGCATCATCATCTTATTTTATATTATCAATAATTCATTAATAAAATAAATCGTGTAATTAATTTTTATATTTGTTTATATTTTGTCACCTCAAAAAGGAAAGTTTATAAGTCTTTGAAGTTTATCAAAGATTAAAAATTCATTATCAAAACAAAACTATAAAAAATAATTTAAGAAACTTGAAATTAATGCAGCTAATTTGAAACCATTGCTTCTCCTAATATATCAAAAAGTTGCGAAATTAATACATTTATTGATAATCTATTACTATCAGTCGTTGGCTTTTGTTTCCATAATCCCTATTCTCAAATCACAGATAATTAGCATAGTAAAGATAGATATTTTACATTTGAAATTATTGACCTACTTTAATTAATAGTAATTATTCTTCCAAGGTATCGTAATTATTATTTAGGATAATAATTGTTTTCATTAAGGTAACTATAGTAATTTAAATGTGTCATTTACTTTATTACACCTATCTGCAGGCTCATTTTCTGAGAGATAGAGTCTCATTTCACGTTATTCTAATAATACAACCGATACAGAAATAGATGAATCGGAAAATGCTTTAAATGGCTTTTAAATAACATCACAAGTGAGTGTCATGTTGTTAGATTGGGATTCCTCTAACTTTTACATATCTGTCACTGTCATGTGACCATGGATGTAATCATTATATAAGGACGAGTTGATTAAATTCACGAAATGAAAATGTCTTCACTAGACAGGAACAGGAAGAACAAATATTTAGAATTCTCATCTGATATATCCAACTATTTTAATAATATTTAATATTTGGAGCTAATGAAAATTTGATGGATCGATTGACCATGTATTTAGAATAAGATGGAAACTTCTATTGAACATATCGAGGTAACGAATCGTGGAATAATCGATGATGAAGCTGAGAAGGCTATCGCCATTTGGGAAAAAGGTGTAGCCAAAGAAAAGGTTGGTTTAATGAATGATGCAATCAGGTACTACAGACAGGCATTAAAGATTCATGAAGGTGTTGAGAAGATATATAGGAAAAAATTGCAACAGGAATGGGAATTACAAAAAAAGTTATCACAGCTAAATTTAAATGAACTAGGACAGTCAAAGGATACCGATTCAGTTAGTGGTGAAACCACAGATCACCAAGGGTCTGTTGATGTACTTCCGTGTTGGATACTTGAGATGTTACCCAACGACTTATTACTTAAAGTTATAAAACAAGTTGTTTTGCAATCTGGCGAGTCATGGGTAAATTTATCATTAACTTGTTCAACTTTTAATAAGTTATGTTTCCACACAACTCTACCTTTCAATACATTTTCAAATTATATATATCCTGAACAGCACTATGATGAAAGCACCATGACAATTAATGGCATAAGTAATTTAAAAGCTTTAGAAGAGGAGATATGGAATAATGATACAAAGCAAATGCTAAAAGATAGACCATATATTAAATTCCAGGGTCTTTATATTAGTACGGTCAATATCTTGAGACATGGAGCCAATGTAGAAGGTTCATCCTCATTTTTAAATCCTATTCATATGATCACATATTACAGATATTTCCGTTTCTACCCAGACGGAAGCTGTTTACGATTATTAACCACAGATGAACCAACAAAGGTAGTCAACCATTTCCACAGAGAACTGCCACCGAAATATAGTGAAAGCTGTCGCTGGAGTCTAGGCTTCGACGATAATTTTGGACATCTAACAATTACAAGATCAAACGATAAATATTCGTTCATCGAAGAACTTAAAATTAAAAACCATAGTAACAGAAGACATCATATTTTCAAATGGTTTAGATCTGCAGTAATTGATAAAGAAGGAAATGTATCGGAATTGTCATTAAGAAATGAAAAAACTTTCTTCTTCTCAAGAGTTAAATCATACTCTGAAAAATTCATCCCTCCCACATACCAAAACAACAACGACACAACAGAATAGTGTCTTTTCCTCATCATTTATATATGTGATTATTTAATTAATTATTTATTTAAGTTTTGCATACTACAAATATAAAAATGAACAAGAATGATACTTGGTATATCATCATCCTTAACCTCTGTATTTAACCCAATTTTAAGTATCAATTAAATACAAAATAATATAAGACAATTCTTTTTAAACCTTTCTATCCACTATGGTTTTGTCTTAGCAAGTTTAAATTCTTGCAACGGGAATGTACTAATCACCCAACAGTATTTGATTTTTAACTATATAAACGAGACATCTTGATTTGAAAAAAAAAAATTACAGTTGTGAAATAAGGGCAACTATAAGAAGGTTAACATTTGGCTAACTAAGTAGATTATCAGGCCTATAACAGAGATAATTTGTAATTGTAGGAGCTAGTGATGAAACAGTTTAATGGTATGTTTTCTTTGGTTTATCAAGTTCTATAGAAAATGGAGGCATTTTTTTTTCCATTAATTTTTGATTAAAATTATGCTATTTTTATACATGGACAGTTTTTGATAATGGCTCTTCTAATATCAAGAATGTCATGATATGATTTTAAGAGTATTCAATGAAATTGTTTATACTAACTCTCTCTTTTTATGTATGATGAATCATTTTCTTAAATTATTATTTTTATAGTCTCTTATATTGAGGTGCTTCAGGATGGTAAAACTATATCTAGTTGTTATTATCAACATACGGGAGATATATCCTATGGGTCTATTTCTAACGAAGACTCTAGTGTAGCCAATGTAGTTGGTACTCCTGATATGTTTCACAAGCTTATTGGTGACTTGGTATTACCAAATATTGTTCATGTTGATGGAAATAAAGTGACGAAAATGTCAATTCAACTTATAGATGGATACGACTGTTATTATACTACAAGTGCACGGAATGACGATAATTATAAAGTATTTGTATGTTTTACAAGGATTGATGTACCCAAAATCCTACCTATACGATTATTGAGTGATTTAAAACAATTAACTGAGGGTGAAAATAGACTAGAGTTTGATACTGATGAAGAATTAAGTTTGAAGTGCGGTGAAATTATAGATGCATTTCGTCATGATTTGATCACATTTAGAAATAACAATATGGACCCATCTGTATCACAGTCTACAGATCAAGACCTTGATGATATAATTCAAATAATGAACGATAATATTGATAAGTTTTTACAAAGACAGGAGAGAATTTCATTGCTGGTCGATAAAACTTCTCAATTAAACGATAATAGCAATACATTCAAAAGGAAGACTGTGAAACTAAAAAATAAAATGTGGTGGCATAGAATGAAAAATATTACTTTGGTGGGATTCAGCATAATTTTATGCATCGCAATCGTTTTTATATTTTTTTTCGACCTTAACTGAATGAAAAATTCAATAAAACACGTATACATTCAAATGTCTAACAACTTTTAATTATATTCAATGAATTAGCTTATTGTGGAGGCTGTTCTGGTCATTTTTTATTATATTTTTTTAACCTATTATTATTATTATTATTATTATTATTATTATTATTATTATTATTATTATTATTATTATTATTATTATTATTATTATTATTATTATTATTATTTTTATTATTAATTAATTAATTAGTGATGTGTATATGATCATATATAACTTTGGTGTACTTAACTATATTTTTGGAAAAGTTATTTATCGTTTATATCATTATCCAATTTAAGCTTTTTAGCTTCTTGAGTTTCTACATTTTCTGGATTATCGACGTCAGCTGACTCACTAGCCTCTATAGCACTTTCCTTTGGCGTTTGATTATTCGCATCTTCCATTGGAATATCATTATCTTCATTATTTTCTTTATTAGTTTCATTTTCAGTAGAAACTTCTTGTTGTTTCTTCTTCTTCTTTCTTAAATGCTGAATTGACTGATAATCATCTAATTTTTCTCTAATTATTGATTTAAATCCAGAATATCCTATTTGATCAAGAGCATTTAGAACATCATCCACATTACAACTTTTCCTATCTTGTTCACGAGATAACTCCCTTGCAAACAATAACAAATGGTTTACAAAAACTGTCGCACTTCTTTGTAATGCTAAGCTTGCATCTTTATTAATCATCATTGTTTTCTTCTCTTCATTAGAATCATCGGAATTTATCACGCTATTCCCTGCTTCTTTAGCCAACCCGGCTACCACACTCTTTGGAAATAACAAGTCATGGATCGTTATATTTTCCTGTTCCTTCACATATGAAGTAGTTGGATAATTACCTTGAGCGTCCTTTCTCCAACCTTTTGGCGGCATTTCAGATTATTCTTTTTACGTGTGTGTTTTTACTTTAAGTATGCAGCTTTTCCCTGAAATTACTGTCACCAACTTTCAAACGACTTTCAATGAACTGAAAACCCCAGAATATAATCTTGTGCTTCTTAAACCATCCAAATAATAAAACCTCAAATTCAAAACTCAATCTTGAATACAAAATATATTCCCTGGTTAGATGTATCCAGATTTGGTGTCTTTTCAATTAAGTCCTGTTTATCGTTTCTTGCCTAGCCCAATCCCCAAAATTGCAATGTACCAAACCGTGAAACCAACTTGAAATACTACACAAACCTCGACGATAGGTATAACAGACCTTCCCATCTAATATAGTCTTCTAAATAGCAACTATTAGTGTATTGATGATAGTTTACTTATTTAAACTTCTGATGAACTGAACTTCTGGTCTTCAATTTTATTTCGATATCAACCGTGAATAATGATCAAATTTCGAAATTGAAATATTTGAAATATTCGATGAGCTTTAAAATGGACAAACTTGATCAGTTTCAGATACTTATAACGATGTCTCTTTAAATAGGTTTTAATTACATTTTTATCCCTTTGATACTAGCAATTTAGAACATTTGTAATTAGTGGGGGAGCTTTGTGTGCACATCTGAAAATATTGTTAGTTTTATAGCCGGTTTTCTTCTAATTTATCTTTAGGCAAAATTCTGAAATTACAGAGAAAAAGCAAAATGCTACAAGCAGTTGCATCAAAGATTAAATCGAAGATTTTTGATTCTGAGCCTAAACGCATTGAAATCAATCCAGATGACTATAATATAGTCAAGGAGGGTAAAGCTGAGATATTGTTTCCTAAGAAGGAAACAGTTTTTTACAATCCTGTACAACAATTTAATAGAGACTTAAGTGTGACTTGTATTAAAGCTTGGGATAATTTATATGGTCCTAAATCTTCTGGGAATGGCAAGAAATCGAAGAAAGCACAGAACAAACGCTCAATTGAAGAGGATGAAGATATAGCAAAGATTAGAAGATTGGCCGATGGTTCCAAACAAGAGATATCAACATCCAAGCATGCTCCATATCTTAAAATATTAGAGGCATTGTCTGCCACAGGTTTACGTGCCATTAGATATGCTCATGAAATTCCAAACGTTAAAGAAATTGTTGCCAACGATTTATTACCAGAGGCTGTTGATTCAATTAGAAGAAACGCCGAATATAATAAAGTTGAAAATATAGTGAAACCAAACATCGATGATGCAAACGTTTTGATGTATCGTAACAAGTCAACGAATACTCGTTACCACGTTATTGATTTGGATCCATATGGTACTGTTACTCCGTTTGTAGATGCAGCTCTTCAAACTATCGAGGATGATGGGTTAATGTTAGTTACATGTACCGATTTGTCTGTTTTGGCAGGTAACGGTTATCCAGAAAAATGTTTTGCATTATATGGTGGTGTCAATATGGTTTCTCACGAAGCTACTCATGAAAGTGCCTTGAGATTAGTCTTGAATTTATTGAGTCAATCTGCTGCTAAATATAAGAAAACAATCGAGCCATTGTTATCTTTAAGTATCGATTTCTACGTCCGGGTTTTCATTAAAGTTAAGACAAGCCCAATAAACGTTAAAAATTTACAATCAAATACTATGATAACATATCATTGCTCTCAGTGTGGTTCATACCATAACCAACATTTAGGTCGTATTCAAGAACGCTCTGGTAAAAATGGTAAACCATTTAAAAAGTATCTAGTAGCTCAAGGTCCTCCCGTAGATAGCAAATGTAAGTTTTGTAAAGGAACTTACCACTTAGCTGGTCCAATGTATGCTGGTGCATTACATAACAAAGAATTCTTAGATGAAGTTTTACGAATTAATAAAGTCGAACACGCCAATATGGGTGATGTATATGGAACTCGTAAGAGAATTGAAGGTATGGTGACTTTAGCTTCAAAGGAATTAGCTGATGCCCCATTCTATTTTAGTCCGAACAATATTTCATCTATTTTGAAATTGCAAGTACCACCATTAAAAAAAGTTGTAGCAGGCTTAGGCTCTCTTGGTTATAATTGTTCATTATCTCATGCACAACCATCCTCATTGAAGACCGATGCTCCTTGGGAGGCCATTTGGTATGTTATGAAAGAATGTGACGATAAAGAAGTCAACTTGGAAAAAATGAACCCTAATACTGCAGGTTATAAAATATTAAGTACATTTGATCAATGGATGCCAGAGGAAGAAGATGGAAGGGAACCAATGTTCAAAAAGTCCGACTTATCATTTAAAGAAAATGAACAAAGTGGTGCAGTTGAAAAACTAAGAAAGTTAAAAATAGTCAGATACCAAGAAAATCCAACTAAAAACTGGGGTCCAAAAGCTCGTCCAAATTCATCATAGACAATCTAATAGAGAAACAATTATTGTCATCATCAACTGCGTATCATCGATCTAGAATTCCAAGATTTTACGAGGAAATGTAACATTATTTGAAATACTAAAGATGAATGACTTAATAATTTCTAGTTCACTAGAATACAATAAATATTAATTGTTATATTAAAAATTCATAAGATATATAGAATGTAAACGAATATATGTAGAAATAGAACATCGTAGCCTGTGGAGAATCTATGCATTAAATGGCATACTATGTCTTCAGAGGATGTCGACTCTGGTAATGATAAATCAATAGTGATTTATTTCAATTTAATAATCTGGAGCCTTGTAGTGGTAAATAATAAATGGCCAACTTAGAATGGCGGTCAAAGTTGTACCCCAGCCAATTATAGTAGGAAAGACTCTCTTAGCTTCAGTGACAGCCCATGATTCACCAATGTGACCGGCAGCAGCGGCTTGGTTTGCAGTAGAAGCATATCTAACAGCTTGGACACGACCAACTCTAGCTGTAGTTCTGGCTAAAATTCTTGAAAACATATTAACTTATTTAAATATTATTACTTGATGTGAGGACAATACAGTATGTAGTGTTGTTGTTATTACAGCACCAAAAAATAAAAAGCTAAGAAATAACTAAAGACAGAATAGAGCAAAATTAGATATTGAATTGAAGAAAATTTCGATGAGAATAAAATAGAAAGTTGATAAATATCTATCTATTTATACCAAAAACCTTCATAGAGACATTTTGGCTAATTGGATAAAAATAATTCGAAATAGATTGATAGTTATAAATAATTCGAAAGGAATCACCTAGTAGACAGAAGAGAAGTTAAATTTATGTTACAATTGATTACATGAGTATGAATCCATTAGGGCAATGGTAATTTCTCCTTATTTTTACTATACAGCCAATATAATTTGCGTCACGAAATGGCAGTAACTTAGTAGAGAAGAGTACTAGAAAACTGTATCAGAAATATTTTGAACCAAGAAAGTAATCAACATTGAATACATCGACAGTATAAAACAAAAGTCGTATCTATCTATAATATTGATTTTAAATACGATAAAATACGAAAGCAGCATTTGATATGACAGCATTACCCCATGATTAAACGATGCAAAAGAAACCATCCTACATCGTGAATACAAAGGATTGGATGAAACGGAATATGAATTACAATAAACGTAGTACTGTAGAGTCAATTCTTAAAACAAAACAAAAAATGCAGAATAAGAATTTTGTCAACGTATAAATTTCAATTAATACTAGCCCTGAGAAACCTCAATTGGGTAAGACAAAAACCAGACACATATCCCAAAATATAGAGAAGTTAACTAAAAACGAAGCTCTCTAATGAATAGTGTTACAATACCTAACATTTGTCAAGTGACAGAATATTGTACAGTAACAACTTTTAGGACGGAAGTTACGAGAAGATAAATCGATACAGGCAGCCAGAGCAGTTTTATCTGAATATTCATCAATTACAGAATGAACGACAGCCAACAGGTAATTTGAGTAACAAATTGATTTAGTTAAGTCAAGTCAAGAGTCCAGTCAATACGATCGATGCCATACGAGAGGATTCCACTAACATTAATGTATCGTATTGCAACTGTTTGAAGAAAAGATTGAATGAAATATATAGGATAAGTTCACTCAATTCAATTAGTATATAGTAGTAAAACAAGCTGAACCAAAAAAAATAATACAATTTCAAAAGCAATCCCTAGAGAGAGAATAAAGTGAGCATTCTAACAAGTAACTATATACCTTGTCTCGTAAGAAAAGAAGAGCTCATTGGTTTACAGTTAATCTAGTAGTGGCAGAAAATATTTTAATTACAATTGCTACTTATGTTATCATCATAGTTTAACTTAACGACAATTAATTAATAGGGCATTAAAGCCTGTCAAATTAAAAAATGAAAACAGGTAAGCAAAGGGTAGAGAGAACAGTTACTGAAGGTAGACTTCACAATTATCAATTCATTCGTTATAATTATATGTTGTGACATGCTATTACATTGGTGGTATTCACAAATATCAAGAGGAATTTGACTGAACAAACCGTTTTAGTCGGAGGATGGACAATAGCCCCATCTCATAGGCCAATTTTATAACCTCAAAAAGAACTGTTGTATCACTCTAATAGGTTTATGTTCCCAAAATAAAAAAGTTCTTCTGATCCCTTGTCCTACTTTTTCTCATTAGCTAGCTAGGAGATAAAAATCAAAACCTAAACTTTGCAGCAATACAAGGTAACAAGTGCAAATGCAAATGAAAATGCAAATTCAAACTAAAATAGAATAGATCCTTAACCAAGTTCTTATTTCGAAGGCTATTTGTCCATATTTTTCGAAAGGATGCTACCAGTTATTCTGATCCGTTGTCCAAATTGGTCAACGTCTAAAATTTTCTGTATTTTAAGCATTCCCTTGAAGTTATTCGGTTCTGGACAGTCTCTTAAAGGTAACATCCTCCAGAGAAGAGAGAGTATGTAGGTATTATTATTAGTATTTATTATCATTTTGTCTTCGAATCGAGTTAAGTAGAACTTTCTTGTCAAGAGCTCTAATGTTTAAGAAGAACAATGGGTACTACAGTTTTTACCCTTCTATCTGTATCTTTTCCTGGTTATTTTATTTTGAGAGGGGCCTGATAGAAGCTAACGAAACGGTAACAAGCTTATCTTTGTATAGTTAGTGCTGTATGTCTTGTTTAAGAACAGGAAGTTGAGGTCGAACCATCCCACCTCCACTAATGAGCAAATAAGAAACTGACAAAAAAAAGTGCCATTACAGGGAGTTTATCGGTTTGAAGATGTTTTGGAATTGGGTATCTCAATAGTGGAAAATATCGTGATATCTGAGATGAGATGAGATAAAGGCTACTTTCTCAATATTTAAAAGTATATATATATTTGTAGAGATTTGTTATGTACAGCTTTATTCGTTTTTATAGCCTTCCTATCTATGTATTATCGAATGGACCAGAACTTGGGTCTCTTGAAATTAGATCTATAAAAATGATGATTGCACTGTGCTTTGGATAGGCAGTGCTATGTTCTTATTGATCTTGATAGTACAGACAAAAAAAAAGTAAACTAAATTGAAAGCAAACAGTTGGTCTTAGATCTGAGCAAGGTCTATTTTTTTAGCTTGTCAGAGAGGTAATGAGATTTCAGCTCAGCAGAAATCAAAATTGACTTTGTTTTTTCTTGTAGTACAGTATTTCAGTCATGCGAATCAAGAATGTTTATTATTATCATTATAATTCAATACATACTATACAAAATATTACGATTATTATTAGTATTTTAACCTTTAACTTTACTATTGTTTAAGTGAGAGTTTCAGTCTCTTTATTCTTCATTTTCATTATCTCTATCTAGGGTATTGTGTAACCTATGTTCTTTAATGATGGCCATCGAAAATGTTGCTGCAATTGTACATAATAGACAGAAAATGAAAACGTTCTTACATGCAAAATGATAACAATCTATTAGAGTTTGCTTTATGAAACTGGGGGAGGAATTTTGAACCCATTCTGTAGATTGAGAGGCTTTGTCGATTATCCTCATCAATTCGTCCTCAGAATGTTCAGGTGACTTGAATTTAAGCACTTTACTTTTCAGCAGATTATCTAATGATTCTCTAAATATTGCCCCTCCGATAGACACACCTAGAGTACAACCAGTTGATCTAAATGCATATGAGATAGATGTGGTGACAGCTTGATGGTTATGAGGAACTGCTGCAATCATTGCTAATAATGCTACTGTGATCAAAACCGAAGCGCCTAAACCAGGAATAAACATTAATGTATATTGTTTAAAGACAGATATATCAGGTTGAATCCAAACTATCTGTAGACATCCAATACTGGCTAAAACACAAAATGAAATAACAAACCAATAATATTTACCTGTCTTTTTCATGTAATATCCAGCACCTAATGAACCAAATGCTGTACTGAAAAAATTTGGAATTATCCTTTTACCAATATCTGTTGGTTTCATATTTAGTACACCTGCAAAATAAATGGGCAAATAATAACTAACAGTCATCAATGCCATCATACAGAACCAATTACTCAAACTGGAACCCAAAACACTTCTATCTTTTAAAAACCTTAAGGGTAGAATAGGATCTTTTGCAATTTTGAGCTCTGTGTAACCAAATATTAATGCACCAATTACAGTTACTACACATAAACCGATAAACTTATGTGAAGTATAAGGAATCTCCTTCCCTCCCAATGATGCAGTAATCATGAATGAAAATAGGAACAGCACTAATGTCGTGGCCCCAATCCAATCTACGGCAGACAATCGTACTTTAATCGTAGAGAAGTAATTGCCATCAACTTGTAATCCTCTTCCTTTGCTTTCCTTAGGCAGACGTAAAAATAATATGATTAGAATAGTGCTAAAGAATGCTATAGGCAATTGAATCAAAAATGACATTCTCCAACCAACAGAGCGATCACTGAACCATCCACCAACAACACCACCAAGAGCAGTACCCAGGCCAAAATAAAAATTACAAATCCCTTGATATAATGCTCTATTTCTTAGAGGTACAATATCACTTGTTGTAATGCTACTCATCGAGGTAATACCTCCACCTCCAATGCCGGCAATAAATCTTCCAGCAACCAGCCACTCAAATGAAGGACTTAACCCACAAATCAAAGAACCTACAAAAAAGGTGATATTACAGAATATCAACACAACTTTTCTACCAAATATATCTGATATCTTACCATAAATTGGCTGAAAGGTAGCACTTGATAGTAGATATGCAGTTGCGACCCATGATATCCTGGGAAGTTCATTAAATTCTGAGGCAATGTGAGCTAATAAAGTGGATACAATAGTATTATCCAACGCTGCAAGAAATATACCCAAATACATTGATAACATAATTATTTTCAATCTTGCAGTAGAAAGTTCAGTTCCCTTAGAACTGATTCTTCTCGACTCTATTGCTCCATAATGTCCAGAACGAGTTTCTTCATATTCTTGTTCACCCTCTTCAATCTCAGCAGCAATGAATCCCGGCAATTCAGTAGAAGGATCTTGTAACAGTTCATCTCTTATAGGTAGCAAAACACTATTTTCATCATCTTCTTTAGTCAACTGTGAAGTTTCTGCCAAAGTTTGAACAAATGATTCAGTCCCATCAAATTCAGGAGGATCAGGAACCATTGGTTCCTGATCCTCCTGAACCTGTTTAACTTTAGCCTTGGTAAAATTGCGAAGCTTCTTGCGCTGTTTATCTTTCTTACCCATACTAAGGTATATAATATATATCTATAATAATGGATCGAATAGTACTTCTTCGTCTTCTTCTTCTTGTTAACTATAAATCCCAGCTGCCTTAAATTTCAAATTTATTCCTCACCTTCTTACTATTCACCCAATGGTCTTCCACGATTTTATCTCTCAAACCGACCATAGAGTCCAACAATTCATCAATGATGCCAAAGTGTTAAAACAAAGTTAAATATATTCAATTCGAAATCGAATTAACTCGTAACTATCTAAAAATGGATTCTTACCTCTTCCGATAATGCTGTTACTTTAGAACTTTATTTCCCTTTCTGATTGAATCAGATATCGGAGAGGAGAACAACCTGCAGCATAAGTGGAACCATTTCTTTTATTCATGATATCTTAATAAGACGTCATAGTTTAGCTTTATGATGAGATTGAGTGATACACAAGAGGATAGTGCCTTATATGCATTGGTATTCAATGTAGTTTAGATTATTTATAAGTTAGTATTCTTTTAATAAAATATTATAGATAGATAGAAATATATAAACATGTGTGTCTGAGGAAAATTTGATAAATAGTTAAATATTATTGTATGTTTGATGAGGAATATGAAGGATACGGTATGCTTCTTTAATTACAGAAGGAGAGTATTATGCAATATGTGTGTGTTTTGTTTTGTTTTATTTTATGTTTGATTAATTATTAGTTAAATGTTCCATTTTGAAAAATCTGGTATTTCGATATGAAAAAATGGGAAGTTGGTACCAGTACCTGCATGTATATAATATGATGAATTTTGATTTGGTTCTTCTACCGTGGTCATTGGATTATTTTCCAGATCTTCAGTTTTAACTACATGGTAGCTTGTATGTCCAATTATTATTGATTCATCACTATATTCTTTATTTACTGTACCAAATCCTAAGTTGACTAATCCCTTTTTCACCCATGGCGATAGTATCCCACTAAAATGGAATTCTACTTGTCTATCTGCATACTTGTTGATTGCTCTTCTCAAGTCCAGTAACGATTGTAATGCTGTTGAATCGGTTTGTGCAACTTGTGAAAAATCTAGACATATAATCTTCAAAATTGGTCTAGTATCAACAACTTTATTATCAAAGGTTGTTGGCTCATCGTCTTTATTTTTATTTTTTCTCCAATTAATTATATTCTTTAAAAACTTTGGCGGTTTCCAATCACCAGGATCATTCCATGGCCTATCTGATTTTTTTATATGTGTCATTAATTGGCCTGGCCTTGTAAGTTCTTTTACTTTATCATATAAAGTTTCATAGTTTCTTGAACAATTAATATATGTAAAGCTTTCAGTCAATCTATAGACTATTACACCATCAGGTGGAGGTGTAACTTCCACGTTAGGGTTCATTTCCTTTGTGTATGCATGATCGTAAGGAATCCACTTAATATGATACTTGAGCTGTGACTCAGACGATTTAGATGATAGATAACTTAGTTCTCCCTTCTCAGGATTCATAAGAACTGTTGAATATTGGACAGAAGTCTCTGCCTTCTCAACTAGATAATCAGAATCAACAATTTCAGGATTCACTATTTCTGCAATTTTAACATATCCTAAAAATTTACCTGCAGGGAATGCAACTTTGAATAATAGTATTGCAGCAGACCAACACATTGTAAAATATATACCATCTTCAATAGATGCAAAAACTGTGATAAAAACTGTTGTGATAAAACAAATAAAGTCCAATGGGTTCATTTTCCAAAAACTCCAAGTAGTCTTATAAGATGCAACTAAATCTGAGACGGCATGAATAATGACAGCAGATAAAGTAGCCTTTGGAATATAGAAAAAAGCACCAGTTAAACAATATAATGCTAATAAGACACAAGACCCAGTAAATATACCAGATAATGGAGTCTTGACATTACATTTCGCCTTCAAAGCAGATCTTGAGAATGAACCTGTCACTGGGTATGAATTAAAGAATGTCCCAATTAAATTAGAAATGCCAATGGCAATTAATTCTTGATCCGGAACAACTTTATAATCGTTAACTCTACCAAACGACTTTGCAATGGCAATATGTTCTAATAATAATACAATGATAGAAGATGGCAGTTCTGGGGCAACTTTTGCAAGCAGACCATTTGGAGGAGTGAACACCCCAACTTCTTGTAGACCTGAAGGAACGGTACCTAAAATAGAAATTGGTCTTTCACTTTTTGATTTCCCCCTAGTAACTGACCAAGAGATAGATGTCATTACAATTATAATAATACCACTTCTCATTGCATTACCATAGAAATAGAAAGCTTTAATATATTTTTTATATTTGGAATTAGGATAGTATCTATCGACCAATTTTGGTCCCATTGACGAGAACCACCATTTCCAAAAATACAGAATAACCAAAGGTATCAAACCGAAAATTGCATCTATTTTTGTATCTGGCAAATGTTTTAAAGTGTTAATAATGACCTTATATGTTGCTTCTCTAGTGTTTACTTCACTAGCATAACCCATTAAAGCAGGGACCTGACCTGAAATAATGTTTAATGCGGAACCAGTCATGAAACCTGTCACTGCATTTAAAGAGATCAGTTCAACTAAGAAACCTAAACGCAGTAATCCTACACCAGCAGAGATGATACCACATAATAAAGCCAACGTAGTTGCAATCAATGGAGCAGTTATATAAGTTTTCTGTTCCTCAGTTAAACTAGAATTGACATGCTGTATAACTTTTGCAGTCTGCAGAGACATGACAGCGACAGGGCCAATACAGACATCTTTTGAAGTTGCGAACAAAGAATACGTGTAAGCACCTACGAAAGAAGAATATAATCCATATTGTGGGGGTAGAGTTGCAATTTGGGCATATGACATTGATTGTGGAACTAAGACACAACCTATAGTAATACCAGCGATTAAATCTGATATAAGCCATTTATAATTATAAAAAGGTAACCACTTGATAATTGGGAATATTGAGATCAAGTAATTGCCGAATGATTTAAAAGTTAGATAATGTCTTATAGAGTGGTTATAGTACTCTTTTAAAGTGACAGTTTCTTCTATATATCTTGGAACATTTTCCGAAGAATTTAGGAATGATTCCCTTGTCAATTCATTTGAATCATCAGTATAACCCAAGTCTTTTTCGAAAACAAATTTAGAATCTTTTGTTAACCCGTCTCCTGCATTCCCTAAATCATCGTTACCACTACTATCACCAACATCAGAATTGCCCTGCTCCTCTACCGTTTTGTATTGATTATATTCTAATTCCAAATCTTCCAAATCGTCTAAATCGAAACTCATTGTTAAGAATGGGTTTGCAATTAATTTTATAATTAGTATATTAGCAATACAATACAATCCAATCCAATCCAAGACTTATAAATTAAAGGATGTTTGTTTCAAGAAAGTTAAGAGACCCAATTTACATCAGTCTGCAACAATTCCAATCACATTATTACTGAATTCCTGAATTCCTGTCATTTATATATATACGAGTTGAATCAAAATTCAACGACTAGTCAAGATATATAACTGTTTCATCAATATCCTGAATAATTATGATCAAGACAGAATCATACAATATGTGAACCGCATTACGACGACTATAACCACCACCACCACCACAACGACGACGACGACGACCACCACCACAGTGTCGTGTCAATGCCAAGTAGATTACCCATTCTGGCCAGCATGATATATACCAAATGAAACCAAATACCCATACTTAACAGGTTCCCACAGTTGTGGGCAAGTTGACGTCGTTCGGGGACAAAATCTGAGTCAGGTTGAAGCAAGACAACGTGAACGCACTCAAACTTGTTAAGTATGAGTAAATGCACAAATATCCCATTGATGTATCGACTACGTATGTGATATATTAATAGTATCCTCGTTCAGGAGTCACTGATCATGAATATGAATCAGTTGTGTTAGATATTGTTTTTTTTCTATTAAAGAATAAAGAAACGACTTTGTTTGGTGTATTTAAACTATCTATCTGTTTAATTATTTACATGATCACAAGCTAGATTGGTTTCAACTTGTTGGAAAGGGGTTATTGGGATCTATCTATATATATATATATATAATCCCTCCCTGATGCTTATATATACATGCCCTTGTTTAGTATTGGCATTTTGGGATGAGTTCAATAATTTCTCCTTGTGTAGTATTTTGGAATCCTGTGAAGAGAAAGAGAATATAGTTGTTTGCCTTATCTTGTCTTGTTTTATTTTGTTTTTTTCTTAATGTGATGGTATAAATATATTTATATATATTTACCGTTTTCTGATCTTATTCGAATATGATGTATCTTGTTAACGAGGTGGAAACTAGTGAGATAAATACCATCTACCTTTAGCCTTTCTTCTTTCCAATATTTTTGAACCACTTCTGCTTCTAGCTCTTGCTAAGAAACCAAACTTTCTTTTACGTTTTAAAGTACTTGGTTGGTAAGTATTACCTCTTGATTTCCATCTTCTTTGTAATCCCAACAAACCAGTAATTGCACTACCAAAAGTGTTGGTAGCTGTTCCTGGGAACAGGCCAACTGAATTCAAACCTGCGAATGGACGAAATATCGAACTTGATATACTTCTGTTCATACCACTTGTTAGACTAGTCATGATAGTTCCAGTTGGAACAGCATTTAGACGTTTCACCAAAAACATCGATAATTTGAAATTTCTTGCTTTTGTCCTGGGGTTAACGTAAATATCACAAAACAAAAATTGGGTATTGCAATACTCCTTGATCACAAATCAGATAATTGACCAGATCTGCTGTCTCTAGGATATCTAGACCCTATTCAATACTCTTGAATCTAGCTTTAGTTGCAGTGCTTTTATATATCATCCATGCTAAAAATTTTGGCTTCGAGAGGTCCCCTCTTGTCATATGTACTATGTTCGTATTATGTGATACAATATTTATTTATATATTTAGATCCAACTTTAAATACAAACAACAAACATTAAAAGAAGCCAAACCAAGGTGGTTTATAAATACACACAGACACACAGATACATAGATAAAGCTGGTCACCGGTAGACTTGGGTATCAAATAATCGAGAATAAGTCACCAAGGAGTCTTGGGTTTTCAGAAAAGTTCCTCGAAGTTTGGTTAACGAGATTCTCTCTTTCTCTCATTCTCTGTTTATTAATCTATAATTACAAAAGTGTATATCAATTGAGGTTAACGATTTGGGATAATTAATTATACAAATATTACGATAGCGATGGATCAGAATAAGGAAAATAATATATTTCGTCATGCCATGTTGAAAGACATGCCACAGACTCCTAACAACCTATTGAAAAGGACACATTCAAAATTGAAAACAGGAATTGCTAAGGACATACAGGGAGGTAATGTAATAAATACTTCACCACAGAAAAGACTTCCCTTGGCTTCGAAGGATAATAATAGATCTAATAGTTTTTTGAACAATTCGAATGTGAATTTGAATTTCAATATTAATAATAATAATAATAATAATAATAACAACATCAACAACAATAATATTAAGAAACAACATATATTCCAACAGAATAAATCAGGAATTTTGGCAGATGATAGGAAATTGAAAAAATACGGATCTGTCTTGGGCTATAATGCTTTACCAAAAGTTAAAAGTTTAGTATTAAAGGATATATCTGATAATGAAGATGACGATGACGATTTGCTGAGCTTAAAATTACGCGATTCTATGAATAAAAAAAGTATAAATACTAATAAAAGTAATTCAGGAATTGGGTTATTAAGTGGTGGAAATTTACAACAACTTATAAGAGATGCAAATGAAGATGTCAGGGAAATAGAACACAAATCAAATGCTTTTCCAGATAAAGAATATATACCAGATGACCACTTACCATTTGATGAGAACGATATTGCTAAACTTAAAACATTCAACTCTCCATTTAAGTTGGAACAATCTAATAGCGATGATGAAGAAGATAGTTCAGAATTGTTATTACTAGCAAATACAAGTGATGACGAAGGAACACATAATGATAAAATTACTACCAATAAAAACTTAAGCATAAATAATAAACCAAATAGCAAAGATGTCATACCCGCTGACATCCTGGATATCGAGCCATCATATGGTGAGGGATTGGATTCAAACGATTTAGAAGATCTACTCGATCTGTAAATTAAAAATAATATATAAATCTAAGTAATTTAATATTTACAGGTAATGCATACATAATTACATTTGTGCACAAGAAGGATTTGTATCATGTTCGGTTTGCTCTTCTCCTTCTTCTTGAGGTAGTGATTTAACAATTTCAAATGTTGAAATATACTCCGAATTAATGGGATCAACGATATTATTACGTTTAGTCTTTTCATTTGGTAAAATGTTTCGTATTTTAATAATATCATTTTTTTCATTAATCCAATTATCTGGTGGAAATTCGATCTCTAAAATTACATATAGATTACCAAATGATGCACCATATTTATCCATTGGCCATCCTTCATTTTTAACTTCCAAAATATCACCTGGGCGTATTACTTTACCCTTTGGTGTAGACAAATACAGATCTCTATCATCGAAAGTTTTAACAATAAATTTGTTTTCAAAGCCTGTAATTGCTTCTGCCAAGGATATATGAGTATGGTTAATCAAATGGTTACCATATCTTTCCAAATCATTGTTTGAATCGATGATTTCATTAATTTCAAAGATTAAATCACCTGCATTTTTTTTACCCAATTCTTCATCAGCTTCACCTTTTAATATAATATTATCACCATTTGAAGAACCTCTCGGTATCGAAACCACAATTGGATCATCTATTTTAATCAAACATTTACCATTACAATCTTTACAAAAATTTTTTGGTGAATTTGGTTTCTTATAATATTTCCCATTACCTTTACAATAGGAACATAAAACATTTTGAGTAGTATAGAAGCCTGGAGCTAACTGAACTTTCATATTTTTATAACCTTGACCATTACATTTTTGACATTCAATTTCTGGAGGTACATAAGGCTTTCCATCTTTTTTAGTTCTCCAACCTAGACCATTACAAGTCTTACAAATTCTATTTCTACTATTATTAAATTTTATCGTTTTACCATTGTAAAGTTCACTTGTTTTCAATGATAACTCTACTTTAATATCTTTTGATCTTGATCTATAACGGCTATTATAGTTTCCATCATGATTATTTGCAAAATCTGATTCGAAATAAGGTTCAAAATTCTTCTTATTGTCGTATTCATTTCTTTTATCTTCGTCACTTAAAGTTTGGTACGCAGCAGTAATATCTTTGAATTTGATTTCATTGATTAATTTCTGTCCCTCATCGATTGACTTATCAGGATGGTATTGCAATGCCAATTTCCTATAAGTTTTTTTAATTTCTTCGTGGGTAGCATCTTCAGCAACACCTAAAATTTCATAGTAGTCTCTATCTTCAGAACTCCCATCAGTATCACTCATACCTGAATTTATTTTAAAGCTAAAAGTTAAAAGTTAAACTGAATAAAAAAATATCAGACTGAGTTATACATAATGGTATAGTTCATATGAACTACATTATAATAAGATCGAAACAGTTGCAATTAGATCAAGGACAAGATAAGAGTGATGTGCAATTTTTAAATCCTATAGATGGATGATAGATTGATAGATAACTTCAAAGTCCATTCGAAATGATTTGAAAAAAGTATCCATCCATTCATTAGCTAATTTTCATCTGAAAAATTGGCATGGTAGGGATAGACAGAGAGACAAACAGTCATATGCCAGTGCTTAGTACAATTGCAATTAATGAATGAGATATTCCTTGAAATACCATTATTGTTATTGTTATTGTCATCACCATCAATCATCAATCATTAATCATTACTGTCACCACTATAAGTTGCTCGATTCATGTTTCGAACATACATATCTATCTATCTATCTATCTATCCAGTATGGTTCGAAGTTAAAAGTTAAAGCGTAATATGGGGACAATATTATGGTAGAGCAATTGCTAGTCTGTCGTCTTCCCAAATCGTATTCAGTTACTTGTACAGAATCTCTCAGTGTAGAGTTCCCCTATTATAGTGTAATGTGTGGATGTAGCATTAGTGTGTCTCGTTTCGTTCCGTTCCGTTCTCATATCGCATCGCTAGCACATATAAAAACACACAAACACAACTCCGATCCAGTCGCATATACACGTCCGAAACACGTGACCGGACTTTAATGGCCGACCACAATTTCCACACAAAGGGAAAAACCAACCCACTGTCCATATTTCTGGTTAGCGACAAGAGGACACACCACCACAGACAAAGAGATGTGTGGTCTATACGCACTAGGTATATATCTCTTGTCGGTTACTACTATTGCCACTGCCATAAATACAAGTGTGTACCCCTAATTTCTGGAGAGATGAGCTGAGATGAGATGAGCTGAGCTGAGTTAAGCTCTTTCTTCTCAGGGAAAAAACAAACACACAAACTAACATCTCTAATTTTAATCTACAGCCACTAGCACAAAAATATTATCACCAACCCTTTAATTGTTTTTAGAAATTGGGGAACTTAAAGGATTTTTTGTAATTCATTTTATTTCATTTCATTTTATTATTGGTTTGTTTGGTTTGGTTTGGTCTCTGGTATTATCTTAGTTTTATTACTATCGTTGTTGGTGTTCACTCACTCTTGTTTTTTTTTTCTCTCCTGGTCTTTTTTTTTCCCCTTCTCCCTTTCTCATTCGTACTACACTGCGCTTCTGCGTTGGAGGTCATGGGACGTGACTGTTCAGCTCAGCTCAGCTCAGCTCAGAACGGTTGGGAGTTATAATATTCTAGTTGGGACTGGATCCCAGAATTTGTCTGTCTGCTCTTAGTAAACATCCACTCTGGATTGACCGATGACATAACTGAAATAGAACTCTCTTTTTTTTTCTTATCTTGTTTAACAATTTTTCATTTTTTAATGGAATGAAAATTGGAATTTCGTTTGGTAACACTCACCGATGAGCAATTTATTCACACCAGTAGAATATATATATTTATTTATATATATTTACATATATGCATACAGGACGATTTAGTTAGTATTGCTTTTATCACGTAGATCTGCAGAAATAACAAGTTATAAACCAGCTAAAGCAAACCTATTCTAAGAGTTAAGCTTTTGACAATGTCTTTTGTTCCTGCTGAAAAATTATCAGTAAATGATCTGAACCAACATGCTGTACATGCTGATTACGCCGTGAGAGGCTCTATCCCAATGAGGGCTGAACAGTTACATGCTCAAATTATAAATGATCCAGGCTCTTTACCATTCGATAAGATCATTACTGCTAATATTGGAAATCCACAGCAAGTGGGCCAAAAACCTTTGACTTTTATAAGACAAGTACTATCCATCTTAGAGTATCCAAATATACTGAATGATCCTGAATTATTAGAAAAACTTGTCCAATTGGGTGTTTACCAAAGAGATGTTATTGAACGTGCGAGAAAAATGTTAGATTCAATCGGTGGATCTGTGGGTGCCTACTCTGCTTCACAAGGTGTATTAGGATTTAGACAAACTGTTGCAGATTTTATCAATAAAAGAGATGGTTGTAAACAGTTGGCAAGCCCAAATGATATTTTTTTAACTGGTGGTGCTTCTTCAGCAGTACACTATTTATTATCAATATTATGCAGTGGTCCTGAATTTGGTGTTTTAATCCCTATCCCACAATATCCTTTGTATACAGCTACTTTGACTTTAAGTAATTCAACTGCAATCCCTTATTATCTAAAAGAACATACTAGTTGGTCCACAAATACAAAAGAAATTGAAATTAATATAAAGGAATCAATGGCAAACGGTGTTAAACCAGTTGCAATCGTTATAATTAACCCTGGAAATCCAACTGGTGCTATTTTATCAGAATCAGACTTAGCTGATATTATCAGAATATCGGCTAAATATGGTATAGCTATTATTGCAGATGAAGTTTACCAAGAAAATATATTCCCAGGTTTTGAATTCCATTCAATGAGAAAAGTTTTATTAAATTTGCAATCAGAATTCCCTGGTACCTATGATAATGTACAGTTAGCCTCTCTACATTCAACATCAAAGGGTTTTATCGGGGAATGTGGTCAAAGAGGTGGTTACATGGAATTAATAGGGTTCAAAGATGAAGTTATCGCTATCGTGTTGAAATTAGCCTCCATATCTATTTGTTCCGTTGTTACAGGCCAAGCATTAATGGATTTAGTAACATGTCCACCTCAGCCTGGTGATGCTTCTTACAAGTTGGATCAAGAAGAAAGAAATAAAATAAAACAAGATTTAATGTTTAGAGCAGATAGATTATACGGATTATTCACATCATTAGAAGGTGTAGAATGCCAAAGACCACAGGGTGCTATGTACCTTTTCCCAAAATTAATATTGCCAGATAAAGCTATAGAGAAAGCCTTACAATTAGAAATACCACCAGATGAATACTATTGTAGGGAACTTCTAGATGCAACTGGTATATGTACTGTACCGGGATCTGGATTTGGTCAAGATCCAGGTACTTATCACTTGAGAACTACCTTTTTAGTCCCTGGAACTGAATGGATAGAAAGATGGAGAGAATTCCACCAACAATTTTATGAGAGATTTAGTTAGGATTCTTAGAATCGCATTTAGTAGCATTGCATTGCACTTCTTTGTTTTACATCAAAAAATAATATTATTTTGTCCGTGCATTAGATTAAATAAAATAACACAACTAGATATTATTAAAAGAGTTAAATAGACCTTTTATGGATTAAATTACACTGCATGTCCCTTTAACATACATAAAAAATGTTCTGTTAGATCCTCTATAAAATTTTTAACACATTTTGAACATAATTCAAAAAAAAAAAAAAAAAAATAAAAATAAATATTCAAAATTTGCAACTCACAGGACCAACAACCCTCCCTTCCCAATTGTAATATCATTACTCAAAGTTTGTACTTCCTTCAATGAAGGTATCATCATATTCTAAAAATGTGTCATCTCCATTTTCCATATTGCTAGATTTATTCTTGCTTGTGGTTAAAATTTCATCTTGAGCATAAACCAAACCCTTATTGGTTGACGTTTTGTAACTGTTTTGAATAGGCAAACTATTAATTATTTCAGTTCGTTTCGATTCAAATGTTGTTGCCGAGCATTCCATTTCATCTAAGAACAACTCACTTGGAACGCCTCTTGCGGTCGTAATACTTTTTTTATTATAATAATATGATCCAAGCTTTAGACACATATTCCAGTCTTTCAAACATTTGTCTTTATTTTCATTTAATAAACATTTTAGCCTTGAAAGACCAATGCTATAGAAACTAGATGGTTCAATAGTACCAATCCCTAGTGAAATTTCATACTTTTCAGCTATACGTTTACATATGGCTAACATATCTCTTCTCTCAATTGTTGTTGTATCAATGTATATAGGAATACGCGGCAAATCTAATAACAGCATTCCTATTTCTGATGCTAACGTTTTAAATTTTGTATTTTTTAGTGGATATATCCATACAAATCGAGATCTATAATCTCTAATATAAATGATATGGGAGTATCTATTCTGTATCTTTTCGTTCTCAAATGGCTCAAATATATCCAATTGAACTCTTTCTAATGGTAGATATTTTTCGTAAATATTCATATGAACTGTCTTCTCCAAATTTGGAATTACCTTATCAGGATTACAATGGGAACAAAAGTCAAGTACCATTTTTATGTAATCTCTGCTTAAATTTGAGTAAATAGCTTTAAGTCTTTTATGTATTCCCTGGTATCCCAAGTGACGATTCAAGATATGTGTGCTAATGATATAGTCATATCTTAGATCAGGCTCATAGACTATTTTATTTTCTCTAGTAAGATCAATAACAGTTCCTTTTTTTGTTAATTTATATCGCCTTTTCAAATATAAACACTTTGCATTAGCATTAATCCGACTCCATCTAGTCTTTTCGGATAATGTATCGACATCTAAAAGGTCATCTCTGATCAATTCATAAACTGTTTGAGATAACGTACCAATAATTGAATCCAAATATTCTTTTGCAGCACCTCTCCCAAACTCCAGAAACGGTACACTATAGCTTGAATCTATATACTCATATAAAGTAGCCCCAACTTTAGGATAATCAAAAACAACTTTCCCATATCTGTTGACCTCTTTGAATTCACTTATTGGCGCTAAGGTGTCGTCAATAACTTGATTGCTGCTTGGAACGGAAATTGATCTATCCTCATCGATTATAATAGATTCCACCATCAAAACTTTTCGATCACTAATCAAACAAAATGGTCTAACTATTATTAATATACGACCGGGAATCAATTTAAAATAAACCACAAATTAATTCACACCAATTGCAATTAGGTTGTTCAAATTAAATAAAAGATATCACCAATTATTAACAGGTTCTACCTTTCAATCAATACTAAACAAAGGTTGGTTGATATACTTTATACTTAAATTGATATTATGATAAAGTGAAATTCTATTTGAAGGTTAAAAGAGCATCACGTGACTGAAGTTGTAGCTACGTCATTGTAATATCTAAACAAGCAACAAACAAGGTTGCTGTGAAACTAAGTCTAAGATATTTATAGATATCTACACATGAATAGTACATATAATATGATCTATATTTGTCATTATAAATGCTTTTTAGAGTTTGGTTCTGTTTGTACTTGTTCTACTTTTAATGCTGAAATCGCGACTAATATCCAGGATGGAAACCAACCGATGCAGAAAATGAACCAAGTCCAAGATCCTAGCTTATTCCAGGCATCTACTAAACCGTATATTGCTTCTATACCATCTAATTTTGATTCCACTATGGTGATAAATAACCAAAATGCTATGAAAGGGTTTGAAATTGCTAGAAGAATACTATTTCTTGTTTTTAATCTTAAATTATCTGTATTATTAAGCATCACTAATGTCATAGGGTATGCAAATAAGCCCATTCCGAATGCCAATGGGAAATTTACCACTAGCAATGATGTCATAACCAGACTTAGGTACATGAATGAAATTGTCTTTAATCTGTATGCTAGTGGTTCAGAAATACTTAAATTTTTTGGTGCTGCTAATGGAATAGTTGAAATAACAACATTACCTAGTAATAATAATAATGGTTGAGGATAATAAGTAAAACTATTTCCTAAGAAGAAACAGACAATTACTGAAACAGCCCAAAAAATAAATGATAATAGGTTATAATAGGAAGAATCTACCATGGAGACATATTGGTTATTAACAAAAGAATCGATGGAAGCTACGGCAAATGAAATTGATAGGACAACTGCTGCTGGTAAATAACTACCAATGGAGACAAAATATCTTGGTGCCAACAAGAAGTAGAAAAAGAAAGATTGATGAAACTTTTCCAATAGATTGTTAATAGATCTGAACATTGCTTCCGCTACACGACCGAAAGTTGTAACATCATGATTAGTATCACCACGAGCCTTTAATGTAAGCGCTTGTATTCTCCAACCACTAAATGCTTCATTACCATATACTTCTCTTACACCGGTTAGGGCCAAATTCTTGGTACCTAACGAGATCATTTTTAATCTTGACCAGTAATCACCATTACCCATTTCATCAGGAGTCAAACCATGTAAACTTACTTTCAAACCTTCATGCTCAGCAATTGATATAGCGATATTAACTAGATCCAGGTTCGGCAAAACACCATTATAACCGTTATAATGGACTTCTATATATTCAAAATAATCACTTACACCAGGATAATCCAATACAACAGCTGCTTCAATCGAACCACCAGTTAAATCCAAAGATGTATGATATGCTTCTACCCAAGATCTTAAGGCTTCCCTTGGGTTTTCACTAAATACAACAATAATATTCTTTGACCAAACGGGCCAACGTGAAAGAAATCTTGCCAATGAAACACCCAATGCAGCTCCACTGACATTAAATTCATCTTCAGCATTATACCAAGGAACTGCTAGAACCATTGACTCAGTACCATCACCTCTTGGTGCATTGAACACCCCATAAAGGGAATCACCGTATTCTTGATTCTTATAAACGGAAGTTTTCAAACCAAATTCTTCTAACCAGGAAGACATAATCGCATTTCTCTCAATTGAGGAATGAGAGCTCAATACTTCAATCTCTTTACGATAACCTCTTAGAATATTCCATTCTGTTTCTCTAAAATAACTGTAAGCTTGAGAAGGCATTAAAGCATTTTCTGATATATAGGTACGTCTAAACTGTCCATCCATTGGTAAATATAGCATCAGCATTACACTAACACTAACCAATAGCATCGAAAGTTTAGGCAATGCTGCCAAAAATTTCGGTAGCAAACCTGCATCAATCAATCGTCTCTGTAAGTTCTCTAAAATCGACATTTCAATCCTATTCTGACTACAATTATAGTTCTCAGTATATTAGAAAAGATTTATTCCCTGATATATTTGACCAGATATAGAACTATAAGAAAGCTAAACTCCCACAATTCGAATATAAATCAAACTAATAGATAACCAATAGACCTCACTGCCCCATATATTGATCCACTTTCCTATTGTAAAGTTATCTTTAATTGCCTTCTTTTGTTGTAGTTGTTGTTATATACTTTGTTAATTAATTATTCGCGATGATGAATATATAAATTAAAGTCGATGTGATATAATAAGAATGGGACATCTACTATAGAATAATAATAAATGTTCGACATATTGGTCAGGATAACATTTTGGATCCAAGAGTAGTTAACGGGGGTATTTATATTATGGAACAGAATCCAATTGTTATTGATAATGGTTCTTACGAGGTTAAGTTTGGATATTCCGATGCTAAAGTTCCTAATAGAGCTTTAAATGCCTTAGCCAAGGATAAATATGGTGCATGGTATCTTTCAAATCAGATGAATAATATTAAGGATATATCTTCAGTGACCATAAGAAGACCCCATGAGTTAGGCCAGTTGGTTTCGTGGGAGTTGGAAGGTACCGTTTGGGACTACTGTTTCTTCAATCCAGATGAGTTTCCAAATTTTAATTTAAAAGAGACTAAAGGCCATCATTTGGTTGTAAGTGAAACTTGTATGACATTACCAGAGTTAAGTGCAAATATGGACCAAGTGATGTTTGAAGAGTATGAATTTGAGAGTCTCTTCAAGTCTCCTGTGGCAGGTTTTGTACCGTTTTTGAATTTACAAGACAATATGAAGATGATATGTGGTAAAGGTGATGATGTAATGGGAGATTTAATTTCTAATATGGATTCGCAAAATATTAAGAATCCATATAGTGATTTCAACTTAGTCATCGATTCTGGGTTCAATTGTACATGGATTATTCCTATTATCAAAGGGGTGCCTTACTACAAAGCAGTTAAGAAGATGGAGATGGGTGGTAGATTTTTAAATGGGCTATTCAAAGAAACAATATCATACAGACATTATGATGTTACTGATGAAACAATTCTTGTTAATAATATCAAGGAAAAATGTTTGTTTATGAGTCCGACTTCCTATATGGATAGTTTTAAGAATAAAGATCGATATTCTGTTGATTATGTTCTACCAGATTTCCAAACTAGTTTTATTGGTTATGTCAAGGATAAGAAAAGTAATAGTCAGTTACCAGAAAATTCTCAAGTTATTACATTGACAGATGAATTATTCTCTGTACCTGAAACCATCTTCCATCCGGAGATGGCCAAGTTGTTGAAACCTGGTATTGTCGAAACCATCTTGGAAAGTTTATCTATTGTTCCAGAAACCATCAGACCATTGTTAGTGAATAATATCGTATGTGTAGGTGGTAATTTCAACATGCCTAACTTCGGCTCTAGATTGGCAACAGAATTACAACGTCAATTACCTACCGACTGGGTCTGTAATATTTATATTCCAGAAAAAGATTGTGAATTACAAGGTTGGAAATCAATGTCACAATTTGCACAAAATACCGATATCTACAAAAAGGCAAGAATATCAAGAGAAGAATACTATGAACATGGTACCGATTGGACTACAAAAAAGAGATTTGGTTATCAAAATTGGATTTGATTAATTTTATCAATTGATGCCACATCAAAAAATTCATTTCCAAAAATAAATGGATGGACATTTACAAGAAAAGCTATTCTAAACAGGGGAATCGGTATTCCATTCTCAAATAAACCTTCATGATAAACCATCGTAATCATCCAGATTCTTCAAAGATTTATACTGTTCGCCATTTTTATCATTTGAAATCTCATCACCTTTTGGTCTCTTTTGCACACGTTATTTTTCTTATTATGAGGAAATGGCTACCGTAGCAAGAAAATATATATTGATATGAAAAAATAACGTAATATAACAAGAACTAGATGGTTATAACAGTAGTTAATCCAGAGTTTGTTTATGAAGGTTGCAGATAATTATACTTTGATGAATATATTTGTCATCTGAAGCTGTTTCTTATAAGTGTTTCACTGTTTGTTCTATTTTTTTCCATCCAAGAAATTTTATTTTTAGGTGGAGCAAAGACAAAATAATACTTCAACCACGATCTAAGTGAGGACTAGATAACGTATTACTAGAAGGAAAAAAGAACAATAAAGACACTATTCCTGTTCAATTGAAAAAAAGTTATTGACGGTATTATATTTTTGGAAGATATATTGTGAGTTTCGTGGACTTTAGGTGGACCTTTTCCTCTTTTTTAACCAAATTTTTTATTTCGTTCTTCTGTGAAGTTTTTTTTTTATAGTATTAATCTTTATGATGATGAAGACTATATTTTGTTTACTTTCTGTTTATTTGGCATTGACAAGTGCATTTTATTTGCCTGGTGTAGCACCAACTACTTATGGGAAAGGTGATGAAATTCCATTATTGGTTAACCATTTAACCCCATCATTAAATTTCCAACATAAGGATGACCAAGGTAATGACATCAAAGGTAACAAGGAACACTTTTTATATTCCTTTGATTATTACTTTCCAAAATTGCATTTTTGTAAACCTGAACATGTTGAAAAACAGCCTGAATCTTTAGGTTCCATTTTGTTTGGTGATAGAATCTATAACTCCCCATTCAGCATTAAAATGTTAGAAAACCAAGAATGTACTTCTTTATGTAAGGTCACAATCCCAGCTGATGATGCAAAATTCATCAACAAATTGATCAAGAATGGGTTCTTCCAAAATTGGTTAATTGATGGGTTACCAGCTGCTAGAAAACTTCACGATGTTAAAACAAAATCCGATTTTTATGGAACTGGTTTCCCACTTGGTAATGTCCATGTCAGACAAGCTGTTGGCGGTTTGGCAAGTTCAAAATTGAATCTTGAAAATCCAGCCCGTGAAGCTAAGAATGTTAACAATATGGTTCACAATGTAGAAATTCCATTTTTGTTTAATCATTATGATATTAATGTCGAGTACCATGACCGTGGTGAAGGAAACTACCGTGTCGTAGGTGTTACTGTCGATCCAAAATCAAGTACTGGTGATATTTGTACCAAGAAATCCGGTGGTTTAATTTTACTCGAAACTGAAGATAATGAGGTTCAATTTTCATATTCTGTCAGATTCATTCCTTCTGAAACTGTTTGGGCTACAAGATGGGATAAATACTTACACGTTTATGATCCAACCATTCAATGGTTTTCTCTGATTAATTTTTCTGTAGTTGTCATACTGTTATCCATGGTCGTTATTCATTCATTAATGCGTGCCTTAAAAAGTGATTTTGCTCGTTACGAAGAATTCAACTTAGATGACACTTTTCAACAGGATTCAGGATGGAAATTGGGTCATGGTGATGTGTTCCGAATCCCTGATAAATCAATGCTACTTTCTATCTTAGTTGGTTCAGGTACGCAACTGTTCTTAATGGTTGCAGTTAGTATCTTCTTCGCTGCTATTGGTATCCTGTCACCAAGTTCCAGAGGTTCGCTACCATCGGCAATGTTTATCCTATATGCATTGTTTGGTTTCTGTGGTTCTTATGTGTCAATGGGTGTTTACAAGTTTTTCAACGGTCCATACTGGAAGGCTAATATGATTTTAACTCCAATTCTTGTTCCAGGTTTACTATTCATTTCTATTGTAGGTCTGAACTTTTTCTTACTATTTTCTCGTTCTTCTGGTACAATTCCACCAACTGCATTAATTTTTGTTATTGTACTATGGTTCATTATCTCTATCCCATTATCTTTAGCAGGTTCTTTAATTGCCAATAAGAAGTGTAACTGGGGAGAACATCCAACCAAAACAAACGAAATTGCCAGACAAATCCCATTCCAACCATGGTACCTAAAAACTGTTCCAGCTACTTTGATTGCCGGTCTTTTCCCATTTGGTTCTATTGCTGTAGAATTGTACTTCATTTACTCTAGTTTGTGGTTCAATAAAATCTTCTACATGTTTGGATTCTTATTTGTTTCATTCTTATTGTTAACCTTAACCACTACCCTAGTTACCATTTTAATTACTTATTACTCGTTGAATTTAGAGAACTGGAGATGGCAATGGAGATCTTTTATTGTTGGTGGTGTTGGTTGTGCCTTTTACATTTTTGTGCATTCCATTATTTTTACTAAATTCAAGTTAGGTGGCTTTACTACAATTGTATTGTATGTTGGTTACTCTTTGATCATATCTGCTCTATGTGCTGTGGTCACAGGTGCAATTGGTTTCATTAGCAGCATGCTATTTGTCAAGAAGATTTATTCATCTGTTAAGGTTGATTAATTATCTGACAATCAAGTAAGTTTTATTTCTCACTTTTATAATTGAAGTTTTATTATCCATATTATTCATATAACTTTGTACAATTTTTTAATTTCATAATATATACCAAAAACAATTTCCTAAAATTCATTTTTAGTGAATGATATTAATAACAAAAATTCCAAACATTGAACATTTATATTTAAATATTGATGATACTTTTGCTACTGATCTACACAAGTATGAAGCTAACAAGTAAGATATCGTATCTATCTATTCATTATTATATAATCGTGCTATGTACTATTCTAGTGGAATATAAATAGATACAAACATTAATCCTTAACTGTTTATCCCATTTGACAATGTTGAGGAAAAGAAATTACATTATTAATAATGGATTTAATTCCCGATGAAGTTTTCTCATTCACTCCAACCAAGTAGTTTTAAATCATTCAAGACTTTATCTTCTGTTTGGATCTTTAGAACTTGGGTGTCTTCTAATTTATCGCCAACAGCTTGTCTTTGTTTCAAAGTTTCAATTGCTCTTAATTTCTTCAATAAAGATCTAATTTTCTTTTCCTCTGGAGAAGTTTCTTTATTTGCAACTGGCTCCTTGTTTTCTGTACCTGGCTCAGCAGAAGTTTCTTTAATTTCGGAATCCTCTTGCTTTGTTTTATTATTTCTCTTTTTTCTGTTCTTAGCAGCTGTTTTACTTTCTTTTGGAGCCATACCTGGGATACCTGGGACGGTATTAGTTTTTTGTTTAGCATTGACGATGGTCATTCCTGGTACTTTACGTGTTCCATTAGCTTCTGCTCTTCTAGCATGTGGTGGTTTATAAGCACCGGCTGGCTTAGTTGCAGAGCTGTTACCGTTAGCACCTTCCTTTTTGTTAGGATATTTTAGTTCGTATTCATTAACACAAGAATGTATGCTTAAATTAGATTTATTAGTAATCTTAGGATCTTCAGCAGCCAGAGTTTCTGAAATTGGTTGCCAGTCCTTAATGATATGCGTTGCTTTACCATCAATGGTTAAAGTTTTGTAATTACAAGTTTCTCTCCAATCGATTTTCAATAATTCCTTGAATTCCTTAATGAAAACCAATTTACCTGTAACATGCCATATTTTAACACCATTATCGACTCTTAATCTTGGTGAAGTAGTTGCTGTCATAATGAATTCACCACCTGGGGACCACTTACAAACTGATGTATTTGCTGCATTAAATTTAGTAATACATTTAAATTTATCATGACGATCCAATATTTCGACTGCACCTTGTAAGTTACCGAACCCAGCAATCAAGATATATCTTCCTGATGGAGAAAATATCATTGTATTTTTTGGTTGTTCTGGTAACGAGTGGACAATGTTACCTCTTAAATCGAAAAAGGTAATTGTTGCTGGCATGAAACCGTAAATGACACCGAATTGTCTTGAAGTTGGAGACCAAGTGACGTCATGAATTGGACCTTCTTTATTCAAAGGAACTCTTACTGAGTTACCACCCAAAGAACCATTGACACCTTGGAATGACAATAAATATAAAGTATTTTCACCGTAATATGACTGATTTGAAGAATCAAAATCGGTAGTGGCTATACATAATACAGCGTTACCCAGTTGATTCCATTTCAATTGACAAGAGTCCGCCTTAAAGAAAGTTTTTGTTGCGATTCTTTTAGTAATGGTACCTTCCATTATTGGCCAAATGGTTAAGTGTGCAGGTTTGCCAGATTTTTCTGGAGTAAAAGTACAAATAGTTGGATGTTCTGAAGGAGAAATCAAATAAGTAGAGAACATTTGTTGATCGGACTCCTGTAATAATTTGGCAAAAGGCTTTTCGAAATCGATTTCGATTGAATTATAATCAATTTTAACAATTCTTAATTCTTTACCGAATAATTTCAGAGCATAATTATCTAATTTTGAAAATTGTAGGAACCAACTATTCTGTGATTTATATTGATATTCATAAGATGGAGACTCTGGTTGTGATTCTGGTTCCGTGTTTTCGTTGTCATTATTGAATAATTTGTTTAAATACCATATCTTGACATTTTTATGATTTGGATCATTGATAGATGCTCTTTCCCAAGTTCCCAAAAAATTTCCAGAAGGAGAGAATTTTAAATCATAAACGTTATTAATATTGAATATAGTTAATAAAGTTTCGAATCTTTCACCAGTGAATACTTTGACTTTATCTGAAGTGGAAATGGCTAAGAATCTTCCACAAGGAGACAATACCGATGAAATAATTGAGGAATCCTTAATTAAATTATCGTTATTGTATTGATTAAATTCAGGATAACCTGTGAATAACTCAACATCTTGAGAAGTTTTTAGAAAAAATTGAGAAGCCATATTCACCTTTTGTTGTTATGCTATGAGACTGACTGGTACTAGATAGTGCAAAATCTAAATTTCCTGCTATTTATTATTATTATTCTTAGATCTATTTCTAATTCTAATTTTTTTTCAAGCTCAATTCAATTTGTAAAGCTAAAATACGTGTACACTAAAGTAAGAATTCTAATTAACTAAAGTACAGTATAAACTAGAAAAACAACAACAACGTCGAATTAATAAAAACAAACAAATATTAATTGACCAGAACTTCTTGGCAAGTATTCAATACCCCTTGAACCAGGAGTTTTCAATACAGAGATATAAATAAGACTTAAAGTATAAAACCTTCAGTCTAAAATAGTATCTTGAAAGACGTAAAACAAAGAGTTACAAACTATACTTTATTTTGTTTTTAGTTTTACTGAAATAATTCAATATCCAATACAATGCAATACAGTACAATCTTTCAATAGACCCTGAAATATCTCGTTCCAAGAGCCTCAACTTCAATCAATGCCCAATTTTATCAACTTAAATCTACATATCAATCATGAAGATGTCTTAATTTAAAAATTTTGTCAAAATCTCGAAAACTTTTAATTTTTGTCAAAAATTTCGAAATTTCGAAATTTCAAATTTTCGAAAAAAAAATCCAAATCCGCTTTGTAAAAAGAAACGTGTAACAAGTTGTCATTCATGACGTAATGTAGCGTTTCTTTTTCTTCCGAAATGTCGAAATTTCGAAATTTTGGAGAATTTCTGATCTGTTTCGAAATTTGTACGTTAAGTATGGGCAAAGGGCAATAGGCAATGGGGCCAATATAGGGATGAGGATATAGTTATAGTTATAGTTATAGATATAAGAAGCATAAGATAGATATTATAAGATGGCAAGTATCTGAACCTTAGGCAGCTCTGTTCATTTTTTAACTTTTAGTTTTAGTTTGTGGGTGAATTGGTAGTTTGGATCTGGATCTGTATCTGTGGTGAGTAGTTGCTAACACACTTAATTCCCTGGACTATTTGAGTTGTCAGGTTAACAAGTCTTCTCTGAATTTGTTCTTTAAAGGCATTTGCAAGTGTGCTTGGGTGACAAGGGTTTATAGAATCGTCAGTTTTCTGATCGTGCTTACACATATATCTATATCTGACATTTTTTATTCTTTGGGTTTGTAAAATGGAAACCTGATCCAATATTTAATTTACATGCTTATATATATATCGTGCATGTATTTTTCTATAGAAGTAGAGCTATGGTCAATCTAAGGATAATTAGTTATAGGAATGCTCTTTTTCATGGGGTTGGCATTGTTAGAATGTATTGTAGTAATCAATCCAAGATTGCAAATCTTGGATTGATTACAGAATATTTGAAAGATGATGGAATTCCAAACCTCTTACAAAAAAATTTCAACAATAAATTTATTGATAACGAAATTAAATTAAGGGTCAAGACAGTAGATCAAAATAATTTACTATTTAAAGAATATTCTATTCAAGGTAAAAAAAAATACAATATTAGTATGAAAATGATACGATTGATTTTAAATAAATTTATTATAGATAAGAATTGTCATTTCCATGTCATGTCAGTAAAGTCAATTTTAAATGACGATAATCTTGATAGTAATCGCAACGATTTTGTTACTGATAATGATAAATTAATTATTAAATGGCATAGTTGTTTACCCAATGAAGGGAGATGCAAATACGATACTGAAGAGTTAAATAAGAAAAGCTTATTAAAACAAAATATATTAGAAAAAATCTTTAGTGAAAAGACATATAATAGTAATAACAGTTATGAAGATGAAATTGAGGATATAAGAAATACAAGTACGGCTAATGAGGTCAATATAAGTGGGAAATTTATATTTGAATTTAATGATAATAATGATAAGATAATAGTACATACTATTGAAAACATCGAAATGATTGATTATAGAAATATTAAAAGGGTACTTTCGTTTGCGTAAGTGACACATCAAAAAACATAAAGGTAGATTCAAATGCACAAGAATTTGTAAATAAAAATGAAAACGTAAATAGAGTATGATGGTAATATGTAAATAGACAAATATCAATAGAACAACCTCTTATATTTACAATTTTAAGTTCAGTCAATTAATTGAAATAGAAACAGCATTCAAAAATAAATAGTATGTATATATATATAATTTTTTTTAAATATGGGCATTGGTTTAATTAATATTTAAATGTATCAATCATTATGATGATGTTAATTATTGTTATAAGTTATCTTAATTTATCTGTCAAGTTCAGTCACTAATCTCTAGTTGGAAAGAAAGAGATGAGATAAGAAAAAGATGAGATGAGATGAGATGGGATGAGATGAGTTAAGCGGCGGGAATCGATTATACGAAGTGACCTTCACCGTATAAACCAACGACGGATTGAACAAAACCTAAAATGGTGAATACAGTAACGACGGATAAATGAGCAACGATGGAAGCGTTACAGTTCTTTCTTGAAGATTCAGAAGAAGCTTCAATAGAAGTTTTGCTACCGAAAGGACACTTACCGGCTTCACCTGGGGTGATCTTTGGATGTTTGAAGTCCTTACCTAAATCTACAGTTGAATCGTCTAAAGCAGGAGAAGGAGAGTTATTCTTTTCTTGATCAGCAGATGGGTGTCTGTGAGCAAATAGAGAAGCACCGTATAGATAAGCAGCGGAGATTGGGGCAATGACCATACCATAGATCAAATAAGGATGTCTCAAGCTCAATGGAGAACCAAAGTAACTGGCACCGAAGAAGATAGTTGACAAACCACTTAGAACGGTGGAAATCTTACCAACGCTACAAACGATGGATTTGAAATAGTTTACAATTGGGTTTTCATTTGTTCTTGGTAACAACAAATCGATTGGGGCAGAAGCTGTTACTAGAGTAGTAGTAGTTAGCAAACCAGCGTATAAACCTAAAGAAGAGACTGCGATTGTCTTAGTAACACCTAAACAGACGGACATGATGAATTCTAGTGTATGTGTGGGATGGGTTTGTATATATGAATATAAAGTTATAAATAAAACCTTAATACTTTTTATATATTTTGTGTATTGTTATCAGAATAACCGGGGGGAGGGGAGGGAGAATAATATATAGATGATAAAAACACTTAATTACAAGAGAGGATGTGAATTAGGCCAAAAAAAAAGAGAGAAAGTAGAAGGATCAGGATCTATCATAAGGTTTATATAGTAAAAAGAGATTAAAACAAAATCGAATCGAATTTAAAAATCAGTTAAAAGTTCAGGTTTTAAATTATAAATAACGTTATATTGCAAGAGGACAAGACATTTGAAAAAAAAAAAGGCTTTCGAGATAGAGATGGATAGAGAGAGAGCGTGTATATGTATGTGTGTATGGGTATGTGTGTCTGGTATTGAAGCTTAGTATAGAGAAGAATGTCGAGGGAATAATTGAATATGGATGGTTAATTTAACTTAATTTCAGTATAGTTTAGTATAGCTTGGTATAGTTTGGTATAGTTTGGTATAGTTTAGTTTTAGTTCGATTACAATGAAAGGTAGTGAAGTTAGGAACGGTAGTGGAATAAGTTAGTGGATATAGTATGCAGGACAAAGAGAAGAAGTGTTGGTGTTTATCGATGGGTCTATGGTCTATGGTCTGTGGTCTGTTGATTAGGATCGATGCGGTAGAGCGAAAGGCATTTCGAAGCAGTCTCTGTTTCGAAGATGATAGTGTGGGATTTGGTGTGCTGGAGAGTGAGCTGCAGTGTTCAGGGAGGATTGAACATGGGAAGGGTACGACTAGGCAGGGTAGCAGATGGGCGTAGGCAGGCAGGCAGGCAGGCAGGCAGGCAGAGAGTTTGTTGTAAAGGTAAATGAAAAAGTTCCCACAAAAGCGTGCTGGGTGAGATGTTGCGATCGAGAGAGACACAAGAGACACAGAAGATAGAAATGCATTATTTCGGGTTTATTATTAAGCGATAAAAAGCAAGGTATTGTCGTTGTCGTTGTCGTTGTTGCTTGCTTTGAAACAGAGGCAGAGACAGCAGGAAGAAGTATGGAATTGTTCGGTTTGTTATCTATTGGTTTTTTACTTCTTCTTCCTATCTCCCGATATATGAGACACAGTCACATGATGTTGCAAAAAGATCATGTGACCTGTTATCGTAGAGTTTGCGTTCACGTGGCTTCGAAAAACCATTCCTGAATTTCTTACGTCTATTTATCAATTTATTTTTCACTTTCTTGTGTTACAGATTGGATGGGGAACACCGTTGAGGGAGAGCATGTTCGGGTAACAATGTCATAAAATCTTTTCTTTTAGTAGTTAAATGATCAAATGACCAAAATTGCCCTGGCTGGCTGGACGCAAGATATTGGCATGTGATAGTCACGTGCTTGAAATTCCTAATTATACCTATGTACGATATGGATCCAAACACTGACGCATCTCTCTCTCTTGTTCAGGTAATGTATATGGTATTCCAATAGAATGTACTTGGATTATCAGTATTACCAGCACGTTGACAATATTCACTTGGGGTTTATTCTTATTTGTTACATGGGTACTTTATAACAAGAAATGCAATCGAAGCTAGTTTTGGCGACTGTTATTCGAGAAACGTCACTGCTGGCACTACATTTGTGATGTAGTGGCATTGGTGCAACCCCACCATTTAGGAATGAATGCATCTGGACTAACAACAGGTTGTTCCAGTGTGCTACAACGTGATGATTTGAGAGGCTTTTGGTCTGATTTGTAGTGTGTGTCTGTATTGTCCCCCACGGCTGCGCACCTTTCTCAGCGAGATCTAGCCGTCTGCCCAAAAAAAAGAAAAAACACTGAAAAATATGAAATTTCCCTTTTGGGCAGTTAAATGCAAGACGCTTCACCTGGACGTATAACAAAGAGATGAGCTTACAATACAAGAAGTTAAACTATACAATCCAGTTAATTGAGCAGCAGACAACCAGCAACAAGATCCAATCACTGACCAAGATAGAACTAACGAAATGGTTGAAATTAAAGGTGAAGATAAAATTAGAAGTGACGATGAAATCATTGAAGTCTCATCGACCAACCCAAGAAAGAGACAGAGTAGGTACTTCTGAAAATCAAACTGTTGTTAATAGTCATGGTCTAAATGATGGCTCAGCATTTCGTACCAACAATACCGATGACACAATTGATGATAACATAATTGTTGGCAGTTGTGTAAACTCTGGGGGAATTGTGAATATTCCAAAATTCAAGTTTACATATAACCAACACATTGATCCAAATTCTTTGAGAATGATCAGAGCACCTAAAAAGAATGCAAGCAAGTATCCACTAGTTTTTGCTGAGAAACATGATAATAGGAAGATCCGTTACTGCCAAGTTTCTAATGGTAATACGATTTGTAATAAAGATATAAAATTTATGGATGACAGGCAACTGAGTAAGCGAGGCGCTGAATACTGTGAAAAACATATTAAAAATGAACATCCATTAGCTTATAATTTACCAAACATTATGGATTGTTTGAATCGTGAGCATTCTCCAGTTAGAAGACTATTCCAAGAGCAAAAAAAATCTCAGAATATTTTAAATATGATGAACAAAGTATACAGAAATTCTTCCGATACTCTTTCACCATTCGAGGAGTTTGCATTAGTTTTTGCCCAACATGGTTTTCCTCTTTCAATGTGGGAAAGTAAGGATATCAGATTAATATTTAAGAAACATGTCAAAGGGTTTTCAATTGAAAATAATAGAAAACAAGCATCAGAAATTGTTAAAAAAGCCTCGGATAAAATAGTAGAATATTTTCAACTACAATTAGAAAAATATGATTCTTTTAGACATAATGTCGTTATTGAATACCCGCTTAAACATGTTAGTTTAGAATCTGAAATCCATTCTAGGATTAGTAAACTGAGCATTGTTGTACCTCCATATGTAAGCATGGAATTGGACGATTGGAAGGCAGATACAGGTATATCATATTCCTCAGTAATTTTTAGTTTGACTATGGGCTCCTACAAGAAGGGTACTTTTCAGGCTAAATATACAAAGTCTGAATCTAAAACAAAACCATATCATAGACAGTTACTAGTTTCAGTGTGCGATGAGTACAAAGCAAATGATCTGTGGACAAATACTTGCACAGATAACGCATCTGATATTTTGCAATGCAGTTCTGAACTAGTTGGAAATCCAAAATATCCTGTCTATGCGGGTCATGTCGAATGCTTATACCACATTTTAGGCCTTATTTGCGAAGAAGTTATAAAATGCATATGTTTACAAGATTCCTCCTCTGAAGATAGCTTAGATGCTTATTTGACTGAAGATGAATCAAATGATATTCCCGTATCCTCAAGGTTAGATATACCTCCTTTGGTTTCTGACCCATTTGCTGGACGATCCCCTACAGTTCTTGCTAAATTGATTAGGTTAGGTACAGAATTGAAGAAATCTGAAGTTAAGTTGTCCTTATATAAGCAATTCGTATCAAAACAGATACCTTCTTACAGTTCGGAGAGATGGGATATAAAACACAATATTTTAAAGACATTTGTTGATAACCAGGTGGATATCTTTAGATTTTTCGAGCATTGTAGAACTACTGAAAACCCTGTAACTAACGAATTGGATATATACGATTTTGAAATAGCCGAATTGCTAGTGAATATACTGAGTCCCCTTGAACAGTTAGTCAGGTTTATGTCTCAGAATATTAGTTTATCATCAGTTTATATTCGTACACTTCTTTTTGCCAAGTCAACTATAACGGATTCTAGTCAATTACTAAAAGAGATGGAAAATGATAGGATAGATTTGTCTCCGGCGGTTAAATTAGTAGACAAGTATTTACAACAGGCTAGGGCTAATTTCGACGTTATATACACTTGCACACCATTATATCCTTTCAAACAGGATGTATTCAAATATTATGAAGATGAGTTTAAAGAGAAATTAAATCCTATATCTCGGTTTGCCAATATTCTAATGCAACTAGGCAAGTTCGATTTCCAAGAATCCGAGGGTGTCAAAGTTAATGAAACACTTATTGACTCTACATATGATATTTTCGACGACGAAATTCCCTCAGGTAATGAAGAATTTAATTCCAAGAAAGGAGTATCAGATGCAGTAAGACGTCATCTTATTGTTAAAATAAAAGATGAAATGAGGGAATACATAGATTTTTATCGTCAACAATACGATACTCGCCTGGCAGAGATATGCAAGAAGAAAAACATTGAAAGAGAAAAATCAGAGGGAAAAGATAGTTATAAGAGGATTATGAAGATCGATAGTAACCCTGAAAGAAAATTGGATATTATAAAATCTGAAATTTTTTTGGTTGAACTTGAAGCCTATTTAGAAATACAAAAGTTCTACCGAGAATGTACAAGAAGCAAGAATACTGAAGTTTCGTCTCACGAATATTTGCCAGTAGTAATGGATTACCTGTTATCATTTGCTGTAACATCGGTTAATGCAAAGAAAACTTTTTCTAAGCTGGAATGGACGTATGATGATCAGCAACATATAGTAGATGATTCTACTGCTTTCACGATTGCCAATTTGAGTAACATGGCCACTTCAAACCTAAATCTAAGTGTGCACAAGCCTTTCGAAGATACACCTTTAGACGAGGTCCTTCGTAATAAGAAGAAGACATAGATATAATATAGTTTAGATATAATTGATAGACGTGATATAATTGATGTATTAAGAACTGTGTCTGAAACTGAGCAGAGTATGTGTCACAAAATACTATGACGTTCCAAATTTCCTAACGCGCCCTCCAATCGTATATCATGAATCACATGGTCTTCGTATATAGCGACTCCATACTCCAAAATCATCATAAAATCCTGTTCCGCTGGCCGCATACTGTTGCCTGTCCGAGCCAAGTCGAAGTTGCTCTTGTCCGGAACCGGTTCTATACAGGGCAAGACCCGCCGGTTACGGCACATACATAGAGACAGACAGACAGACATCGATCAACTTCTTCCCCTGTACCACACACGCAGAATACACTAGCAGATAATTGAACTGCAAATAAATATATTCAATTGATAAGTGGCTGACTCATTTAAATGAACAAGTTTCCTTTTCTATACTTTGATATGAAACTAACTGTGAAGCACAGGCACAAGCACAGGCACAAGCACAAGCACTAAATCTGACTCCTAGCTATCATTTTACTTTACTTACCCTCCCTGCCACTCTCCCTTCCCATAATTTCTATACCACCACCAGACCTTATTCCAGTAATAGGATAGTTACCCGGATATGCCAACGTAATCAGATAACGTTTCTGTCTCCCTCTCCGAACAAACCACAACAGCTGGTCGTAAGAAACATCCAAAACCGCATGATGATGACAACAACTTCTACCACCAATTGATTGATTGCGCTTTCTATCTCTCTCTCGACATGAAAATTTTCACTCTCTCCTTTTCTCATATGATATGATGAATTTGGATAACAAACAGTACCGTCCTATCCTAATACTAATACACTACCCATACCCATCTCATAGCATATTCTCACTCTGGCTCTACCAACCCGCATCAGACTATCTGGTATCCATCTAGTCAACTTTATAATCCAATTCGATCTAATCCCTCTATCTTCCTATTCCTGTTCAAACGACCTCTCTCATAATTACTCACCTCTCTCCTAAAATTTTCATCTCTTACTCTTACTCTTTTACTCATTTAGAGATATCCTTTTGATATAAAAAAAAGTACTAAATTCTGGAAAAAATAAATTTAAAAACTTTTCCTTCTCTCTCTCTACTCATCAACTTCACTATATCTCTCCTTACTGTTGTTGAAATTTGAAACCTATTCTCTATAATAAATAACAATTATAGTCAATTCTATTCCTATTCTCTTCTCTCTATAATAGAAAAGAAAAAAAAAATATACCAGTTTAAGAAAACTCAATTTTCTTATACCTTCAACATCATAGTTAATTCAAACACATTCACATACTCACACATTCACAACTTTTTCCCCCTATTTCACAATGTTGAGAACTCAAACTGCTAGATTGATCTGTAACTCTCGTGTTATCACTTCAAAGAGAACCATGGCCTTGGCTGCTCGTTCTTTAAACAATGGTTTAAGAACCAATGCTTCCTCTTTCCAAGCCCAAAAGAAATTGCTAACTCCAATGATCACTACTCGTGGTTTGAAACAAATCAATTTCGGTGGTTCTGTAGAAACTGTCTACGAAAGAGCTGACTGGCCAAAGGAAAAGTTATTAGACTATTTCAAAAATGATACTTTTGCTTTGATCGGTTACGGTTCTCAAGGTTACGGTCAAGGTCTAAACTTAAGAGACAACGGTTTAAACGTCATCATCGGTGTTAGAAAAAACGGTGCCTCTTGGAAAGCTGCCATTGAAGACGGTTGGGTCCCAGGTGAAAACTTGTTCGAAGTCGAAGAAGCTGTCAAACAAGGTACTTATGTGATGAACTTATTGTCAGATGCTGCTCAATCAGAAACTTGGACTGCTTTGAAGCCTTTGCTAACTAAAGAAAAGACTTTGTACTTCTCTCACGGTTTCTCCCCTGTCTTCAACGACTTGACTCATGTCGAACCTCCAAAGGATATCGATGTCATCTTGGTTGCTCCAAAGGGTTCCGGTAGAACCGTCAGATCTCTTTTCAAGGAAGGTCGTGGTATTAACTCTTCTTACGCTGTTTGGAATGATGTCTCTGGTAAGGCTCATGAAAAGGCTCAAGCTTTAGCCGTTGCCATTGGTTCTGGTTACGTTTACCAAACTACTTTCGAAAAGGAAGTCGTTTCTGATTTATACGGTGAAAGAGGTTGTTTAATGGGTGGTATCCATGGTATGTTCTTGGCTCAATACGAAGTCTTGAGAGAAAATGGTCACTCCCCATCTGAAGCTTTCAACGAAACTGTCGAAGAAGCTACTCAATCTCTATATCCTTTAATCGGTAAATACGGTATGGATTACATGTACGATGCTTGTTCTACTACCGCCAGAAGAGGTGCTTTGGATTGGTACCCAATCTTTAAGGATGCCTTGAAACCTGTTTTCGAAGACTTATACGAATCTACCAAGAACGGTTCAGAAACTAAGAGATCATTGGAATTCAACTCTCAACCTGATTACAGAGAAAAATTAGAATCTGAATTACAAACTATCAGAAACATGGAAATCTGGAGGGTTGGTAAGGAAGTTAGAAAGCTAAGACCAGAAAACCAATAAACAAGAAAAATTGATATTATTATAACTAAATCAAATGAAATGCAATTGTCACTTCTATAAATAGTTCTGGGAACTTGATATTTAGTGATTGGATATGATCTTGTTTTAGTATTTTTTATTGGTCGTTTTTGTTTTTGTTTCTGTTTTTATCTTAACACTACAGTTTTCTCTATTTTGTACATTACTATATGAGTATTCTGCTTAACGATGTCAATTGAATTGACTAAAATGCATATTCAAATCAAGTACACACATTTAAATGATGTGTATGTCTGGTAATTGTTTAATACCCCCCCACATCCTGTTATAAATTATTTTTTTTACTGAATTTGGAACTAGAATACTTGTTGTCAAATATCATTGGATTTGGTTCATGGTTTTGACTTCAATGTTACTAGATCTAAAGAGGGGGAATAATAAAGTAAAAATGTTGTACATATAATTATATTATTTTTTTATTTAGACATGCCATGAGTTTTTAACGAATAAACCTTTATGTCACGGTTCTTACAACCAAATCTATATTTCAATAATTTAATAATTTTATTTTATTAATTAAATGCTTTAAACACCTGATTCTTGTTTCACTTTTAATTATAGGCAAAGATAAAGTTGATCTTATTATTACGTTGCTTTTAATTACTATTTGCTTACTTCTAGGGGCGTTCTTCCAATAGAATTTCTTAGATCAAAAATTCAAGGAATAATAGCTAAGCATTCAGACAAGAAATAAGATAAAATACCCCCATTGATGATATAAGTTTCCTATTTTCAAAGCCCTTATGCAACAAAATGTTCAGATTAGATAAAAATGTTAATCTCATTATCTTTCGTTCTGCATCAATTATTTCCTAACCTCATTATTTCTTTCTTATTGGATGTACATCATGAAATAAGAATTTGTATGAAATAGGAACCTCCCCACCCTCAGTCAAGTTTTTAATATTAATGATTAACTTTTAGATTTTTGAGGTATAGATGATCTAGTTATCTCAATACCACTAAGTAAATAATATTGTAATTAGAAGAATTTTACACTGCTTATAATTTCTAATTCAAGAAAGAAACAAAATGACAACATATTTTATTGTTTACCCCATTCCTGGCTGCAGCTTAGAGTGGTCACTGATTCAATTAATTAATTCTTGCACCATTACTTTTAAAAGTTCTATGTCCCCCCTTCTGGGCAAAGAAGTTCGGATCCTAGAATAACCGAACACTTTAGTTTTAGAAGAGGTTCAGATACCTTTCAATTGCATACAGGGTATAACAATTAAACCTTGCTAGCTGAATATATGATCTGTTACTTTTATTTTACTTTTTTTCCAACCTTGCTGTAAAAAAAAACATGGTGTAAAAATTAACATGGTGTAAAAATTAACATGATGTAAAACATAACATGATGTAGAAATTAACACGAACAGCCAGAGCTGAGGATGCTCTAGAATAATAAAAACGATAGATCGGATAAGAAGAAACGAAAAAGGATACAGAACAAGAGGAATTATTGTTAGATCAAAAAGGAGGGGTTGAACTTCATTCAATGGATACGGTTCATTCATAAATCGCTTCACTATATCAATTTTACACCGAGGTATCAGTTGTTAATACTTCGTAAACCTCAGTCAGACATTAGGATGTTCAACTCGGTTTTCTTTTCTCCAAGAGTGAAAGGAAGTTTTAGATTCAAGACAAAAACGAAACAATAGCTAAAAATGATAATTATTTATCAACGACCAAACAAAGGTCAAAAACAAACAATTGAAGTTGAATTTGTAGTAATTAAAATAAGCAAACCTCAATAACACTCCAAAAGACTCCAAAAAAAATATGTACAAGTGAGAATTTTGCAATTTTCCCTAGCCATTCCTTAACACCCCCTCCCCCTCTCCCTTTTAATCTTGAGGTTCCGTGAAACATTGATAGTATTTTCTTTTAACTAGTATTATTGTTGCAGTTTGTCTGACCTTGTTTCGCTTTAAATGTTGTAGTTGTATTATCAATGGCTAGTATTTCTTTTTTTTTTTTAAATAAAACAGGTCTTGCACTTTCCTCAATCTATTCCATATGCTATGTTAAACAAAATCAAATTTATCAAATATGCAACACAATAGTTGCTGCATTGAAATAATCCGTCTACCCGTGTCCCCCCTCTCTCTCTCTCAACTATTTCCATATATCTCGTTCTTTTTCTACTTTACTTTGTTTCAACTGTCGTAATTTTTCTCTATATCCTGAATTTCAAGTTTCTATAGGCTTTCTGACTTTACTTCTACCTGAAAAAGGGCTACCTGCTGGACATACGTCTAAACCACTGATCAATCCTTAAAACTTGTTCGTACATATCCATACATCATCAAACTTTGAGAGGTCACTAAACCTTTGGTTCTCCCGTCAATGTTGCTATAGCTTTTTACAACCTTCAAAAGCTTCTTGGCCTGGTTGCCTAATTCGTAGGAGTAAGTACAGTCATCTCTTAGTTGTCTCGAAAAGAAACATAAAATTACATATAGTGACAACAAGATGTGAGACGGTATTGTACTTGAATTCATCCTAAATAGCCTAAATAATTTTTTTTTATTTTGGAGGTTTGATTTTAGTTTTAGTTTTAGTTTTAGTTTTAGTTTTAGTTTTAGTTTTAGTTTTAGCTTTCGCACTGGTTTTCGTTATACTTTCTCTGGTTTCTTCTTCTAATATTTTTTACTATCGCCATCATGTTAAAAACTACATCACATCACGTATTGATTTAGAAGTGGTGGAAGTTCTAACAGTTGGTTGGTATTTCTTTTTGCTTTCCCAGTATCTTCTTGGTCAGATAAGCCATGCTGCATTAGTTAAAGAATATCTATGTTTATGATTCCAATGTTTGACTGTAACTTTTAGTCGTAGAATGAAGTTGAACTACGATTGATTTAGTAACGTAGGTTTAGAATATTCAAATGTTTCTCCATCTCTGTGGGTAAAAGAGACAACCAAACACTACATAGTTTTTGGTTTTAGATTTTTTCTGGTCTTTTTAATTCATTTCTTTCTATTCTTAAAATTAATAGTTTTGCTATCATCATCAGTAACAATAACGGTAGTTCGTTACTCATACATCTTTTATTCTTTTAATTCTTTCACCAGTAAAAGAGTGAGAGAGACAGGCTTATAAGTGCAGAGGTATAGTTAATCTGTTATTGATGTTGTTGTTGTTGCAGTTGTTGCAGTTGTTGTCGTTATTGTTGTCGTCGTTGTTATTGTTATCATCGTTGTCGTTGCTGCTGCTGTTTATCCTGCTACTGCTGCATACTTTTGTTACTCAATGACTGTCTTCCCTTCCTCTCTCTTGTAAAATTTTACATTATGTTTTCTTTTTCTTCTTATTTCGAACATTAATTTTATTTAATTAATGTTATTGCTATTGGTATTTTGAATTTATCTCACTCCCTCTACAAGGGTTCTTCAGGAATCAGGGAGAAACATACATTTTGTAATAAAATTTATTATTAAAGTGAAAAGTGAAATATAGTAATCAACCTAACAAAGAGCTGAGCTTATGTTGAATTCCCACGTTCGGAAACACACCTAGAAATAGCTTTCTTACCAACCAACAGTGGTACTACCACAAGTATTTCTATGCAACCCCAAGATTACAACAACCATTGTAAGGTCTTAATCCCAATGAATCTTCTTTCTCTTAATTTAGTTTATGTATGTATGTAAGTATATGTGTACCATATGTAGTTGGTAATGCTACCTAGGAAGTTATTTCAATCAACAAACATATTGAATTTCTATGTGTCTAATGCAGTAATCCACTCGAATTTCAATGTTCTGTTCTATTCTGTCTCTTAAATTTATTGTTATTAAGCAATCAGGCAGTCAGTCATCTTAAAGATTACCAAGAACGAGTGTTACTAAACTTATTATTCTCAAAGAAATTAAAGCAGTAATAATCAAATAATATAATATAATTTAATTTAATTTAATTTAATTGTTTTAATTTGATATTATCAGTAGTAACCAACCTCTTTTCTCACTTCCTCTCTCTTCTCTTCACCATCTTGTTAACTTTTGTTATTTTCTATTCACATTTCTGCGTCGTTATCAAGCCATGTAATTATGTACATCAATGGGAAGTAAATTCTATATGTTATTATTTACAAGAATCATAATGTGGTTTCCCTTTCTATAAAAACTAATTGAAATTATGACTAGATGAAATATACATATATATATATATATATATATAATATCTTGGTTATGGTAACCAACTTTCTTAATTAACAATCGAACATTTTTTAGTCTTGTTCGTGTATTCGTTATTCTTTGCGTTGCTTCGAAGGGAATAAAGATAAAACCCATATCGTATTTAATCCCTTTTTCGATTTGTACCTTTCCTTTGTCTTCTTAACAGAGCTTTAAGGTACTTAACTCAGTATATTTTTTTAAATAGACATAAATATATACAGAGTATTGTTAAAGGCACTAGTATATTTCATTTGCTAATTATAAAGTACTAATATTAGAATAGAGTCAGCACATTTTGATCTAATCAGCAAGTCTACCGATCTATTTGTTTGTATCCGTACTAGCGTGAGTGTGCTCTAATTTTATTTTGTATATATACTATATCTTATACATTGATTTTAAATTGCCTATAGAACATTTAAAACAAAAATCATAGTACAATAGAACCTTCGAAAGAATACATTTTAACAGGAACATCTAGAAAGACAAACGCCTCTGTCAGTGTATTGTGTGTAGTAAAAATAAAAATAATTATAATAATAATAACATTATTAAAAAAATATAAACCAGTTTTCAATTAATTAGCTAATCGGTTGAAAATATATACCACTTTATTTAATTCTTTTGGCTAGAAATATCTTTAATATCAAACCTCAAAGTATCAGAAGCTATTATCAAGCTTTAAAATTTTGTTATCGTTTCAATAAGATTAATATATTAATTTAAACCACAAAAATTGTTTTAGTTTTGGACCCTCTGTCATTTTTAAAAAAGATTGTTAGAGGAAAACTGTATCGACCAACTTATTATAAATATAAATCAATTTAATTTAAATATTAAACTCAAAAAGAACACAATGAATCAAACGCCTCAAGAACCAGATTTCCCTTTGAATCCTTTGGTTCACTCTACTAAAATACATGAAGCACCATTTTTTCAAGATCAATTTAATGCCATGAAACAAGTTGATCCTATCCATAGTAACAACAATTATCCCAGTTATCCTAACAACGGTATGGGTAATACTGGCAATAGTAACATTGCTTATGGTAACATAAATAATGGTAACATATATATGAGTAAGGTAAGGACCGGAAGAGAGATGGAGATACCAAAGGAATATCCTTTTGATTTAGAATATGTCATGAAACAAGAAGACTATGTAAATAGATTGATGGGGCCCGGTATGATATCTCCAAAGGAATTAGATGGCCAACCTCAAATCTCACAGCAAGGTCAACATCAACCTCAACAACAAATGCATCAACACTTCCAACAACAGCCACAACAGCAACAGCAACAGCAACAGCAACAGCAACAACAACAAACTAATTTTATGTCGCAGCCAACTGTCCTACCTCAACCAATGACAATGCCATTTCAACATTCAATTCTTCCATTTCCTACTAGTAGACCTGGTACTGGAAATAACAGTCCATTAACGACAATGCCAATTGGTGTGTCAAACAACTACCATTTAAATAATGATAGAAATTTCCTTCACAGCAATAATAACAGTAACTTGAGTGTAAACTCTCAAATGAGCAAAGTTACCAATATGAATGGATTGAGTAATCTCAATAGTAACATTAGCATGAATTCTTTAACTGCATTAAATAACATGAACAGTAATCTCACCCCAATACCAAACTTTGGACAACCAAGTACGCCAATGAAAGTTCCATTGCTACAACAATTATACATGGACGAAGAATTGATGGAGCATATAAGCAAAAAGCAAAAAAGAGGATATTATAAATGTACACATTGTCCATCTACATATCCAAATGTATTTGAATATGCAAAGCATATGGATCAATATAATATCACAAGAGCTTATAAATGTCCATTTAAATTGTGTCCTTGGAAAATTTTAGGTCTCCCTCGTAGATCAGATTTAAGAAGACATTGTGCCATTCAACATAAGGATGAACTTCCAAATAAATTAAAGGAAGAGTTGAACCTGAACGATGAAATGTATCCTGTTCTTCACTGTCCCTCCGAATATTGTGACAAAGTGTTTATCAGGAGGGATTCTTATAACAGACATGTGAGTATAGTACATGAAAAGAAAAGTTCAAGATTCAATAAGAGATTGGTTCAAATTCTAGCAGACTGTCCAAAGTTTGACAACGATAAGGACAGAATAAGTTATGTTAATTTGAAAATGAGAAACTTTAAGAAAAAATCTAATTCAATCAAAAAAGACTAGTCTAATCATATTGCTTCCTACTTGATTGCAACTGACGCCAATACTTTCCTGATAATATATAAATATTAATACTAAAATAATAACAAAAGGTTGTAATCTAGCGGGCATGGAGGCATATAGGAACTATTTTTAATTCATCATCATTATTATTTTTTATCTTTACTATGACAGATTTCCTAAATTTTCATCCCCCTTGATGGGGGTTATACAAGATTATTTTGATTTTGTATAGAAAGTGTTCCAAGATTCTGTAATATTTTATTTTATTTGCTTATTTACTGGACAATATTAATATAATAATTTTTTCATCAAATAATGTTTATAGTTTTGTATCAAATAGCCAGGCTATTATATTTTTAATATAAAACAGTTTATTTATTTTTATTTTTATTTTTGTTCTTCTGTAAGTAAGGGAAAGTGACTGCAAAATGTGGTCTGCATTTGACATAGGCTTAAATTATATAGTCTTCTAATATATATTCCTATCATTACATTTTTGATTTATACTTGCTAAGTGACAAATTGTACAACATACCCAATTTACTGTCATTAATAGAGATAGTCCGGGTAACATCGGTAAAATCGAAATCCTATGCTTAATAGAGACAATACCGTCTATTACCAAAAAAGGTAAAATCTTCAAACTCTTCTTATTTAAATAATATCAAATATGAAGACCAATGAACCCTTGATCCTGATTGGATTTATATTCGGAATGCATCCGATTGTGATTTGATTCAATTTATTACTTTAGAGCAACTATACAAGTTATTGGGATCATTAATTTTCACATTTTTTGTTTGATTTAAGGCAACAATTGAACGTTGGATTTGTATATTAGCTTTGCTTGGGGCTGAAAAGAATATTGATGCCATGGTTGACAATTATAGTTTACAAGGTAAACGTTTTGATAAGATCGAAGATGCATTGAGATATGTTAATGAACAACTGTCCTTGAAAGGGTATTACACCAATGGCAGTGATTTGAATTCTAAGAAGATCGAGCTCAATGGAGAAATTGATGATAAAAAACTAGTTATCAATACCTTAAGTAGGCTTTTAAATGAGATAAATAATAAAAATAAATTATTATCTGAGACTGCTCAAGAAAATAGGTTAATAAAACAAAAATTAAACACAGTTGCTAAACAAAAAGAAGCAAATGATAAAGAATTAATTAAATTGCATCTTCCAACTCAAAAAAAAGTTACTAAACCAACAGTTCCGACTCAACAAGTTACTAGTGCAAATTTTAACAATAATTCCAATAATTCTAATGTTAACAACATGTTAACAAAAACGTATAAAGTCAAATTGAATAAGTTGCAATCTACTATTGATGAATTAAGAAATAAATTATCTACGAATAGCCTACGAAGGAGTGGTAATGATGATCTCGATTTGACATGGGGAACCAACTCAAATATTTCAATAGATGAACATGATATTTTAGAACCAGAGATGATTACTCCAGACAAGTTTTTAGAATCATCTGGTGTGTTAAGGAAATATAACGAATTAGTAAACCTACGATTGAATTTAATCGATTTTATATCGATGGTAAATAAAATAACATATTCCAAAAATGTATTAAACTTAGAAACATTTGAAATATCAGGGTTTATAGATCAAAGTTCAGATTCAAAAGATACCATTGAATCCAAAAACTTTAACCCAGACATAACTAAAAATGATCCTGAAATTTACGAATTGGTAACAGATTATTACGAAATTCTAAGATTATCGAATAAATCCATATAGAATACTATACAATTCAATTCAATAGAATAAAGTAGATACTTAAATAAAATCAAATGCATCAATCATATAACTAATTAATCATTCTTATATTGTAGTCAGACTCTTGTTATATCATGTGAACAAATTTTTTATAATTTGTCACGAATGCTCTTCTGTTGTTAGGAACGTAATGCGAGTGAACATAATTGATTAAAAGTTGTCAAGTCTAGTCTCTCTTAAAGTTAAAAGTACAAGATTACTCTGAGTAATATATTACAATAAGTTGAATTGTGGAACTGTTAATATTGCTATAAAGACAATTCCTGTTCTGTACCTACTTCTATTAGAGATATTCCAACTAGGAGCCCAAACAACCTGAGAAGGATAAAAAATTATATACACATATACAAAGAATGACTACTGAATTATCATATAATGGAAATTCTAAGCAATTATCTATTGAAATAGATAAAAAATATGAATTAACAGATGCTAGAAGTATTAATGTTAATCAAATTAATAAATTGACTACCGCTATTATTGGAGAGTCTAATCCAAACTTTACACCAAAACCAAATGACAATTTATCTAAGATGATTAGAAATATGTTTGAAACTGGTATTAAAAATATGAAACAAAATAAAATGCAAGAAGCTTTGAAGAACTTAACTTTGGCAATTGAAATGTCTCAAAGAAAAAGAGCACCATACGAAGCATTTCAAATTCAGTTACAAGACGTCCAATTCATGTTACGTCAAAAGATCGATTTGGAATTGATTCTAGGTAAAAATTTAGAGGCATTACAAGATTTGGAAATGCTATTGAATACAGGTTTGTTAGATCCGGAAATCTTCTTAAGAAAGACTGATGCATACTTAAAATTGAAACAATACAACCTGGCTCGTGTTGATTGTGAAAGAGGTTTAAGCTTGTTCCCAACTAACCCAAAATTAAAGGTCATGTTAAATGAATGTAATAGACGTTTGGCAGAATACAATGGTGACATTTAGATAATGCCACATATATGCATAATCCAGTGTAAAACAAAAAAAGAAAGAAAGAAATAGTAATATCATTAAAGAATAAGAGATTGATAACGGGCACCTTCTTAGACTTTATCCCACTTCTATATTATAAAAATGAAATATTTGGTATATCCTCAAAATTATGAAGGAACTTATCTGTATAATAAATAACTGATATATAACTTACAACTAATGATAAATTGCAGTATTTAGACTTTATTAAAAATTTCATTTCAGTGAACCGTTTCCACCTCAATTAAATACTAGTCAAATTTATTTCATATAGGGTAAAACTAATTGCTTATGGTTGAAAACTTTAGTGAAAGAAAAAATAGAAGTAGTGCTAACACAAATACAAGTAAAAGAATCTATTTAAAAGGCTTTTTAGTTTGTTTAATTCCATCAAAGCAGCCTTATAGCAAATACAAACTCTTTGACTATTTTTATGATGTATATTTCCTTCAAGACAAAAGGGAGATATATTATTCAGTTGATAAATATCTAATCAGTAGATAAAATATGTATTAAAGGCTAAAAATAAAACAATCCGATTATCCAAACGTTAATTGTAGTTGAGATTTGTCCTTTAAATAGGTCTGGCTTTACTGTCATCTTTCATTAATATCAAGACTATTACCCTCACCAAATTGGATGCCCTTCCTCTCGCTACCAAATGTTAAATATACCAGATAACACACACTATGAAAATTTTTTTTTCTTCTGTAAAGTAAAAGTTCTGTCGATGAGAAGAAACAGTAACTTATTTAATGGATTAAAACCAACAAGACACATATAATCTAATTCAACTTTGCACGAAGTTAGTATTTCTAATTGAAGCTTGTATTTCAGTTACATAGCCACTGAACCAAGATTTATTCAATTGACAAGTGAAGGGTTGTTGTTCTGTGAATTGAATATTAGTAGTATAATATAATAAAGGTAATGTCAGGCTCAACAAATTCGGCTGTAGTTTTAAGTTCTACATCTAGTGCTCTAAACAGTGTATCTCCAGAGATTAATGTCACTATTGACACCTTTATTTCACGTTTAAAGAGAAGACAGATTACTGGTGCCTACACAATTGCATTAGAGGCATTACAAATTTTGAAAAGGTTTATCTCTGTTGCCCGTTGGAATAACGTTACAGATTTGATTGAACAGATAAGAGATTTAGGTAGCAGGCTTGAGAAGGCCCAACCTACTGCATTCACATGTGGTAATGTTATAAGAAGAATTCTAGCGGTATTGAGGGATGAATACGAAGAAGACCTCCGTGAAAATTCAGATGATTTATGTAAGAATTATGTTGCTACATCATCTACAGTTGCAAGAGCCTAGAATTTCTTCTATGTTCATTTTTTTTCAAAAACCCAGAGATTCCTAATCAGAAAAAGTTTTTAATAAGAACAATAGTGGCAATGTTCGTGGTAATAAATCCAAAACCGATTATCGTCAAAGTAGCTATTCAAGGTATCAAAGACTTAGTTGATGAAATCACTAATATCGACGATGGGTATCCAACAGATTGCCATCGATTTTAATTCATGATAATGAAATTTTGTTGACGCCGACACCAGAATCTAAAACTGTTTTAAAGTTCTTGATTAAAGCCCGTGAACGTAACAACAGAAAGTTTTCTGTACTAGTAACAGAAGGTTTCCCTAACAATACTACTCGTGCTCACGAATTTGCCAAAAAATTATCCCAACATAACATTGAAACTACAATTATTCCAGATTCTGCAGTATTCGCATTAATGTCACGTGTTGGTAAAGTAATTGTTGGTACTGAAGCAGTTTTTGTGAATGGTGGTATGAACACATCGACAGCTGGTGTTTCATCGGTATGTGAGTGTGCACATGAGTTCAAAACCCCAGTTTTTGCAGTAGCAGGTCTTTATAAATTATCTCCATTATACCCATTTAATGTTGAAAAATTCAAACAATATGGTGGTTCACAAAGAGTATTACCTAGAATGGATCCAAGTCATAGATTAGACACTATGAATCCAATTACATCCTATGTTCCACCGGAAAACATTGATATTTACATTACTAACATTGGTGGGTTTGCACCAAGTTTCATATATAGAGTTGCTTGGGATAACTATAAGCAGACAGATGTTCAACTAGAGCCACAAGAAGGCGAGAACTAATAGCAGTATTAAATAGACAAGAAACAAGACAAACTCTGATAGCGGTGGAAAAAGAAAGAAATCGAGATCTCATATAAATAATTGCATCATTTCATGAAATAATATAATAGACGTATTTTTGAATAAAAAAAAAAGAAGAAGAATATAAAAAATAATCAAATAATTACATTAGCAATGTTTGCCCTTTGCCTCGCTCGATTTTAATCATCCAATATTAGAATCTTGAGCTGGATGTCTATGTTTTTTGAGATATACCAATTTCGAAAAAAATTAGATATGGGCTATAAGAAACCACAATTAGACTTCTTTGAGTACGAAGGTATCGATGAATCTATTCATCTCGATGGTACCCTACTTTGTAATTAGAAGCTCTAACATCATGACATGACTTGGACCTGTGTCAGTTCTTGTATCAATCCTTGTATTAATTCTTGTATCAACAGTATCCATCTATGTATTTCTTTGACCTGTAACGTAACAATAAACAAATTGGCTTGAGGTAGTTGTAGAATAGGCACATGACATCACGTGCCGTAGATAAACTTTATGAACAATGTCTGTCTGTGTTTGTTTGTGTGTGTGAATCTTTCTTGGATCAGGCAGGTACCCTTATTTCTTTCATTTTTAAAATTGCCACTGTTTAAATCCGTATATCACGTGACTGCACATAAACAACTGGTTACCCTCCTCTACCATTGGCCCCGCCGTCCCCTGGGTGCTCTGTCCCCTGTCCCCTCGTCGTCTCAGCGAAGATTCACACCTAACGAAATACGACGATTGTCGATGAGGACGATGATCAGGAATTGGCCCAATATGGAACATCCATCATAATAGATACACATACACATACACATACACACACTGGATTTGACTAGAATTGAATGGAATGGAATAGTATATAAAGGGTAAAGGATTACAACACCATTGTCATTTTCTGAAAGGTACTTTTGTTGTCTTTGGAACTCTTTTCAAGTTTTGTATTCTGTGGTCATTGCAAAAATCTGGAAAAGGGACTGATACAGAGAGAACATACACACTCACAATCAAAGGTTATTCTATTCAAACAATTAATTGTAGAAGTTTTCTTAATTGATAAATTAATTGTGCGTATATATTCGTATAATTGTATTTACATTCACTTTCATATCTATATATATCTAGTTATCTAGTTATCTACATATATTCATATATATATATATATACAGATATATATTGTTCTGAATTACAATTGATTGGGTAGAATTTGTTTTCATAAATAGAATATACAAAAATGTACAACAAATTGTTGGTTTTCGGTGGTAATGGGTTTCTAGGTAAAAGAATTTGCCAAGAAGCTGTTACTAGAGGTTTTCAAGTTACCTCTGTATCAAGATCAGGTATTGCTCCTGAAGCTCCTACTCCAAGTGATTCTCACTGGATTAGGGAAGTCAAATGGGAAAGTTGCGATATTTTTAAACCTGATTCATATTATCATTTACTATCAGAGAATCCAAATATCGTTCACTCTGTAGGTATCTTATTCGAAAATGATATCTACAAAAAAATTATAAGAGGCTCTTTCTCTGAATTTTTAAAGTATTTGCAGAATCATAAACCTTCATTGGATAAAAACCCATTGATCGATCGTGATCCAAATATGACTTATGAAATGGTTAACAAAAAAAGTGCTCTAATTTTGGCAGACGCATTCTCTGAAATTCTACAAAAACAACACAGTGGTAGATTGCTAAATGAAAAGGCATCTCCTACTTTTACTTACATCTCCGCTGATCGTGGGTTCCCATTGGTTCCTGATGCCTACATAAATTCAAAAAGAGATACTGAATCTGAATTGAAAAACTATAATGATGTCTTTAGAAGTATCATTATGAGACCAGGTTTCATGTATGATGAATATTCTAACAATGCCGACCCTAGTTATTTGATTAGAAGAGGTATCGAAGCTATGAATTGTGCTAACCACGTAGTATTCAATAATAAATTCGATTTCATCAACAATCAAGTCAGACCTGCCGTTTCAGCTCAACAAGTAAGTAAATCGGTTATGGATCACATAGTTGACAAGAATTACAACGGTGTCGTCAGTTTAGAAGAAATTACTAAGAATTGATGATGCTCATCCAAATAAAAAGTAAATTTATCTTTTCAAAAAGTTAAATTAATGTCCATTACTATTCTTCAAATATTGCATTTTGTTTTCTCCCCTTTCCACTCCCCCATTTTAATAGAATTCTATTAGATATATCACCAAATTGGCTTCCATTTTGTATTTTTAAACTCATATTCTCAGTTGCTGCCAATTAATATCTATCCATTTAATAAAAGTATCCTCATATAATGTTTTATAATGCTTCAATAATATATATTCTAGCTCATGAGCTCATCCCAATTCCTACCACCTCATCTCTTCTCATCTCAACTTAAAGGTTATATCTTATCTAACATTACTTCCTTGGCTCATCGATTCACTGTCGCCAAATATTTACTACCGCCCTCTTTAAATAATAAATATCAAATTTAATCATATTAAAGATACAACGTTTGATATAAGAATAGTTGATGAACTGGTAGGGAAAATGAAGCCTCTATCTTCTCGGATCTATCTATAACTCATATCAGTTGTTTGATGAGGTTGAAAGTAGTGGTTGCTGGTTATGATTCCCCAGTTGATTATAAATTGTTGAAAACCACCATCGCTACAGTTGGTTCCTTAAGAGAAAGGTCAATTTTAAGATTTATTGATCAAAGGTTAATTGTTATATCTTCACCAAAATCTTATGCTATAAATAGAGGGAATAATATATTAACTGCTGATGCTGGTCAAATGTGGTGTTCTATACCTAAAGATGCTTTCCAATTATATTCTGTAGAATCTGCGAGAGAACAGAATTGTATAACTATGGAGTACAATTGCAGTTCTTTATTAAGTGCTTTCAAGAGGTATGATAAGGCAATGAGTCAAGGGTCGGTCTCTGATATGACAATTAAACTTGAAGCTATGCCTCAATGGAATAAAACTTCTGCTAATGATCAAAATTCAGGAAATTCTTCAGGTGGAAGGCAATTTATCCATGCACTAAAGGTAACTTTTGAAGAGACAGTTCATATAAACGGTGCAGTCAGTGAGATAGTGAATAATACAGTAAATACAAATAACAAAAATGGTAGTAAAGGAGATTATACAACTAATTTTGTAATGTCAGGAAGTAATAAAGTAATAAGACATTCTTTTCAAGTTCCAATCTGTTTACTCCATAAGGGACAGGATGCAAAACTTCAGGAGCCAGTAATAAATAATTCAAAACTTGTAATGTATAAGTTGCCATCTATATCGGAAGAATTTGGGAATGCATTCTACAGTTTTATTAAAAGAATAGAAAGATACAGCTCTGTGACAAATGTGCGATTGAGAGGCAAACATAAAAAGGAATCTACTGATGAGAATAAAAATGCAGAATTTAATTTATTAATTACAGAAGATGACTGGAATGTCAATCTTAGTTGGAATGGCCCACTTGAAATCATAGATGATAGCAAAGAAGATGAAGAAGATGAGAACAATAGAGATACTGTGAATTCAATCTCTGACACTATTAGAAGTACCAATCAAGTGATAGAAAATAGTATGCAAATAGAAAATAGTATGACTATAGAAAATACGATTGATCAAGATGTTAGCTTAGAAAGAAATAACGGGTATATACGAACAAACAATGCATTGGGAGATGTCATGACAATGGTCGAGAAGGCAGAACAAGAAAATTCATCGATCCATGAAGTTATAATTAAGGTTAAAGACTGGAAAGTATGTGGTAAATTATATTCAGTTTTTGAAGATGTCATATTATCCATTTCTCATGATGAATCTTGTATCTTTTATTGTTCATTAGATAGAGATGGGTATGATGACTATGAGGCTGAAGCTGAGGAAGGTTACGAAGGTAAAGAGCGAGGACAGATCATATATTATATGGCACGATCAAGACCCTTATGAGATAAGTAAAATCCAGGAAGAATATCTGCTTTATAAAAATATAGATGGAATGATATTCCAATAATTGTATCTATTGAATTATTATATAATAAAGGAAATGATGAAACTAAATATTTATAGTGTTCGATTTCAATTAATTAAGCATTTTTTTCAGCGAAATCTTTTATAAACTTTGATAAGTTCTCTACAGCTTCTATGGATAATGCGTTATAGATAGATGCTCTGAAACCACCAACTGATCTGTGACCTTTCAAACCAGTTAATTTTAAAGCTGAAGCTTCTTCTAAAAATTTACTATCCAGTTCAGGATTTTTCAAAGTGAAAACTACATTCATCTTCGATCTGCAATTTTTATCAACTGGCAAGTTATAAAAATCTGGGTGAGAATCTAAAGCAGAATATAAGGAAGCTGACTTTTGTTCATTCTCCCTTTGTTGAGCTGGCACACCACCTTTCTCAAGCAAATGTTGGAAAACTAAATCCATTACATGTAAAGTGAAAATAGGTATAGTATTATAAGCTGAATTATTTTTGACGATAGTTGGGTAATGAGTAGCAATTGGTGTTATTGGGATTCCGAATTCAAACAATTGATCATCGGAAACTTTTGAGATATTGTGTAAGATTGATTTTTTAATAATATAAACGGTTAATCCAGCTAAACCAATATTTTTTTGGGCACCTGCCATAATTACACCATATTGAGAAACGTCAATTTCTCTCGATAATATATCACTGGATAAATCAGCGACTACCTCTATATCATCTTGATTTTGTAAACATTCTGGTAAAGAATTCCATTCGACACCATGAACAGTTTCATTTTCACAAAAATATATGTATGAGAACTTATGTCCTTTTATTTTATCCTCCCATAATGACTCATCTGGGATAGAACCGTATTTGCCATTTTTATCTGAATCCTTTGAATTGAATATAATTTTTGAAGGTATATGTAATCTCTCAGCTTCTTCAAAGGCCTTTTGTGACCAACTACCAGTGACCAAATAACCAGCTGGTGCGATTTCACCAGTTTTACCCAAATAAGCAGTTTCCAAGTTTGTTGCAATTGAAGAGAAGCCGGTAGTACCACCACCTTGGATGAAGAAGATGTCATGAGTATCTGGGATGTTCATCAATTGACGTAAATGTAATTTAGCATCATCTATAACTTTTGTAGCTTCTTTAGAACGATGAGAAATTTCACCAATACCCAAACCTATTTCATTAAAATTGACTAAATCTTTAGCAGCTTGCTGTAAAACTTTTGTTGGTAATTGAGCTGGACCAGCACCGAAATGTTGTGGTTCTTCTCTGTCTAATGGCATTGCTTTCTATGTTATTTTAATAATACTATGTAATTGAGTGAAGAAGGAAATAGAAGTGTAGGCACTGATTTATAGATATTTGATGATAAGTGAATACGTGTGTATTTAAATCAACTAGGCAGTCAATCAATTATAATAAGAAGAAAGATAACAGTTTAATTTTTAAAGTTATAAATATAAATAATGACAAATGGAATCAAACAAGTTAACATTAAAAGCATATTGCTTTATATATATGAGTTTGTACAGAGTCAAGTTAATAAAACGATTATTGCTCATAATTGGGATAATTTGGGTTTAATTTTTCGATGACCTTAATTTTTCATCTGGTCAAAGTTGATGATGGGATGTATTAATTTTTGCTCGTATGGACATGGAAAGTGTTGTCACGTGTTACTATCCTAACAAGTAGATCACATGATGAGAAGTTAAATTTGAATTTTCCTCTTCTTCCAGTTTCTCTTTATTGGGAGACGAAAACACACGCACACACACGTGACAAATAAACAGAAGAATGTGAAAATAAGAATTAGAAATTGTGTATCATGTGACCATCAGCATGTGAAATAAAGACCACTTGACGTGACTGCATACACCCGTGCATCCAGAAACGTTAACTTGTCAAGCATCCGGACACCTTCCCAACGCGCGTGCGTGAAAGACGTTTGTCACATCACACTCTTTCTCTCACACACAAAAACACACAAATATGGATTGTGCTTTTTGTGCTTTTTTTCGCTTGATTCCTCCAATGCATCTCGTCACGCGACAAACCGACGCAAACTTTTTATGGCTGTTCTCCATTGCGTCTCTTGCGTGTAGCATAATTTTTCACTTTGACAAAATTTCACCAATGCTCTCTTTGCTCTAACAACAGCACAGAAGTGGCCCCATAGTATCCACCAAATCATCAAATCAATCTCGATTACTTTGCTGCCAAACGTACTCGAGATGAAATATTGTATTCTTCTTTGCTTTGCTTTGCCTTAGCTGACAACTCACTATCTTCTAATTGTAAACTACAACTTACATCTCTTTAGTCTATGCAATACACTACTGTATGTATCATCTACCCTATCCTATTCTATTCCTGGACTTGTATTTATTAAAACTTATTTAAATATATATGAATATATATAAATGTATAAGTTATCTAAATTTTACTATTAAAGGATACCCCCATATACACACAAAACAGACATCGATCTTATTGCAACATGGTATGTACTACTACTACAACAACAACAACGTTATTTGAATACGCAAGACACTGAATTATGATATTATTTGGAATTAGATAACTATTTTTCGAAATAGACCAAAAGCTCAACTGGAAACACCACCATGTCCAACGCATTTTTATTCTATTAGCTGATATTTCATTGCATTGCAATGCCTAGCCTAGTTTTGGTCCACTGGAAAGCTACTATAACTTATTAATTACTTTAAATTGGACAAAGTGCTGTGATAATATGGAAACAAGTGGAAACCCAGGATTAGATCAGAATCAGTCAAGGTATTGGCATGGATGTGACTAGTAAAAGCGTATATTAAATTAATTTACAATATCCCAAGTTCTTTTTTTTCTATTCTATGATTTCATAATAATAGCTAAAAATTGTTGAATCACATTTTTATGGTTCTTTTTTACTAACGAATGTATATGCAAATACATATTTAATTACAGGCTAAAGTCCACGGTTCCCTAGCTCGTGCTGGTAAAGTTAAATCTCAAACTCCAAAGGTTGAAAAATCTGAAAAGCCAAAGAAGCCAAAGGGTAGAGCTTACAAGAGATTATTGTACACCAGAAGATTCGTTAACGTTACTTTGACTAACGGTAAGAGAAAGATGAACCCATCTCCAAACCAATCCTAAGTCAATTTCATATAAAGTTATTATATATATATATCTTAGTTAAAAATGTTAAATTAATCATTTTTTATATTTAATTTCTTCATCTCACTAAAACAAACTATATCTCATATAGATGCTATTTATCTACAGTTCTAGCAACCTGTATTTCTGAATGTTCTTGAAACCTTTTTCGTTCGATTTCCAATTTACTTTTCATTTAAGAACGATATTGCTTCTGCTAAAGTCATCACCTCATCGCAAGTTTAATAGTGGGAAATTAAGCAAAATAAGGGCACCAATCATAGGAAGTATAATGTCAATCACAAGGGAGAATATAAGAGAATTGGTAGATAACATAGATTCTCAATTTGTTGAACCTTATTCTGAATCCAAACACCTAAGAGAAATATCTTCAACTACCTCATTACAAGATTCAACACCAATTTTAGAACTATCTAAATTGGCAAAAATAATTAAAGCTCATTCAACAAAAGTTGGTATCGTTTGTAATCCTGATAAATTCTATAAAGATTCAAACATCAATCCAATATTTAATGAACTAAAAAATTTTACAAACTCCATCTTTTATCTGTTATCATTATTGCCATTATTTTATTCAAATAAAGATGATTTATACACTGAAAAATTCTTACAATCCTTAGATGATCTCATATTAGGTTTACTTAACGGTGTATCTCTTTTATCAAATGAATTGAATTTAATGCTAGCCAATGATGAAGATGCCCAAACCAATTCAAAAGATAAAGAAGAAAGTGGTGATAGATTGGTATCCATTGGTATTATTTGGGCCTCTTGTGATAATTTAGATGCCTTGGCCAAAAAGGGCAGCTCAGGTTTACTATGTGAAAATATTCATAACAATATCGACCTTTTAAGTGATGTTTTAAATGATGTCAATGATTGGTTAGAAGAGCCAGAATTTGGTGGAGATGATATGATACTAGGTGATGACGATGATCTAGAAGAAAATATGGAAAATTTAACTATAACTAGCAAAACTGAAGATAGAAAATCATTGATATTAGAGCAAATGACACAATTCATGGAAGAATGGCAAAATAATATTAAATTAATAAAGTTATTATTATCATCATTTACAAAATCTATTTCACAGTCTTCAAAATCGAGTTATAAAGCAACTAATTTAAATAGTTTGGAAACGTTGCACTCTCAAGTCATTGAAAATGTTGATGAATTAATCTCTGATATCTTCATGTCAGATGAAACTTTCCAAAAATCAGATTTTGAAGAAAATATTCAAACTTTAAATAAAGTATTGAAAGATATGGTTAGTGTCATCAAAAAAATTAATAAAACTGACCCAAAGAAATCAAAATGGATAGAAGTTTGGGAACTAAAATATTTCGAAAATCAATCTAAAAACTGAATGACTGTATATTAATATAATATATATTTAGATAATTATTGGAAAATAAGAATTTTATGTAAAGTAAAATGAAATAAATATGCATTTTTTCTGATAATCTCATGACCTATTGTAGAATTCGATTTTAATTAAAATACATGACCAATAAATTATATACATCTAAACTCTCATTATATAGATGAATTATTTATGCCTTACCAATCGTCACCGTTATCATAGTCATCATTTGCACCAACCTTTGTCTTTCTTTGGTTCAATGCTGCAGCTAGGGCATCCGCCAATGAGGCTTGACCGCCGCCAGGAGCAGCACCTCCACCAGGAGCAGACGGAGCAGAGGTTTGAGTTGGTTCACCACGAGCTTCCTGAAGTAATACAGATGGTTTATCCAATTGAGACTTATCAACTTTACGCAAAACACCAATACCACCGGCACCTCTGATAGAAGCCAGTAAAGCATCTCTGCCTGAATCACCAGTGGCTTCTACCAACCCACCTGGACCATTTCCAGCGCTTCCTCCGCCCATTGTTGGAGGTGGTGGGGGTGGTGGTGGAGCAGCTCCATTAGCAGCTGGAGGTGCACCAAATGACATTGCTGGCGGAGGTGGTGGAGGAGGAATACTAGATGCCATTGCAGGTTGAGCAGGTTGCATTGCCATTGGTGGTGGAGGTGGTGGGGGGATACTAGAGGCAGCAGCTACTGGAATAGATGCCGCTGGTACTGGAGATGGGATGGCACCAAAAGTTGTGGGTGGTGGTGGTGGTGATGTTTCAAATGTTTGCTGTTGATTAGGATATGCAGGGGCAGCCTGTTGATATACAGGGAATGTAGATTGTGGTGGTGGGGGAATTGGTATATTATTCTGTGGAGCTGCTGTATATCCTGCTTGAGGTCTAGCCCCCCTTGGAGGTGGGGGAGGAACAGGACCACGTCTTGAAGGTGGTTGTGGTACATTTCTTCCAGGCACAGTGTTTGATCTATGTGGTGGAGGTGGTGGTGCAGGACCACGTCTTGAAGGAGGAGCTGGAGGTGGGATTCTACCTGCGCCGGTAGCAATGCCAGATCTTGCTGGAGGTTGTGGGACTGGTCTTCCTGCAGCATTTGGTGGCATTGGCACAGGTCTATTTTGCTGTGGAGGTAAAGCAGGTGGGGGACCAGGAGCTGCAAATTGGTTATTCATTGTAGGAACAGGGAATGGTGTTTGACCGACTTGTTGATTTGGAGCTGGGATTTGATATGGAGTTTGACCTGGGGGAGGTTGTGGTACTGGAATTGGAAATGCATTATTTGCAGCTGGTGGAGCTGGAGGGGTTGGGAATGGATTCGAAGCTGGTTGTGCAAACTGTGCAGGTAATGGCGGCACTTTGTGGATAGGATGAGTCCCTGTTTCATGGGTAGTTGTTGGTGGTGGTGACTGTGGAACACTTGGAGTTGGAGTATTTGTACGCGAACTATTTGCAGTAAACTCTGATGAAGTATCGTTATAGTCGTTGTAATCATTAGCTTCATAATTCGGAGCAGCTGCTGTTGGAGGAGGAGGTGGAGGAGCTTTATTCTTCGTTATTGGGATGTACTCAGCGTTATCATAATTGTATCTTTGTCTTTGGTTATCTATTAACGCTTCACCTCTTGGGCCGTGAGATCTATTTTGACTATTTTCAGTATTTAATTTTTTCGTTAGTGCGATAGCATTTTTGTTATTTAAAGTTTTCTTAGAACCGTATCTTTCACGTTTCTGTACTCTTTTTAAGAAATGAGAAGCTTCTGCGATATCTTCGAACATTAAACCAGCATAACATTCTTCGATTTCAAAAGTATGGAAAAAAGTACGATCCTGAGAATAATCAAAATTCACGTACAGTTCTTGATCCCATAGTACACCTCTGTGACCGCTGATATCTACTAATTTTAAGAAAAACGTGTTTCCTACTAGATCATCGACTAATACTATGGCACCCGATAGGCCAGTATATTTCCATTCATTTTTATTTGGGAAAGCGATATAAAGTCTTGCAACAGCTACATCTATAATTTTATTAGCAGCTTTTGGTAAAGCTCTTTTGATGACTTCTTTATCTTGAGAATTGAGAAGACCCATTGTGTATACTAGTCACTACTTTTAATAATAATGATAAAAAAATTTTAAAAAAATTAAAATGCTATTAGAATGAAATGTCAAAGAAAAAAAAAGGGGGGGCGATGAGAGATAATGATATCTATGTATGGGATACCAATCAAATAACAGATAAAGGCAAATTCAAAGTATATCCAATCCACTATCTCTTGATAATGGGAAGATACCAGATTAAATGAAAGCGATAAAATCAAAGGATTATGATCTATAGTTTTTTCCTTTTTCCACTCTATTGTCTCTTGTCAAAACGCAGGGAGATTCTATCAGACAGTTAAAACAAAAATAACACAGCTAGCCAATTGATCACTCTACAGTAAATTAACAAGATTCAGGAATAAATCCAGTCTTTATAATTAATAATAATACAAAATTAATTGATGTAGATTATAAAACAGAGGGAAGAAAAACCTCGAAAAAAAAGGATGGTGTTGATCAAAAGGATATAAAACAACAGGTTCCCAGTGTAATTGACCTTAACAGAGACGTCTGGCTATATGAGAAAGTTCACAAGAGTATAAATAAATATACAAACCAATATGTATCTCTAGCTTTTCATAATATAGTATGTACCATAATGGTTTGAACCATTTTTATCATCTGAGTTTTTCAATATTAAAATTAATATTGATATCACTTAGAGTGATGAAAAAATATCAAATTCTCAAATGATACCCGGACTTCACTTTGGTCCCAAAAGAAGTAAAATAAGTTGACCGTGTTCGTGAGACGTGCTTGGTCACGTGGTGTTGTTGGAAAGAGGAATAATACTGACACACCCACACAACTTCTCATTGTCATTGGCACTGGAAGACATATATAAAGAATATCTTACTGGTTCAACACAATTTCGACAACTTTCACAAGCACAGAATTCAACACTACACTGCAAGATCAATCAATTAATATATTTTCTTCTAGTTTTGTCCTTTATGAAACCGATCTAAGCTAACCTAATCGTAAAAGTTATAAAATTAAACTCATCTAGACAGAAACGCATACCATTTTAAGACAATTCCCTCAAGAAACTTACATGTACATACAAAGATCATAGCAAAAAGCCAACTCTGATCTGTACAATTCTTATGCCATTCCCATAACTTTATTATGTACTCTTCAATATCTATCTATACCTTTGACAATTAGTGTCTTTTGAACACCTTAGGATTTAAACCCGTTACTGAAATTTTTCAATTTGTCACCTGTCTCTAATGACAACGACATGGCCTTTTTTGGATGACTTTTCTGCCAATACATACCATAACAATTCATTGGATTATTGGAGATGATGATCTTAGTGACTTACTTGCATCTTTCCTCGTGTTTGTTGCAGTTTATACCCCCTACAACTGCAACGACTATACCACTACAAGTGCTCCCCCCCCAAAAAAAAAAAATCAATCATACAAGGCTGACCCCCCCAAACCTTCGGAGATTGAATTTTTGATTCGTATATAAGACAAGACTGTTTTCATGACTATCAATCTGATTCAAGATATCTTTCATCGGCGTATGTTCTCTGGTATGCTATAGCATCTTAACCTTTATACTTCTTAAAATTAGATCTAGGACTAGGAATAGGACTGCAACTAAAACTAAGGAAATTAATAATATCGAAAATGGTGGAGTTGAAAAGTGAAGATAAAATTAAATATACCATCAATGGTCCATTTTTCGTCATCAAATTGGATAATCCAAAAAATTTGAATGCAATGACAAGAGAAGATTATTTATATCTTGGTCAATTATTGGAAAAATCTGAGAATAATCCAGATGTTTATTTCACTGTGCTCACTTCGACTGGTAGATTCTTTTCAAGTGGTGCAGATTTTGCAAATATAACAGCTAAAAATGAGAACAGTAATGATCCTGAATTGACGAAATGGTTGAGCAATTTTGTTGCTACTAATTTGTATGTCACTGATATGTTTGCTAGACATTCAAAGGTCCTAATTTGTTGTTTAAACGGGCCTTCTATCGGTATGTCAGCTGCAATTGTAGCATTATGTGATATCGTCTATTCAAAAAATGATCTAGTCTATCTTTTGTTCCCATTTGCTTCCTTAGGTTTGATCACTGAAGGTGCCACTTCAGTCACATTACCAAGAAAAATCAATGATAATGTAGCTTACGAAAAATTAATCTTTAGTCAACCCTTTAAATATGACGTTTTAAAGGGTAATATTATTGTAAAGAACTACAAGATAGAAGATACTGACGAGTTTAATTCAGCTGTCTTAAAAGACCTAAGTGAAAAAATTAAATACTTACATTTACCAAGTTGCTTGGGAATGAAGAATTTGATCCACTCTTCTCTCAGAGATGAAATAATAAGAGTCAACTCAATTGAAGTTAATGACGCTTTAAAGTTTTGGTTACAAGGTGAACCTCAAAGAAGATTCAAACAATTGTTACTGAAGGAAAGATCTCATAAGCTATAAATATACACAATTTTTAATGTTATTAAATCTCTCTCTACACATATATATTCTTAAATAATTATATATTCCCAATAATACTATTTACAGTGATGATGGTTACAAAACGATTAAATCTCAATTGGTTATTTGGAATCTTCATCTAATCCATCGAATTTTCTACCGTAATAGAGTTCGAAATCTCTAATATCTTCACTTTTTTCTGAGGACTCTTGCTCTTTGACTTTGTCTTCTTTATCTTCATTTTCTTCTTGATCAATAGTATGCAATATTACTTCAACTGGTTTTTCATTCTCTTCAGTAATCTTCTTACTTATATTTATCCCCCACATTATAACAAATACTAACGTTGTAATTGCTAAAAGACCGCTCCTTGTAGTCTGCCATCTCAAATTTTCAATATCAGATTTTGTCTTACCTAGAATCTTTGTAGTAATCCTATTAGAACAATCTGCCAAAGCCAATTTTATCGTCCTTACCAATAATGTGTTTTCTATTTTCTGATTATTAAAATCAACTTTCGAATCCCTTTGAATGTAATTTATTAACATACCATGGAGTTCATCATGCATCGTATCCAAATCTCTGTTCAATTTCATTAATTGCAAATGATATTCATTTAGTTTAGTCTCCCTTGAATTTTGAATCGTATACTTTAGTTCCGTTTCAGCAACGTGAAACAAGTGAGATTGATTGTCTAATTCAACACTCCTTAAAAACTTATTATTATAGTCATTAAAGAATTCTGTATTCATGACTTCGAATAGTAATGAAACGATCAATTCACTTTGTTCTCTATTGAATCCATTTTTTTTCAAAATATTGAAATACTTCATAGAATCAAACTCGTTCTCTGCTCTGGTAGGTCTCAACCCGTTCCCACCAGATATCAGTTCTTCTGGTAATTTATTCATAAAGTCTATTGGTTTTTCATCATCATCTGGTAGTAATTTCCCTTTGCTTGGAAATTTCGTAGTTTTCAAACTATCGATAAAGTTACCATTCTTTGATGGCTCATCAACATTCAAACTCATAGATTTTTGTAATAATCCACAACCACCAGTACCAGTACCAGACGAGCTTCGTAAACCTCTCTTAAGATTCATTGGAACTATGGGGTTTCCATGATATTTATATCTTACAATCCGTCTATTACTAAAGATTCCGTTAATGTCATTTCTCACACATCTCCAAATTCGAATCATAACAATACACAATATTCAATGGATCAAATATACCTAGGAGATCAACAATTAATACCAACAATTAACTTTATAGCCAAGAAACTCCCTGTCCCTTACCTAATGATTAGGTTATTAACTTCTACTATTCTTAAATATGTCAAAAATTATCATTGTAATTCGGAATTCGATATTTTTCCTAATTAAGCGATATACAATTTTAAGATGTGGAAAAGCATTCGAATACAAGAAAGAACAGCATATTTTTCATTAATGATCTGATGTAATCAAGAGTTTACGGGAGATTCAAGTCACAATTGGGGAGTGGAGGCTTATTCCGATGAAATAGTTTGCAAGTTGATTTGAATGTTTATTTAAATTATAAATTAATGAGTGGGTGAGCTTTAGTCGGGTCAAATTGTTGATTAACCAATTACTCCGGTTATCAATAATATGTAAATTTAGTACTGACAACGTGGTACGTTTAGTATTTAGATGCGTTTATTATTAACATTAGATTAAACTAGACCCTACATAATGCGTTATTTAATGGTAAAGTAAAATTCCTATTATGATCGTTATCGTTTTGGAATTAGGGAAATGAATCAATCAAGTCTATCCTTTTGGTTTGGGCAAAAAAAAAATATCACATGTATAAATACATATCAGTGTTTGGAGAATGATTATTATGATTGTTATTTTTTTTTAATTTGAAAATCGGATAGATCATTTGTAGAAATCAAATTTATCTACATCTGTATCAGTTTTAACTTGGGCTGCGTATGCTTCTTCTAGATCACTTTGTAAAATGACATATCTATTCTTCCTTACGGCACGTAGACCCGCTTCTTGCATGATTGCCGCAATTGTAGCACCTGACAATGAATCGTTACGTACAATTAATGAATCCAAATCTGCTTCTGGTGCCAATGACATCTTGGCTGCAATAGTACCGAAAATCAAACGACGTTCACGTCTGTCACGTAATGATGGGAATTCGATTTTTCTATCTAATCTACCAGGTCTTAGTAATGCAGGATCTAATGTGTCCGCTCTATTTGTGGCCATGATGACTTTTACGTTTGTTGATTGATCAAAACCATCCATTTGTGTCAATAGTTCGATTAAAATTCTTTGTACTTCACGATCTGAACCTGTTTGGGCATCAAAACGTTTGGTGGCAATAGAATCGACTTCATCAATGAAAATGATTGATGGTGCATTTTCTCTTGCCAATCTGAAAACGTCACGGACCATTCTAGGACCTTCACCTAAGTATTTATGTACAAATTCCGAACCATTGACTCTAATAAATGAAGCATTTGTACTGTTGGCAACAGCTTTGACCAACATAGTCTTACCTGTACCTGGAGGACCATATAGCAAAACACCTCTTGGTGGATCAATACCAATTTGTTCGTATAAATCTGCTTGAACCAATGGCAATTCGACAGCTTCTCTAATTTCTTGTTTTTGCATATCCAAACCACCGACATCTGCGTATGTAACGTCAGGTTTTTCGTTTGCACCCATTATAGATATGCTTGAATCTGAATCTGGTGGTAATATATCAACTAATGCATTTGAATGACGATGTAAAGCTACTGACATGGAAGGTTTCAATAATTCACGATCCAATGTAGACAAAATTCTCACTACATAACTCATACCTGTAGTAGAAGACACGATACCAGTATTTTGATCAATTGGTTCTAAAAATTGTCCGATAACTAATGGAACCGATTGAATTCTTTTAACTTCTTCTTGAGCTCTTAATAATTCTCGCTTCAAATGACGTTGTTCATCCTTGATATATTCTTCTTGTAAAGTCAACAATTCGTATTCTTTTTCTAATTTCTTTAATTTCAAGTAGACATCACTATTATTCCCACTGATCAATCCATTTCCACTTTGTTGTTGTCCTAATTGAGCCAAAAGAGACCCATATGATTTCATCAGAGGTTTTTCTTCGGCAACTTCTACACCAGCGCTGCTAATACCTAATTCTTCCATTTTGTTTCAACTAATAATAATAATAATAATAATAAATATGTATTTCCTTTATGATACTCGAATAACTTCAGTAAATTGATAACGATACCCTTTTAAACAGTTGTGTCTATTTCCGAGCAATTCTAAAATGCTTCTTATATATATATATATGTATATATCCCAACCTAAATCAAAGATATATGAATATCTGTGTATAATTTAATAAACAAAAAAACCAACAACACACTATAGTAGCTGTTGAATCGCAGATTAGCCTTGATGTTATCGATCAATTACCGTTGGATATCCTCTTCTATATATATATATATATAAATAATGTATAATCTTCAATTGAACTATTCACTTCAAGCTTTGGGTTCTTCCTTTTCTAAAAACCTTTAAATCCTAATTTTGCCACTCGTATGAAATGATATCAATTACAATTATAACATCCGGGTAATTTAGATCCAATGGTGGTGGCATTGGGGGTGTCACGTGCTAAACCATGGTATGGCTGAAGACTCACTGACTGTAATGAGAGACCTTTGAATTGCTTGTATTGCTATGACGTAAAACCGAGTGATACTAGTTGTTCATGCGCATACATTGATTGGAGCCACCAACAATTGTTTTAGTTTATACCGATAATTAAAATAAATATGTATGTATATCATAACTTAAATCAAGTTGAGGTAAGTTAAGTTACGTTATGCTGAAGTACTAGTACAAGGTTGTTCATTGTCACGTGTACAATATCATAATGTACGTAAGAATATAATATCGATTTAATATACAATAGAGTAATATATACATAATATACCCACCGAACCTACAACAGCAAACAACTATTTAAGATTTGATTGTTACAACTAGTGTGCCATTGAGGCTACGGATGGAAACCCTGCTTACTATGTGTGATTGTCCTATTAGAGTAAGTGGGTTTGTTTGCTTTTCATATGGGCAGCGAAAGAATGAAACATCATTTTTTGTTTTATGAAATTAGTGTCGTTAGAATCGAAGAAATGACACCAACAGACGTCACTAATAGATATATTTGCAACGTGTTGAAATTTGTTTGGCAGTTCATATCCATTGGGCTTAAATTTTGTAGTTTATTGATTAGTTGTAAGAACCATCCCCATATTGTCGATGGGGTTTGAGGTTCATCCTGTTTTCTCTTATCATCTTTAAATTTCTCCATCTCTAACTCTTGTTGAATTAATCTCGATTGTTCTTGCAATTGTGCATTCAGTTGTTCATAATGGAGCTGGTGATCGGCAGCTTGCGCTTCTAGAGACGTTCTCACATTTCTTTCAAATGCTCTCACTAATCTTCTTCTTTTCCATGGCTCTAAAAATAATTGTAAAATTACAAATAAGAATAAATTTACTGCCATCAGCATAAACGTACTCCAAATAGAAGTCCTTCTAATTTTATCGGACCAAATCTGCTCTTCATGATATCTCGTAAGAATCGCACTATACAACTCATCTGTTATCTTTTCTTGAGCCTCTTCTTTGTTCTTCAATTCAGTTTTAAGGTCTTGCTCCCTTTTGGAATTAGTGGCGTCATCCTTATACAGCTGAGTGAAGTTCTCTAGATCAGTGGCACTCCAAGAACTTTTCCTCTGTAACAATTCATTGACCTGTCTTTGTGAATTAATCCTTTTTTCAATTGATTCTTCATAATCCACTCTTAACGTTTTCAATTCTCGTTTCATAACTTCTAATTGAATTTGTAGTAGATCTATGCTTTTCCTTAATTTTTGAATGCTGGAATAACCAGTGACATCGTTAAATGCTTTACTTGCTGAAAATATAGTTTCTTGTAATGAATCTAAATAAAATTCCAATCTTCTCGACCATTTACGTCTACGGATTTCTCTTTCAGAAGGCAAACCACCAATTACACCTCCCGTAGATACATCTTTGTTGTAACTCAATTTGGAATCAACACCAGCTTGTGCTTCTTGCTCTGCAAACTTTCTATTAGCTTCCCTAATTGCCTCTTTAACATTGTCAATATTTTTCACCAGTAACGACTTATATTTACTGAATAAATCCTTGGAATGGTCCAATTTCGATTTGAATCCTTTCAAAAGATCTTCGTTCCCATTATTACCTTTGTTGCCATCCACATTACCCCCACCAGTAAGTTTACTCTTACTATTGCTTAGGATTCCTGTGCTCGTAAAACTCCTAATTGAACCAGTATCATAAATGCTGGAATATCCGATTCTTGAGCTCGAATAAAAAGAGGATTTCAAAAGATTACCTCTACACACTATTCGATTCATCATACCCAACACCAATTCCCCATGCAATGTATCCATTTAACTTCTAATCAATGAGTATATCCATCATCTGTTAAAGGGTCTTTTATGCCTCATCAATTTGAAATATTTCACACTTAGAACTTCCGATATCGATTGATTCAATGGATTAAATTAAACTAGTGTTCACGAACGATTAAAAGAATAGTATCAAAGGAAGATATCAAGCATCTAGGAACTTATTGGTTTGTTGATGTTTATTTGTAAACTTTAGAGTCTTTAAGAGTGTATTAGATGACAGTATAGTCATTTCCTTGGGAGGGTATATATACATATCTATTATGAGTGGGTTCTCAATAAGCTTAAAGAATTCATCGAAATCCAACAAGAAGAAAGTTAAGAAGCCAGTGAAACAAAAAAAAAGTGATAATATATTTCAAGATGGTGAGAAAATTGAGGTTAAAAAGAAGGCTGTAACATTGATTACACATGTTGAAGCAACCTCTGAAGTCGAAGAACACAAACCGTTGGTGATAGAACCTGTGGTGCGAACTACAGAGATTAATAAACGTATAAGTGTGTTCCCAGATGAAATGACATCTTCAGCTCCTAAATATGGATTGAATACGATCAATAGTAATCACTCACATGAAGAGCAAGAGAAACAACATTTCGATGTAACTAAGATGTCACACTTAGTCAATGGCTCTTTACCAGAAACTACTACTATTGAAGAGTACGAAGAGGTGCCAGTTGAAGAATTTGGTGAAGCTCTATTAAGAGGAATGGGTTGGAGTGGTCAGTTAGATGATGAGAAAAAATCCAAGAAGAATTCCACCTTACTGCCACATGAGAAGGCAAGAGCTGAATTCGCAGGTATTGGCGCCACTGTGCCAGTAACATATGCATTGTCCAATAAATCATTAAGGGAAGATTCCTTTATGCCAGTTGTGAAAATAAATAAGCAATCAAAAGGAAATTAGATTAAATTAAATATTTAAATAATTACATGATATGTACAAGGATTATCATTATTATATATATTATTAAAATTAGAATAGAAATGTGCAAGTACGTTTGATATCCTTACTAAGAACAAACAATTCATACCAATACACATATTTAACATGTAATAGACAATGCAATAAAAATAGTTTGGTCATAACTCATTAATTTTTCTTTTTTTTATCGTGATCTTTCTTTAAACCATAGCTCCAAATCCTACAATTATTAGTTGTGAGGCTACTGAAGAACCCCAATCTGTCATCCAATTAGTCTTCTTCTTGTACTCCCACTCTTCAACCATTTTCATCAGGTCAATGTACAGTTCCATACTTAAAGAATCGTATATACCAGTTTCCCAAAATAAAACCATATTCTTCAGCTCATTAATATTTTTCACTACTTTGCAACTTAAAACAAGCTCATTATTTGGTGTTGATATATCATCGTGAAATCGAATAATTTGCTTCTTCAATTTACGATCTTCTTCATCAGAGTCTTCATTTGAAAAATCCTTCTTGGATTGAAATACTGTAGTTACTGGGAATGATTTAGCTTTATTAATAGCGATATTAGGAGCATCCCATAAGGTATTCTTATAAGAAGAGTTGGCATATGAATGGTATAGGTCATATTTTCTGTTTATGAATAGAATAATCTGCTTCAGTTCATCCAAGGAAAGAATTTCTTCACCATTAGACAAACGAGGTGCTCGATCGGGGAAAATTGCTTTCAAATCTTTGAACCTGAATTTTAAGTCCAACACAACATATTTGTTATTACTTTTGGACATGTGCTCCTTCTTATTACGAGTAAAGTCAAAATCAGGTTCATTTTCTTGTTCGTTTGGTAACATAACATCTGCGATAATATCCAATTGCCCATCATCCATCCAATTAAAAGCATTAGAGTTATTTAAACCCAATTTTTTCACATCGATGGAATCTAACCTTATTCTAGTGATACGTTTCCAATCAGATAAATCGTTCTCCAAATCTTTGATATAGGCCAATTTATGCTGTCTTTTATGAATATTGAACAAAGAGTGATTGATAGAACCGTCGACAACATTTGAACTTAAGAAATCATTTATAATCCATTGGAATCGTAATTGAGGCATATCTAAATTATATATAGATACTTTAAAATCTTTACTCAATTGGTTGTCATGCAGAATAATCGAAGAGTCTGTTACCTTAACATTTCCCAAATGATAGTACGGATTAGAAAACCAATCTATCAAATTTACACGTTGATTATCATCAATTTTGTTCTCTAATGACACAGGAGTCACAGTGATATTGCCTCTCATCCCCATTATGGTCAAATCTTGTATTAAACCGTTACCTAGCAACCATTTTTTCAAAGATAAGGATAATTCTATTTGGTGCAATTTTAAGTCAAATTCGATCATATTATTTACAAGTTCATTATAATCATTAATATTTTCTGGTTCACTGGCTTGGAGTGGATGAGTTCTCAACTGAACATTATTGAATCGTATACACCCTTTTCTCCATTCAGGAACCAACGCATCTTGAAATTTTACATCTATGCCATCAAGAAAGATATTCAAAAGTTTCCCTACTACGTTTCCTACCATTTCCTTAGCAAAAACAGTATTGAATATGATAAGTAATATCGATACAAAAGTAGTTGTCCCCAGAATAATCCATAGAATCTGTGACAGTATAATCCAAGAAAACAAAGTCCCAATTTCATCAGCTGAAAACGGCCTATTCCCTCTAATCAACAACCATTTTGTATTGATCTTAAACCTTTCATAAAAGTTCGTTGCTTCACTTAATAATTTTTGCTTATTCATACGATCCTGGTTTTTTTGTAATAGAATATTTTGTATATGTAAGAAATCTGTATTTCTTGACAAAGCATCATCCTGCCCAGTAGATCCTAAACTAACAGCAGTAGCAGCAGTGGCTGCAGCCACTGCTGCCTTACCATTCGAAGAGGTTGATACATTATTAGTAGTTACCTTATTAACGAGAGGATTGATAATTGTAATACCATTAGATTTTGATATTTTCTTTATCTCATTCAAAACCGGAGAACCATTAGTATGAAACTTACTGGTTCCCCAAGATTTCATCCTAACTAGTCGGAAAGTTGAACCAACAGTCAACCTAGAAACAGAATTCGAGCACTGTGACCCCAGATATATATAACTTCTCCTAAGAACACCGCCGTATGCTCTTGGCAAAAGACCTGCCATGCTAAGAAAAAGAAAACCCTATTACACCTCCCTCCCGATTGCAAACACAGACTTCAACAGGCAATTATAGAAAGAAAGGAAATGGATGAGTAAAAGTGAACCTATATTTCTAGTTTTCCAATTAAACTTGTGACAGTCACTATCGAACCAAAAATAAAATTGCAACTTAAAAAAAAAAACCTTGGAAGAACCCACCAAATTATTAATAAAAAAAGTATCTATACCTTGAACAAAAAAACACAACGGTCACCAAAATCAACCTTACTATCCAGCCAAACTAGCCAAGGACAATAACAACCATAAAACTATCCTAGTCCTTCTATAGATTGTAAATTGTTTCTTAGTTTACTGGTTTGACCTTTATAGTTTGAGCAATTCTGAAATTTTATAACCTTTCCTTATGCGATGAGGCAAAAGTGAAAATTTTTTGAATATTTAAAATTTAAAAATTGCAAGTATAATGTGATGAAGCAAGAGGATAAAAGTGTTTATAGAGGTGTGTTATAAGTAGTTTCAAGAGTTGTAGTTGTGTGAGATCTGATATTTATTTATTGTTTTATTATTCTGCCAATTTTTTAGGTTATTTTATTGTGGGATAACGGTTGAGATCAAGGGAGAAACAACAGTATTGAGTTTTGGTAATTAAAGACTGGACTGGATTAGACTAGACTAGATAGACAGATATATATATATATTATGGTTGCTCCTACTGCTTTAAAGAAGAGTGCTGTTAGTGGTACTTCTAGTGCCAGTAGAATTGTTGGTGTTGATAATAAACAGGCTATTGATGACGATGAGGTGCTTCTGGGTAATGGCGATGAGCATATGATGGATCAAGATGATGGCGATGAGAAGAAAGAAACAGTTGAGAAAAAGGAAACTGCCGGTGTTGTATTAGATGAACAAGGTAAACCTCGTTTTGCCTCGGCTAAGGATGCTAAGCAAACCAAAGTTAAGTTAGAATCTAGAAAAGTTGCAGTTCCTCCTCATAGAATGACACCTTTGAGAAACAACTGGACAAAGATATATCCACCTCTAGTTGATCATTTGAAGTTACAAGTTAGAATGAATTTAAAGACCAAATCTGTCGAATTAAGAACTAACCCAAAACACACTACCGATCCAGGTGCTTTGCAAAAAGGTGCTGATTTCATAAAGGCTTTCACTTTAGGTTTTGATTTAGATGATTCCATCGCTTTGTTAAGATTAGATGACTTATATATCGAAACCTTTGAAATTAAAGATGTCAAGACTTTAAATGGTGACCATTTATCAAGAGCTATTGGTCGTATCGCTGGTAAAGATGGCAAGACCAAATTTGCTATTGAAAATGCTACAAGAACAAGAATCGTCTTGGCTGATTCAAAAATTCATATTTTAGGTGGGTTCACTCACATTAGAATGGCAAGAGAAGCTGTCGTAAGTTTAATTTTAGGTTCTCCTCCAGGTAAAGTTTACGGTAACCTACGTACCGTTGCTTCTAGATTAAAAGAACGTTATTAAGCGGTCTGTCATTAATACTAATTACAATTTTCAACAGGGAAATATTTTAAGAATATTCAGCCTATATAAACTTTTAATATACATTTGTACAATAGTTAACTCATTTTAATGTTGAATTGTTCATCATTTTCTATATAGATAAAAACCATTTTTGTTTGTTCATTTCTAAACTTTTTCCTTGACGTTTCAAGTATAGATATATAATATAATGGATTATAGTAGTGTTATTTAATATTACAAAATTATGGTTCTAGAATTTATTCTGCCACCTTTGAAATTCCCCAAAGCCCTTTGTCTCATACTTTCCTTTTGAAGCATTCTCCAAGCTTCTTCTATATGCCTAGGCTTCAATGGATTGACTACATTGTCAGGACCATCAAATAGTCGCTTCTTCCTATGCAATGCCGTTGTTTCAAAATTCAAATCTTGCATGAGTTGTTGCGATTTATTTTTTATACTCAGAAGTATCTGTTCTTTCTTATTTATTCTAAGTGCAGTTTCTGTTAATGAACATACAATTTCAAAAGTTAGGAAACCTAAAATATCGATGACATCATCATGGGGTTTACCATCAGTTAACTGAGTAATTCCTGACCAATCTTTAAATCTCTTACTTTTCCTAAATGTAAAACTTGCTTGACGACAATCTGACCAATGTACGTACTCTTCTTTTGTCATATTTTTGGTTCTTTCATCTGCCATTTTCAATCTTTTCAAAGTCGCTATATTGGCTTCCCTTTCATCTTCATCCATGTCGTTCTCATCATCGTTGTTCTCCAAAGCTTGTTCATTAAACATGAATTGAAGTTCCCAGGGCAACTTAATCTTAGACTTTTTAACTTTCATAACCGCTGCCCCATCTTTATCTTCTTTATCACCATCACCTTTAACTTCATCTTCAACACCAGCACCACCAGCACCACCTCCAGTTTGAGCTGACGAATCCTGATCCTTAGCATTCTTACGAAGATCCTTCCACGACAAATATGTTCTCAATCTAGTCACTTTAGCCTTGTCATGACGAATCAAGAAGATAATATCCTCTGGCAACATACTTTTACTACCACGAGTCTGAGCTGTCTTATTCGATTGCAATAAAATTTCAATAACCTGGCCCCTAACAATATCTTCAATCAAAGAAGTAGTCTCAACAGGTGGATCGTTTGTCTCCCCAGAGACAAACATCATTTGTTGAATCTCAATTCTATACTTGTGTTTATCCATCTTTAAATAATCTAATTTCTTACTTGCTATCTCTTGTTCTCTCTATATCCAACTGAATTTAAACAAACTTTGAACCATAAAAGATACACTACTCACTCACAAACTTGAACACCTACCACACACAGCCCAAAGCAACCAATACCGAATGCTCTATCGATTACCTTCCTGATATATCTTCAACCTTTCATTGTTTTGCATTGTATTAAATAGCTTTTAAAGGCTTCATTAACCATTTTTAATGTATAAATTAAAGGTTTGAAAAATTATTGATTATTTAGAAAAGATTGCGATATTTTAGTATAAATATGGATGATTAGTTAGTCTGGGATACCTATTAGCATATGGTGAGAGGGTAGTGATTGCTGGTATATCGATAAGCCACCTGTTGTGTTGTTCCAATTGCTTTTCGATTTTTTTTTGATTCAAATATTGGTTTAGATCCTAGTAATAGGTATTTTGTTGCGATGTCTGAAACTTGTGTTGAGAACGATGACAGATTTGAAGTCAATTGTGATGGTATAAATATTATTAGAACTCTTAGTGTTGAGTCTATGCTGAAACCTGTTTCCACAGTTGATTCTGCGTTGCTTATATTGAATCAAGAGATCGCAATAGGTCCTTTATTTCTGAAATTGTGGTCTCAGTATGATTTGATAGTCTGTGCTGATGGTGGAGCTAATAGACTGTTCAATTATTTTAAAGAAGATGAACTTCAAAGACAGAAATATATTCCGGATTATATTATTGGAGATTTTGATTCTTTGGACCTCGATGTTAAGCATTATTACCAGAATGCCGGAGTTGTCACCATTAAACAATCGAGTCAATATTCTACAGATTTTACCAAATGTGCACATTTAATATCATTACATTTTAATTTACCAGATTTCAAACTCATGCTGAAAAGCAGTGACGTTAGTGAGAACCATGGCATTGAAGGAGAAAAAGGTATTCATACTTTATATTATCAAATGAAAGAACAACACGACTCGAAACAGTTCAATAAAATTTCGTTATTAGCATTAGGAGGCATTGATGGAAGATTTGATCAAACCATTCATTCAATTACACAATTCTATACCTTGGAAAAATCAGATCCGTACATCGATCTGTACTATTTAACGCCAACCGATATCATCTTCATGGTACAAGCAGGAGGCATACTGTTAACATATCCAACTTTATTCAGAGATACATGTATAGGTAATTGTGGAGTTCTTCCAATAGCAGCACCTTCTGAAATAATAGAATCAAGAGGACTCAAGTGGGATGTCTCCAATTGGAAAACATCAATTACTACAGGCCAGGTTAGCAGTAGTAACCGATTCGCTGGATTCAATAAATGCTATATCAATGTGAAAGAAAATGTCATAATGAACATTGAAATTAAACTTCAAAATTTAACGAACAATATATAAAAACAAAGACAAAATGATTGATAGACACCTACCCACCCACCCATAAAATACATACATAAATACATTTACATTTACATATCTACATATTATAATTACATTTCTTCATCTTTAACTAAGACATTACCCATTTATTAGAAGTATCATCAATTAGACTCTGTTAAAAAAATGTCATAATTTTCAAACCAACAAATGGAATATCGAAATCCAACATCATCTGGTCAACAGAATCACAACTTGGGATACTTCAATTGTCAATTTATTCTATTATCCAATAACAAACTGTCATAATTCATTTAATCTGATTTTAACTGACATTAACCACCTAATTAAAATATTTAAAGCTTTCCGAATTTATAAAAGAAGTAGAACGATTTGAATAAATATATCAAACATTTATAAGAGCAAACATATATAGTTTAGAGGGATTACAAGAGACTAAGTGGTTCTGCATCGAAGATTTACTGTTAGTTAATCGAATTGTCAAATCTCAAAGTGTGTTGGTATCTTTTATTTAGTTCTGGCTGATTCTATATTGGGATTAAAGATTGATACAATATTTGAATAGGATGGCAAGTGATGATGAGACAGCAAATGGTTCTGCTGTTGGTAATTCCAGTGTAGTTTTTGAAGAGCAAGTTGCTGATGTTGCTAGTGGAGAAGGTAATAGTTCTGAAGTTAGTGGTGACAAACAGAATTCAAATAATAAGGTTGATGAGGTTGATGAGATAGAAGAAGATGAGATTGAGGGAGAAGATGATGAGGATGAAGAAGAACAGGATCAACCTTCTGAAATGTCTAGTATAATGGGTACACCTATTGGAGATCATGGTTCTGTTGGCAATGGGAAGCATAGTGAATTTAGCCCAAAAAAGAGAAAATTGGATAATAAAATTATAGAGAGTACTGATAGTAAGAAACAAGACAAGGCAGAGAGTCCAGAGAAAGGCAATAATACTGATTCAGGTAATGCTACTCCATCAACAACTGAAAATAAAAAAGTTCCAAGACATCTTTTAGAAAAAAGAAGATTAGGTCGTCTTAAAGCTGCTGAAGCTTTTGCTGCTAAATTGAAGAAGACTGGTATTGAAAGAGTGGATAATAGTCATTTACAACAAACGGGTTTATTTGGCCAAATGCTATTAGTTAACCAAAAGAATTGTTCATCTGATTACTTGAAGAAAGATGATCAAGTTTTTGCACTAAGAGAAAGAAAGACTTTAAGGAACAATACAACTGTTTCAACCACAGCTAATACACCAGATGTAGTTGATCTAAAAGCTTTGAATAATGGTAGTTCTGCCTCATTAGTGGATGAAGTTTTGAATAAGAATGATGATGACATCGATTTTAATGATCCAACGACAACAATTGTAATACATCCAGGCTCTAGATATTTGAAGATCGGGTTTGCTAAGGATGAAACGCCGCTGGTGGTTCCTAGTTGTGTAGCCATTCCAAAAAATTCTCTGTATTCTGAAAATGTCAGAGAATTATCAATTGACAAAATCGAAGATTCAGAACGTTTAGTTGGAATGAAAGCTCAGTTACAACAAAGTTTCAGAGAAAGAATGAGATACTACAAGAGAAAAATCCAACCTAACAGTCATGAAAGGGTCAGAACTTTTAACGAACAAGCTAAGCCAGAAATTGTTGAAGATAAGAATGACCATGGTAGAATCGAATGGATCAACAATTCCGATAAGATTTACTTTGGTGAGGAAGCAGAAAGATGTAACAAAGAAAACTTTATTATAAGGTATCCGTTCAACAAAGGTGGTTCTTTGAACTTGGATTCACCATATTATTCCTCATTACCAGAACTATTATCTGACGTTACAAGATTATTTGAATATGCATTGACAAAAAGGGATGAATCAATTACTCAAGCTCAAATTCAACAGTGCAAAGTAATCTTAGTTATTCCAGATTTATTTGAAAAAAGTCACATAGAGACATTATACAGAATTTTATTAAAAGAAATGCAATTCCAAGCTGTGGCTATTATGCAAGAATCATTAGCCGCATGCTACGGTGCAGGTATCAGTACAGCAAGCTGTATTGTTAACATCGGAGCCACCCAAACTACAATTGCATGTGTAGATGAAGGTACTGTTTTGGAAAATAGTTTAATCAAATTAGACTATGGTGGAGATGATATTACAAGGTTGTTTACACTATTTCTACTTGAGAACAATTTCCCATTTCAAGACTTAGACTTAGATTCAACACATGGTTGGACCTTAGCCGAGCAATTGAAAAAGAATTATGCAACCTTTGAGGATGCAAACATGACAGTTCAATTATATAATTTTGTCAAACGTATTCCGGGCAAGGTATCAGAGAAATATGAATTCAAAGTATTTGACGAAGTAATTCTAGCACCACTAGCTTTATTTTATCCTGATATTTTCCAAGAATTGAAAAAGTTGGATTCTAAGAATAAGTTCAACCTTGAAGACCAGCTCCCAGTCTCAAGAGATTTATATACTGATTCAATTAATGATTGGAGGTCCGTTTCTCAACTACAATGTTTAGATGGCGACTTATATGCGGGAAACACCAATGAACTCGATATTATAACAAAAGTGTTGAATATAAATAGTAGTACAGAAGAATATGAGGGTTTAGAAACCACCGAGGTTGACGGGAGAGAAAATTATGTTCCATTAGAAAAGGCAATTATACAAAGTATTACTAATGCCTGTGTCAGCATGGATGTTTCTAAAATGAATCAGTTTTACGCTAACATTATGGTTGTAGGTGGTACCTCCAACATTCCACAATTAGATTTTGTCCTTACTGATCGTATAAATATTTGGAGACCTAAGGCTTTGTGCAATACAACTTTTCCACATTTCTTTAAAAATATATCTAAACAAGTCAAGGAAATCCAATCAACCAGCAAAGCAAGTACCACTCCAGAAGAAGAAGAAAAAATTAAACAATCCATAAAAGAACTGATTGAAACAGAATTGAGAAAATATTTAAATTCAATAGAATCTCAAGGTAACGGTGACCACTCGTACCCAGTAGCTGTATTACCACCTCCTCGAGATATGAATCCAGAAGTGCTAAATTGGAAAGGTGCCAGTGTATTAGCACAGATTAAACTAATCGAAGAGTTATTCGTGACAAATACTGATTGGGACATGCTGGGAAGCAGAATATTGCAATATAAATGTTTGTTCACTTACTAATCCAATAAATTCACCTCTCACATACCCATCAAAATGAATACACTTATCTAAAGTCAATATATGAAATGGACATTCAATTATATATATTACAATTCACGTCTCTAATTTTAAAATGAAATAATGCATCTGTAACTTTAATAGTCTTATCAACCAGCCATTGAATAATATTTCAATAAATAGATAATTACCATATAATAAGTATGTATTATACTACAAAAAGCCCTATATAAATATTTTGACAATCATCTGAACCAATTTCTTCATCTATCCATTCATTATCTCTACCAGGTCTTCTCTTTCATCTTTTATTATGGATCATAGTTAGCCTTCCGTATATTAACGATATTTAAGGAAAAGGCCTTTAAAGATTAGAAACGAATCCTTTAAATGGATGGAATCCACCTACTAGTTACACAGATCAGACTTTTGGGTATATAAGATTGCGGTTAACAAGTGGGTAACTAAGATATTTTCATCATTTTGCATTGGTTCAGTCTGCCAAGGATATTGCAGCAGTTGTTTGTTTGTTCTTATATTTTTTTCCTTTATTTGAATAGTTGTAGTAATGGGTGAACTTAATGAGAATTCTATCAATTCTCTTATTGAAATGGGTATTCCCAGAGATATCGCAATTGATGCTTTATCGAGAGCTAATGGTAATTTAGAGGCTGCTGTGAATTTCATATTCTCCAATGAGTTACCTGCAGAGGCTGAGAACTCAGATATTGAAATCATCTCTTATAAGGAGAAAGCTAATCATGTTGAAATATCTAATAAAGAGTCATTCCAACCCGGAGATTTGACAGAAGTGATTGCTAATCAACAACCTTTACAACCAGAATTCCAGAACTATGTTAACGATAATTCTGAGAATATTGATTCGAACTGTTATGTAAGTGATAAGATAGTTGATAACATGGATTATTATTCGTCCGACAGTGATTATATTACTAATTCTGTAACAGATAACTTGTTACCTCCATCTTATCAAATAGTCAAACACTCGGATCATAAAAGTCGTTTAAGAGATCCTACTGTGATATTACCTTTACCTCCAAATTCTATGATTGAGAATTATTTTGCACTTTATTCTTTATGTATCACAAATTATCTGCCACATATCATTATGAGACCTGATTTTAAAGATCTATCCTTTACTGAAGATTGGTTTAAGGGGAGTAGCTTCTCTAAACCGAAAAACGTTTTAAAATCTGTTACTGATGAAACTACAAGTAAATCGACGATGAAAATTTGTCCAATCGAAGATATGAATCAAGATGACGATCAACCAGAGTTACTGTGGCAATTACAAAAATTATCATCTATTGTTAATTCTACAATGTCTGAAAGGGCTTATGTCTGTGCAAAAATATTCTCTGTCATCTTAGACCAACAATCTCAAATCAGATTGGCTGAAGCTGATCATTTAAATGAGGTACTACCGTCATTTATTAAGTATTTGGTTGTTAATTTAGAGAGTTGTCCAGGATTTGAAGAAGATGAAATTAGGAAGCTATTCATTTCTTCTGCATTTTATACCCCATCTGACGACCAAGCACCAATAACAACATTGCTGTCTTTATTCCATTTTTTGCCTGACGAGTATGATTCTAATCTTTACAAAATGTTTAATGTGCTACTATACCCTGATGAGAACGACAGTGACTATGAGTCGGGAGATGAATCAGAGCAAGGGAATTCATTGGGCGATATATCACCAATTTTATCCATCGTATTCGATGAAGCTGAAGAAGGTTCCTCTGGTATATCATTACCAGAAGGTGTCGAGGTACCATTAGAGTTTTTTCCCCAAATCTATACGAAGGATTGTAAAAATAAATTGATTAAACATATCATAGCCAAAAGAAAGGATGCCCAATTTAAATCAAAAGAAATTTTGAATGACATCAATAGCATTAAGAGCTTCCAAGGTAAGGACATTTTGAAGTTCATCAACAGTTCTTTAGAATACCTGGAGAGAGATAATAAATCAGATAATATTACTGAAGAATTACTGAAAATAAAAAATGATATGGCTATTGTTAAAACTCAAAAAATGAATGAATATAGAGATTTAGCTCAAAAATTACAAAATGAATGGAATATATCCAATCCTGAAACTCATATTGTCGAAACAGGAAGAAAGCTGGGTCTAATCGGTGAACCATATCTATTGGTAATGGCGGTACTATCACCTTATTCATATTATATTAGGGAAAGAACAGGCAAGTGGAATTTAGTTCAATGTTCTACTACAGGAGGTGATTTTGATGTAAGAGAATGTTCATCTGAATTAGAAGTTAAAGATACTATAAAACAGGCTACTAGACATGCTAGTGAAACACCTTTAATGTTTATGTATTGCAGAAGAGATGTAATACCAGAAGAATATGAAATTAGAAAATCATTCGAAAGCAATTCAGGATGTTTGAATTTTTTCAAAGAAGATCAACTAGTATTAAACAAGATGAATAACTCCGATGAAAACATTTAATTTTTACTAACGTATGATATCGAATGTTCACATTGACATGTTTATAAAATGCATAATAATTGTTACATAAGTTAAAACGTAGAATTTAATAGATGACTTAATTGGTAAAAATATAGTTCAAACGTCTATAATCTTTGAATAACTTCTTCTGTAAATGATGAAGTGGAAGCAGTACCAGACAAATCGGCAGTTCTATTTTCCGAACCAGAAGCAATGGTTGTCAAAACAGCATTTTCAATTTTATTAGCATGCTCATCTAGACCCATATGCTTCAACATCATAACAGATGACAACAATAAGGCAGTTGGGTTTGCCTTATTTTGACCAGCAATGTCTGGTGCAGAACCATGAACTGCTTCAAAAATGGAGACTTTATCACCAATATTAGCAGATGGGGTCAAACCTAAAGAACCTGCGCTTAAACCAGAGTTTAAATCAGATAAAATGTCACCGTACAAGTTTGGACAAACTGAGACAGCATCTGAGTATAATTCAGGTTTACTTACAACATTTAAAATTGATTTATCAATGATTTCAGTTTCTAATTTAATATCTGGGTACTCCGATGCTAATTCTTCAGCTACTTTAACAAACAAACCATCGGCCATTCTTTGAATAGTGGACTTGTGAATAACTAATAATCTTGGTCTACCGATAGCTTGGGTATATTCGAAAGCATATCTGACTACTCTTTCAGTAGCTTCCCTTGTAATCAATTTAATTGACTGTATAACACCTGGAGTGATAACATGTTCAATACCAGAATATTCACCTTCAGTATTTTCTCTAATCAAGACTAAATCAACATTCTCATAAGTAGATTTATAGTTTGGAATAGATCTTGCAGGACGTACGTTAGCAAATAAGTTGAAGGTTTTTCTCAAGGTCAAATTTAATGACCTGTGTCCCTTACCAATTGGAGTGGCTAGTGGACCTTTCAAGGCAATCAAATGTTTATTTATTAATTCAACAGCAGGTTCTGGAATTGTAGTTTGGCCATTGACAAATATTGGACCGACATCACAAGGAACCCATTCAATTGGAACTTTGGCAGCTGAAAAAATCTTCTTAACAGATTCAGAGATTTCTGGACCAACACCGTCACCTTCAATAAATGGAACAGTAAATTTGCCAGTAGCTGGATCTGGCTTACCAGTGAACCTACCAATTGAAGGTTGACCAGTGGATAAGAATCTAGAAACAGTACGTAATTGTAATCTGGAATTAAACATTGCTGTTGTACTAGTTATAATTTGTGCTGATTGTTGAATTCACAAACTTAAATCATATGACAAACAATCACAGTTCTCCAGCAATTATTGTAATTCCACAACTGCCCTGATATATATATATATATATATATAAATCAAAAAGTTACGTTGTCAATGAATTTTCTTGTCCCTCTCTGCATTGTCGATGCATTAAAAGGTTGATTCCTGCACTGCAGTAAGTAACTTTGTAGCAATAAGCCAAATATTCAAAAAAATCAAAATGGCAACGTCGAAGATAAACTACGAAGGAAGAGTGCATTAACCAATGGGGTCAGTTCAATAAAAAAAAACAGAACTTATTAAGATTAGAATATTTAATGTTTGTCCATTTTAAACAGTATTCATTGAATCAGCATTCTTATACAAAGTAGGCTATATAGATTTCGAAGTTAGTCCAGGGTCAATTCAAGCACCAAGAAAGAGTGTACCAGATCACTCGCATTATTGTAAAATATTCTCTTAGTTGACGAAACCCGATACGTACTTTCTTAAATACTGGATGAAAGATGCCAATTTGAAAAGTTATAATTATCGAATAGTTCTCTACTTAAATTGCAAAAAACATATTGTTTAGGAGTCAATTCAATTGCAAACTTGTAAAATCCATTTCTCCTACACCTATCTAATCAGGAAGTCTGAATCGCGCTTAAGCAATCAAATCAAAGGATTCTGTAGACTTTTTTGTATAGTGATCAGGTATAAACTTTTCAAACAAAACCAACTAAATAAAAGGTGATACACGTATCTATCACTAGTCAAATTTAAGTTGCAATACCGCTTATAATTGTAGGGTCCTGAAGCATTAAAAGAGAATGTAATAATGTCAAAATAGGAAATAAACTGTAAATCACCTTTACCCGATCAGATCAAATGACGGCAAAAACAGTAAACTATTAGAAACAACAGTGATGTAAATAAATACATCAACTATGGTCACAATGACGATCGGTGATTATACTTTATCATCCGATATTAAGGTTCAATGGAAGAGAAGAGATAATAAGGAACGATCATTTGGATCCTTTTCACAAAGCATGTCACATAAGATTTACTTTACTATAATGGTCTTTCACTGTAATTGAATTGTGTCTTTTCTCTTTTGTGAATTAAGATATTTAGTGAAAAAACCTACAACAATCCAAACTAAACTATCGAATAAAAAATATTATGACAATCGTTGAGATAAGAAGGATATCTAAAAGAATGACCGTTTGTCTTTTTGTTGTCATCCCATCTCCTCATCGATGTATTGTACTAAAAGCCAACTTTTAAATATTACATAGAAAAAAAGTATATAAACACTTAGATTAACGGTATAGGAGGGATTAGACTTGATAAAACTTCTTAACATGAATAAAGATATCTAACTGGCACCATACCACTTTAAAATTTAGCAAGCAGGCAAACAAGAATTTATAAATAAACAAACAAGCTAACGTATATATATATATCTATTAAAATATTTAATATGAAAATAACAGAGGTTTCATTGTTCAACGCTGTATGTTTAGCAATAACCTTGTATATATTCACTAGAAGTTTTATAAAGAGTATTTTTGAATAAGTTTAAATAAGTTTATTATAATATATTATTATCATTATCATTATCATTAGTACATGCATTATTGATATATTAAGATATATTTTTAATATCACGTGATTGTTTTTTATCATTATTTAATATTCAATAATTTAAAATATACAGATATATAAGAACCATCTCCTACATTGTTCATTTCTTTACATTATCTTAAATATTGGGCCAGTCTTTTAGAAAACTATACCATTATCAAGGGTCTTCATATCTATTGATATCAAGAATTTGGTGGGTAAAATATCTTCTTTCACTAGTTACAGGTTTAAATTTAAAAGAAATTATCTAGTTCGAAAGTATACAGTAGTTATTTGGTGCTAATTTGAGAATTAAAATAGAATCCAGGTTTCAATGGCAGGAAGAGAAAGTAATATCGTTAAGATAGTTGGTATTGAAAACTATGAGAAAATTAGAAATTGTAAATGTCTCTTAGTTGGTGCTGGTGGTATAGGTTCTGAATTATTGAAAGATTTGATTCTAATGCAATTTGGTGAAATTCATATCATCGATTTAGATACTATAGATCTTTCAAATTTAAATAGACAATTTCTATTTAGACAGAAAGATATAAAACAGCCAAAATCCACTACTGCTGTGAAGGCTGTTTCTCATTTCAGTAACTCAAAATTGATTCCATATCAAGGGAATATTATGGATACCAACCAATTTCCATTACACTGGTTTAATCAGTTTGATATCATTTTCAATGCATTGGATAATTTGGCTGCAAGACGTTATGTTAATAAAATTGCTCAATTCCTTTCGTTACCATTATTAGAATCAGGTACTTCAGGTTTTGACGGCTATATTCAACCTATTATCCCACATTTAACTGAATGTTTCGATTGTACTAAAAAGGAAACCCCTAAAACCTTTCCTGTTTGTACCATTAGATCAACACCAAATCTACCTATTCATTGTATCGTTTGGGCTAAAAATTTCTTATTTAATGAACTATTTGCCTCGTCGATAACTGAAAACAATCAAGATGAACAAAGGTTAGAAGATAAACAAGATTGGGGTACTGAAGATAAAGAAGAAATAGAAAGAATAAAGCAAGAAACTAATGAGCTACATGAATTGCAAAAAATTATTTATTCAAAAGATTCATCTAAAATAGTAAATATTTTAGAAAAATTATTCATTCACGATATTGAAAAATTATTATTAATTGAAAATTTATGGAAAACAAGGGAAAAACCAACATCCCTAACATTGGAACATATTGAATCTTCCAAAAAGATAGATGTTTCAAAATTAAAATTAGATCAAATATGGTCTTTGGAAGAACAGATTGCTAAATTTATTAATGTAACAGAAATTTTAATGAATCGTTATTCCATAGAAAAGTCAATTGAATTTGATAAAGATGATGAAGATACTTTGGAATTTGTAGTGACAGCTGCAAATATTAGGTCGTATATTTTTGGTATTTCAATGAAATCAGTATTTGACAGTAAGCAAATTGCCGGTAATATCATCCCAGCAATTGCAACAACAAATGCTATCATTGCCGGTTTATCCTCTATAGTTTCATTGCGTGTTCTAAATCTATTGAATTATGCAAATGTAAAGAAGCCTACCGATATAAATATGGCATTTACTTCAAAAGCAAGTAATATTTCTAATCAAAGATATCTATCAAATCCAAATTTGTCAAAACCAAACTGTAACTGTGCTGTATGTTCCAAAGTCTGTCGTGGTGTTCTAGAAGTTTCTACTGTCAAATTACAGACATCAACTCTAGGCGAATTAATTGAACTGATTAGAACAACATTCAAATACCCGAATGATGTATCCGTATTAGATGTTAGTGGTCAAAGATTACTAGCAGATTTTGATTTTGATGATTTATTAGATAAAACACTAGAAGATTTAAAACTAGGGGAAGGTGATGTTTTATTGTTTACTGATGATGAAGGTGATGAGGATTCTAATCAATTTAGGAAATCGCTAGAACTTTATATCGCCGTTGTATCTGACAAGAGTGATGATTATATCAAATTGCCATCAATTGAAGTGCCTCTTATAGAGAAAATAGAAGAAGCAGAATCTAATGATATGGAGGAGGAAATAAATATTGCTACTAATGCCAATGAAGAAACTATTATCCTGATTGATGAAGAGGAAGCTCTAGAATTAGATAAACAGTCAAAAGGAAAGCGATTGGAAAGAGAAGACTCTTCTGATAAAGATAATATCAAGAAGATAAGGACTACAAACACTATTGAGGATGATATAATAGAACTAGATTAATCCATAAATATTTAACATTGTAATTATTAACTTATGAGATATGTTAAAGTCTCTCAGATTTAATTTTTCGATAGTGTCAAATGCTACATTATATTACAATTTATAAATAATTATATAAAAAATCATAATTTGGTATGAATAAGGTTACAATATAAGGTAAAATATTATAGAATACTTCCTAGTCATGATCGAAAGTATATAAATTGATAAATTTCTTATTTTAAGTTCATGATGGATTGATTAAACGGCCAAACCAAGATTGCCTCTTTTTGGATTTGGCTTCTCTTTCTGAAGCATTAGCAGATGTTGATTTCCTCCTCACATCTGGTGTAATCTTCAGACTTGAAGTAAAAGATTTCCTTTTATCTTTATTATCAACCTTTAAACTACTATGAGCTCTCATCTGTGGTTTCTTATTTGTTGGTGCAACATTCATCATAACATTATCAGAGGATTGTCTCACCATTGGTACCTTGGCAGTTGTATATTCTTGTTCATCACAATTTTCATCAACGACTTTAATCTTAGGAGGAGCAGAATTTAATACAGACGTTGGTGAAGATGATGGTGAAGGATCCACACCTCCTAAGGTGGAAGGTTTTCCCTCAATATTGGAGTTACTGTGTGATAGATGGTTCAGTTCATCGTTTGACTTATTGACAGTACTAATCACCATTGAGAACGGACGCATATTTATAGAATAATTACTGCTGTTACGGCTTGAAATTCTCTGTTTAGTGTGATTATGAAAACTTTGAGGTGTAGTAACAGAATTAGGAGAAATGCTATTTATACTCATGTCACAGTCATCGAATGATAATTCACCATCTTCCTCAGTTACACTAAATTCACCAGAGTCACTCATTAGATTAGGCTTATGAATCCAACTTAAAAATTTAGATCTACGTTTATTACTTGGTATAACATCTTGTGGAACAGAGGCTGAACCGATAGATTTCGAATGTGGTCTTCCATGTGTCGGTATCGTTAACAAATTAACATTCATATTTCTATATTCATTAACTGGTATAGAATTTTTATATCTATCTGGTGTCATGCCCTTATTTTCAATTCTATTATTAATCGGTAATGATGAATTTGATGCTGTTTCTGTTGTATCAGATATTTTTTTAGGAAATACTTTAACAGATTCATCTATACTACTTGCAACAATCATAGGTTTTGAAGAAAGTTCATCCTCATCATCTGGAAAATCTGTGGGTATAGAAAGCAAAGATCTTCTATTTGGATTTTCAATTTTTGCAGTTTGATTTGGTCTAGCAACATTCAACATGAACGGTACCAGTTTATACGAGTATTCGATTAAAAATTCTAGAACTAATCGTGATAATTCGTATTCTTTTGGATCCATATCATGATTAGGATGCGATAACATAGACGGTTGAAAAATTGCTGATAAGTTATGCCCTGTCATCAAATTGATATCTGATCTTCTATCAAATAGAGTTAACATATCCAGCAAGTACAAAGTTAAGTGTCTTGAGTCATCATTTAAATCAATAAAAAGTTGTTCATACTCTTTTAGAGCAGAACGGATATCGTTTGTCAATTTTTTCTTTCCATGCTTAGCTCTTCTTCTTGACTCTTCAGCTTTTATAAGATCAGTTGTATCAATAACATGATCTTCGTCATTTATTTCTTGATTAAGTTGCGGTTGTTCTTTTTCTATACCTCCGCTATCCTCTTTGTCTTCATTACTATGAGTATTATTTCGGTTGAATACTTTAGTTGTTTCTGATTGATTTATTACTTTATTTTCAATCCCTGCAGTTGGATGCTCCATTGCCTTTTTGGTTAAATGTTTCAGTATTCTAGGTCTTGACTTTAAGGGATCTCTAAATTTGTCATACATAGATAAAGGAATTAAAGGTTCTTCTAAATTATTAAGAAACCTTCTCAATAATGAAGCATAGTCATGAACAGCAAATGCATCCCATTCATTAAATTTCATACCATAATCAGGAGAGGTAGAAAATATATGCTGTAATTCTTTCACACGTTTAGTGCTACCTGTAATTCTGAAAATTCCAGGAGTTTCTAACGCATTTGCCTTCAAATAAGCACCACATTTGGCTACAACTATTGGAATCTTACCGAAACCAATAGATTCACTATGGACCATCACATCAGTGCTTGCTGTACTCAACGACTGCTTTAAAGATACCCCAAATACTCTACCTGTGAAATCGTAGTTGTTAGATAGAAACTTATTTCTAAAATCTCTGTAATCATCAGTACTAGATCTACCGGATGCCATTTTAGATTTGAATGGCGGGTTTGAATATGAATGGGACTTGGATGGTAATCCAGGTCTCTTTAAATTAGTTTGTTTAACATTTTGCTGTTCGCTATTACTATTATTAGAAACATTTGAATTTGTATTATTAGATTTGGTATTTGAAGTCATGATTGTACGATGCTTCGAAGAAGGAAGGGGGTCAGTAGCAGTGCTCTTCGGGTTCCCAGGAAAGTTTTTCCAGAAGGTGGGCATTATTAGCAAAATATTTGGTATCCTATATCTCTTTTGCCAGTAATTGTTTTTATATAAATCTATATTTTGTATTAGATGTCTCAAAAATTTGATCCTTAAAATTCAAACTCAATATATATCCTAAGGTACCTAGTAATCCATAGATCCTAATTGATTTCCAACGCCAGAATATAAATTGTCTAAGTTAAAATAGGATAACTCTTGATAGTATGGTACCCTTATTAATGAACTTCTAATATCGATCGAATATAACTAGCAGCTTTGTAAAATAATATTGCAAACTCACGGTAAAAAGAAACGAAACAGTTTATATTTTCCCAAAAAAAAAGAAAAACAGAATTCTATTACTATTCTTACTATGAAATCTTCAGTTTAAGCCAGGATTGCTCTTCTTAAATGTGAAATGAGTCTAAATAGGTACCACCAGTGGACTTAAATTAAGCATAAATACACTGAATAAATATATTATCACTTTATTCCTAACTGAAAATAGAGGCGTAGTTAGATTTCACTATAATAATGGAATGACTTAGTATTGTGTATAGATATGTGTTAACGTTGCGTTTAAAGTATTTAAAAATGCAAGGTTTAAAACACGTGAGTATCCGAGTTTGTAATTGTACCAGTTCTTGAATACAAGTAAATTAAAGTACCTTTCGATATTAGAAAAGGGCTATTCGGTTTTCCAATACCAATTATGTATACATTGACCTATTTCAGAGTATAACTTCTAATGGTAATATCATATATATATATATATATATATATATATTTCTATATAACCATATATATTTCTAGGGAATAGCTGGATATGGATATGGACTGAAAGAGTTGACTATATCTACGATTTCACTTTCTGTTCTTAATGGGCACTAACAAAAATTTTTTTTCACCTTTAATTAGGTAATTAGTTAATTCTTTTACCCTTTACGGACCCAACCTAAATAAAATTACCCAATCAGGAAAAGCAAATGTCAAATGAAAGAGAGAGAGAGCTGAAAGGAAGAAAAATACTGCAACTGTACTGTTTTTCTAATCCCATTTAGAAGCAAGAAAAAGGCCAAATACAGTCGCTTTCCACCAAACTAAAAGTAGTATACGTTAGTACCGAATAGTTTCAATCCCATTGCTCGACGAATTCACCGTACCTTGTCTATAATCCTATCAACATCTCGAATTTATCTTAATTATAGGTGGTCTTTCAATTACCGTTAACCTATTACAGCAATCGGGTAATTTTTTCTTTTCTTTTTCTTTTTTTCCCTCTTTCTCTTCTCCTATAAAATTGTACTATGAGTGTAACCAATTCTAGTCTTTATAAAGGATATCATTTTGGTCAGTTAAGTCGGCTAACTACAGTTATGGACGACATTACTAAATTAAGTAGTACTACATACCTTCCATCTAGTGAGTTTATAAGATCAGTATATCAATTTTCACCTTTTACTTGAGCTTCAATCTGAAATACTTTATGACAAGGTTTATGTAATATCGTAAGGTTACCTGCTATCGTCAAACCATTGTACAAACTCAATTCTGGTTCTCTTAACATAATTTCATATATTTGTAATAGTAAGACATATATGTTTATACATAGATTTTCCTTTACATATCTATTATTTCCTTTTGAGATGTCTTAGAGAGCACAGGGGTTTCGAAAACGACAAGATTAATTGAATCGAATATAAACAATTTGCAAGAGACATGGGAAGGAAACTTGATTTGTAGCGTTACACTTGGAATAACTTGCTTACTTGCTACAAATGGACTAATAGATGTATACTACTCTCTGTTGTCTTTAGCCACTCTATATCTGTATCTATATATATATATGAGATATTTTTATTTGATCACATTTTTCTATTTGATGAAGTTGCAGATGAGGATGACTTCGAATCGGCTCCTCCGTTCGAAAAGAAATTAGGACTACTAAATAGGTACAATTTTATATAAAATTATAACTGTTTCGAATATGGATCACTGTTTGTTAAATATTCAACACTATTGTTATATTCAAGAATATATCAAGATTGGAAAGGTTGTGTGACTACATATTGACACCTTTTTATTTTATTTTTATTTCGATATTTTTGAATATCAGAAGTTGATCAAGCTGTTTGTGGTGATAATTATAGATCTATTATTTCATCTATTAAAAATAACTTCAGATTTAAATAATTTCATTGAAATACATAATTTCACATCAACACCTAAGTGGGTTTGCCTTACTTATCTCGCTCTATATATTAACATTGCATAGTCAGTTTTGTTTCTTTCCTTCCATTTTTATCATCATAATATACTTAGCATTTGACATAACAAAATAATACTTCTATTTTTTAATAAAAAAGCAAAAACAAAGAAAACAGTTTAATTATTTATGATATCGTTGAATCAGGTTCGCAGAGATCAATCTTTTATACGGGGAGAGAGTATCGATTCTTTCTCTGATCTTCATTCAAGCTTTTCTAGAGTTACATCATCTTCCCTTAATGATATAGACAATATCCCATTTAAAATTACTTTCAAAATAGTGGTACTCTTTTCAGCAGCTACAGTAGGTGGCCTTTTATTTGGTTATGATACTGGTGTGATATCCGGTGTCCTTCTCTCTTTAGAACCTTCTGATATTGCTGTACCTGTACTTACAAATTTTGATAAGGAATTAATTACTTCAATCACAAGTATTGGTTCATTCATAGGTTCGATATTGGGTTTCCCATTGGCTGATAAATATGGACGGAAGACAACTCTAGCGGTTTGTTCTGTAGGATTTATCATATCTGCCGTTTGGCTAGCATTATCTATGAGTTTAACGATATTGATTCTTGGTAGATTTCTCGTAGGTATAGCTGTAGGGATTGCTGCTCAATGTGTACCAATTTATTTAAGTGAAATATCACCAACTAGAATTAGAGGGACAATATTAGCGTTAAATTCTATTGCAATTACAAGTGGCCAATTGATTGCGTATATTGTTTCTTACCTTATATCAGACTTCAGTCAATCGTGGAGGTTTCTGTTTGGATTCTCAGCAATACCTGCTATTTTATTTATACTACTGTTAGATTTTATTCCAGAATCTCCTCGTTGGTTAATAGGTGAAGGAAAAATAACAGAAGCTCACAAGTCATTGTTAACAATTTATTCAACGTCATCAAATTATTTGATTTTGATTAAGTTAAGAAAAATTATTATAGATATTATTAATTATCAAGAAGAAATTCAATCAGTGCAAGAATACACTCCATTATTGCAATCTAACAGAAGTGATGCGACTGATAATGCTGAAAATAGTGGTAATAATGATTTATTAGAAGATGATACTTCCAATCTTGTTGATTCCTCTCCAGAGGATCTATATGATACCAGTTTGAGTACCATTAAGGACAGGTTAACAATGAACAAGCAAAACCAAATAAATGGGAAAATAAATTTGACACCAGGTTCAAAAAGAGCCCTAATTGTCGGCTGCATATTGATGTTTTTTCAACAAGTTTCTGGTTTCAACGTTTTTATGTACTATGCAGGTATTATATTTGCAAAACTAGGTGTCAAAAATCCATTGCTACCAATAATATCGATTGCTCTGACTAATTTTATATTCACAATTGTAGCAATGCAGCTGGTAGATCGAATTGGGCGCAGAACGATGCTTTTATTTACCATTCCAATAATGACACTAGGCCTTATATTTTGCAGCGCTAATTTTGAGAGTGACAATACAAGATTGATACTTCTTTCAACAGTGGCATTTGTCGCCGCTTACTCTTCAGCTATGGGGACAATTCCTTGGAATAGCGTAGAATTTTTACCATTAAATGTACGCTCATATGGAGCTGCTTGTATTTCATGTACGAATTGGTTGACTAACAGTCTGGTTTCCATGTCATCATTATCGTTAATGAACAAAATAGGTAATAAAAATACATTTTTAATATTTTCATCTTTCACAGTATTGAATTGGGTATTTGTGTTTTATTGCTATCCAGAAGTAAAAGGCCTAACACTCGAAGAAATTTATGAAATATTTCAAAACGGAATTGACGTCAACTATGTACATAGAAAATACAATTTATAGTACGCATATTATATATTCAAAGATCCAAAAACATTTTTTAATAAATAAAATAATGAGAGTCTAAATTATATTAAAATCTTATATTTCTTATATTGAAATTCTTATATTAAAATTCTTATAATAAAATCGGATGTGCGCTAAAACTAAATACGAAAACTAAATAAAATGCATGTGTTGAAATTTAAAAACATTTTGAATATTAATACTATAATATTCATGACATTTCCTTATAATTTATCGTAGTATTCTTGCCAGCCTGGAACTTCTTCCTTCATACCACGTCTCTTACGGGAAGCTGCAACAATTTCACCAGCCTTAGTGGTTGGGTCCAATGGGTCAGTACCTAAAGTAGCCCAATGGTCGAAAACCATTTGTGGGAAAGCTTGACCACCAGTAGCTTGTCTCAATTCACCGGTGAAACCGAAAGATTCGTTGACTGGCAAGTAAGCCTTGACAGTGAACAATGGAGTACCTGGTCTTTGTTCTTCAGAGACGACTTGACCTCTCTTCTTGTTTAAGACGGAGTAGATACCACCAACAGCTTGTTCTGGACATTGAATTTCGACCAAAAAGACTGGTTCTTGAATCTTTGGTTCAGCCAACAAGAAACCGGCGTAAGTAGCTCTTCTCATGGTTGGGATAATTTGACCACCACCTCTGTGGATAGCATCAGCGTGTAAAGTAACATCTAAGATGTTAACTCTGACGGATCTCATTTGTTCACCGAAGATTGGACCTTCCTTGGTAGCCCATTGGAAAGCAGCAACAACGGAATCCTTGATTTCGTTCAAGTATTGGACAGCCTTAGTTTGGTCAACAACCAAATTTGGACCGTTACCATCTGGACCGAAACACCAGATCTTTCTGGCGTCAGTGACATCCCAGCCGAATTCGTCAGCCATGACTCTGGCTCTGGCCTTAAAATCATCTCTTGGGTTAATCTTACCACCTTCAATAGCCAAAGAAACTTCTTCGTCAATTGGTTCAGCCTTCAAGTAGATTCTGTTATGCTTGTTTGGAGACTTGGACAAAGCGGTTTGAGAAGATTCACCTTCAACAGTTTCTCTGTAAGCAACGACTGGTGGGGAAATCTTCAATGGAATACCAGCGTGGTCGTTTTCTAAATCTTGCAAACAAATTTCCAAATGTAATTCACCGGTACCAGCGACAATATGTTCACCAGATTCAGACATGTAAGTCAAGACACATGGATCAGACTTAGACAATCTCTTTAAACCTTCAACCAATTTTGGCAAGTCGTTAGCGTTCTTAACTTCGACAGCGACTTGGACAACTGGTGAGACAGAGAATTTCATGACCTTCATGTTGTAAGCAGTTTCGGAAGTGGTCAAAGTACCGGTCTTCAACAAGAATTGATCGATACCAACTAAACCGATAATGTTACCAGCTGGACAGTCATCAATTGGTTCGACGAATCTACCCATCATCAAAACAACTCTTTGAATAGCCTTGATGAATAAATCTTCCTTCTTACCTGGGACGAAGTTTGGACCTTGAATTCTGACCTTTTGACCAGATTTAACGGTACCAGCGAAAACTCTACCGAAAGCGTAGAATCTACCCTTATCAGAGGTTGGAACCATCTTGGAGACGTACAACATTAAGTCAGCCTTTGGATCACAGTTTTTGATAGCGATACAACTTGGGTCATCGTGTGGACCTTCGTATAATTGTTCAGCTCTGTATTCTTGAGCAGTAACTGGAGATGGCAAGTGCATGATGATCATTTCCAACAAAGCATCGGCAGCTGGCAAGAATTTTCTCATAACGACCTTCAATAAAGCCTTACCTTCCAAATCTTTTTCGTCACCCTTCAATTGGATTTCCAATTTTTCTAACAAGACTGGAATTTCTTCCTTCTTGAAGTTCATAACGGCAGAGAATAATCTGAAGATTGGGTCCAACACGAACATGTTGAAAGCTCTTTCCAATGGCTTACCATCAGCGTCGGTATCCTTGGAAGACCACTTCTTAGTCTTTGGGTTGAAGAAAGAGTCACCCCACAATCTGTCCATCATCTTGGTCTTGTCAACACCGAATTTCTTACCGTATCTGTTGGCAAATTGACGAATAGTGAAAGCCCAACCATGTAAACCGGAACCGAAAGCAACGGTACCTCTTTGTGGGTAGACTTGAACATCACCTAAAACTTCATCAGCGTAAGTGGAGATGATGACGTTAACGGATTCGACGGTTCTGGCAAAAGTTTGGTACAAATCTTCCTTGGAGACTTGTAATTCTAACAAAGCTCTGTCGACCTTGTTAATACAGACGACTGGCTTAATTCTTTCACCTAAAGCTTGTCTCAAGACGGTTTCAGTTTGGACACAGACACCTTCAATGGTATCGACGACAACTAAAGCACCATCAGTAACTCTTAAAGCAGCAGTAACTTCAGAAGAGAAATCGACGTGACCTGGGGAATCGATCAAGTTAATCAAGAAAGCACGACCTTCAGTCTTTTGCTTGATGTCCTTTACATCTTCTTCAGACATTTCAGAGTATAAAGAAATAGCGGTAGACTTGATAGTAATACCTCTTTCTTGTTCATCCTTTCTGGTATCAGTGAAACGAGCTTCACCAGCCTTAGCAGCAGAGATAATACCAGCTCTTTGGACTAAGGAATCAGTCAAAGTAGACTTACCATGATCGACATGGGCAATAACAGACATGTTACGAACATTGGTAACAGTGTCCATTAAAGAACGCATTTGGTCAACAGTGAAAGCAACCATTATGTACTAGTAATTGAAGGGTTTAGCGTCTGTTGGCTTGTTGCTATTTTCAATTAAGAATGAGAATTGAATTGTAAACACCAAGATAGTAAAAAGATGCAACTTAAAAATACAATACAAGATATATATATATATATATATATAATTAAGAACTAGTGAATCAATCATTCATCAATTCCATCTCTCTACCTCCCCCCACATATCGAAACACATATTAAGAATAAGTGACCAAAAAGATTGAAGATTAAAAAGAAAGGATTGCTTCTAATCGTTATCCAATATAAAAGTATTTTGAAAGACTAGGATACTAGGATATTCAATGAACAGAACCAATTCTAAAAATCTTTAATAGTCTCATGTTTTAATAAAAGGTTCATTTGTTGTAAAATTGGATGCTTGTCTGCATTTTGTTAGTTAAATTTCGTTTTTTCTTTTTATTTTTGAAGTGATGATTTTGAGATGCAGAAAAAGAAAAAACCCATTTCGAACATATTTTTTCTTTTTATTTCATCTGTTGAAAAAAGAAATGTTGTACTATAATTTATTTCAAGTTTCGGTTTTTTACCTGATTGGGAAATGAGAAAATTCAAATTACTATATAAGGTATTAGCAAAGTAATTAAACCTGGTAAAATTTAGTTGGAAGAGAAATCAGATAAGTTTCATTGAGAGTTGAGTCCTCATCGGAAGAAACATTGGCTCCAAGAAGAGATAGGTAGGAAACAAGTCCTATTTCCTACCATCAAAATTATCATAGTTAGGCGGCTGGGTAAGTATTATATGCAATGTACGTGATATTTATATGTTTTCTGACACATTAATCTTGTTAATTTTGTTGACTATGTTCATACAACACCTGCATTTGCCTTTGTGATTCATTTAATAAATGGATATTTACCAAATTTTATTTCCTAATATAAATTGTTTTATTTGACTCTTAGCTGATCCATTTGATATATACGCAGAGTAATTACGTTAAATTTGTTCTTAGTAGAAATAATGAAACGATGGAAGTTATAGAAATGTAATGCAATTAGAATATCTCTATTGATTCATAAAAATGTTAGTTCAATGATGGGGATGTGTTGTAAATATACTTTTCCATTTTTTGGTTTCGGTTTTAAATTTTTGATAACCGCCTTCATCTTAACGATTCTACCCTAGTTTGAGTTATATTTTAAGATATGAATTAATAAACGAATATTGTTTAAAAGTGTTCAGAGAAATTTAAGGAACGAACTAAGTAACTAATATATATAGATGAACGTATGTTTGGGATAAATTAACAGTCACTTTAGAAGATATATTGTTGCTACAACAAGTGACGTTACTCTCAGGAAAGCATAGTTGACCATTCTATTAGCGAACTACAATATCCAAAAACCCCATAAATTTTGTTAGTGAGAATAAGGGGTTATATCTAATATCGGAAATAGTATTATTCTGTATATCTCAATCTAGGATTATAAGATTGGTTTTTTGGTGGCCTTTTGAAATGGGCATAAATGACTGTATTTTGTTAGGTACAATGAACTTTAACGGTGAATTCAAAATTTAAATTGTATATAGTGCTTGGATCATCTAACACTTCCTATTAATTTCAACTAATATATTATTAATTTATATAGTAACAAGCTTTTTCATAGTCTTAACAACAAAAAGGTGAAATATGAGAGAAAAGGATCTTAGAGGGCATAATTGTAGAAATCCTTGAGGTTACATATACTTGCTTAAAATTTGTAGGCTCTAAGCTGAAAATCAGAATTTTTCATGTAGCGCCATATATCATTGACACATTCTTTTCATATATTAAATATAAATAGAGATGTCCATTACATGTTATTTTGCGTTGGTACATCACGTGATAATATACTGATGACTTTTCGGTTCATATATCAAATCATACCAGAAACAAATAGTTGTACAGAATTTCGAATATTTTAGAGTATTTGAATATGTAAACTTTCCTTTGTTTTTTGTCCGTATGTAGTCTTATTCGATGTACTACTACACTACACTTCTACAGTTAACAGCTAATATAAAATTTCAGGAAGAAGCAATCGACAAGATTTTACAGTAGTCAAGGGAAATACCTTTAATTAATAATTTAGGCGTGATTTCCCGCACCTTCGGGTTGTTAAATATATAGTAATCAATTTGAACTAATCCATTTCATTATTAAAATTCTAATAGATTCCTTTTCTCAAATGGAACTGTCTTGTCCAAATACTTATTTCAAAGTTGTGTCTGTTATCAGATTATATTAATGATAATTGCATTCTTTTGTATTTGCTCCTAGTTGTGCATTATTTTATTTTTGTTTTAAACAGAAAATAAATATCAATTTGACTCATTTAATATCTTTGAAACCCTTATCCGGAAAGTCTATATATAATCTGGTTTATGAGATCTTCTGTTTTTGATTAGAACAAAGTAAAGTATTTGATTTGAGACGAATGTTTAACAACTTCAAAAAGTTTAAAACTATACGAACTTTGCATAATACAATGGCTAGTAAAGTAAATATTAAGGCTGTAATATTTGATATGGATGGGACGCTATGCTTACCACAACCATGGATGTTCCCAGCAATGAGGAAAAGCATTGGACTTGATGATGATGCAGTTGATATACTGACATTTATGGACGAAATGAAAACAGAAGAAGAAAAAATAATTACAAATGAAAGACTGAAGTTAGTAGAGAAAAAAGCGATGATGGAAATGGAACCTCAACCTGGACTAGTAGAATTGTTGACCTTTTTACACGAAAATGATATCAAGATGAATATATGTACAAGAAATTTAATTCAACCTGTTAATCACTTAATTAATAACTTTTTACCTAGTCATTTACAACAAGAATTTGATTTTATACTAACTAGAGATTTTAGACCAATGAAACCTAGTCCTGAACCATTATTGCATATAATTAAGCGGTTATCATTGGAACCTCATAATGTCATTATGGTTGGAGATTCTTATGATGACATGATGAGTGGGCACTCTGCAGGATGTACTACTGTATTATTGAAAAACAATAAGAATGAAAAATTAACTAAGGAGTATCCTCATTTAATTGATGTCACAATTTCGGAATTACCTGATCTTATTAGAATAATTTCTTAAATCAGAATATTCAGCCTGCTCGTTTGTAAAATTTGTTAATGACTAAATAATTGGAGAACCCTCCAACACCCTTTAAAATGATAGATAGATAGATAGATATATATTTAGTGCAAGAATAACTATAATTATTAACAGAATAAATAGATGCTGTTGGATTATCGTTTACAATGAAAGTATTTATGGTGATATTTACTGGAGTTTCAGTCGGGGAGAGGAAGATGGGGCTTACATAAAAAAAGAAAATGCAGAGAAACCAATATACTTCAACCGATGGGTGGTTTTTTTTCTCTTAATATATGGGAATTGTTGTGAACTATGATAGTAATGCAATGTACATACACCATGCCAAGTAATTCATACTTTAATTAAGTTTTACACACTATAAAAAAACATAAAGATATCAATATCTCTAGTTTCTTATTTGAGGTTTTCAAGAAAGTGATTCTTAATAGTGCCTAACCCTACTCTTACTCTTACTCTTTCTGCCTTTCATCAACCGCAAAGTGAGTTAGACACTTTTCCAAAATATTCAAATGCATTAGATAACCTGCTACCTTCGATATATCTATCTATCCACGTTTCGTTCCGACTTAACTATTCTAATTTGTACATTTAGTTAGTTTAACGAAATCAACTACTAAATTTCATCCTATACATCTTTTTTTCTATCGATGAGCAGCTACACACAAATGCTGATATAACTATTCCAGTATATACATATACATATACATATACATATACAATTGGCATCGATGTTACTCAAAAACTGATCTGACAAAAACCTCACCTCAGACTAAGAATAGAACGTAGACGAAATTTTTTTTGCTGTGAATTCGAAATGCGGAAGCCAGTTTGGGGAAGGGTTGTCTCATACCCAACTGCAACGATCGTTTCGCTTGTTGCGCTTTCTATTAGATCTCTTTCCCTCTCTCTTTCCCTCTCTCTAGACGCCCATCAGCCTCAAATATCGCTGGATAAGAGCAGTGCAATTGGAGGAGGGGGGGGGGGGGAAGGGAAACGAAAAGCATAATAAGAAATAAAAAAAGAAACAAAAATGGGAAGCTGGAATTCCATATTTCTTTTTGTGTCCCTCGATCTATCCAAAAATTCAAATTGTTTATATCTCGCTTTGAGGGAGACAAGGAAACGGCAGTGGAGGATAACAACAGAATTAACACAAAAATTAAAAAAAAAATAGAAAAAGAAAAAATGAAAAAATGAAAAACAAAAAACAAAAATCCATAATGGCAAGTCCACAATATTAGCCTTAGCAAGCGAACGATCCATCTTGCTTATTTCTTTTCCAATTGCAAAAGAAAAGAACTACTTCTTCTTGGTGCTCTCTCTTCCTGATTTGTTAAATCCGACCCGAGTGTTCATCTCGTTTTTCGGAAAAACTCATTTATGATTTATTCCATTAAAATTCAATTGCTTATCAACCGACCGATACTCAACTACATGGGACAGCTTAAGACAAGGGAAAGAAAAACTATAGGAATTCAAGAATATCGTATCTTTTTTCTTCTCTCTCTCCTAAAAATTAAGTTTCCACTTTCTTTTGCCAAATTCCAGTTTTTCCTTCAATTTGACTTCGTATTTTTTGGTTTCGAAAAGAAAAAAACTCTTTTATTTTTGCTTGTATCTCTGGTTATTTAGGAACGCAAATATTTGTTTGTTTGTTAGTTTGTTTGTTTGTGTGCTTGTTCGTTTTTTTACTTGCTCATCAAGGATGACATTTTCATTTCAATCCTGCACTAAAAAAATATTAAATGTTCCTCTTTCCAATCGACAGATACAATTAAATGCTCTAGGTAACACTTGTCGTTCTTCGATGGTGCTGCGATTCGTTAGTCCTCGGTTTCGATTTTTTGTTTCTTTTCTCACAGAAAGTACCACTTGGATACAAAAAATGATAATTAAATATATTGTCATCGCACTGCATTCACCATCGATGGATCTCTCGCTAAATATATGCAAGAGGGTTAGACTTATTGAATAACGATTATATACAATACAATCCAATGATGAGTGCAATTAATTGTCGTTTCTCAAGTAGCATCCACCATTCAGTGCATAAACAGAGAAAAAAATAATGAAAAGATAGTAAATATCCATCGCATGGAATGGAACTTGTCATATCTACTGCCTATTATTAATCATCCCACTGTCGTTATTACTTGTTTTAACAAAAAATAATAATTAAAATAACACATTTTAATAGTAAAGATAATAGAAAAATTTTCGTTTTCCTTTTGGGTTTCCTGGAAAGTTAAACTAAAGATCATACAGCTTTATTCAGCCTTACCACTTTCTACAATTTTTCCTATATATTTAAATATATTTTCCTTGCGTCTAACCTTGGTTTGTCGTTTTCCTATATATATCTCCATATTATTTTGTATATGCATGTGGTTTGATTTGATTTTTTCCCAAAAACTATATTAACTACCATCTTTAATTGATCTTGTTAAAATTATTTCTTGCACTATTCCATTCCAATTTATTATATTCCCTAACTATATCTATATATCTATATTTTTATATCTGCACTTGAATAGTAACTCAAAAGAGACAAAAGTGCTTGCCGCTATATTATGAGTGTTAACAGTAATAAAAAAGAATACGAAGGTGTTATGACTTACGAAACTTCTTCTTCAAACGAAATTGAAAAACAACAAACTTCAAATCAGTACACTCGTACAATTAATGAAATTGTCACTGATGGTGATTTGGTTACTTTAGGTAATCATACTTATAGACGCGGTGATCTACTACGAGCATTCAACGCTGATGTAGTTCCAACTTCTAATCAAAGACAATTTGCTAATCCAATTCCATTAGGTTTAGCTTCTTTCTCATTCTCATGTTTGGTTTTATCTTTAGTTAACGCTAACGTTAGAGGTGTCACTGAAAATAAATTTTTAATTTCAACTTTTATGTTCTTTGGTGGTGCTATTGAATTATTTGCTGGTCTATTATGTTTTGTCACTGGTGATACTTACGCTATGACCGTTTTCTCTTCATTTGGTGGTTTCTGGATTTGTTTTGGTTGTATTAATACTGATCAATTTCATAGTATATCAGCTTATGGTGATGACACTAAAATGTTACAAAACGTTACAGGTTTCTTCCTTGCTGGTTGGGTTGTATTCACTTTCTTAATGTTGATGTGTACATTGAAGAGTACCTGGGGTTTATTCCTTTTGCTATTCACCTTGGATTTGACCTTCTTATTCCTATGTATTGGTAACTTTATCGGTAATAATAACGTTAGAATGGCTGGTGGTTATTTTGGTATATTGAGTAGTTGTTGTGGTTGGTATTCTCTATACTGTGCTGTTGCCAATGACCAAAACACTTACTTCCCATTAAGAGCAACTGTCATGCCTAATTTCCCAACTGTATGATAAATTTCAGAGGAAAGATATATATATTTTAGCGGTATTGAACTCAATGCAATAAAAAATAGAACTAATAATAATAATAATATTAATAATAACGAAAATAAAATGTACATTAGAAATAATAATTCGGCGAAATTTAAGCAAGGTTAAAATATGATTCTACATTAATACTTTAAAAATAATATCTAATCTAATTCAATTTGCCTTCACCCTTTATAGACAGTTAGAGCAAGTAATTTGAAAATTATAAATAAGTATTTAATATAATAATTCGATGTTTACAAAATTAAACTTTTATAAATTCCTCAATGGATTCCCTTGACTTGCTTGAATAGAGAGATCTACTACATATATGATATGTCCATCTACTTCTACCTTTGAGAAAAATATTGGAGTTATTCTCAAGTCAGATCCTACCATAACTTCAGGATAACAATTAATAAAGTACTATTAATATGTTAGAAATTTTATAGATTCTTTTCTTAAAAATATAAAATAAAATTGGATCAGGTTATTTAATTGGACAAAAGCTGATACTTTTCAATTCTTACCTTCAATTCATGTCACTTTCAGTTTCATTATTGAAATATTACATTACGCGTCAAATAAAAAAAAAAGTAGCGTCAATATAAGTTTAACAATATTGATAGAGAAACCTTATAAAGATGAGCTGTAGATGAAAATTTGGTTCTCACTGGATCTTTAGACTAGTATATCTGAAGATTAGATATTCTTTAGTGTTGATCGTTGGACGTTGATAGATAAAGAAGATGGAGATCCAGCCTTTATATGAATCAATTACAGAATTTGTACAAGAAAAAGCAAAAACATATAAACAACAAAGTATAGAAAGCTTAGATGGTGAAATACCGCAGTCTATTATAAATTTACTGAGACAGGAGCTACAGGAAATACATTCAAAACAGCTCAGTAAGAGCAAACTTGATCATTTGAGCAAGCAGGTGTATGATATAGAGTTTCAATGGAAAAAAGATCAAGTAAAGAATATAATCGAATTGATTGGTGATGTACCTAAATATTCCTTGGGTAGTGAAATAATTAATAATGATTTAGATAATAGTGGTGGTGTTTCTTTAGAAAAATTGATGGAAGATGTACTTAAGTTACCCAAGATGGCAATAGCAGATGATGAAAATAATACGGAGAATGAAGCGATGATCTTAACAGAATATAACAATTTAAAAGATGAGTTAACAAAAAAATCCAAGATCATTCAATATGGTGAAAATGAATTGAAGGTAATGAAAGTAGAATTGAAAGAATTAGAGAATCTGTTTAAGAGTATACGAGAATTTTCAAATGTCAGTAATAATGAAAGCGATGATCACGATGTTACCGGATATATGAAATCTTATAATGAGAAACTTGAAAGTTCTCTTAAAGAAATGCAATATTTATTAGAGGAGTCGATTAAAACATCTACCAATTCTCCTGAAAGGAGGAAACAGTTACAAGAACTTTTGGAAGAAATCTCATAAATAATTTAATGACCCAATATTCCACGATTCCGGACCAATTATTTTGGATTAAATATGGGTTGAACCAATTTGAAAAAAAATTTGTTTTTCGTTAAAAAATATTATTTTTTAAAAGGGTTTGTGTAAAAAAATTTAAACTACG